TCTTTTATGATTTGATTTAAAATTTAAATTTAAAGAAAATAAATCTTCACTTTTTAAAATTTTAGAATTTCCATTTTTAATTAAAATATTTTTCATTGTTAAAGGTAAAATTAAATTTTTTAATTCATTTAAATTTAAATTTAAATTTTCTAAAATTTCAAAACATTTAATTTCCAAATTAGTATTAAATAATAATAAAATTAAACATTGATATTCATTTACATGTAAATCATATTCACTTCCAAATCTGGCAATTAATTGACATGTACCAAGTGAATGTATCCATTTTAATATTCTATTTTGAGTAATTGAATTATAAAAATTTAAAAATAAATTTAAACAATTATTAAATTCATTTGGTAATTTTAATTTTAAATTTAATTGAATATAAATGGAAGGCCAAATTCCATTTGTTAAAATTTGTGGATTAAATTCTATTTTATTATTATCATTAGTTATATTATTATTTCCATTTATATTATTAATTAAATAATTTTTAAATTTAAATTTTAATTCATTTGAATTATTTAAATCTTTAATCATTCCTTCTAATTTAAAAGTAAATGAATTTCCCATTTTTAATTTTAATTTATAAATTAATTGTTTTTCCAATTCAATTTCTTGATTTTTAATTAATTTTTTACATAAAAATCTTTTAAAAAATTCTAAAAATAAATCTTTATCATTTAAATAGGAAAATAATAATAAAATATTTTCAATATTTAAATTAAATTCAAAATATTTAACTAGAATTTCAGGAAAATCTAAATTTTCATTTACTAAATTTGTAAATGACTGAAATAAAAATTGTTGAAAATAAAAATTATCTTTAAATTCAAATTTAATTAAATTACTAAATTTAGTATTTAATTTTAATAAATTTGTAATATATTCATTTGAATCATTTTTAATTAATTCTTTTCCTTCTTTAATTATTACTTGTTTCATTGAATTTGCTAATTTTGGTAATTCATTTACAATTTCAAATAATTTAAATAAGATTTTTAATTCTTTAATATTAAAATTATTAAATATTTCAATTGATTCTAATAATAAAATTTCTAAATTATTTAAAATTAATTCTTGATTTAAATTTTTAAATAATTTTTTAATGGTTGAATTTGGAAAGAAAAAGGAATTTTTATCTTCAAAAATTAAAATATTTTCAATTTCTTTAAATAAATAATTATTTTCTAATTTCCATTTTTGATTTAATTGTTTAAAATATAAATTTGATAAATTTAAAAATTCATTTTCAAAATCCAAGTAAATTGAATTTTCCTTATATAGATTTAATTCATTTGATAATTCAATTAAATATAAAATTCCATTTTTTAATAAATTTTCATTAATAATTTCAAAATTTCTTTTTTTTTCATATTTTTCCAAAATTAATTTAGAAAAATTATTTTTAATTTCCAAATAAATAATTTTAAAATAATTTTCAATTGCAATTTGTTTTAAATTTGATTTTTGAAATTGTTCTATAAAAGATCTTTCAATGTAATTAAATAATTTTGTAAAATATTTAATAATAATTAAATAATCTTTCCATTTTTGTATACATTGATTTAAAAATAAATCTCCATTTAAATTTTTTAATTGATTTAAATTATTATTTAAAAATTTTATAATAATTTTTTCATATTTAATATAAATTAATTCTTTTGAAATTTCTAAATTTAAACATAAATTATAAATGGATGAATAAATAATTAAATAGTCTTGACTTGATGAATTTAAATTTTCTAAAAATTGTAAAATTCCTTTTTTAATTATTTTCCATTGTTTTTTAAATAATTCATATTCATCATTGTTATTATTATCACTACTAGATGAATTATTTGAAATACTATTGAAAAGTTTAATTTTCTTTTCTTGATGAATAAATTCATTACTTGTTGATTCAAAAGTTGATGATTGTAATAAATTAGAGTTGACTTGATGATGATCGGAATGTGATGGTGATGATAAGGAACATGATGACAATGTATTATTGATAGTATCCTCATCATCATCTAAACAAGAAGATAATTGACAAGATTTTCGTTTTTTAGGAACATTTCTTCTGAAATTCATTTTTTATGTATTGGAAATTATTTACAATTCATCTCTTTCAATGACATTTAAATATCACCAAATGATGATGATGATGATAAACAAGGATGAGATTTAATTTGTTTGTAACTTATTTTTCAATTGTTCAATTTCTGATTGTAATTGTAAAACTTCTTCTTCATGAGTTTGTTGCATCACTTCACGTAAATGTTTATCTGCTTGTTTTTGTAAATTTAATTGATTTTCAAAATCAGATTTCATCATTTCCTTTTCTTTTGCTAATGAAAGAATCTTATTTCTAAATACATTTTTAGTAGTTTCTAAAATTGTTATTTGTTGTTTCAATGAATCAATTGTTAATCTAGTATCACTATTAATACTCAATGTATTATACATTAATTGATAATATGTTTTATCATTAGTTAATTCTATAATTTCATTTTCTAATATTTTAATCTTTTCCAAATATGGTTGAATAATTGCTTCTTCTTCAACTATTTCATATTGAATAATTGTATTTTGTGTACTAGTTGTTTCGAGTACTGGTTGTATTATAGTGTTAGTAATAGTAGTAGATGTTGTATTAATTGTTTGATCTAAAAGTATTGTTGGTGAATTAATAGGTGATGATGAATTAACTCGATTAACTTTAAAAGTTTGATCTTCAAAGATGGCAAATTTCTTCTTCTTTGATGGACTTTTATATTGACCGGATGGTGGTGGTGATATAGTAGTGGATTGTAATTTTCTCTTCAGATCAAGTTTGTTCGAAGGCTTTAAAGAAAATTCCTTCTTCATAGGCTTTGAATTTTGTTGTTGTTGTGACTTGAGTCCTGTTGGCGTGATATTTTCCTTATCAATGATGGTGGTTTTCTTATTGGCGAGTTGAAGACTAGTGCCTCTCATTGTGGCCATTAGAGGATTAGTTGGTTGGAGGGCTTGTTGTTGAGACATTTTTTTATCTGTGATATTAAATTGATTATTTTTTGAAATTATTTAACGTTAGATTTTGGCGGCAAGTTTAACCGCTTAAAATAACTACAAAAAAAATGAGTGCAAACGTTCCAAGAGAAATTCTCAAGTGGATGCAATCATTGGACTTGTCGTATTCGATAAAGAATATGAGAAGAGATTTTTCAAATGGTTTTCTTATAGCAGAAATTATTTCTCGATATTTTTCTCAAGAGGTTGAAATGCACAGCTTTGATATCGGTGTTGGAGTTAAGGCTAAAATGGATAATTGGCAATTATTAGAAAAATTCTTTAGAAAACATGGACTAAATATTTCAAGAAAAGTTATTGATGATTTAATTGCATGTAGACCAAATTCTCTGAATGTTGTTTTGGAAGAAGTTTATACATTTCTCACAGAAAAGAGGTAAGTTTTCAGTAATAAGAATTTCTTGATCCGAATTTAAAACCAGTGTCAAGAAGGCTAAACCAATCAGACTTCCTACAGTTAATGTACCTAATTTTGCTAAACCAACAGTCTCTAAAACTAATAAGGATGATGGAAGAGCAGCTGTTTCAAGTTTTGTCATGTCAAAGAGAAATCAAATTTCATCAGCTAAAGGAAATTCATCTAACAATAATACTAATAATGAAATACCTTCATTGGAAATTACATTTAGAGATAGTAAATCATCAAGTACTCAACGTTCTAAATCATCAAATCAACAACAACAAATGGCCGCCACTGCATTATTAGCAAATATTTTCATTGATATGAATGATATTATTGAGGCAGCATCATGTAATGAATCGGATATCATTTCAGAGTATAGATTGGACAGAGGAAATTTAATTGCATCATTTTTGGAGAAGATTAATTCAATTCCTGTTGAACATTCTGAAGGAATTCTTAATAGTATAAAGGAAAGGATTCCTCTCTATTCTGAAATGATGTCAGCTCAACCAAAAGATTTTTGGAAGTTTATGAACATTTTCATTCCAGCTGTAAGAAATTCATCTGCAACTGTGTTTCAAATATTGTGCTCTATTTTAATAACATTGGGTATTGAAATGGTATCGAGAGATCCTGAATCAACTTGGGAAGCTGTTGAAGATTTTGCATTGGATAAATTTGTTGAAACAATTTCAACTCAAGCAAGTAAGAGAGAAGAAATTGTTCAAATTGTTTACAGTTTTACAACATCAGATTTCCACACCCATAAGAGAGTGATTTCAAAGTTAGTTGAAAAATGCTCTAAATACGAGTCACATTTAATAATTCATATCCTAGCTCTTTTGGTAAGACATGAGTCATCTCTTTTAACAATATATGATTCAGGAAATGGACCAATTTTCAATGATGATCAAGTTGACTTTTTCGAAGTATACATGAATCATGCTATTAGTGGATTGAGTAATCCATCTCCAAAAGTTAGAGCTTCAAGTTTATCCATTGTTCATACATTATTATCATATGACGATATTACATTTGATAATAAGAATGAAACAAAATCTAAGAGAGATAATAGTGAAAGTGAAGTCAACTTTTCCAATCAACCTTTATTATACATTATGGAAAATTTATGGTCCCAAAGTATTGAACCATTGGAAAATGATAATTGGTGGGAAGTAACAGCTCAATTAATTGTTTTAACCTCTAAGTGTTTGACACAAGTCAAAAAATTATACATGGTAGATAATATACAAGAGCATGAAGACATCTTGATAGCGTTCTTAGAAAGACTGTTAGCTAGAGAATTGAGCTCAACATTGAAGAGTATCATTCTCTCATATGTTAGCTCTCATCTTAAAACATATAGTGACAGATTAACATCTGTTTACCTTGACATTCTCTTCTCTATAACAGAAGAAGAAAGAGTTGCACTTTTGGAACAACCTTCAAATCATGTTGAATTATTACAAGTTGGAAATAGTCAATACAAGTTCCCAATCATGAGTATACCATTTGAATGGGACAGTTTAACGGTTGCAAAGGTAGTTTCTGATCAAGTTGTAAATCTAGATCACTTGGAAGTTGAACATTACGATGTATTGAATGCTTGTATATCTATAGCACAATTAGATCAACCTGAAGATGATAAGACATTTAAGGATTCATGTCCATCTGAATGGTTGGAGATTTATGATCGTCTTCAAAATCACTTCTTTGTTGGATTGGTTGATGAAGAATTGTGCGAGATGGCTGCACAGTTGATAGTTAAATTCTTCTCAGTTTTGAAAAAGGAAGTTGTTAAATCAATGGCTGCCCAACTTGTTAACTCTATTGAAATAATCTATGGAGGTAACCAATTTGCACACCAACAAGCCATTTTTTCTCAGTTCTTAATAGACGTCTACTCTTTGGGAAGTCCATTCAGTCAACCATTAATGAAGCTTGCCAGTTCACTCATGGAACAATCGCATCTAACAACAAATCAACATTTAGGAAAGTTTGTATCCTTTGTGAGGAATAACATGATGTAAATTCATTGTAAATAAAAACAATAAAAACCAAACAAGGTTTAGAAAGTAATACAATGGAAAAGCATTTCTTAATAAGTCATCATTAATAATTGCCCAAATAAGGACATTTTAGGTTATCACTCTATTAATTTTCGCATTTTACTTTCAAAACCTAAATTTGATCTTTAAAATCCAAAAATTAAGCAAAGATCCCTTCACCTTACAAGAATGGTAATGCTAGTCCCACACGGTAATATGACCTTAAATTACAGTAGCCAAATTAGTCAACTATTAAAAAATTGAGAAAAGATCGGATGGCCCCACTATTCAAAACTGTTTTAAGGATTGATCAATGCATTCACAAGCCTTTTAGGATGCCCAACTATTTAAACAGTCCAAACACACCACAAGGTTTCCTCAATAGCAACACAGTGTGCACCATTCAACAACTAACAACAACGACTTTAGTAATTGCAGTGGATACCCTAAGGTTTACTGATTCTCTACACTATGGAGGTGATTACTCTTAGAAAAATTAACAACACTCAACACACTACTGTTGTTGAATTTAATACACAGATACGTTGTGTGTATTCTCCACTTTAACAATATCATCATCAAGATTGGCATCATTTACATTGTTTATCTAATAAGAGTATATTGAATACTAAAATCGATTATTACCTATAAAGTATATTAAGGACCAGATTCAACTCAAAAATATATTGTTCTTACTCCCATAAATAATTCTAAGCGTTGAACCTGTCTAAATATAATAGCCATCAACATCATTTAACTGTTTAGCTATTTAACTACAATACATAAATTCTAGTAAAATAGTAAACTCATCCGAATATTTCATCAGAGTTTACTAATCCTCTCAAAGCGAATCCTATCCCACACTTGTCAAGATAGATAACACGAGTGCGTGCTTTGTGAATCATCTAGGAACAATTAAGGCAACGCAACAAACTAATAGCAACATAATTACCTTGTGTGTTCTTGGCGCGCGCAACTTCCTCTGATATCTACAAACAAGGCTTATTCTCTCATTCAAACCCTCAACAAACGCATTGTTGGTTTTCGTTGGAATAATAACATACATTTATATAATTATTGAAAAATGAGTCGAGTCACACCACTATCACCCTCACAGCAGAGTCAAATAACGCCCTCAACAACGACATTATCCTTTAAATCTTCGGATTCTAAGGGTCAACAGATGAATAATTCTGCTAGTACAATTCAAATATTAAATTCAAGACCAATATCAGCATCAGGTACGCAAAGAAGTAATTCACTTTTTGATGAAACTTACATTACTTCAAACTCTGAATTTGAAGCGGAGAGAATTGATAAACAAATGCCAGTCATGATGAGATTAGAATCAGCAGTATTTGAGCCTAAGAAGAATACTTATGATCCAAATCAATTTTCATCAAGTACTTTAAATTTAAATTCTAAAAGTGAAACTAATCTATCAACTATGGCTTTAAATGATCCAACTCCATCTGAAACAGGTAGCATTTATTCATTAGCTTCAAGTCCAAGAAGTTTTTATTTTAGTTTTAGATGTTCTTTATTATGTTCAATGTTTTTTTTAATTATTTCACCAATTTTATTATTATTAGCAATTTCCATAACCTTTTCTTTATTAACTTCAGTTGAAGTTGAAAAACAAGTTGTTTTATTATCTTTATATAGAGCTGAATTATATGTTTCTGATTTTTTAGATCTAGGAAGGAAATTAACAGTTTTACAAAAACAAATGATTACTGATAATTATTATTCCAAGTTTGAAACTGATGATTATTTCAACACTTTTAATAATTACAAATCAATTTTAAAATCACTTGCTGCAGTTCACAAACATAATAAGGCTTCTTTCTTTTTATTTGATTTTACTTCTCGCAATGCTGATTACATTTATGTAAATACAAAACAAACCGAAACAAGAATTTGGAATTCCAAATTATATGATAATCAACAAGAATATTATTACATGTCAAATATTGAATCTTTACCATATTCCAACATTACTAAATATAACTTGACGAAGGATTTAAAATTTGATGTTATTGGATATATTGAACAAGAATTTTGGAATCCGTTCGCAGAAACATATTTTAAATTATCACAATCGTATGATAAAGCTCTTGTACCAATGTCAGTACAAACACAAGGTGCTGACAGTGTTGAAGAACGAGTTTACATTTGTTATCAGGAGAATGTCTATTCTCAAATTAATGAAACAAAATTCCTAGGCGTTACAAGTGCAAATGTTGTGGTGAGAGAATTGGCTTCCTTTATTAAGAATTATCATGTTTCAGCAAGAGGTTTTGCACTTGTTGTAGAAATGAATTATGATCAAGAATCAAATACATTGAAAAAGAGAATGGTTGCCTATAAAGATTATAATCAATTGGCAAAGAAAGATCCAGAAAGTACAGGTGGTTATAAAATACCAGACGCAGAAGAAATTGAAGATTTGTTTTTAAGATTTGTTATCACACAGATTATACCTAATAATGTTCATGATGTGAATATCAAATCAGAAGAATTGTTTAGATTCATGTATGGAGGTGAATCTTATTTAATGGCTTTTAAGATTGTTTCATCTTCAAAAGATTTAAACATGCAATGGTTGACTATTATTTGTGCTCCTGAAATTGGTATGTTTTTTTATTATCAAAAATTGAATCATATTTGAAATGTATATTGTTGAATTGTGTAATATAGATTTTATTGGTAATTTACTTTTATTAACAGGTCTTAATATTGGTGTTAGTATATTAGCATTCTGTTTTTCAATGGTATTTGTATTCTATTTTGCCTCTTCAATTTCTAAACCATTATTATATTTCTCATCTGAGAGTAAAGCCATTTCAAATCTTAAAGTACATCGTGGAGGAATTATCAAGACTAGAATTCGTGAAATTTTACTTTTATCTGAAGCTTTTGAAAAGATGAAGACAACATTGAGATCATTTATGAGATTTGTTCCTCGTCAATTAATTGTGGAAATGGTAGAAAAGGGAATTGAAATGAAATTAGGTGGTCATATTCATGAAAATATTACAATTTTATTTTCAGATGTTGAAGACTTTACAACATGGAGTGAAAAATTAGAACCACAATTTTTAATTAGACATGTTTCTGAATATTTCCATGTCATGACAGAAGAAATTGTGAATGAAGAAGGTACACTTGATAAATATATAGGTGATGCAGTAATGGCATTCTGGGGAGCTCCTAATTTTATGTATGACACTTCAATGAGAGCTTGTAGAGCTGCTATTAAATGTCAAGAAAGAATGGACAAGTTGAGAAAAATATGGGAGAAACAAAACAAACCTTTATTTAAATGTAGAATTGGATTACATACTGGTTCATGTATTATTGGTAATATTGGTTCTTTATGGAGATTAAATTATACTGCTTTGGGTGATTCTGTTAATTTAGCATCAAGATTGGAAGGTCAAAATAAGTTTTATGGAACTGAAATTTTAATTAGTCAAGATACTTATAAGAATGTTGCTAGTAGTTTTAATTGTAGAAGAATTGATACAGTTGGTGTAAAGGGTAAATCGGTTGGTATTACTATTTATGAATTAATTTCAAGAAAGGAAGAAACTATACCAAATCCTAAAATTGAAACACGTTTGAAATTAACTCCAATTTATGAATCTGCACTTGCTGAATATCAATTAGGAAGATTTACTGAAGCACTTAAATTGTTAATGACAAGATGTCAAGATATTGATTGTAATGACTTGGCTACTCAAACGTTAATTGATAGATGTAAAGAATACATTCAATATCCACCATATAATTGAATGAAAAGTAAAAATATGTTCAATTTCTATGATAATCAATCTCTAGGTCAATACTTGTGAGATTACAATTAATTTCGGGCTTTACCTCGCTAGAAAGTGATCCGAGTTAACACAGTAAAAAATGATTTCCAATTCATCTCCAATTTATTACAGCAAAATAAGCGTTCCACACTATTGAGAAAAAGCCTTGATCAAAAAAAATGTCAACAACAACAACAATTAACAATATGGAAGTTAGCAAAACTGCCCGCACTGTAATGATTGTTTGTATGCTATTGATGGGTATGACACTCATTCATGGCGCAACAACAGCCATTCAACTTAAAAGTTCAGGTGATACTGTGACTGGATCCGTCAGCAAGGGAATTATGAATATGTATTATATTAATGTTGATAGTGTTAGTTCAATGTCTGTCCAATTCACCAACACTTATTCATCATCATCTGTTAATGTTTATATCAAAGCTAATCAACCACCAACTACCTATAATTATGATAGTATTATTACCTATCCAGGTGTTTCAAAGAGTATTATTACATTGAAGAATTCAACTCTCACTCAACCATATTATATTGGTGTTTATGGTCTTGGTAGTTCTACTAATTATTATACTTTACAAGTTAGTGTCATCTCTGGACAAGATATTGCCAATTGGGTTATTGGTGTTATTGTTGCTGGTAAGTTGTTATCTTTACATTGATCTAATATCATACTCCTTTTTCATCTTTTCATACTAATCATCATCATCTATTTAGCTGTTATTATCACCATTTTGTGTGCTGTTGCTGCTGTATTAATTCCAATCTTGATTTGTTGTGGTGTTCTCAGTTGCACAGTTTGTTGTGGAGCCGCAGCAGGTGCAGCAGCTGGATCAGCTGGATCATCAGGAACCTATCAACAAATTCATCACAATCATACCAATCATGTTCATCATTCTATTTCTCAACCAATTGCTCAACAACCAACTACTTATTATTCTGGTCAACAACCACCACAACAACAACAATACTATCCACAACCAACTTCTGCTAATTATCAAAAGGTTTAAATTATTAATTTATTAAAATTGATTATAAATCTAGATTTGTTATTTTCATCTTCTATTATTGTTAACCCTAATTTTCGATTATTTTCTATTGAAAAAGGCTTTTCATATCATTGCCAAATAATTCCATTAATTTATCACTCTTTTCACTTTGTGTGAGTTGAGAAAGAATTTATTCTTCTCCATCATCATCATCCTCATCATCTTCATCTTGTTGACTATTCTTAATGTAGGTATTGAATTTAGGAATGGCAATAAAATAGGCTGAAGAAATAAACAAGGCAGTGAATGCTATCACTCTCCTTCCGAATGAATCATTCCACATCTTTCCAATATTCAATGCTAATTTCTGGAGACGAGTGAGTGGAACTTCATTAGGCTTTGAAGATGTTGGTTTGATAGGATTGAAATTATTCTTCCTTCCTAGAAAAGATACAATCTTATTAGTGGTTGGTGTTGATGAATTAATTGGTTCACTGTTTCCGAGGAGTGTATTATTATTACTAGGTTTCTTTTCCGTCGTCGACATTGATTATGAAGTAGAAAGAAAATTTAAATAATTTAAAGTAATTTGATGATTTTTTAATAAATGAATTGAAATAATATTTGTTGAAGGCTTTTTTAAAAAATTTTGAATATTTAAAAAAATAGCCTTTAAACTTGTGCAAGGAGCCTTTTTGTATTTTATCTCAAAACTTTGATTAAAAGTCTATTTCGGAATTGCATTAAAAATGAAAAGAACATTAGAAGAAGGTTCAGAAGAACAATCTAAAAAACTCAAGATTGCCCAAGATAAGAATCCACTCTCACCATATTGTGATGAAGAAAGTTCTGTTGGTATTAGTAAATATGTTGATGTAATTTTAAACGGAGATTCATTGGATATTTCTTTACCTCCATTCACTGGTATTATGAAACAAAGATTTAGTGATTTTATTGTTCATGAAATTGATAGAAATGGAAAGGTTATTTATTTGACAAGTACAGAAATTCCTGAGAGTATCAAGGATAAAAGATCAAAGGATATTGATTTGGATCCAGAAGCTAAAAAGGAAAATGAAAGAAAAGGAATTGAAGAATTTAAATCAATTATTTCTGATCAAACAATTGTTGCTGGTATTGAAGATTTCTTACAAAAGCATCAAGAAACTGAAGATTCACTTGTTGAAATTGTTAAACAAAGAAAAAAGATTGAAGAAGCTGATGTTCCAACACATTTAATTAAAGAAAATGATAAGAATAATAGATCAAAGATTCACAACATTATCAAGGAACATTTCAGTCATGTTATGGTTTCAGATACTTTAAATAAGGATAATGATCAATATGTTAGATTGAGATATCAATTCCAAAGTTTCACTCTTCAAACTTTATTCTTGAATAATCAAAATAATAGTAAAGCCAAGAAGAGAGAAAAGAGAGATAACAAAAAGAAGGGAGGAAGAAGAGAACAAAATAATCCAGCAACTCAATCATATTTCGATCCAAGACAATTTGCTTGGCCAAAAGAAAGACCAAATTATATTCAATTTGTTTTATATAAGGAAAATAGTGAAACCACTGAAATTATTGGTGAAATGTGTAGAATTTTGAAATTGAAACAAAAGAATTTCCAAATTGCAGGTACAAAAGATAAGAGAGGCATCACAACTCAAAGAGTTACTGGTTATCAAATTAGTGCTGAAAAATTAATGCAAGTTAATCAAAAATGTCACAAAATGGTTAAAGTTGGTAATTTTGAATATGTTGACAGACCATTGAAACTTGGTGATTTGAGTGGTAACAGATTTACACTTGTTTTAAGAGATTTAAAAATTCCAGAAGGAAGTCCATTTTCAAATAGAAATGTTGAAGATATTTTCAGAGAAAGAATTGAACAACTTAACAAGTATGGTTATATCAATTATTTTGGTATGCAAAGATTTGGTATTACTTACAATAGTGTTAAGAGAGAATATCATAGTGATTATCCAACTCATTTATTGGGTCAACATCTTTTGAAATCCAATTGGAAAACTTTAGCTAAAATTATTTTAATTGCTGGTATTCAAAATGTCAGAGATCAACGTGCTAAACAAACAATTATTGATTTTACAGAAGGAAAGATTTCAGCTGAACAATGTTATAATTCACTTCCAAAATTCAAATTTAATACTGAAAAGATCATGTTGAATTCCTATGTGAAAACATCTGAAAATGATCATTTGGCAGCAATTCAAGCATTACCAATGAATTTATTATCCATGTATATTCATGCCTATCAATCACTTGTATATAATCATATGGTTTCATTGAGAATTGAAAAATATGGATTGAAAGTTGTTGTTGGAGATATTGTTGTTTCTAGAAGTGAATTAAAGAGTTGTGAAGATCCAAAATTAACATTTGAAAGTCCAATTACTAGAATTGAAACTGAAGAACAAGCTCAAAAATACAATATTGAAGATGTTGTAATGAGTATTCCAGGTTATGATATTCAATTCCCATCCACTGAATTTGTTAATAAGGAAACTTATTATAAATTCATGTTAGAAAATGGTGGAATTACTGAAGAAGATTATAAGAAACATCTTTCACAATATAGAACATTTGGTGCCTATCGTTTCATGATTGAAAAAGCAAAAGATATTGAATTTGAATTTAAAGATTACAATCCAGAAACAAACAAATTAGTTGAAACTGATTATGATAATAACATTACAAAGAAACCTTTGGAACAAATTCCATGTGAAAATACCAAAAAGGCAGCTATTATTTCCTTCTCTCTCAACTCTTCCAATTATGCAACCATGTTCGTTCGTGAACTAATTCGTCTTCCATCTGTTATTGATTGGAAATGGATTGAAAGTAATGGAAATCCACAACAACAAGAAGAACAACAAGAACAAGAACAAACAAATGAAGATGATGAAGTTAATGATGAAGAACAATCACTTGCTACTGAACAAGATCATGATGAAACCAATCCACAAGAAGATGTTATTGCTGATGCTAATATGTGTGAATAAATTGGTGGTCCACAATAAACCCTTACTTTATTCGATACAGACAAGTGATTCGAATGACGTTAGAAAAAAAAATATCAAACATTAAAACATTTGTTAGAAGAAACAAGTAGAAGAAACAATAAAAAAACCAGAATCCTGAATCCATAATAGCATTTATTAATGGGGAATATTCTATCATCACTAACATTATCATCATATCATCATCAACATGTTGATTCATCACTATCATCAATAACTACAACAACTACAACAACTATCAATACAAATATCATACATCATCACTATCATCAATGGTTGAATTATCGGAGAAGGATGTAATTGCAATTGCAGTTTCATCAAGTGTTGGTGGAGTTTGTTTATTTTCCCTTCTACTCTCTGTCACTGTCTATTCTATTTATTTATATAGGAGAAGAAGGACAAGTCAACAACAACAACAACAACAACAATCTATACCATCAATGACAACACCTCTATTACAAAATAATAGTAATAATTTAAATAATAATAATTCAAATAATTTAAATAATTTAAATAATTCAAATAATTCGAATAATTTAAAAAAACAAGTAAATTTACAAATAATTAAAGAAGGTATTATAAAATCATGTATTCAAGATAAAGAAGGAATACTTGTTAAAAGTTCTATTGCTAAAGATTTACCAAGATTAGTAAAAAAGACAATTTTATATTTTAATGGAAATGAAACATTTTCAAATATGGAACCAACAGTTAAATCATCACCAAGTAAAGGAGCAGAAGGTGATATTAATTTTGTTTGTTGTAAATTCCTTGCAGAGTTATCAAAATGTGTTAATGGTTCACAAAATGGAGTTATGGAGCTATCACAACAAGATGATCAACATTCCTCTTATGGAAGTAATACAAGTAGTTCATCACATTATAGTTTATTAGCAGTTAAAGGAGATTTAGATATTATTGATACGAGTATGAATGATCCAATGATTGATTTTAAAAGAAGATCAACAAGAATGTTAATGAATACTTTGAATAACATTTCGAATAGAACAAATAGTCCAGATTCTTCCTCAATGATTAATGTTCAAAATTTTGAAACATTTTCAATCTTTTTAAAAGAAGTTTTTGGAGAACAATCACCAGTTGTTAACATTCTCAAATTGTGTAGTCAAACTGCTCTATTCGAAGGTTTAAATCAATTGAGACCTGCACTAATGGATGTTGGAATAATGTTTAAGGATTTTAGAGGTAAAAATTGGACAGTTAAGATTTATACAAATAATCATGAACATTATCTTCAACAACAACAAATGATACTTCCAATAGTTGAAGAGTCAAATTCTCCTTCTATAAATGGAGAATTGGAAGATAATTTTGAATTGCCAACTATAATTCATGAAAGAATTGAACAAGTAATTAACATGCAATTACAAAATTTATTTACATTTACTTATCAATTACAAATTGTAATGGATGAACATTTTCAATCAGTTCATCGAGTTCAATACAAGTTATTGTCAATTGATTTTTCCAAATCAAATTTCCAATCAAGCGAAAAAGAAGAATATGAAGAAAAAATCAAATCTGTTTTTCAAAATGTGAAATTTTAAGAGAATTTTTGTAAACTATCAAATAAACTAAACCTAGGTTTTCTAATACTTATTCTAATTACATTCATTACTTAGTGGAAGCCATGTTTTGACGTTTAATTTGATTTGTTGATTGTTGAGAAAAACTGTTGTGCATTCGTGAATACTTAATTTCATTTAAGAAAGTAAGTGCACTAAATTGAGTTTAAAAGATCAGTCATCAAATGCTAATTGCCTACTGATTATTAAAGCAAATAGTATCCATTCTCAAAATATTGATTACAATCTGGATGGCAGTCTGAATGATATGTTTTCTGTTGTAAAAAGATTCAAGAGGAATGTAAGTGGTTGATGCGTGTTGGAATAACTCACTTCTCTGTATCAATGAAAGAGGCTTTTCATTTAGCGATTGTATAGAACTTGTCGATTGAATAAACGTCACATATTCCTCATTATTTTTCTTGACTAGTTCTTCTAGTAGTTGAAAGAAGTATCTTTCGTTGAATTGGGGTAGTGAATTCCTCAACAACATTTTTGGAATGGTGAGCAGTGACTTGGAGACGAGGGTCACAATAATCTTAAACAATTCATCCTCTTTGTCTTGGGCAAGTGTTTGTACAATATTAGATAAATGGCATTCAAATGAACCTCCTCCAATTATTGCTGAAATTTCTCCTCTTCCAATTACATGTTTTACATGTCTAATACAATTAATTATTTGAAATTCAACTTGATTCAAGTTTTCTTGATTCAATGATTTCAATTGTAGTGTGGAAAATACATCATCATGCATACTATTAGGAAAGTCAAAAGTTAAATCACATTGCTGACCATTATTCTTGAAAATAGTTTTCATGTTTGAAAGACCATAATTATAGTCTTTGAGATTTTCAAAGCAAGTTGCTATTCCAGTCATTTTCAAAATATCAACAAGTTTGAATATCAAATCCATACTATTTGATTGATAGAAAAATACTGAAACGCCTCTTTCATTCAAAATTTGAATAAATCTTCTACTCAGTATGTTAAACTGTTTTCCAACAAGTATAATTACATTACAATCTATTTTCATGGCAATATTTTGATCCAAATCACAACTGAGGATACATATTTTTGATTGATTAACCTTTTCCTGTTGCGAAATTCTTATATTCAAATTCTGAAGTGATTGTAATGTCAAAGAATTTTTAAATAATTTACTATCATCTATCTTTCCCAAAGATTTAGAAATATTTAAATTATATTCAGAAATTAAATGTAAATTCTTAAACCCATTTGATGAATATTCAAACCATTCATAAATTAAATTTTTTAAATGATTACTTTGAATTTGAATATTAATCATTGATTTGATAAAAATTGATAATTCCTCACTCGTTCCAATCTTAATTTTTAATAATGAATTATCTGAATTGTTATTAAACATTCTTTCCATAATTTGATGTAAATAATTACAAATGGTATTAATATTTTCATACTTGTTTCCAAATTCTGAACAAATTAAATCCAACAACTCATAACTCAACACTAAACATGAAATTGTTCCATCACAAAATTCACTCGCAACACCACTAAACAATGATATCAAATATTGTACTATTGGATTATTAGTTTTAATAAATTCTAAAATCTGACTTCCACTCCTCGTAATAATTTGACTCTGATGAACATCAGTAATTAATTTAAATTTACCATTCGGACCAAATGATGAGGAAACCTGATTTACCAACTTGAACAATTCATTTCTAATTTGAATGGTGGTATTATTATTTAATGTTTTCTGATGACTCACTGATAGAACCATCACTGAATTCGGAGAAAGAAATCTCAAGCCTTGATTTTGTTGCATTTTTTCCCGCCCAAATTCCAAAGGCTATTATCCAATCCTAACTTTTCCAACAACATTGTTAACAACCATTATTGAAAATCAATCTTTTAAGAGTATGCAATAACTTTGAATTTCAAACCTCAAGTCATTCATTAAATTACCTTCCAAATAAGTTAGTCAATCGACATCTACCTGATGATTTTGACACAATTCACTGAATCATTCACTTGCAACGCCCACAATATCCAACAGCAAGTCGCATAGTTCACGTCCCAGTATCAAAATCCACAAGCGAAGAGTTTGAACAACCAGCAAAAAAATAACGATAAACGCAAAAGGCTTTTTTCATCATTCTTCTATATTGGCCAATAATTCAATTTACGCGTAGTGTTTAGAATAGATGATGTCGGTTCAATCGATAGTGGGAGGAGAAGGTTCTTCTAGAAGGACCAGAGGATCAATTTATTCTTCAATGATTCTGATCATGTCAATTGTGATGATGATGATGGTCATTTTGATGGGTCAACAGGAATATCATTCTTGTAGTGCTGTTGTGAATCCAACATGTTTTGGTTTTACCAATAGTTCAGGTTTTGAATGTGTTCATCAATTGGGATCATGTATTAGTGATAATACTTGTTTCTTTTCTCCAACAACTTCAATCATTGGAATGGGTAGTAATACCTATTCACAACTTGGTATTACTGCTTCAAATTTTACTGATTATCCAATTAGAGTCAACTCTACGTACAATAGAATTTTCTATATCAGTAAAATGACAATGACTAATAGTTTAGTAACAGACTACAATGGAGATGTGTTAATGTCTTCAACTCAAGATCAAAAATTCATTCAAGCCTCCACTGCACTTCCTGCTTTGACAACTATGAATATTGGTGGTGATTTTCCAATTGCAATTTTAGGAGATGATACCACTACTGCTTTAATCACAACCACTAACAAGATTTATGTTTATGGCGATCAGACAAATAATAATTTGGGTAGAGAAACTCTTGCTGATGAGGTTGTTTCCTCTCCTACTGCTTTGGGTTATCAGAATGTTGTTGATGCTTCTATTTCAAAATTGGGTGGATGTGCAATTCATAGCAATAATGGTGTTGACTTTAATATTACTATTTGGGGACCAGCTGCTAAAACCATGTCCAATGGAGTTGGTTATTTAGCATTGACTAATCAAGCCATTAATAATGATAATTCTCGACCATTTGTAAAATGTGAAATTATTTCTGCTAAGAATTCAAGTGGTTATGATGTTCCAGCAGTTTTTGTTATGGATGATTTGGGTAATTTGTACTCTGGTGGAGCCAGAAGTAATTTGGAAGGTTGTAATCCAACCATCAAAAATGCATGTGACTTTGGTGAATGTTTTGCTGCTCAAAAGATTTTATCAAGTGTAGATTCATTCAAGTGTTCAGCCACTCATTGTGTTGCTGCAATTAATGGTACAGATATTTATGTTTGGGGAAATAACACAAATGGTCAACTCGGTAATTCTGCCTATCTCCAAACACCAACAAGGATTCAAGTGTTTACTCCAGAAACTATAATTCAAGTAACTGCTACTAAGAAAAATATTTATGCATTAACTGAATCTGGTTTTATTTATGGTATTGGTAGTAATGAAAAAGGTCAATTGGGTCGTTCTCCATCTACTTTCCTCTCTAGAACCTATTTCACTAAAATTGTAATTCCAGATCAAAGAAGAAAGATTTGGCATATGGCTGATGGTCCAAACAGTGAACATTTGTTGGCCTTTACTGGCTTCAAATGTGCATCTCAATACTCAGGTGGTGATTGTTCCACTCCTCTTTTCAACTGTGCAGGTTATGCTCCAAGCGATTCTGCTGTTTGTGGAGGTAATGGTATTTGTGCTGATACTGATTATTGTATCTGTTCTTCTGGATTTATTGGTCAATTCTGTAACACTACAGTTTCATCAGCTTGTTATGGAAAGCCAACAAATTTGGCTTGTAGTAACAGAGGTTCTTGTATTGGTGTTGATAATTGTCAGTGTGCCTCACCATTCACTGGCAACCAATGTGAATTGTTCCAAAATGATTTTAATTTTGTTGCAAATTTCTCACAATTACCAAACTCAAAGATTTATGATAACTTTAATATTTCTAATCTTGTTATCACCCCTACACTTGGTATTTCCAACCCAGCTTATAATACTATTTGGGCCTATACTCAATATACCTCAAAGCTTTATTTGACAGGTCCATCTTCATACAGTTGGCAAGGTAGTCAATTATCATTCGATAAGAATTTTGTTACCAATTTGAAACCAGGTTATTATGTTCTCAAATCAGAAAGTATTGCCAATGTTACCAATCAAATAATTGTTGTTAACAATACTTTTACATTTGAAAAGGTTTCTACATCTTTAACAAATCCACTTACATTAGATCAAACAGGTGTAATCTATGTATCACAGTTTGCATCTGTTGTTGTTTCAGCACTTATTACTGACCCAACCTTTGATGCCTCAACATTTGATTATGACTGGCTTTCCAGTAATGATCAAGCTAATTATGTTTCTGTCAAAGCATCCACATCTATTGTCAATAATAATAAGATTACTTTTACCAATCTTGCATCTCAACTCCTTCCATCAAACTTTGCTGGTACCAATCACACTGTTTTTTTCAAAGTAACATACAATAGATATAGTGGCGACTCCAATTCATTTAGTGCTTATTTCACAGTTGTCATCAGTACAAAGGCCTATGCCCCAACTATTGCTCTAACTAGATTCCCATTTAGCAGTTATTTGTCAACAACAAGAGCAACAAGTCTTTCAGCTGTTTTGACCTTCACTGAAACTATTCCTTCAGATTTGGTTATTAGTTACTTGTGGACCTGTGATAAATTTACTATTACAGATGCCACACAAGCTGCTTTAATTATCTATCCAGCTCAATTGACCATTGATACTTCATACCAATTCTCCCTGACTGTCACTGTATCATACAAGGGAGATGTTAACACATATGTTTCTACTTTAAATATCAAAACTCCACCTGCTTTACCAACATATTCTGTTAATACTCAAATACTCAGCATTTCTCCAAGCGATGGTAGTGGTGTTGCTCTCCTCACCTCTCACAATATCACAGTTGCTCCTCTTCCAGTTTCTGATACTAGAATTCTCAAGTATACTGTCAGATATTCTTTCAATGCAAGTGATGCTGCATCCTTTAAAGATTTATTATCTCTCAGTTCAACAATTTTGAATGATAGTGCTTATCTTCCATATGGTACTATGACACTTCAAATCTACATTGAAGACGAATATGGAAACAAATTGACAGCTGGCAACTTGGCTGTTTCAACTCAAAATATTGACTTTAGTTCACTTGCTAATATTATTAACACAAGAGATTTGTCTTTGAATCAAATTGAAACTACAGCAACAACACTCAATTCTGCTGCTGACCAAGATACTAAATCCCTAAGAGAAAAACTTTCAGAAATTCTTATAGCCAAACTTAATGGTCAATCTTCTTCGACAAGTCAAGCTATTTTGAGTATTTCTCAAAAACCTTCAGATATCACTGCTAAAACTTCTCAACTCCTTGTTTCTGGTGTTACAACTTTGGGAGGTAATCTCAGATCAATTTATGCAGCAGGTGGTGAAGCAGATAAAATAGCTAGTGCCTTGACTGGTTCATTGTCAAACATTGTTGACAACAAGAATATTACTACAAATGAAACCAATAAGGATATTACCAATTCTTTGGCTTCTATCTCAAGAGAACTTGCCAAGATTTTACTTCCATCCCAAACCTTGTCAATCAGCTCTAATAATTTCAATATCCTTGTTTTTGGATCTTCCTCTACAAAATCCAGTAATTATACTATTGAAGGATCATCAATTGGTACTCCTGACAACTTTGATGAATATCTTTCTGGTGCCACTTCATCACTTAACTCTGCCTCTAAGGCCTATGGTGTTGAACTTGTCTACTACAAATCTTCATTGTTTGAATCAGTTGGAAAAGCCTCTAACAGTACAAGATCTAGTAATATTTTATCATTTGTTGTTAGTGCCTCCACATCATTTGGTAGTGAAAGTAGATCGACAGTTTCTATCAAGGGATTGACGAAACCTTTGGTGTTTACATTTACTGTAGCTAATGGTTCTACAAATGGATTCGAATGTAAATTTATTGACGAAATTAATAATTATTGGAGTACAGATGGTTGTTCCTCTTTGATCCTCAATGACAACACTGTACAATGTTCATGCAATCACGCAACTAAATTCTCTACATTCAGATTATTTACTCAAGTTGTATCCCAAGAAGAATATCTTGGAAGTACTGGTATTAGAATTGTCAATGTTATTTTTGGTGCTATTTATTTCTGTCTAGCTGCTTTGGTGTTCATTGCTTTGATTATTCTCAGAAACATCAATCCTGTAAGATCAAGATACATTGGTCCTTACATTGGTTTGATTGCAATTATGGTTGACTCATTGATCATTTCATTCATCCAAAATATTGTAGTTTTATCTTTGGATAAGGGTATATCCAATTCAACTGCCGATATTGCCAATATTAGAAGAATCAGCGACGGTTTTAACTATTTCAATGTAATCCTTGTCATTCCTCTTTACTTGACCGCTTTCTTCACTTTCTTGGTCCAAATTGTTAGATACTTTATCAAGAGACACATGTATGAATTCATGTCAAATAAGGTTCTTTTCAATGCTCAAATTTATAGAGCTATTACTTCCAAGATTGCCTTTTGGGTTACCTTGCTTTCTTCTTTGGCAATAATTATGGCTTATTACACCATTTGGGTTGGTTTGGGAGGAGGAAATGTTTTCGTTGTTAGTACAAACACTGCTCAACAAGATAAGGAAAGAATGACATTTACATATATTACTTCCCTTTCCTACTTTGGTCTTGCATGGATAATTGCTATCTGTATGGTTGTTATTGCAGCTTGGGATCTTTTCTACATGAATCGCCATTTATTCACTTCATGTTGTTATTCTCAAGAAGATTTGTTGAAGAAATCCTCTAGCAATCTTAATCAAACTAGAAATAGAGTTGAAAAACTTCTCAATATGTTATCTAGAACAAAGAAACAAAAAGTTCAACTTGGAAAGTCTGCATGGTTGACTGTCCCTCAAGTTTACTACTTTACCGATGACAATTTATATTTCAGATTGGAAATTCACGTCTTTATTACAGCCTTTGTTTTCCTCACCATCAACTATCTTGCTGGTATTGCTGATATTTCAGTAATTTCAGTTGGATTAACCAATGCTGGATCCCGTTTGGCTCCTCAAATTGTTTCCCTAATTGCTGGTATTCTCTACACATTCTGTTTGATTGCTGCTTTTGGTGGTGTGATTGTTGTCTCTTACCTTACTGAAAGACGTAGAAAGCAGTACCATAAGGATGTAGCTCCTCAATCAAAGATGGATGAAGATGAATTGAACATTGTATTGAGTGATAGATTTGGTAAACCATTGTTTGTTGAATTCTGTCAAAAAGAATTCTCACTTGAAGTAAGTTTTGGAAATTTTAATTTTATTAACACATTTAAATAGAATGTTTATTTCTATGATGCAATTACTGATTTCCTTAGAAGTGCTGATTCTAAATCAGATGCAGATGTTAAGAATTCCATTTCTGACATGTTTGAAAAGTATATCAAGACTGGTTCTGAATATGAAGTCAACTTGCCTAGCGCCTCAAAGAAGGCCTTTATCACAACACACGAGTGTTCACAACCATCCTCCAAGATGGTTAAGGATATGTTGGACAATGTAATGATTTCAGTCATGTACAATTTGAAGGATACTTACAGTAGATTCTCAATGACTGAAGAATACAAGCTCTACCAACAAAGTAGAGACAACATCAGTATGTTGGAAAACAACTTCTTGTAAACAAGCAATTAAGAGTTAATAAATCTAAATTTCATTCAATAAATGTTAAGCAATGAAATTGTGACTAACAATCTAACACACTCGAAATTTGGCGCCTAAATTTTCCGTTTTTTAAATTTGAAAACAAAACGTTAACATAAGTTTCCCGCCAATCATCTTTAAACAAAACAACAATCAAAAAAATGTCCACACTCACGCCAAACAACTACTTGAAGCGTAAGCGAAGTGATGAAAACTCACCAACGGACCAAGAGAATGTAAATCCTAACAAGAAGACTAGTAAAATCCCAGTACTAAAACACTCTAATAGCTCCTCCTCTCTCAACTCATCAACACTTTCCACCAACAAAACCACACCAGTTAAACCAACCTTACCAACAAGAACCAATTCAATCCGAGCAAATGCCACTTCTAAGATTAATATGCCAAAGCCTACATCTACACCTTCCACTAGAGTCTCACACTATCAAAAAACTACACCAAATAGTACAAATCCAAATGCCAGACAATTCGGTTCTGTCTCTGGTAGAATGCTTGCTCCAGGAAGAACAACCCAACAACAACAGCAGCAACAACAACAACTTCAACAACAATCGAAGGTTGAACTTGAACAAACCAAGTCTCAACTTTCACTTGTTTCCGAAGAAAATAACCACCTCAAGACTAAAATCGATGAACAAACCAATCAACTCAAAGATTTGGGTCAGTTAGAAGAAAGAACAAAGTTCCTCTCCACTCAAGCAAACAAATTCCAAGAAGAAAACTTCCAATTGAAGTCTACAGTCACATCCCAAGAAATTGAAATTAGTGCCATGAAAGGTGTTCAAGAAAGATTACAATCTGATAATATTGATTTGAGAGTTAAAGTCAGCTCTTTGGAAAAGGAAGTCTCAATGGAAAAGAAGCAAGCAGAAATGGACAAGGCCACCATTAAAATTCAATACGAAAGTGAGCTTAGAATTCAAAAAGAAACATTCGAACAGCAAATTACTGAAATTACTGAAATTAAGGATAAAGAGCTTTCTCTCACTAAAGACAGACTCACTAGGGAAATTACCAAGTACAAAACTGATTTGGAAAAGACTCAATTTGACTTGAGCTTATCAGTTGAAGATGCCAACTCCAAAGCAGAAAAGATTAGATCTCTTGAAGAAATTATCAGACAACAAGCAGAAGATATCAAATCTCTTGAGAGTAAGAGACATAAGGATGAAAATGAAAGAAGAAGATTACACAATCTCATTCAAGAACTTAAAGGTAATATCAGAGTTTATTGTAGAGTCAAGCCTGCCCAAAACTTGAAATGTATAGATTATCCAGAAAATGATGTTGATGAAAGATCCATCAGTGTTCAAGAGGAATCCAGAACATCTGCAACTGGTGCTTCAGTTGATGGCAAGAAGGCCTTTTTCGAATTTGACAAGGTATTCAAACCAAACTCAAAGCAAAGTGAAATTTTCCACGAAATTTCTCAACTTGTACAAAGTGCACTTGATGGTTTCAAGGTTTGTATCTTTGCCTATGGTCAAACTGGTTCTGGTAAGACTTTTACTATGGAAGGTCCACCAAGAGATGTAATCTCAAAGCTTGATATTGAATCACAAAAAGAAGTTGTTGGTATGATTCCAAGAAGTGTTGACCAAATCTTTGAATCAGCTGAAAGACTCAAAGAAAGAGGATGGACTTTCTCAATCGTTGCTAGCTTTGTAGAAATTTACAATGAAACTATTAGAGATTTGTTAGACTCCACAACTAAGGACAATGTAAAACATGAAATTAAGCATACTAAAGATGGCTCTACATCAGTAACTGGTATCAAATACGTCAACGTTTCTGGTCCACAACACGTTCAAGATTTGTTAAAGATTGCTTCCAAGAATAGAGCTGTTGCAGCAACTCAATCAAACGATAGATCTAGTAGATCACATTCTGTCTTTACTTTGCAAATTACAGGAAGAAATGATATCACTGATCAAACAACTCAAGGAGCATTGAATTTAGTCGATTTGGCAGGTAGTGAAAGAATTGGTACCAGTCAACCAGCTAACGGTGAAAGAGTTAAAGAAACCCAAAACATTAATCTCAGTTTGACATGCTTGAGTAATGTTGTAAATGCTCTTTTGAATAAGTCATCACATGTTCCATACAGAGACTCTAAATTGACCTACCTCCTTCAAAATTGTTTAGGCAAAGATGCCAAGACTTTGATGTTTGTTAATATTGACCCAGATAATGTAAATGAATCTCTTCAATCACTTCGTTTTGCTGCTAAGGTAAATTCATGTGAAGTTAATGCCTCAAGAAAGGTAAAGTAGAGAGTGGATCCTACTTTATTTATAAAAAATTAATTTATTAACTATTGTTTTTGGCTAATGAGTAATAACTTGTCCTTGTACACAGATAATATAACTAATGAACCTGTACAATATTAGCCTTCAAATCATCATTACCAAGATAACAAGTTTGTGTGCATCAATTTGATTGAGTTGCTGCAACAAGTGCACTTGCATAGAAAGTGTGAAACCTTGATGGTACCAATTAAAAATGAGGTTGATGATGGCTGGAAACACTTTAAAAAATACAACAACATCCCTCCCGCGATCACGCCGGTGCAACAAATTCTTCATCATCAATTTCCATCTAGAAAATCTGAGTAAACATTGTATGTTTAATTGTATAACCTTAGATTTATAATATTAATAATAATTTATTGTATTTTTAAAATTATAGTATATCCATCATGACTGAATTAACACCACAACAAATTAGTGTCAGCTTTGTTACTCAATATTACTTTATTTTGTCATCAAATACTAAAAACCTTTTCAAATTTTACAAGACCGAATCTGAGATGACTCATGAACACTCAACTGTTGTTAAGCAATTACCCGGAAATATTAATCCTAATGCAGCAGTTGGAGTTGATAATATTGAAAAGAAGATTTCAACCCTAGGCTATGAAGAATGTAAAGTCAAATTGACCTATGTTGACTCACAACGCTCATTGAATGGAGCTGTTTTTGTTTTTGTAGAAGGTGTTATGACAAGACAAGTTGACCAAAAGGAAATGAATTTCACTCAAACTTTCCTTTTGGCTGAACAAGAAAATGGATACTTTGTTAGAAATGATTATCTTCGTTTCATTCCTGATACATCTAACATTCCAACCACTGTTCAAGCTACTCAAAGCAATCCTCCACTTGCTGAATCATCAACCACTGCTTCTGTTTCCAGCACTTCAAGCAGTGAACATCACTCTAAATCACAAAATGGTCATCAATTATCCTTCTCTCTTAATCCATCCACTGTTAACATTGTTTCCTCTACTACCAACGGTTCTCACTCTCCAAGAAGTGAAGCCAGTTCAACTGCTGCTACAGCTGGTGCCAGTTCTGTTTATGGTGGAGCAGAAGAAAATCAATTAGATGATGAAGCTGAGGAAGAAGAAATTACAGTAGTTGAAAAGCCACAACAAAATCAACAACCAACTCAAGCTAAATCAACTACTAGTGTACCTGCTGAAAATAAGGAACCACACGGAACAATTTCTTATGCTGCTGCTGCTAGTGGTAGAGATTATAAGAATGAATCATCTGAACAAACTCAACCAAAACACAAGTCTGGAAAGAAACACAACAAGGAAAATAAGGAACACAAGACTGAACAACACAAGACCGAAAACAAGGAACACAAGACTACCACTGAACAACAACAACACAATAAGGAACACAAAGAACACAAGGAACACAAAGATCACAAAGAACACAAGGAACATAAGGACCACAAGAATGAACATCATAAGAATGAACACAAGAAACCAGCCACTGCTCCAGTAACTGGTGAACAAAAGCAAGTATCAGCTGAAAAGAAGGAAAAGACTTTCCGTGGAAAGGATCATCCACTTAATAAGCATGCTATCTATGTTCGTGATCTTCCTGTTGGCACTAAGGATAGTGATTTGAAGGAAGCTTTTGCAGCTTATGGTAGCATTATTGATATTAACAACAAGTCTGGTAAGGATCAATCATACAATAAGTATGCTTTGATTTTCTTTGAAAAACAACAAAGTGTTGATGAAGTATTGAAGAATCCAGCTGTCTCAATCAATAATCACCAATGTCCAATCACAAAATACCAAAGAAAGCCAAAACAATACCCAAGAACTCCAAACCAACCAACATCTACAACCACCACCAGTACACCAACAAAGACTGAGACCACTACTACTCCTGTCACCAATAATACTCAACAACCACGTAATAATAATAACAATAATCGTGCTCCAAGACAAAAGTATACTCGTGCCACCAGTAATGAAAGTGAATCAGAAAAGAAGTAAACCTAAAGACATTAGAAAATGGCTGAAATTAAATTGTAAAAACAAATGTAAACAAAATCAAAGAAGAAACAAAATTTTGCAGAATTAGGACTAATTCTTTTCGAAAGTAAATCATTCAATATTAATTTTCTCTATTTCCTTTGTTCTAAAGCTTTGTTCTAAAAATCGTTCCAAATCATACTGAAATTCACATTTGAACATTTCAAAAATAGAATACCATAATATTGTGAATATTAAAAGTAAATTACATGTTAGGGATGGGAAAGTCCTATTGTGAATGAGGCATGTAGTGTAATTCTAACACCACGATCAGCTCATTTATCTGAAGTGTTGGTGGCGTAACTCCATCCATGCCTTTTTACATCTGCAAAACTTTTTCTTTTGGTAAGCAAATGAGTTTGTTTTATTGAGGGCACATGTTTTCAAAATTAAGACAAGAAACCAACAATCAACACGAACCAATACAACGACACTGGTGGAAATTCTTGAGAAAAGGTTTTCAGGCATAATTGAGTCAACTACCACAACACTGCCTTGGAGTTTGGCTAATTTTAAAAATGCATGGGGCAATCCGGAGTGCCCTGTCTGTAGGGTATTGTCATTGTATTGAATAACTGTGATATCTGAGATATTTCCAAATAAAGAAGGTATTAAAAAATATTCGAATATTTTATACAAGCTCCTAAATGTATGAGAGCAAGCTGTAGAATTGATGTAACTGAGTCAGGTGATATTTGAGTTGTTTCCACCATTTCATTAAAAATTTGAATAGCATCTCTTCCTCTTCCATTTTTACCCAATCCATGAATTAAGGTAGTCCAGAGAGAAACATTAATCTTTGATCTACTTTGAGATTTGAGAGTATTAAATGTCAACAGTGCTTTTTCTATTTCTCCAAACTTGGTAAGCATTCTTAATAACACGTTCATAGCATTTACATCATTATTCAATTTGTTATTGTTCAAAATATTATCGAACAAGTTCATTCCTATCGCTTTGTCGTTTGATCGTATACATGCAGAAAGAAGTAAAATATTAATGGATGGATTATCTTTGATTCCAATAATAGTATTCATTAGTATGAATACTTTATCAAAATTGTTTTTCTTCAGAGATGCTTTAATTAGACGTCCATAATGACTTACATTTGGGTTAATATTAAACCTATCCTTCATAGAATTAAGCAACTCTTCTGTTGATTTAATATTTCCAGAACTTGCATAGGCATCCTAAATTTTTAGTATGGTTGCTTCATTAGGGTTTAAAAAGTATGAAATAGCTCAAAAGCTCTGTTTGTCTTATTGTTCTTTACAAAACCTGAAAGCATGTTATTCCAAGAGACAATATTCTTCTCTTTCATTTCGCAGAAAATAGAATAGGCAATATCTGGTTTTGAGTAATTACAATAAAATGATATTCACTCTCGAACACTTCTGGAAACCCACAAAGTTGTCTCAAAGTAAAATTCCATGTTATTTTTATCTTTCCCTTGTTTTTTTGTTTCCTTATCAATGATATCAAATCTTTACAATACTCCAAAGGTTTCATATCATTGCTTTTAGAATTGATAGCTGATATCATTGAAACTACCAAAGAAATAGAAACATCGCCTTTTTGCTTTAGGATTTCATACATTTCCAAACATTGTTCCTAATTATACCCTTCGGAAGGTTTGGGATGTTTTTTGAATTGATAAAGTGCTTGATCTAATTTTTTCTCTTCCACCAATTTCCTAACTGTTGTGTTGTATAGTGAAGAAATAGATAATGTTGTTAGATTCCGAAAGCTAATCATTTCTTTTATTCAAAAATAATTTAACCCATGTAAACAATTTGAATTCATTATTGGTGGATATTGTTTGAGAAGATTTGAAATCTAGTTCATTATTTGGAGGTAATTTTAAGGATTCAACATTTCCTAGTTTTACAATAAAAAGACTACAGCACCACAGGTTCCCAAGTTGTCTCCAACCTCAGTACTGATGTGGCTCGACGATGCTTAACTTCTCAAATCGGACGGGATGAGGTGCATTCATCGTGATATGGCCGTAGCCATTCAATACCTTAATCTGCCTCCTTTCAACAATCTCGGGAAAAGCAAAAGATTAAGTTAAATCCTTCATTCTCAATTTTAAATAAACATCAACTCTATAAAAGCATTCAATATTAACTGCCTCGACTCTTTACAATGAATATTCAAACAAACTATCTTCTTTCCATAAAAAAATAATAATATCAATTATTATTTCCAAATTCCGTAAAAAGATATGAGTCTAGACTTTTCAGTGCATTTACAATATGTGTGATTGTAAGAGAAACTACCAATTTCGTACTTCCTAAAGTTAAAATCGTTGTATTACGATATGAATCTAACTGTAAATCAGGCGGCAACAATATTGGCAATATTAAGCAACATACAAAGAATCCAAATAAATCGGTTTGAACTCTTGATAAAGTTACGGTATTGAAGAAACACAAAGGTTGTATTTCATTGCAATCAATTTCATTATCCATTAATCATATCAAAGAGTTCGATATTAAATATTTATCTAAGGAATGGGTAGTGGCTATCAGATACTACATATTTGTATAATTTTTGAATATTCTTTTTGTTAAAGGGTTTTCACGAGTTGAATCTTTTTAAGACGGTGCAGTCCAGAAGGCAATATTTTGCTACCCACCACTGATAGAGATCTTACACCACTTGCTACCAATTTGGACTTTGATTACGGTTTTGGCTAAGATCTCCGCCCGTCATCATGTTGAGAAGACAAAAACAACAAAAAGTGTTGTGTTTTACAACAACTTGAAACCTCCAAAACCAATATTCATTCACTGTATTGCTGTTAGTTTAAATAAGATATTCAAAGTATTGGTGTTGAAAGGTTAATCTTCATCCCTACCTATTGAAAACATACATTTCCGCACCAAGGTATTCCAAACCAAAACCAAGAACCGAGAAAGGTTGTTTGTTTTTGAAATTGTTCCAAGGCTTTTTCCCTGATAAATTCACTTGAACAAGCGTATCACAGTACACGCTCCAAACAACAACCAAAAAAATAATACCACCAAAACTCAGACTTTGTAGTAGCAATCAATCGCTGGGCAATATTAGTGTTGTTGGTCATCCGTTGAGACGAGAGAGGGAAACAGCAGCATCATAATTAATCTCCTTGCTAAAACTTACATAAGATTGACCATAATCTTCATCATCTTTGTATTCTACAAAATACACATTTTATCATCATCAAAAACAGTAACTTTTTGATTCTGTTATCATCATTAAATAGACCAATTTCATATTGGATATTATTGTAGAATAGTATTATATAGATAATTGTTATTAATCTATCACTTGATCCTAATTTATTTAATTTAAATCTATCAATGATGTATCAGCCAACAAAAAGTAAATACGAAACATTGCACAATCATGATGCAGTACAAGGAAACAGCAAACAATCATCAAACTTACTGCCATCACTTCAAAATTGCAATAAGAGCAAACAACCTTGTATTTGCTCAACTACAACTTCAACTTCACAAATTCAATCAAATATTTACCTCCAACAACAACCTTCCCGATCTAATGGTTATTTCAGTAATATGGACCATATGATTAATAGTAATTCATCCTATCAATTGTACAGACAACATTCCTTCTTAGATTCAGTCCTTACTTCCAACAATAACAATAATGGACTTCTCGAGCATGATAACACATTTCCAGATAATTATTCTACCAACATTCCAGGTACTGAACAAATATTAATGATATTAATGTGCAATGGTATGACCCCTGAATTCGATCAATTTAATGGTAAATTCAAAACTCCAACCTACAAGTACAGTACAAATAGATTAAGAACAGAAAATTTAAACACCAACAGTAGCAATGGTACAACACCATCCTCTTCTTCTTCCACAACACCATCCTCTAGTATATCCTCCCCTAATTGTAATGATAATCTTAAATCTCACCTTGAGAGCTCAAATACAATAACAATCATATCCAGAGAAGATATTTGCAACGTGAATGCTACTTGTAATTCTCCACAAAGAGAATCAATCTCTAGTAACAATCAACAATATCTTTCAGAATCTTCAAATAAGCTTGATGAAAACTTAACCCTTCCTCCTTCTCCATGCGTTTCAGACATTTCCGAATCGGAACAAGTTAAAATTCCAGAAGAAATAATTTTCCAACAAATGACCACCACCACTCCTACGACAGACCAAAACCTCATTCCTCACAAGATTGAATCTGTTATCCATGGTTCAACCGAATCATGTCGTATTTCTGATAGTCATGGCGAAACTACCGATGAATCCAGTGATGAAGAGGATGCTCCAAAAGCAAAATATCCAAAAAGAGAAGCAAGAGACCAACAAAAAACAATGAAACAAGACCTATCACTTGATTCTGCAGAATCATCTGGTTTTGTTGTTAAACCTACCAGGACTTACAGTTTCAGAGATGCCACTATCTATATTCTTTCTCAAATTGGTAAACCAATGACCGCAGTTGACATTACTAAGAACATATTTGATAACAAGATGGTTAAAAGCGCAGGAAAAACTCCTGAAAGAACTGTTGCAGCCATGATTTATCAAGAAATGAAAAAGAAGAAAAACACCTCTGAGTTTGCTTTATTTGGCTCTGGTCTCTTTGGTTTAAGTGCTTGGAAGAGTGATGACCACACAAGCCAAGATACTGCCAGTGTTTCCACTGACGCCTCCTTGTCATCAGTTGACAGAGCTGATAAGAAGAAAAAGGAAAAGAGGAAAAAGAGGAAACTTGCTACTAAACCAGAGAAGGAATCAGAGCTTTCAGAAGCAGAAAGTGATAATGGGATGTCCGTTTCAAAAAGAAAACCTAGAAAAATGCACAAACACAAACAAGCTTGTTCTTCTTCAAGTGAGGAAACCTCAATGACAGATTCTGAAGAAACAACAAGTAGTAAGAAGAGAAAACACAATGAATCAGAAGAAACAGCAATTATTATGACAGAGGAAGCTCTTTTCAAAACCTACATTTCCAAACTCAAAAAGAAGGATCAAACAGAATCCGATGAAGATGAATGTTTTGTTTGTAAGAATGGTGGTGATTTGATTTGTTGTGATTATAGAGGATGTAGAAAGGTTTATCATGCTTCATGTGTTGGTCTTAAAGAAGTGCCTCAAGGAGATTGGATTTGTCCTCATCACTATTGTGCAGAATGTAAAAAGAAATCATTCAGGAGCAAATCTTCTAAGAAGTGTTTCAGTTGTCCATATAGTGTTTGTGGTGAACATGGTTCTCTATTGAAAGATAAGATAGATAACGACAAGTATGTTTGCACAAAATGTAAACCAATGTGTGAGAACATTAAATAATTTATTTCACTTTACAATTTCAAATTTGATCTTATTGTTATCTGATTGTTGTTGGAATATCCCACCAATGGACATTGAGAGTGATAACAAGTCAATCACGACTTTCTCTCAGCGCAAGGAAAGAACAGTACTTATGGTAGGTACCTTCATATTACTGTGTGACAAATATCAACATTTACAGAGTTGTTCCAAACTCTTTGGACTAGCATTGCCAAAATCCGACCACCTTTCCAGTTTGACATTTAACAAACACAAAAAAAATTATGAAGAAACTCTTTTCCCGTACACCTAGCTTTCGTCCAAAATTTTCCAGTAGAATTGATAGCCATGAACAAACTGATGCTCTTGTAGGAGATGTTTATCCTGGTCCTCATACAACTAATGGTCAATCATCAATAGTTAATAGTGCACCACTTAGTTCAACTAGTACTAATTCTCTTAACTCCACCACAATCAAATATATGTTATTTGGTGGAGAACTTGATGATTCAGATCCAAACAAATTACCACAATTTATTCTTGATACCATTGATTTCCTTCTCAAATATGGTCTAGAAGTTGAGGGTATCTTTAGAGTTTCAACTCATGAGACTAGAAAAGCCGATTTGATCAACAAGATGAATGATCGATATGCTAAAGAGAAGGATCCACACAAGAATTGTACATTTACATATAATGGTACAAATAGTGATGAAGTTTATTTTGCCTCTGCTGTTTTAAAACATTACTTTAGAAGTTTACCAACTCCACTCATCAAACCACAATTTTATGAAACTTTCATGTTGACAACTAAATGTAGAGATCAGGAAAGAAAAGACATGTTAAAGAATGCTGTCAGATTGTTACCTGTTAATTATTTTACTTTATTGAAAAAGATTTCAGACCTTTGTTTTGAAATTTCAAAACACAGCTCATCAAATAAGATGACATGCGAAAATTTATCCGTCTGTTGGACTCCTAATTTATTAATGTATGTTATTCATATTATTCATTTATTATTCATTTAGTGATTCAATATGATCTCAATAATTGTAAATGAATTGATCATTCATGGATCAATAACTCTCTTCAAATTGTTAAATCAAATAGTAATAATAATATGGATTTTATGGAACAAATGAAGAGAACAGGTGATGCTCAAAATGTAATTGCAGCTCTTTTCAGAGATTGTAAACAAATCTTTGAAGACGAAGAAGAGGTACCTGTTAGAAATGTAGAAAGAAAACGATCAGCAGCTCAAACTAAGAAATTCTTTTTGGGACTCACTTCACAAACTTCTCAAGAAGGAATGGCAGTTTACAATGGAGAAAAGAATGAAAATGGAGAGAAACATGGTCGTGGTATTTTAATGTTACCAAATGGTTCAGTATTTGAAGGTGAATTTAGAAATAACAGTTATGCAAATGGTAAATTGGTTTATGTTACAGGTGAACAATACGAAGGAAAGTTTATTGATGATTTGCCAGATGATGATAATGGTGTTTTCCGTTTTGCAAACATGTCAGTTTACACTGGTCAAGTAAAGAAAGGCCAATTGACTGGAGTTGGTGAATTGAAATACAAAGATGGTGGTATTTACAAAGGATCATTTGTAAATGGAAAGAGAGAAGGAAAAGGAAGTTTTGAATTTTATGAAGGAAATCAAAAAGTTAGACATTACGATGGTGATTGGGAAAATGATTCAATGAGTGGTCAAGGTACCCTAATTAACACAACTATTCAACAAGTTTATACTGGTCAATTTAAGAATAATGTTTATCACGGACAAGGTGTTTTAATTTCTGGTTTAGAACAAAATAGATGTGAAGGTGAATTTGAGAATGGTGTTGTAAAGAATGGTTCTGGAAGTTTCACTTCACTGAATAATGAATTTATTCAATTTGAAGGATCATGGAAGAATTGTCAATTCACAGGTAAAATTAAGATTTTCAATTTCCAAACCAGATCATTAGAATTTGAAGGTGATATGATTGACTCTAGAAAGAATGGTTTCGGTAAATTAGTTTATTCAGATGGATCATATTATGAAGGTCAATTTAATAATGATGAAATGACTGGTACAGGTTCATTTGTTGATTCTGATAGAGTTTACAATGGTCAATTCGTTAAAAGTTTATTCCATGGTAAAGGAAAGTTAAAGGCAACTTTCAAATCTAAGGATTATGTTTTTGAAGGAGAATTTAGAGAACACCAACCATATAATGGTGTTGGTTCAGTTGTTGTGAGTAGAAAAACTGGAGATTATTGGGATGGTGAATTTAAGAATGGAAAGTTTAGTGGAAAGGGTCGTCTCACATTTGAAGATGCTTCTGTTTATGAAGGTAATGTTAAAAATTCACTTTGTGAAGGAAAGGGTGTTGTCACCTATCCAGATGGATCAATTTATTCTGGATCATTCTCAAATGATGAAAGACATGGTCCTGGAACACTCACTATTAAGGATGGAGATGAGAAGGATTTCATGATTGTCTCAATTAATCAAGTTTGGGATCATGGTGTTTTAGTTTCACAAGAAGAACCTCAATCACCTGCTACATTGGATGAGAAGGAATCTCTAATCTTTTCATTCCTTGACTCATTAGAGAAGGAAGAACCTCTGAGATTTGGACCACTTGTTGGTAAAGAACAACGACCTTACATCTCAACTGCCTTAACAAAAGCAAAGGAAAATCCAAATACTTCAATCTTGTATGAAATTCTCTATCAACTCTCAAAATGCAGGCGTTAACATGTTGACAATAAAAGTAAAAATCCAAACATTGTAACAATATTTCTCAATTTCAAATACTTGATGATGATTCAAATTTTCGGAAATGTTCATCCATTGATTCAAATTTTGATTTTTCAAAGTTAAAAATAAAACCAATCAAATAACAATCAAAAAAATGAATCATCAACATCTCTCAAAATTTGCTCAACCATCATCACTGATGAGAGTGTTCAGTGCTGGTACTAGAAAATGTAAAGGCTTTTCTCTTGTTCAATCATCTTCTTGGATTAATAATAGGAAATTCCAATCAAATAATATTAGACAATTTTCATCAACAAGTTTGAATAGGAATGAAAAACAAGCAAGACAAGATTTGTATTCCTATGAAGTTTATGCTCTTCCGACAGAAAGAGATTATGATAGAATGATTCCGGATAGTGTTGAAGATAAACAAACTATTGTTGATTTGAATATGGACATTAGAAATGTATTAAATTATGTTCTTTTCTTGGCTTGTGATAAATATTCAGCAGAACGTTTAAAAGGATATCAAGAACATAAATTTAGTTTTGGAAAGGATAGACTTGTTAGTATTTTACAGTTAGCTCATGATGATTCAACTAGTCATTCAGGAAAAAAGCGAAGTTTAGAAAGTATTCTGGATAAGTCAACCACTGATTATATTGATATTATTGATGCTGTAAATTCTCACGTTCAATATATTAATAGAGAATTGAACAGACTTGATTTAAGTATTTCAGAGGAATACTATTCTGGTTCACCAAAAATTTCTGCAGAGGAATCAAATACTTCTCTTGCACAATGTGAAAAGGATATTGAAAAATTGAATAGTGTTTTTAATAAGATGTATTCTATGGCTGATGTTGATCCATTGGATGATGATCTCATTGATAATGAAGCATATCACCCAATTGCATTGTATCTTAAGAATAAGATGAGAATAGTTTCTGTTAAAATGGACTTACAAAAGGACAAAGACAAGTTTAAGGATATTGAATCATTTCTCAAAATGGAACATGACAAGGATGAAGTTTTGGCTATGTGTAACAAAATTCAAGAAAGAGCTCTCCTCTATATGTCAACTCTACAATTGACAAAAGCCTATTCTGACATTACTCTATGCACTCATATTACCAAACTAGTAGTTACAAAAGATGATACCAAGAAAGATATTTTAATTACTAGAGGATTAATTACATTACAATCATTAATTTACATGTACTCACTCTTGAAGGAATATGTTGTTATCATTAATAGAAAAGTTGATTTTGATTTTACTACAGAAAATCCAAAAGATTTACATCACTTTTTTGTTGAAAATTTCAAGGTTGTTCAACCAGTTATGTTTGACAATCAAATTGTTGAACTCGATTCTCAACGTTTAGCTTCTCTAGTAGATTTGAAAAATATTTCCCTTAAACTTGCTGTTTATGCTTCTAATCAACTTGAAATGCTGAAATATGATTTAGATGGTAAGAAGTTTGAATTTTTAGATAAATACCAGAAAGATTTAGACCTCACCATGAAAGTTCTCAAATTCCAAGCAATTTATGTAGTCCTTAAAAAAGCTTTATCATTCACTCTTTGGGCAATTGCTTCTATTTGGCTCTTTAGATTTATTTCACGAAAGCTTGAAGGAGAACCACTATTCAAATAAACAATTTTAAATTAATTTAAAATTGTAGATGGAAATAAGAACCTTATTGAAATTGTAAATTGAGAATGGCGCCAAAATCATTTTAAAAAATTACGTTAATTGAGGAGAAGGAATTTATTTGATGGCTGAACAATTATTGATGAATGCAGTTGAAAAGGGAGATCTCCAACAAGTTTCAACCCTTATTGTAGAAACAAATGCTGATGTGGATTTTATTGATGAGGGAAATAGAGGATTCACTCCATGTCATTTAGCTTCGGAAAATGGTCTGATGAGTGTTTTGGAATTAATATTGACTTATAATTGTGATCCGAACATTCCAAGTAATGAACAAGTTGGATATTTGACTCCTCTCCATATTGCAACATCGAAAGGATATAAGAAAATTGTTGAGACACTTTTGAATTATTATGCAGATCCTAACATGCAAGATATTAATGGTTATACTCCTCTGCACATTGCCTGTAGGAAGGGATTTTTGGAGATTGCCAAACTCCTTCTCGCAAAAGGAGCTGATGTTGAGATAAAAGATGAGCAAGGTAAAACACCTTATTATTGGGCACAAGAATACAAACATGATGAGATTTTACCATTCCTTGAAGTGTTTGCTTTCAGTTCAATGAAAGATCTTCCACCAATGCCTCTCGATCCTGCCACAGAAGCAAAAGCAAGAGAAAAGCTCGCTCTCTACGACTATACTAAACATCATGATTCTACCAAGGTTACAATTCATGTCATTAAGAAACAAGATACAACCAAAACGAAAAAGAAAACAACTAAGAAAAAGAAGAAATAAGGAGTTTTTCTTCATATTATCAAATTGTTTGATCAACTGAATTATTCCTGAATCGGATATCTGTTTGAGTTTCTATTCAAGAAGCAGTAGGGACCAAATAATTAGCGGAGTTAATCATAAGGAGTTCGTTAAGAATTGTAATTTGAAAAGAAAAAAAAAATGAAGAGAGTCTTATTGGTAGCTACCATTTTGGCTGTTCTCGCTGTTTCTGTCTTTGCCAAGACAATCACAGTCTCACTCAACAAGAAGGTTTTGGATCATTCTGATTCCAATGCTGTTGCTTGGTTCAACAATATCCGTATTGCTCAAATGACCAAGGTTGGTGCTGTTCCTAACAGACCATACTTGAAGACTGGTGCTTCTCCAGTTGTTCCATTGAACGATTTCTCTGATACTCAAGTATGTATTTTCATCAAGTATTGTTCTCTATAATTCCGTTATTTTTCCTGTTATTATTTTGTGTTAAAATTGATTTTTGGTGATCGATGTTAATTTATATTTGATTTGATGATGACAATTAATAACAGTACTATGGTTTTGTCAGTCTTGGTACTCCACAACAAAATTTCAAGGTTATTTTCGATACTGGTTCTTCCAACGTTTGGGTTCCATCTGAAAGTTGTTGGTCTATCACTTGTTTGTTGCACAACAGATACGATCACACCAAGTCCTCAACTTATGTTGCCAATGGTCAAAAGTTCAACATTACCTATGGTAGTGGTGGTGTTAACGGATTCTTATCTCAAGATGCTCTCTCTTGTGGTGGTATTCCAGTTAAGGGACAAGTTTTCGGTGAAGTTATGAGTGAACAAGGATTGGCTTTCTTGTTCGGTAAGTCTGACGGTATTGTTGGTATGGCTTTCCCATCTATTTCTGTTGATGGTGTTACTCCAATGTTCAACAATATGATGAATCAAAAGTTGGTTGACAAGAATTTGTTCTCATTCTACTTGTCAAAGACTTCTGGTAGTACTGCAAGTGCTATGATTTTGGGTGGTATTGATACTAAGTATTATACTGGTCCATTGACCTATGTTCCATTGGCCAATAGAACTTATTGGGCTATTAGAATCAACGATGTTGGTGTTGGTGGTGACTACAAGGGTGTCTGTCCTCCAGGTGGTTGTCTTGCTGCTGTTGATACTGGTACTTCCCTCATTGCTGGTCCAGCTTTGAAGATTGGTCCTATTATTGAATCTTTGAACATTGCTAAGGATTGTTCCAACATTGATTCTAATCCTGATGTTACTTTCAAGATTGGTGGTGTTGAATATACTTTGAAGCCAAGAGACTATGTCTTGAAGATGACTCAATTCGGTCAATCTGAATGTATTGCCGGATTCATGCCATTGGCTTTGCCACCTCAATTTGGTGACTTCTGGATTCTTGGTGACGTTTTCATTTCCACTTATTACACTGTTTTTGACTATGATGGAAGCCGTGTTGGTTTCGCCAAGGCCAATCAAAACTTGTAAATAAATTAACACAAGTTCTTTAATATTGTACCCTCAATAACTTTACACATTTAATCGGTTTAATGATTTGATTTGAATTTTGATTTGTTCTCCTTTTGAACAATCATTGTCAGTTGTAAAACTGGTTAGCTGATTAAAGAGACGATGAACTTTAAATAAAAAAATGTGGAAAGGTTGGAATGATCTTGTGGGCACAGTGACTGGTGGAAATCATCACACCTCTACGGAAAATAGTGAAGAAAGTGAGGCATCAAATGAAGCAACAAATAATTCCTCCTCCGTACCATCATCAGAATATTACACCAAAGATGATTTTGAATTGATCAATAATAAGGAAGATGCAGAAATACATTTAGTTATTTTAATTGCAGGAATGGGTGCTAGAAAGGGACATTACCTTTCCGATTCACTTCTTGTTCCTTTTGGTAAATGGTTTGATATTAACAAGTGTCAACAAGCAATGAAAGAAGAAGTTTCCAATTGTTTCAAATCTTATGCAAATGATCAGGTTAAAAAGAGATCTCCTCATATTTTGATTCGATCAATTGATTATTGTTCAACTGTTAGAGAAGAAGGAGGTTATAATGAAAAATTGAATCTTATTTCAATGAAATCAGGTGTTCAATTCCTTCGTTTAATTGCCAATGAATCAATGATTGATGTTTTAATGTATAATAGTGAAAAAATCAAACAACAAATGCAAACTGTAAGTGTCAGGAATTGTTGAAAATTATATTGATGAATTACATTACAGACTGCTGTCAAACAAATTAATGAAATATTTGAGGAATTTAAGGATGTTCCAATCAAATCAGTTTCATTTGTTGGACATTCACTTGGTTCTGTTCTTGCCTTTGATATTCTTTATCAACATCAAGAATCTGGAAATACTCTTTTAAAGATGAATCCTAATAGATGCTTTTTAGTTGGAAGTCCACTTGGTTTGTTTTTGACAATGTCAGTTCAAACAACCAACCAATATTTAGAAGCATTCCATTGTGTTAATCCTCAAACAAATAAGAAACAATTATTGAAGGAAATTGATGTTTATCACTTGTACCATCCTTATGACCCTGTTGCTTATAGATTGGATCCTCATTTAGATTCTAGATTTGGAAAACATGATCCTCATAGCTGTATGTTGTTATTTCACATTCTGATTTGTTAATTATTCAATAGTGGAGTATTTTGCTAGAAGATTTAATCCAAATCATTATGTCAATCAATTCAATAACTATGTAAGTAACACTTTAAAATAGATTATTCGAAACAATTTTCATTAGAAAGCTAAGATATTTGGAAATCAAGAAAAGATTGATGAAGAATTAAGTGAACTCCTTAAACAATATGAAATGTATGTTAATTTTGAGAATAATTTATCTAACTTTCTTTATAGTATTGATTATTGCCTTCCAGTAAACTCTGAGCTTGTTATTAATGAGTATTTGAGTGCTGGTGATGTACATTTGAAATATTGGAACAATACTGAAGTTATTTGTTTCATTTTAGAGAAAATGAATTTGATTTCTGCCAACAAATCTGAATAAAATCCGCCAGCTATTTTGTACATCAGCTTCCTAGTTGTATTTACTTTTCAGTCTACTTTTTTGATCGTTTTTCTGACATTACTCCCAATCTATAACCAAGAAGTAAAAGTAAAAAGTGTTCATCAGCTTTGATGTTATTCTTTGCATCAATAAAGAGCTGACGAATTTCATCATCTGTTCTACACATTTCAGCGAGCATTGAAGAGTAATGTTGAAGGGAACTATTAGTAAATGAGATACATTGCTCATTTTGATTTTGAGGAGGTGGTGGAGGTGGTGGATTATTAGTTAAATTAGTTGTGGTTGGATGGGAGGTAGATTCTGAAAGGAATGAAGATTTGGAATTAACATTAAAACCAAACGAAGATGGTAAATTTTGTGTTCTTTCTTCTTTTTCTGCGAACACTGGAAGGTGATTACTTGTCGGTTCATCTCCTCCCAAATTCGAAAGTGATGGAAGTACTAAAAATCCTGATTGACTATTATCAAAAAGAAAAGATCCTCCACTGTTGGTATTATCCAAAAAACTCTTTTTCAAAAATGAAAAATTACTATTACTGGCATCGTTATTCATTCCATGATCTAACAGGGACGATTCATGCTCCTTTTCCACATGAGAATTATGCAACTCATAAATTGAAGGTATCGAATTTGAGTGGGCATTTGAGTGAAAATTCCAATTATTAAAACCTATTGAATTACTTCTCGAACTACAACTTTGTTCCATTGAATTACTATTGGATTGTTGTGTATGATGTTTAACTTCATTGAGGTTGTTGAGGTTATTGTTATTGAGATTTTCACTTATTACCTCAACGTTCTTAACACTAACGGTTTCAGGTGTTTCTTCCTTAACAGGAGAAGTTTCAATATTAGATGTAGTGCTCTTCTTCTTTTTCTTTCCAGTTTTCTGAGTTGTTTCTTGAGGTGTTGGTTCTGTTACCTCTTTTGTTTCTTTTATTTCTGGTGTTTCTTTTGGAGGAGGCAACAGTTCATCTCCTTTTTTAATTTGTAATCTGTACTTTTGAAGGTGACTCTTAATATGATCAGTCTGTTAGAAAAATTGATTTGTTAAATTGTTAAATTAACTCTTTTGAAATACATACCGTTACACGAGAAACACCCATTAAATTCTTGATTGCTTTAGGGGCAGCATTATCAAGTCCCAACACAGAAACAGCTTCCACAAATGATTGATGTAATTCATTGGTCCATGATAATCTTTGTTTTTTGTTTTTAGCCTGAAGATCTTCAGAATCACCCGATGAAACAGAAGGAGAAACTGTTGCTTCAACTGTTCTCTTTTTCTTATCATCGGATGATGATAATTGATCATAAGAGGAGTTGGGTAGTGATTTTGATTTTCTCTTTGTTTTAGATTCCTTCTTATTTGACTTTGTAGAGTTATTGTTATTTATATTATTACTCACAATACTATTGGTACTAGTGCTTGTTTGTTGTTGTTGTTGTTGAAGGCTACTGGAAGAGGAGGTAGTACTCATTGATGACGAGGCTCCTCCATATGAATCAGAGTTATTATTATTCATCATATTCATATTATTATTATTATTATTATTGAGTACATTATTAGTAGCTACCACTCCTACAACTCCTTGGTGATGCTGATGATGAGCTGACTGATGTTGGTGCTGCACTTGTTGTGAGGAGATTGTTTGTTGCGGAACAAGCAGAGGTGGTTTTTGCATTTTTTGTTCTAATTTGTACAACAAGCTTCATGCTAAAGCTTTGGGAATGAAGACTGAACATATATTGGTGAAAGAGGTCATTGATCAAACAAATACGTTACGTTAAGTCACTACACACGATGTCTATTGACTTTGTATTGGTAGTGAGCTTTTTATTCGGAGAGGTTACTCCTTTTGAGAAGAAAGAGCTTATTGGAGTGATTGTGGCAGGGAAATAACTTGAAGGATTGTAGTATTTTAACAAGGGTGAAAATTATTTGATATTCCAATATAGTTCTGTAAGGACTATGGAGATAACGGTTTATAAAAATTTTTAGAATCGCAATACTTACTTTTGGTTGAGAATAAAGGTCCTAAAAGGATGAATTTGAGAATCTGTAGTATTGGAAGAAGGAAAATCCACACTCTGTTGTTCAAACCTATCAGGATTGAATTGATTTGATTGTTTTCCCCAAACTCTAATATCTGAATTCAATAAATTAAAAAGAATGAGAAGTTTTGAACTCTTTGGAATATTGTAATGACTTCTACTAGTATTTGGAAGAGGTTTTCCACTTCCAACTCTACAACTTTCCAAAGCTTCACCTGCATATGTAAATACTGGTGCTGCCAACCTGAATGTTTCTTGCACAACTCTGTTGCAATATTTAAATTTGTATTTAAAAGTTCTGAATAGGACAGTCTTGTCCTCTCTTTGAGAGAAATTCTCGTCAACTTCTTGTTGGACTAATTGTTGATACTCAGGATTTAGAGATAAGTAATGAAGAGCTCGTGTCACATATAATAAAACATGTTCTTGTCCGTCACAAAATGCTCTACTATTAGCTGGCAGTTGTAATTTACAAATGGATGGGATTGGAAGAGGTAGATTAATAGTTGATTCTTTCTTGTTTTTAGATGATCTCTTGAACATGGGTAATAGTGTTCTCTTAGGTTGAAGTAGTGAAATACTCCTACTAAGGCAGGATTTCAATAATTTCATTAAAATATTCTTTTGTTGATTGGATGATTCAAAACTAGTCAAATTCGATGTGGGACTGATTTTTGTGGAATTATCTGGGGACTCTGGCTTGCATACTGCCTCTGTAATATTAGAAAGCAATGAAGAGAGGTAATCATCAATATTAACGGACACAAATTTTTGTGAATGTCTTTGTTCTTCGAGAACAAGACTCTCCATGCTCGATGTTACCTCTTCATTGAATAACTCCATCCAGGATGTAGTAAGTTGAGTTAAATTTTCATTCAAAATTTTCTCAAAGTTGTTTGGATCCAAAGTATTTAAAATATCTTCTTCATCCAATGATTCTAATCCATTATGAAATTTGGTAGAGATTAGATTCATATTAGTGACATGCCTATCCCTACAGTCACTAAAATTATGTTTGAGTTTTGGATTATTAACAATCTCAAAATATGTATTGGAATCACTATTGCGCTTGTTAATAAAATTGTGCTGAAATATTAACATACCTAGTTATTAAATAATTATCAAGAAATAAACTAAGTCTCCACATACTACAACCAAACATTTGAGATTTCAATATTTGATATTTTGGAAAGAGGAACACATTGTCCAATTTTTGTTGATAGTCCCAAGCAAATTTACAATTCTTGCAGGGATAATATCCCACACAATCATTCAGCAATTTTGTCATCCAAATCTTGCACCAATAACAAGAGCAAGATTGATAACTTGGATCTTCCATTGAAAGGAATGTAGCCATATTATTTTGTCTTCTTTTGTACTTATTTTGCAAGCTGTTAAGAAAAGAAGTAGAACTCATAGCTCGTGTTAAACTTGGCTTATTGGCATCATTATTGTAGATAACAACACCTTCATCAGGATTAAATTGATAACTATGTTTTTGATATTTAAAAAGAGGTGAATCATCTTCTTCGTTACTACTTGTACTACTACTATCAGATGATGAGGTCGGAGATGATGGATGGTAATTATTTGGTTGAACATTTGCAGGATCATAATTTTGGGAAGGAATATTATTGGGAGTTGGAGGTATTTGATTATTACTAGCATCTTCGTTATGATACAAATCAATATTGGAAATATTTGAAAAATAGGGCCTGTTGAAAAATCGTAAGGTAAAATAGTGGAAATGTGAATAGCCTGGCAGATGCGTAGCTTTACTAATAGTTCTCACATGTTTTCCATAAATATAAACAATTATAAGAGCCAATATGTTCAATAGAACAAAACAGGCTGCAACAAAAACCAACATTTCGGTTTTGGTACAATCTATTACTATATAATATTATTGTTTTTGGTCTTGAAAATATTCATTCAAAAACTATCTACTCTAAAATCAGAGAAGTGTGATGATGAAATGTACACGAGAGAAGAAAGATGAAAATCCCAAGAGAGAATATTCTTCAAATTTTTTCTTCTTTCCGGAATGTTGAAAGGTGCGCGAAATGTTTTGCCCAAAAGCTTGCAAGAAAAAGTCCATGATTGAATTCGAGTGCAAGCAGCTCAACACACCGTAATTGCTGTTTATTGTCATCTTTGCAAAATGATAGAGTTTATGTAACATTGTAGGATTGTTAAAGAAGGTGATGGTCATAGATGTTGGTGTTGGGTAAATGTGTTGAAAAATCCAACCATTGTGAATTTCACAATTCCTAATGTCAAAAAGTTAACAACGGAAAGTGGTGACCGTTTGCAACCTTAATCATCACTCATGTGTCATACTTGAAGAGTTTTAAATTACTGCTCACAAGGAAATTGTAAAGCTAACTTGAAATTAAGGGAAAAAAACTGTAGTTCTTATCTTTGCTCTAATTTCATCACCAAATATTGAATAAACGAATATGGATCTGACTCCTTTCGTAACATCCCATTTGCATAAAAAAAACCATTAAACCAATAAATCTGCTGATTGATCTATTCGGTCGGAAACTGAATTCATTGCTAATATATCTTCATAGAAACCATCAGTTATTACGCCTCATTCAACAGTTGATTATGTAGGTTGAGTATGGTGGGTAAAATAATATGAGTTCATATCGAGGCAAATTGAAGTGTCTTTTTGCTTGGATTCGGAGAATCACAGAACAAAACCATCACCGAATTGAAACAAAGCTTACAAAAAAAAAATGAGAGCATCATCACACTTGCTTAAACAACACTGCTCCTCCAAACGAGCATCAGGTAAAAAACTGTTGAGTAATACTGTTGCTTCTGTACTTGGTACAACAGCAAATGGCAGAGCCTTGTCAAGTACCATTGTATCATCATCAATCAAGAATAATTTATTTGCCAACAAGAATAATTTATATAACAAACCAAATCATTCCAAGAGAAGCTTTTCGACAAGTTTATTGTCCAGAAATGAAGAATCTATGGAAGAAGAACCAATCGAAAGAGAAGTTATGGAATATGACGTTGTAATTGTTGGTGCAGGTCCATCTGGTTTATCTTGTGCAATTAAATTAAAACAATTGGCACAAGAATCGGGAAGTGATATTAGTGTATGTGTTTTGGAAAAGGGACAAGAAGTTGGATCTCATCTCTTATCAGGTGCATGTATGGAAACACATTCACTTGAAGAATTATTCCCAAATTTCAGAGAACTTGATGTACCTTTCTATACACCTGCCACAAAGGATAGAATGTTGTTTTTGACAGAGAAGAGAGCATTACCTTTACCAACAATTTCCGAAATGAATAATCATGGTAATTACATTGTTAGTTTGGGTCAAATTGCCAAATGGTTATCTGAACAAGCAGAAGCTTTAGGAGTTGATATTTTACCAGGTTTTTCTGCTGATCAAGTCGTTTATGCTGATGAAAATAATGATAGAGTCATTGGTGTCATCACAAAGGATGTTGGTATCGGAAAGGATGGAAAGAGAAAGGACAATTTTGAACCAGGTATTATGCTTCAAGCAAGACAAACAATTTTCTCTGAAGGATGTAGAGGATCACTCACTAAAACTCTTTATGCCAATCAGAAATTTAAATTGAGAGAAAATTGCACACCACAAACTTTTGCTCTCGGAGTTAAAGAATTATGGGAATTTCCAGAAGATCACCCAACATTTGACAAGGGACTTATTACACACAGTGTTGGTTATCCATTAGATGCTCACACTTATGGTGGTTCATTCATGTATCATTTCAATGCTGATGGTGCCAATAGAGTTGCTCTTGGTTTAGTTACTGCATTAGATTATGAAAATCCAACTCTCAGTCCATATAATGAATTCCAAAAACTTAAACATCATCCAGAATTTAAGAAAGTTCTCGAAGGTGGTAAATGCATTTCATATGGAGCTAGAACTCTCGTTGAAGGTGGTATTCAAGCTCTTCCAAAACTTTCATTCCCAGGTGGTGTTTTAATTGGTGATACTGCTGGTTTCTTGAACGTTCCAAAGATCAAGGGTATTCACACAGCCATGAAATCTGGTATTTTGGGAGCTGAAAGTGTTTTTGAAGCTCTTACAAAGGATCAAGTTGAAGCAAGTACATTCCAAGAAAGATTCAAGAGTTCTTGGTTATACAACGAACTCTACAAGGAAAGAAATATTAGATCCTATTTCAAATATGGTCTCTATCCTGGTCTTTTATTGGCTGGTGTTGATTCAATTGTTTTTCGTGGAAAGACACCATGGACTGTCAAGATGGAAACTTTAGATAATGAACATACCAAACCAATTTCTGAAGTGAAAAAGATTGAATATCCAAAACCAGATGGTGTTATCAGTTTCGATTTGTTGACTAATCTCCAACGTTCTGGAACCAACCATAATCACGATCAACCAGCTCACTTAAAGTTGAAGGATGATTCCATACCTGTAAATGTTAACCTCAAAGTTTATGGTGGTCCTGAACAATACTTCTGTCCTGCCCGTGTGTATGAATTTATTCCAGATGAACAAGGAAATCAAAAGCTCAAGATTAATGCCCAAAATTGTCTCCACTGTAAGGCATGTGACATTAAGGATCCAAAGCAAAATATTAACTGGACTGTCCCTGAAGGTACTGGAGGTCCATCCTATCTTATTATGTAAATTTTTGTTAATTAAATATTTATTTATGGTGTTTTTGTAAAGAAGATGATTTTAATTTTGCAAATGCTTTCAAAACATTTCGTTCCTTTTGATTATTGTTGATACAAGGAGAGGATGTGTTCAATTGTTCAAGTTGCTTAGAATGAAACACCAATTGTATCTTCTCCATCATTTGAATGCAAGCAGATGACTCGACAATTTGCCCTAATTTACAATGACAATTCATCTTTAATTGATAAAGTGAATTCAACTCGATCAAATCAACTTGTGGGATGTTATTAATTGGCTCAGAGTTGCTACAAAATAATTGAATTAATTTTTGATATCCTATTAATGCATTCGAATACTCCTCTAATTCTAAACATTTATCTGAATAGTTTCTTACAATTAAAATCAATTCATTCCTATTGTGTTTATGTTCCTCCTTCTCCATCACATCAATTAATATTCTCATTATCAACAAGGCTTTATGAATCATTCCAACACTATTGTAAAGCCTAACCTGATATTTGAGCGCTTCCTTCTTATCATAAACATGATTCGATTTTTGAGCAATCCTTTCAATACTATTCTCATCTAAGGCTAATTCCTCAATACTTAAATACTGTCCATCGAATAAGCTTTCCATTAATTGTTGTTCCATTATTTTTTGTTGTATTCAAGGGTAAGCTCTCCATCAAAATATAAGCTTGCGTAATTGTGATCTATTTTTGTCTTTTAATTGAAAAACAATAGATAAAAAAATGAGTATTCTCGAATATAATGGAGCCGGTATTGTCGCCATGACTGGCAAGAATTGTGTGGCCATCGCTGCCGATACAAGATATGGTATTCGTCAACAAACTGTAGGAACTGATATGCAAAAGATTTTCAAGATTCACGATAAATTGTTTATTGGATTGAACGGATTGGCTACTGATGTTCAAACTGTTAATGAAAAACTGAAATTTAGAATGAACATGTACAATCTTAAGGAAGAAAGAGACATCAAACCAAGTAGTTTTGCCAATCTCATGTCTAATATTCTCTATGAAAAGAGGTATGTAATTTTCCCGATCAAAATATTCTTACAATCTCATCGTCATCATATTGATAACAATAATACTATTAATACAATAGATTTGGACCTTGGTTTATTGAACCAGTTATTGCAGGACTTGAAGGACCAGAAAATAAGCCATTTATTTGCGCTCAAGATTTGATCGGAGCTCCTTGTTTTACTGATAACTTTGTTGTTTCTGGTACTTGTAGTGAAGCTTTATACGGAATGTGTGAATCTTTGTATAAACCAGATATGGAACCAGAAGATCTCTTTGAAGTTATTTCACAATGTCTTTTGGCTGCTGTTGATAGAGATTGTATTTCTGGTTGGGGTGCTGTTGTTCATGTAATCACTCCAGATAGTATCACAACCAAGAGACTGAAGGTCAGACAAGATTAATTGCCTTTCATTCATTGTACACTTAACATGTCATTGTAAATTTAATACCTCATAAAACTATTTAACTTTCTAATAATGTTGTAACTTGATAGTAGTTCCATGTGTTCGTGGTTATTGCATTATCCAGCATAAGACAGTCTAATCCAATTTTTAAAAAATGCTCAAACCAACATCCCTATCGTTGGTATTAATGGTTATTTTGGCCATCCTTTCGGTTTTTGTTGGAGCAGACGAAGTTACACATAAAGTATGTTCTCCTGATTATAGTAAATTTATACTGAATAACAAAAATAATAATTTAAAACTTTGTAATGATTAACTGTCGTTAGTATGAAGTTGGAGATAATGTTGTTTTGTGGGCAAATCACGTAGGACCACATTACAATCCTTTGGAAACATATCCTTATTATGAATCACATGTTCCTGTCTGTAAACCAAATGATCCTACACATGGAGATTTTAAATTGGAATATAAATCACTTTCTCTCGGAGAAGCTTTACAAGGACAAGATCTTGTTAAAGTTTACGGAATTGAAACAATTTTCAGAAGTATGTTTTAATTAATATTGTATTGTGTTCGAACAAGTGTTTAGAGAATACACCAATCACTCGTTTATGTAAATTGCCAATCACTAAGAAGGAAATTGATCAATATATTTATGCAATTGATAATCAATATTGGTATCAATATTACTTGGATGGTATGTAATTTTTAATCATCATAATATTAAATAATAATAATTCAAGATCTTCCAATGTGGGCCATGATTGGAGGTTACGCCTTGTCAAAGAAGGGAGATACTGTAGAAAAAGTACCTTTTGTTTATACACATCAAATCTTTAATTTGGAATGGAATGAGGATCGTATTGTTAGTGTAAATTTAACTTCTAGTAGAAGAAAGCCTCTTTTGGATAACACACAAGAAATTACTTTCACTTACGAAGTTAATTGGAATAATAATCCTAATATTAATTTTGAGAAACGTTTTGATCTCTACCTTGAACTCAACTTTTTCCAACACAAGATTCACTGGTTCTCAATCATTAATAGTTTCATGATGGTTTTATTCTTGAGTGCTGTAGTTTTTATGATTTTAATCAGAACTCTCTACAAAGATCTAGCTGCTCTTGAAAAACATGCCAAATCTAAAACTGGTGGAGATATGGAAATTGGAACAGAAAATGATAGTGAGTTTGATATTATTGGAAGTGGAGACTCTTCTGATAGTGGTCCTTGGAAAATGTTACATGGTGATGTATTCCGTAAGCCAGCAAACCTTACATTATTCTGTGCAATTCTTGGTACTGGTCTTCAATTATTATTCTTGGCATTTTATTTGATTCTTCTCTCTATTATCAATACTTGGTATGATACTCGTGGAGCTTTGTTGAGAGCTTTCATTTTCACATACTGTATTACAAGCTTTGTTGGTGGTTATTTCAGTGGACATTTCTACCTCAAATGGAAGGGAACTGGAGATAGATGGATTAGAACAGCTCTCTGGACAGCTTGTATTTTCCCATTCACTGTATTTATTACATCCATATTATTGAATTTCTTGGCTATTTCATATAATGCTTTGATTGCCATGCCATTCACTACCATGCTTACTGTTTTTGTTATGTGGTTGTTCATTACTCTTCCACTAACATTTATTGGTACAATCTTTGGCAGAAACTTCCCTTCAAAGAATGTTGGTAAATCAAGTCAATTCCCATGCCAAGTCAATCAATTCCCAAGACCAATTCCAACTAAGCCATGGTATTTCAGAACATTTAGCATGTTTATTTTTGCTGGTATTTTACCATTCGGAAGTATCTTTATTGAACTCTATTTCGTATTTACTTCATTCTGGAATTACAAGTTTTACTATGTTTATGGATTCCTTTTATTGGTATTTGCAATTCTAGTTGTAGTTATTGGTTGTGTTTCAGTTGTTACAACATTCTTCCTTTTGAATAGTGAAGATTGGAGATGGGTGTGGCACTCAATGATTGTTGGTTTCAGTACTTCATTCTACATTTTCCTCTACTCAATTTACTTCTTTAATACCAAGACAAGAATGAGAGGCTTCTTCCAGATAGTTTTCTACTATGGTATTACGTTCATGTTTTGTGTGGGTATGGCATTCCTGTGTGGTGCTATTGCCTTCTCTGCCACCTATGTCTTTGTTAAACGAATTTACAAGGACATTAAAGTTGATTAATCAATTTTTTCACACACAAAAGTACTCTAGAGTGACTAAATTAAATATTTAAATAGATTGAAACTCTTCAACCCTCACAGCTCTCAGTTATTAAATAATACTTAAACAATAAATTACAAAATAAATTAAAACTTTTTATTGAACAAAAATTGTGTGTGGTGAGAAAGATATGTTTGGAGGTGTTCGGTTTAGAAAACTTAAACCTTGTTGTTTCTCTTTCTTCTCAAGAAGCCTAAGCCAACAAAAATGGCGAAAATAACCAACAACACAAAAACAACAATAGCAATAATATCACCGGCTGCGATACCCATCTATTTGATGAAAACAATCAATAATGATCAATCCAATAACAACCGATCACCATCAAATCATATTAAATTCAAATTGTTTTGCCTCTAAACACATACCTTTTCAAATATTTGATATTTTTTTAAATTAATATTTGTTACTTTGTGATTCTGAGCAGGCAAAAATCTTCTTGCTGGCAAACTCCGGAGAATGTTTTATTGGAAGAAGGCTAGAGAGTTTCATAAACGAAGGAATTGAAAAGGGTTCTTTCTTGCATTGATTCTCCAATTAGATTCCATAATATTTCATCAAGGCTAGTAAATACTAAGTAATTAGAGATTATTGAACGTTGATTTAATATCAAGATTTAATACGTGGAAATGTAAATTGGTGCCAATATGATAATTTTTAAACCATGCACATACACATTTAAAAACCATGATTAAACAACTGTTAATTAAGTACTGTAGTAGCACACTTCAACATCATGTTACTTCATACTAAATTGATTATTAAATTATTTAATAATTATTTGATGAAATTCAAAAAAAATGTTTGCAACTTCAAGTGGTCGTTTTGGTTTAAATTTTGATGATGATAGTGATGATGAATTAATGCTTGTAGATGATGAAAAGGCTGTGGAAAAAATTCAAGACAATGATGATGAATTAATGCAAGAATCGGAGGAGGATTATAAAAAGTTTCTTAAGGAGAGTGATACATCACTGACAAGCAATTATTCAAATTTACCAAAATCATTTAAACAATCGATAATGCACGATTATATTGGACATACTATTCAAAATATTGGTGTATTGTTTTATAATAATTTGGTTCCACAAGTGAGTACATCATTCTCCAAGACATCAAGTGCAAGCTTTTCGGAATTAATATTGGCTATTTCCAATAGAAACACTGTTCGATTCTATACCTTGTTGAATGATAGCAAACAAATGAAAATTATTGAATTTTCTTCAGAAGATAATTCCATCACTTTGGAGGAAAATATCAAATTTATCAAGGTTATTGATGATCTTTTAATTGTTTGTGACGAAAGAGGTACAATTTATGTTTATAGACACAATGTTAGTCAGATTCCACAACCAGATCAAACAAAATTATTGCCAACACATGAACTTAAAATTACTTGCTCATATAGACCTTTCGAAATTTGTCCAAATGATTCCAATAACTTTTTATCTTTTGATGTCGAAGCACTTTTTGAGGGAGATATTTTGAAAATCACTGTTGCTTTAGGTACTAGTAATGGAGCTATTTATTATTCAACATTCTCAAACACAACCAGAAAGCCTTCTCAATTTGAAGTTCTCAGACAAATCAAATATCAACACAAATCTATGCTTCCAATTCTTGGTCTTACATTCCCAATCAGAAAGTTGGTTGCTGTTGATATTCCAATTATGTTATATTATAGAACTATGAATTGTGTATTCTCTGTTGATGTAAACGATAACAGCATTACACAAGCTAAGTACGAGCCAACTTTGGTAATGAAAACAAAGGACAGAATAACATGTCTATTTGTTCATCCTCTCCAACCAAATAATATTATTGTTGGTTTGGCAAAAGGTACACTTATTGGAAGAGACCAAATCAGTGTGTGGGATAGATCAGTTTCAAACAATGCAATTAAGGCTATCACATTTGGAAATCAATCTAAGAGTATTCTTGTTGGAGATGAACAAGGATTTATTTACAGTGTCGACATGACAAATATTAACCAAAAATCAAGTCAATCATCTGAAAAGAGCATAGAGAATCTTGATGGAAATGACGTTCTACATATTGAATATCTTTCATCTGAAGATAAGATTTTAGCTGTTAATTCAAATGGAAGAATTAACTTGGTTTTGAATTAAACTTGAGGTTGAGTTTCTGTTTCTTGATTATTTTCTTCAAGTGTTCCAATAGGATTTTGAGTTTCTTCTTTAGTTTCAATTTTATCGCTAAGCACAGCTTCAATCATCTTTGCTGATGTTGGCTCACTAATATCAACAGTTGTAGGAACAGATTTTTCTGTGTCTTTTGCAGAAACTTCTGCCTTGTCTTTGCTTTCTTTGAGTCTTTTTTGTTCTGCTTTCTTTGCCAAAATAGTTGGAGAAGTTTCTTTGAGGAGGAAAATGTACATAATGATACCTATTAAGGTAAATCCAGCAAAAATAAACCAAGGAACTGCTTGACTTGTTACAGATACAACTGGAATAAAGAATAAGGAAAGTACAATAGTTGTAACCCACATTGTCAAAGTACTCAAACCAGTTCCATAAAGGATTACTTTCTCATTCTCTCCATTGAATACTTCGTGAGCTAGAATATAACACAAAGAGCCAATACCAATATTGAATCCTAAAAGGAATATACAAATAAAAATGATTGCTAAAATGATCTTGTAATCTGTTCCATTCTCAGAAAATTGAAAAATGAATCCTCCAGCAATATCTGCCAAGAAACAAATAGTCATCTAAAAGGGTTAAAATTGAACTCAAAACACGAAACTTACACCAACAAGAGTAAGAGTTTTTCTTCCTAACCTATCAACAAGGAAAATGTTTGGAAAGACAGTTAAAACCTGCCACATTGAAATACCAAATGATGTGAGTAGTTGATCAAGAGCATCAGTGAGACCTGCACTTTGCATTAAACTTGGGGTGAAACTAGTTGCTGATTGAATACCAGTCCATTCCAAAGCCATCATACCATAACAACCAAGTATTAATGGAATAATGACCTTTGAACAGAATAATCTCTTCATAGCAGCAATGGCTGACATTTGCTCCTGCTTAACTTCTGCAGAGGTATTTGGATCCTTTTCTTTGTTTTCCTTAATTTCCCCAGCATTTGTTGATTGCCTCTTTTCCTCTAATTCAATATTGTTGGATGTTGATGGAGTGGTTTCCTTACTATCATTATCTTTTAAGAATTGTGGAGACTCTGGAACGATAAACAATATAAGGAAGAACAATGGAACGCTCCACAAGTTATGGAATGCATGAACAGCTCTCCACATATCAGCAAAACGAACAAAAATTGCAGCAAATGCATAACCCAATGCAATTCCTGCAGCCACACCAAGGTTATACATGGAGCCACACAATCCTTGATACTTTGAGTATGGCAACAATTCTGCCACATACATTGAGCAAACAACAGTAGAAATTCCAGCACCTGCACCAAGGAAACAACGAAACACAATAAGGGATGCATAAGTATAAGAAGCACTTGCTCCAATAGATCCCAACATTGAAATTAGACAACAAATAAGCATGCTTGCCTTCCTTCCCAAAAGAGATCCTGTAAACATTGAAAACAAACAACCTGCAAGACCACCAATGAAAATACTACTGGCAAACAAACCTTGCAATAAGGTTGTTCCTAAATCTGAAGAGGTACTACTTGTAGATGAAGTGTTATTTTGTTCATTGGTCATAAATAAGGAAAGGGTGTTGGCTTGTTGAGTTCTGATTTTGAATTTGGTGCACCCACTATTCTGTTGGTTGTTCTTACTGATGACGAGCGAAGAGTGCAACAGGTTCATCAAACTCTTCATATTAAAAAGTGTCGCCAACAGTTCTTCATGATTTTGATCATTCCAAATGTTTTGTTTCGATGTGGATGATTGTTGAGAAAGTGAACGTTGGGAATCTTCTTCTGATAATGAATGAAGCAAATGGTCATCATAGTTATAATTATTACTGATATCTACAACTATTGGTAAATCTAGAACAAATCGATCTACAAAGGATGATCGAAGGCTGGAGAAGAAGGAAGAAAAACCATTAATATTTACATTATCATAACTGGTAGAACGGATTAAAGTACCATTGGATGAGGAGGATGAATTGTTGGATGAGAAGAAGGCAGTGGTGGCACTTGAAAGACCACCTCCGATGGTTCCTAAAGCGTAACCAAATACTAAACCACCAAGAATATTGACCAGTACAAGAATAATTGCAAGAGGAATAGGTTTGGATTTGCTAATAATTATTGTTATTTGAAATGATGATGCATATTTGCAATATATGATATTAGAATTTATAATAATTTAATTATTCATGAAATTATGTGATGACGGAATATTATGTAGCAAGATAATGATTTGGAGGAACAAAGATGACAAAATTGAAAAAAGTTGAGTTTGCATCAGCCTTTTAATGAGCAAAAACCTACACAAATGATTCATATCTTTCGATATATTTCAATCGATAGAAAAGTTTAATTGGATTTTTCATGTTTCTCAACGTAGATTTGAATAGCCTAGTGATGAGAAACAAACACTTTCAAATATATTGGAGTGCAGATACTTTTTGAGAGTCAAAAAACAGCATTTCAACGCGCCTCCTCTCTCCTTTGCATCACTAAACATGGTTGCAGCAGAGAGAAAAAACAGACTGTTGTTTTCGGCTTCAAGAACGAATTTGTTGAAATATGTTCCGCGCCATTTTCGCCCATTTTAGAGTGCGAAATGGCTTTATTGAATACCTAACCGAAAATGCCTCCAAATATTAATATTGACCATTTAATATTTATTGTATGCTTAAATGTGCAAAATGATTGCGTATTCAATTGTATTATTCAGAAATGAATATTGGAATTTACTTGTTTTGTTGAGTGGATAACAATTGCATTTATTATCTAAATTTTACTGGTTTTGCAACGGAAACTTTAAAATGGAGAACATTAAGGTATTTGCGACCACATATTTGATTTGGAATGAAAGGGACCTTATTAGGAGCCCTTAGCTAAAATGCTGAAACAATAAACCAATTTTTTAGAACAAGTTTTAAGCAATTCGAAAGAGAAGGTTCATTATTCATAAGGAAGGTTTGAATCCCATAATATAACCTGCTGCCTTCTTTGCAACATATCAAAAACAAGAGAAAATCACCACGACATTATGTTAATTTGTAAACCTTAATAAGAAACTGTAGTGAAATCGATGACATTTGATATTTTCACAAATTTTGGAAAGAACAAAACAGAAAACTACTTCCAAATCGTTCCATTAGGGCAATTTCAAACAATACGTCAAACCACAAAGGAAACAAAAGCGAGAGATTGTGAAGGGACAGATTCTGTTCTGCCTCAGTGCTCTTTCATGAAATAAATTCATACTTTAAAGATCCCTAACAAAGCTTTGTACATTTCAATACCCATCAAAAAACAACATTAAACCTATCAATGCAACAACAACCATTTCAAAATCATCATCATCAAGGAACTGCTCCATCATATGAATCCACATTACATCCACAACAAAATTCACAAGTAATGTTAGGAAATAATTCATCCAATAATTATTCATCCTTTTCATCGTTTAATAATTTTAATAGTGAATATAGTGGTGGAATTAACAGTTGTCCTACTCCAACACTTTCAATAACACAATTTTCCTCCTCATCCGATAAGTCTCTCCAACAACACAATACAGCTTTTTATCCTTCCAACGTTTCAACACCATCACAATATTCCTTCCATAATAATAATAATACTAACAACACGTTTACACCTAGCCCAACCACATCAACCACTAATAATCAACATCATCATCTTCAATATCACAACAATAATTCCATTGGAACACAACTTGTAGATGATCAAGACTCTTTTTTTAGGCGCCATTCTTCTACTGTAAATAATAACAATTTTCAAAGCTTTGAAAAAAATAGCCAACAACATCAACAAGCTACACCATTGTTCAATAATAGCTCTTTTATTGTACAATCAAGTCTTCCTTCTGTGAATAATTTACTGAGTACGAATGGTGGCGGAGTGAATAATTTAATTGATGAGGATATTGATGAATTGCCTCCAACGATTGATATGAGTAGAATTCGTTCTAATTCATCTCATAATCAACAACATGTTAATATTTCGAATAGATCTGTAATGAATAATGAAGGATTTATGAGTCAGACTAATTTTTCAAACTATTCCAAGAGCAAATCTCTTTCGGTGCCAACACCACCTTCTGCCTCATATCTCAGTAATCCAATGAAGAGTCAAGTTTCACCATCCTATGCTTCGAATAATCAAACGATGATAAATATGCAATATGATATCAAGAAGACACCATCTCCATCAAACAGTACCAACTCGCAAACATTTGTTAATTCTGATATTAATCAACTTCCCTCAATACATAGCCTTACTAATGACATGATGGACACAACCTCAAATAATAGCTCTTCATATGTACACAAACGAGGTCATTCAGATCCTACCAATCTCTCTAAAACTGTACCATACAATTTTGCTCATCGTGGAAATTTACATTTAACACAGCAACAAAACTCTCCTTCCTCTCCTTCTACACAAATGTCTTGTAACACACCTAATTTAATGAGTATAACAACACCTGTTTCTACTCCTTCGAGTTATGTTAGTACAGCTAGATCAGTAGTTTCTCCAAATACACCTACTAACATGAGTTTGGGCAATTTGGGAAATGATAGAACTTTCTCTCCATCCTCAAGTAATCCTCCAACTATTCAGATTACCTCTCAAAAATCAAAAACTAAGAGCGCCAGTGTGAAAAGCCCATGCTATGACCAGTTGTGGTTTAACACAAAATATAGATTTATGGGGAGGAATAAGTATACTGAATTCAAGTCAGTACAGGGTGATACTGCTTCAAACTCGGAATCTAAAATTACAAAATCAAGCAAGATGAAGAAAAATTTAAATGTCAATAGTCCAATACAATAAATCACAAGTTTAATTGTGTAAGATTAATTAAGGAATCAAAAGCATGTTTGTATCCAATAAGGGAATGATGTGAAAACAAAAATCTTGATAAGATTATTCTTTCGAATTGTTTGACATCCACCCTCTTCAAATAAAATTTCAATTCTGTTGGCACGGTTGTATGTTTTGGCTGTACATATGATCTCAAATCATGCAGTTCAAATTTAGCCAAATATGGATTTTCTTCTTCTTCCTTAATATTTTCCACAACAGTAGTATAGACAGTCTTAACAGTAGAAACAAGAGAGGAGAAGAGGGATTTTTCTTCTTTAGGTTCTGTAGTCTTTGGAGCTTCAGCTGGGTTTTCAGGTTCTTCATCAACAAATATCTTTTCATTGAATACTGAAAATAATGCTTCGGATAGGTCTTTCTTCTTTCTATCTTTTGAATTCATCTGCTCCAAATCTGGTATTATTAAAAAGATAGTACCTGGAGGATACAACGTAGTAATATTCGTATTCATTTCATTCATCTCATTGAGAAGTGTTGTAACTGCTTTTTTGCTTTCAGAGTTATCCATCTCGATTGTTCCATCCTCTAGACTGAGATTTACTTTCGAAGAAGATGTAATCAAGGTCTTTTTAGTTTGGAATATTGGGACATATCCCTTGTCAAGCAAAAATCCATCCAATTTAGTTGCCACATTAGCAATCTTTGAATGCTCCTCAAAGAATTTAGCTAGCTTTTCCTCCCAATTCGTTTGATTGATTTCCAATCTGAGTCTCTCCATTTGTCCAATACCAATTCTTGGTATAACATCAGCTCCAATAATGAATGTAGTTACAAATGATCGACACCAATTCGATAAATTTTCTGAGAATACAGAACTTGATGCATAACTTATAGCTTCAATATCTGGGAGAGGAGGCTCTGGTGTAACTAGGGTTGTACCCAGTTCTCTTGTTGTAATGTGATGAGATTTGAATCGTTTAAGGAATAATTCTCTAAGTAAAATGGCAACTACACTGGCCAATCCACCGCCATATGAGTGCCCTGTACAAATAATTCTATAATTGGAGTAAGGATTTGTTCCATTGAATATGAAATTAAGTAAACAATCTTCAATTTTACCAATTACCCATCTTGCTGTATTGATATATCCAGCATGGACCTTTCCTTCAATCATAGCTTCAGTAGAGTCAGTTTCACAATAATTTTCAGATGGATTTTCTGTCTGAGAACATGATTGAGCATCATCACGAACTGTCACAGCACTGGTAAGATTTGCTGTCTTAATCAAATGTTGTCTCTTTTCCTCAGTTCTCTTATAATCTCCATAATATCTGTGAACTTTTAATGTTGAATTTTCAAGAGTTAAATTGGTAAATATATCATCGACAGATGAAGTTCCTCTCAGGGCAATAATTACAGATTTGGTCTCATGATCTAACTTTACAAAAAAGGCTTGTTGGTGTGTTGCATTCTTATTTACATAATATTGAACATTCTTTTCAAATCTAAGAGATTCCAAATAACGTAAAACTTCCTTAGTATATTTTGGTTTTCCTGAAAACCAATTGTTCCTCCTTTCATATTCCTCAAATATAGTTTTTTCAATTAAATTTCTCTCACTTTCATCAGCAACATTTGCATAAGCTAAATTAGCATAATAAACCATTCTCTTTGCAAATAATAATTTCTCTTGTAATTCTTCATCTCTTCTTTCCTTTTCTTCCTTTTCATTGAGAATTGGAATTGAATAATTAATTCCACAATGTTCATTCCACCACTTGTATTCTTCATCGGTGGGCTCCTCCTCAGCCTTACTCCTTTCATATTCATAGGGAAAGGCTAAATCCTGAGTGATAAGATCTTGTCTAGCATGTTCTTTAGCTAAACATCCCAAACCAAATACAATATCTCCAATAGTAAGATGTCTATAGGATGGATAGGATTCCTGCAAACATTTAGCAGTAGCAGTGATCATATCTGTTAATGATGGTGTATAATCAGTGGTTGTAGTTGAAGTACTTGAGGCGTTTGAAGAATCATTGATCCCTCCGAAATGTTTTAATACATCAATGTTTAATTCACCACTCGGAAGGTGATGTTCATGATTCTTTCTACTATATTTAAAGGTAATTGTAGTTTGAATCATTTTCAGAACAATCAATAATTAATTATATGTAATAACAATTGATTATCGGAATGAAGATGATCGGTTATTTACAAAGGTAATTTACTTCCAAATTCTTTTTATCACAATGAATCTATTATTTGATTTAAAAGTGATGTTTGGATTAACTTTGGAAGAATTGGACTGCTTAAGAACAAGTTGTTGTGTATTTTTATTTAAATATTAACAAGTATTAATAACTTTCAAAACGTGTTCTTAGGCAGTTGGTAAGATAATGATCATTTAATTTGAATGTTTTTAGAAAGGGAATTTCGAAAATACGTGTCGTCCTAGTAGTGAAAGATTAGGAAGATTTCTCAAGTAAGGATTTGAATGCATTGTAAAATTCTCAATTTTGGGAAGTGGTTGAAGATGGAGATTTGTTGACCAAGTATTGACCATTGTAATAGCAGAGGGATGGGAGTTTGAGGTGAACAAGAGTCATTTCATCAACTCTTTGTTGGACACGTTCTGGATTTGCGAAACGACTGTGACAGCCAATTACATTTTCATCTGCAATGACAGAGTCAACTGGAGTGATTGGATTGGATTGAAGCCATAATTCTGAAAGTGACTGTTGGCAAAATTGGGAAATAAAGTCTAAGAGTGTTTCCAAAGGTGTTGTTATCAGATTTCCATAAAATCCTAAATGTTTGATATTTCCACATTTTCTAATTTCTTCTTCTGGAATTTCGCTAATTTGATTTGAACTCAGAGAAAGATATTCCAATTTGTTGGATGTAGCATTATCTTCAGGGAGTGGTAAGTATTGAATCTTGTTAATTCTATTAATCTTTAAATCCAATCTTCTTAAATTTTTACAATATTGCAAATCAGGATTATTCATTTCCGTAATCTTATTATTAGATAACATTAATTCACGTAAATTAACCAATTCCTTCAATGGTGGAAATTCTGTAATATCATTACAACTCAAATTCAGCTTTACAAGTGAACTAGTTAAAACTTTCCTTCCCATCAAGGTAATTTCATTGGTTGGAAATTTAGAAAGAAAATTTCTCGAACCATAAAATTCAATAATTGGACTTGTGTCATCATGACCATCCTTTTCTTCAAGTTTAAATGTAACTCCTTCCCCATCAAATCCACGAAGATAAGTAGCAGTCAAATCCCACATAATTCCAACATCGGAACCATTCGTACATTTTCTTTGTTTAATAGTAAATATCGAACGTGAGAGATTTTCCTCTCTTCTTGTTAGTTTGTTCTTCCCGCCATCTTCCGAATTTTCGAGTGGATGTTTTTTTGTATTTTCCTCAAGTTGGTTCTCTGCGGTTGTTGAGGTTTGTTCCTTTGGTTGTTCGCTCATTTTTTTAAAGTGCAAATTTAATATTGCAAATAATTAATATTTAATTAATAAATTACAACAATTGTAAATTATTAATTCAAAAAAATGTTACGATTCATTACCAAGCCAAAATCACTCCTCAAAACAAGTTCCATCCTCTCCTTCGGATTTCAAAAATTCGCAAACCTTCCTTCCAACAACAATGCAATGCTGACAACTTTCCATCACCAAGGTGAAAGAATTCGTTTCTATTGCCAGGCTTGTGAGGAATCAATTGCACCAGGAACCCCCTATGAAGATCATCACTTGGATATTTACTTATCCAATGCGTTGGATGTTATGTTGACCGATGATAAACATGCTTTGGAAATTTTGGACTTTGTTTTATCTGCTCGACCTTCACAAGCCAACGTACTATCAAAGAAGGCTGCAATTTTATTTGGAAGAATGGATTTTAAGGAGGCTGTTGTATGTTTGGATAAATGTCTTGATTCTGTACCTCCCCATGCAAGACCTTATATTTTGGAAGATGTTATTTGTACATATAAGGGAAATTATTTTGAGGAACGATATGTGATGCACTTAATTCAAGGAGTTTTTAGAAGACATCTTGGAGAATTGGATATTGCTATTTCTGAATTTGGAATAGCATTGTTGGATAGAGCCAATGATCCATTTGCAATTAGTTTGAGAGATGAGCTCATTGAAAAGAAGAAACAACAAACCAACTGAGTGGAGTATAATAAATCCTATATGGTTTATTATTATTTTGAGGATATTTGGATTGTGATCTCCTGTCCAGTATTGACATTATTAGTTAATAGTAATTCTACATAATTCTGATGGGATTGTTGGAGAATATTCATTGAATTGCTTGGATATAATTTAATGGAAAATCCATTCGGATAATAATATTCTCTATTCAGATAGATAACTGTTGTTTCACTTCGACAATTTTCACTAACTTTGAATGAAAATTTGAAATCACTCGAGAGAGGATCGAATTTCATATAGGTTGGATCTCCACAAACAATTGGTACATAAGTTCTACTCAGAGCTTTGACTTTTCTTGTTTGTAATTGTCCATTCGCTCCATAAAAACTTTCAATAGTTGGAGGTGAAGCAGCAGTTGTCATATCATTATAATACTTGAATTGCCAATAGGTCCATGATCTCAAATATTGATCTGCTAAACTTGTCATCCAATCCAATTCGTACTCACTTTGAGTGAAATTGCTTAAAGCTCCAAATTCAGTCATGAATGCTCCAGTCTATTGTTAAGATTGTTTCAATGTACTATATATCAAAAGTGTTCTTACCTTTAATCGTTTTACATCTGATTCCTTTGCCACAACAGTGACATCATCATCAATCCTGCATGTAAATCTACTCTTTGGGTCTCCAGTTGAGTTGACATCTCCACAATAGATATGATAAGAGTAAACTTGTTTCTCTAAATCTTGAGTGCCAAGAGGAGATTCTTCAAATCCAGATGAAAGTAGATCAGTAACAGTAGGTTCTATACCAGTTCCAAAACTTAAAGTTACTTATAACACTTACCAAAGAAAACTAAATGATTCGAATTCACTGAACGAATAGCAGAATATACTTGTTGATAAAGTGGAATTAAATTCTGACGGTCTGCCTTCCCTCTCTGATCCAAAAGTAGTGACAAATCCTCATAAATATCACCTGGCCATGGCTCATTAATAATTCTATTCAGCCATTTAATTTCACACATCATCAATTTACAACAATAGATACTCGTTAATGAATTATTGAACAACATATGAAACTCACTCAAGTCCTAAAACATTTTCCTCATCCTTAAAATAATTTGCAGCAACTTTCCAAAAATTTACAAATGAATCCCTTAAACCATTTACATTATTATAAAAGTTTTGGAATGCATTTGAGGCACCCTGAGTCAAATAATAGATAAAGAATGGTTCTTTCAAACAATCTTGAATAATTGGAGCACCAGTTGTTTGATTAATTCTCAAATGAATACTTTCGAATGGAAATGGAAAAGGTTGAGGTGATTTATATTGAACAGCCCATCTAGGAAACCCCTCTCCACAAAACAGATCACTCATCACATCTTGATGAACATCCAGAATAATCATGATATCATACTGTTGTGCATTTCTAATAATTTCCTTTAGTTTCGAAAGATATTTGTAATCATATTGATTTCTAATAGGTTCTGTTCCTTGCCATGAAAGCATCAATCTAATCACATTAAATCCCCAATCCTTTAAATTCTGAAAATCAACATTAGTCAATGAAGTATTCGAATTGTAATTATACAAATCAGGATAAAAAGGATAAACCTTGTAAACTGCATTCACACTATTTTCCATATGATCAATTTTTCTGATAAATCCATTGATTAACATACCCATGGAATATTCTTGTCCTATTCAATCCATCAATAAATTGTTGATTGACCTTGTTAACTTGAACGAAACCATTCGCATTCACAACCATGCAATCAATCATCATGACAAGTGTCATCATGAACAGAAGAACCGTTTGATTCTTCAATATTAGTTGCGACATTTTTTGAATGAAATCCCACAACTCTTTGCCATTCATCTGTCTTTGATTTTACCATCATCAACAAGCTATCTCTTCTGTTGTAAACTTTTTGATTTTTTAATTATTTAATAAAAAAATGAGCAAACCATTGTTGGTGGTGGAATTATCAAATGAAAGAAATCAAACGGAAGAGCATAATATTGGTGCTAGTAGTTCGGAAGGAATAAATTTGATATATGATAAAGTATCGGATGAATATTTTGTATTTCAAGATAATCAGGAACCAGAAGATTTAAAATACGAGTTGAGTCTTTTTGATAAATTTAGGAGTATTAAGGATTATTCAAATGCAATAACTTCAATATCCAAATGTATAGCCAAGTATCCGAATTATTTTTATTTGTATTATAAACAGGGATTTTTATTTAAATCCATATCTAGTAGATCGATAGAAACAATTAGAAGTTGTAAGATGGCACTATTTCTTGCCTCTAGACAACGGAATATAGTTTGGAGTCTATTATTATCTGGTTTTATATTTGAATTGGATAATCAGTTTAAAACAGCGAGTGAATATTATGAGAATGCACTTAAACTATCAAATGAAAAAACATTGCATTTACAGGATTTGTATTTTAGGATTGGTATGATAAAGGGCGATTTAGAGGATTATGTTTCTAGTATGGATTATTTCTACAAATCTTTGGAAATACAACAATCAACAGATCCAACAAAAATATTTTACATGGGAATGTGTTACAATAATATTGGTTGGTGTTATAAGCAAATGGAAAATGATCAGAAATCTGTTGAATTTTATGAAAAGGCAATTCAGGTTTGCAATGGAACTGCATCCTTGTTTTACTCGAACAAAATTAAAGCTCTGAAAAAATTGGAAAGAATTGATGAAGCTATTGAACATTGTGATGCTGCTGTGAAGGTAACAATAGATCGCAGCTCTCTTAGTAGCTTGTATGCTGAGAAGGCCTTCCTCTATCATTTAAAGGATCAAAGAGATTTGGCAAGCGAATATTTCGACTTGGCAATGAAATACGACGAAAAGTTTTATTTTCCTTACCTTTATGCGAGTGTATCAAAGTTGACCAGATTGGGAACCTCAAATCAAAATAATAGACAACCAAATGAATCACTCACAATTTTGGAGAAGGGAATTAATATTTGTGATGAAAAAATAGAGCTGGTGCAAATGTTGGTTTCTATTTATGAATTCTTGGGGGACACTGAGAGAGGAGAGTTTTACTCTAACAAACTCGTCCAGTTAAAAGCAGGCCTATTACAGAGAATTAGTTAAGAAGTAAATTAATTTATTCGAAATCTCAATTACGATTTGTCCACATTAGATCTGCAATATGGATATCTCGTTTATCATACAATCAAGCGACCAATAATCAATTGGTATTTCAATCTTGTTGCATGCGTGTTAATTATCGAAATATTGTCAAGAATGAATCACAATGCAAATTAAGTTTGTGTTCACCTATATCTATCATCCACAGATCCTGACTTGACATAAATCACATTGTCCTCTCTTCTTGGAGATTGAGTTGGCAATGTTGGTTTGCTGCTACCTGATCCACAACACCCAGTGTTACCTTGTTTTTCAACCTTGGTTGTCTTGATTGTGTACGAGCTGGATGTTGTTGAGATAATGTCACCATTTAAAAAACTATCGGTATCATCACTGAATCTTGACTTTCCAGTTGGTGAAAGATAACCAAACTCTTGTCTTCTTCTCCTTCTATTACAGTCAATAAGTTTTTTCCCAACTACATAGAAAAGATCATCAATCCCTTCATTTTCTTTGGATGATGTTTCAACGTAGACAGCATTAATACTTTTAGCATATTGAATCATGTCAAAGAATGGATGTCTTGGATCAGAATAGAGGCCAGTAAGTCCAAAAGATGCTTCTGATTGAGAATCACATTCACTCAATGGTGATAATTGTGAACTTGCTTCTGAAATGCTTGTAATATTGCTTGAAGGAGCATTTGATCCTGTTAATGTTGACGAAAATGATGAAAGAGATCCAGTTCTATCAGCAGAGCTTACAACATTTTCCAAAGTGCTCCTATTCCTAGATGTATCTCTAATATAGTTTTTAATAAAAGTCCTCCATTCTGGTGTTTCTCTGAGTAAGTCAGTTTTTGTGCAATTAATTACAACTAGAATTTCCTCATCTGCATGATGTTGAAGATCCTTCACCCAGTTTTTCACATTCTCTGCAGTTTGTTTTCTCATACTATCAAAGCAAACTACTGCACATGCTGCTCCTCTATAATACATTGGTAACATGGATTTAAAGCGTTCCTGACCAGCAGTATCCTATGATCCAATGAAAAATATTGTTTGTAAATTGAATTTGAATTAATTTCAATCATCACGAAATTATTTAATATCCAATAATCCATCAAGTTACTTACCCACAATTGCAGAGAAATATAATCATTCTCACCATCTACTTTAAGTCTTCTCGTGGAAAATGTTGCTCCTATTGTTGGCGATTGCGATTTAAATTTACCATGGTTGTATCTACACAAAATACACGTTTTTCCCTATAATTTGTTATTATTAGATTCATCACAAAACATACCACTCCAGAATCTCCTAAAAGAACAACCTTGTGAGTTTGTTCATTCCTCCTGCTCATTTTCTACAGTTTGTGATTCAATAAATATTAACTTTACTATTTGTTTTAATCTACTTGATCCATGGACGATAAAGTGGCGGTTGATGAATGTTGTTGGTCTCCTGAAGGAGTTATTGTAACCGCCAATTTTTTTTTTGAAAATCTTCCGTGTAACGTTCAAAGTAAGGTGGAAGTTTTTAAGCCAACATGAAAGCTGCAATAACCACAACAAGTGCAAGTTTAATGTTATGGAAAATAACTTAAATGAGTTGTGCAGCGCTACATTAATAATTCTTCTTTATTGATAAATTTATTTACAATTGTTGTTTGTAGTTAATCTTATTCATCACCAATACTGGAATAGAATAAAATGTAGCATGTTTCTGAAATACCAGAAAATGAGGATGCCTCATCGTGAGGGAAGCCAAATGTGGATTTTACATAATCTTCATCCACATTGGACACTTTATCATCATCAAAAAGGAACCACCTCTCTTCAGATCTAATTATACACTTGTAATGGCCACAATTTGGTCCTGAGCCAATGTGAACAACTGCTGCAAATAATTTGTAAGTTTTCACTTTCTCATCTTGCGACAGGTTTGGCAATTTAAAATCGAATGGGAAGGTTACTCGATATGATAACTTTTTAAAGTTATTATTCATATATTTGAATCTCTTCAATTGGATTGCAAGTACTTGGGGTTGTCTTTTGATTTTCATACTTGTTTGGGCTTCCTGGTGTGAACAGCAACGATCACAGTAAAATTTGTTATTGGATTTTAAAATTTGCATTCCACTAAAGTTTTTTAAACATTGAGTAATTGAGGAATATTGTTGAACATCTACACTGAGATCTAGAAACGATTCTTCCCTACTAGTTACATTCTCACACATGATACATCTCGTTTCATTTATCAAAGTTCCTTCAAATATGTCATGAATAAATGTTTTCAGTTTTTTTAGATCCTCATTATCATTTGTTTGTGATTCTTGATTTTTCAGTTCATGTTGTAAAATTTCCACAAAGTGATTTAGTAAATAATTGAGAAATTCTTGTGCATCTTGTTGCATTAGAGATTTAAACATTTCATTATCCAGTCTCAATCTTTGTATGAATGCTTTTGGTCCCAAATATCCAGTCTTTTTCTTTTGATTATTTAACTGATAAAACAGATCAGCCAATGATACTAGTAAATTAGGTTCCGAATTTTGTGGTATTGTTTTATAGTAATTCAAGATGTGATTTCTAAATGGTTTGCAAAAATACAATGCCTGCAGAACACTATTAGCATAACATGTATTTCCGAACTGAATTATGATCAAAATTATTATCAATCTATTTTGATGATCAACCTACATTCTCCAATCCAAAATACTTTTCATTTCCTTCATCAATTTTTGTGTCTATTCTACGAGAATTCGTCAATGGTGTAGATCCATTCGGACCGTTTTGTGTCGATTCTGCAGTATTGGTATTTCCCATTTTTTATTTTTAAATTTATTTTAATAACTTCCTTGAGGAAATAAAGGCATTGATTTTTGCTAGAATATTACTCAACAAATTTAAATATTTAATTTTATAAATAAGAAATTTAGTCAACCTTAATACTACCATAAATTGTTTTGACAAACCATAAAGAACAGAAGAATCCAACAGCACCAGTCAAAACAAAGAAGAAGTAACATAAAATTGAACAATATCCGAAATAGAGAACTGTCATCATGAAAGTATCAATTTCAAGAGAAGTAAAGTAGTAGAAAGCAGAATAAAGGAAGAGGTACAATGCAGAGCTACCACTACTCAAGAAACTTCTCCACCACCAACGGTAGTCTTCATTACATAATTGGAAGTAAGCAAATACAACACTAATTTCAGCAGAAGTTACAACCAAAATAAGGAAGACAACAAATAAAAATCCAAACAAGTAATAATATTGGTGCAACCAAATGGAGCTCAAAATAAAGTAGGATTGAATGAAAACACTTCCAAATGGCAATACACCTCCCATTAAAACAGAGATAACTGGATGCATGTAAATAGGTTGAACTGGGATTTGTCTAGGGATTTGCAAAGTCTTGACTGGAACTTCAATTTCACTTGAACGGTTTCCAAAGAAAGCACCTACAACAACAAGTGGAACAGAGATTGCAAGCCACAAACCAAAGATTTCAAGAAGTGAAAGGAAAGGAAGGGCTGATGTAGAATGGACAGAAACCCAAACCAAAAAGTTAACAAAAGTGAAGAGGAACAATGGAATTGCTGGGAAAGCCAAAGCTGCCAAAAGTGAAACTGTCTTCCATGATTTACCTTGGAACATCTTGTAGAGTCTCAAAGTGGTATATCCATTAATAATACCCATAAATGCAAACAAAACCAATATAACAGTTGGAAGTGAGCCTCTTGATTCCGGAGAAATGAAACCAACAAGGGCTAATAATAATGAAACAACCAAACAGCCCAATACTTGCATACCAGCTCCTGCGCTTAATGCCAACAATGTAGAATTCTTTGGAGTACGGAATACATCACCATGTACAAGCTTCCAACCAGTTTCATCACCTGGATCTTCTTCATCCTTTTCGTTATATAAATTGATATCCTTTCTCAAAATTCTCAACATGATCATACCAACCATACCAGTCAAGAAGAAGACAATGAGCAATGAGTTGATAATTGAGAACCAGTGAATACGATAGTCATCTGGATTTTCCTCAGTATTGACGTATGCGTCAAATCTAGATCCCCAAGCAATTGAGCTTTCTTTCCAAATAATAGAATAAGAGTATTGAACATTCTTCAAGTTGTCATCAATAACTAATCTATCAAAATCATCTGGAAGTGGCTTATCACCAGTACAAGAAGATTCTGTGTGTTCAATACTGGTTGGATAAACTTCAGCACCAACAATAACTTGTTTACCATTCTTTCTAACATGGTAATACAACACAAAAGTAAAATGGTTGTTCAAATAATAATTAAATCCGACAGTTCCATCAGCAGATTGAATCTTTTCCTTACATCCCACAGGATAACCATCAGGTCTATAATACTTTGTAGATTTTTCTTGATTCAAAATTTCTTCCTTTGATGGTGGAGGATTTCCGCAGGAAGTATAACCTTGAAGATTAGCAAAAGGAAGTTGATCAACAACTAATTGTGCCAAATAATCTTCATCAATTTTTTCCTTCAAATTTTTAATATCATCAGAGGTGATTTGGGAAGGACATTCTGTCTCCACACAAGAATCAGCTTTTCCATCACAAGAGGAAATTGAAGTCAATCTCTTGCAAATAACATCTTTCTTAAATTCAACAGAATACACTGAGTTGTGGATACGATCACCGAGCAAATATTCTCCCAAGTTTTCTACATTATTTTTAATTTCCTTTGGTTTGCAATATGGCATAGAATAAAAATCAAAAGCCAAATTGTGAGTACTAGATAATTTCCTGGTTTTAATTTTTACAGTATTTCCTTCTTCATAATAATTATCAGGTATTCCTGGTAGGAAAGCGTTAATGAAAGAAACAAAAACGAGTAATAACACTAGTTGGGTAATGAGAACGTTGATTGGTGCTCTCATTTTTTTTTAATTATTCTTCTTACAAACGATGTATTACGTAATCAATTTCCCACAACAGCCAACAAACCATCATCAAGAAGAGACTCATTGAGGAAGGGATGGGATACACTAATAAAAAACAAACTGGGCTCATTTGCAAGACCCACTATCTCCTTATCTGAGTTTGTGAGATAAAAAAGTTTCCCTGACTTTGATGTTAAAGCCATGACCTTCCTGCTATTACAAACTCTGACAACCTCTTCATTGATTTTGTTGTTGAAACAGATTGTTACATCTTTAACCTTACCATCAACCCACTTAAAAAAGTAGTCTTTTTCGAGAAAGAGATTAAACTCACAACTTGATCTGACCAAAAACCAATCATCACAACAAATAAGAGAACAGGTAAGTAAAGGCAATGAATTTTCCATTGAAAATCCAAATTCCTTATTCAAGTCAAACTCTAGAAACACAGGAGTGTTTCCTCCATTCAAAACTCCAGACACAAAAATCTTTAGTTTCTTTGAGAAAGCAATTGAGTAGTATTGACCACATCCTATTTCTTGCAATTCTTTAACAGACATTTCCTTATTGATAATCAAGGCTTTTTGATTTTTTGTTTTTGTGTCTAGAAATAATTGGCCTTGGTTTTGCAACCCCGATACCATAAGCTGATCGTCGTCAGACAACATTAGAACGTGGTACATTCCTATGGCGATTTTTTGAATAGATTTTCCACCAGGTATTTTAACTTCAGTAATGTTGTAAACATTAGAATTAGGGATAATTCCTAAACAACCTTCCTCATTGAACCCACAACCATAAACTTTACCCTGTTCCGTCAAGAAAAATGTTTGGTTGTAGCCACAAATAACAGATCTTAAGGGTTCTGATCTCTTATTAAAAAAATCGATTATTTCGAAATCGCATTGTTTCTTCACTTCACACATACCAAGCTGCCCAAAGAAATTATTTCCACAACAATACAGAAGAGAACCTTGTCTAATAAAAGTATGAGATGAACCAGTTGAAATGCCGTCTATTGTTGAAATAGGCAGCTGCAAGATTTTTGGGCTTGATAACTTGGTCTTATTGTCTGATAACAGCTGCCCATCAGTGTTGTCTCCATAAACAAGCAAGCTCTTTGAAGCACTACTTAACAATTCATCAACAAATGAATCTTCGAAATCAAAAACCATTTTTTTTGATTAAATTAAGAAGCTTCTTTTTTAGATGAAAACCGTAGTTAATTGTAAAATCATCAGATTATTGGTATTACTGTTACCAAAGAAATAAAAAATGAGCAATCTTGATTTGAACACGGCACTTATTTCCCCAATTTCAAATTCTTCTCCTGTTTTACGAAGGAATGATACAATACCAAGGGTTTCCATCATGGAGTCCTCTTTTTTGGAAGATATTTCAGAAATTCATGAGGTTCCGATCAATAGAAACATAAATGATGAACTGAACAGTCTTCAACACGATCTTTCCAGAATTTCTCAAGGAAGAATATTTGACACAGGACCAATTGATGAAATTATGCAAGATACAATATTTACAACCGAAGAAAGAAATGAAATTTATTTAAATGATAAGATAATTAACGATTTTTCATCACGAGTAATGCTTGAAAATTATATTCTATCTAAATGTGAATCGGAACTTGACAATACAAAGAATAACAAAATTTGGAATGAAGATGTAAGAGAAAAATTTATTGGTACTGATGATTGGGATTACCTACATCATGATGAGCTCAAATCTGCCTTCAAAAAATTTTAATTTTACTTATTTACAATTATTATCGAATACTTCTCATGTTTCTTGGAGCAGTTGATAAAACAGATTGATGTTCTGAAGGTATGGATTTTTCTGAAAGAGTGTTTGGGCTGAATACTTTCCAAAATCTCAAAGTTTCATCACCTGCAGCACTTACTACAGTTGTCCCATCAGGACTTTGAGCCATGTGTAATACTCTACTTTTATGACCAGTCAATTCGGCAACTTTTACGAGAGAAGGATACTTCCAAACACACAACTGGTTTTGTGAAAATCCATGAGATGAGATAATTTCTCTATCATTCTTTGACCAAATAATTGAGCACACTTGAGAATTGGTATCAATAGTATTAAGTAATGTACCTGATTGGGTATTCCAAAACATCATCTTTCTGTCACTTGTTCCTCCTCCAGAAGCCAATAAATTATTTTGCCAAGGACACCATGCCAAGGCTTTAACTGCAGCCACATGCTCTCTCAATGAAAACTTTGGAAGAACCTCATTTTGAGTTAAAATCAAGCTCTTATCCCAAATATTCAATATATTATCATTTGCTCCACTAGCCAATTGATTTCCATCAGGAGACCATTTCAAACCACAAACCTCAAAGTCTTGATGGGCACTTTGTGTTGTCAATAAATGTTTGGCTTGTCTTACATCATGGGATAATATTTTACCATCTTTGCCTCCACTTGACAAAATGTAAGAATTCCAAGATAGAGAGCAAACTCTTTGGGTATGACCTTTCATTGTTCTGATTTGCTTACTTCTGGATACATCCCATATTTGAACATCGTTGTAATTTGTTCCAACAGCCAAAAAACTACCATCTTCTGACCAGGACACACTCGTAACATAATTATCTTGTTGAGAGCAGGACATCAACTTATTGATTTCACACGTTTCACCATTCCATAAATATACACTGTCACATAATGAAACAGCTAGTATGTTATTTTGATTCCAATCCAATAGATTGAGATAGTAATCATCAATCATACCTGGAGCATCCAAAACCTTATCTGGAGTTTGAGGAATATGTCTGGAAGAAACTTGTTTTCGTTGACTTGTAGAAGTGGTAGTTGTTCCAGGGAATATTTTGTTTTGAGAATAAAGTACACGTAGATTATTGTTCCAATCAGCAGGTGCCTTTGGAGCTTTTTCAGTAAGGGCCAGGATTTTTGCATCCTTTACTTTCTTACCATCAAACAATCGTTGCTCTAATATCTTGTTATGTAGATTTTCCTTGTCACCTTCGGAAACACTCATATCTTCATCATCCTCCATTTGATTGTTAATTAAATTATACTTGCAAATGTCCATGTCTTGTGAAGTCCTTCTAGAGGGAATAAATCTCTGATCAATATTGCTAGTACTACTACTACCATCGATATCAAGTGTTGTGGAAGAGAGTGTCTTTTGTTTTTGCTTTCTCTTCCATCTTGGTTCGTATACTGAAGAAAGATCTGAAGTTAAATCGTCATTAATATCGGCCGAGTCTTCAAAGTGGTAGGACATTTTTTTTTCAGTTAACTTTTTAAATTTTTTTGGAGGGAAATTTAAAAGTTAAAAAAAAGCGTAACGGTTGTTTTTCAATATTACAAATGGGAATTAAATACTACAAGAAGAAACCTCAATATTCTTGCAAGCATTGTAATCTGCAAATATTTAAATAGAATTATTCTGTTAAAATCGTAGTTGTATGAACTTGTGCACCACTGCACATCAAACTACAATTAATAATCTAAAAAAATGTCTAGGAAGGAGGTAGAGGAAATTCTACGAACAGAAAATGAAATTAATGAGGCTACCAAGGAGCTAAAAAAACTAACAGAGAATAACAACAAACAAAAAGAAATAATACCAGTAAAAGAGGAGCAAAAAGTTATTGAAAAAGAAAAACCACTCTCAAGAAGCATTAAGGAGAGGAAAGAACTGAGTGAGTTACCTCCTCTTTACCCAATCACTGATGAAACTGTACTTCAAAACAAAAAACAAAAACAGCACCAAAAATTAACAAGTTTTAATGATTTTGTGGAAATGATTAATTACATTTCTGATAAAAGCAAATTAAATACAAGCAAAAATGATGAAAAATAATTGATTTTTGAATAAGCTTGGTTGATCAGATAGACTTACTATGTTTTGTTATCATCTCAATTTAAATTGTGAGAGCATTGATTTAAATTAATTTGTTGAATGGAGGAAAAGTTCAATAAATTAATTAATTTGACAACTGCCTCCATAGATAAAAGGTTGCTCCTCAAATCAATCGATTCTATATTTGGATTGTATTTGTGTATCATTAAGATATTTCTCAGAATTGACTCACAAAGTAAAGGATGCCAAATTGTCAAGTTACTTCCTCTATAATTAATTGATGGTAACTTGAGAATCACATTATTTCTAAATTTATAGAATGCTCCATCTTCACCCTTCCCAATTTTAAAGAGTTTCGAACATGCTGATAATATTTTAGAAGCAGATTTCAAATCCAGGCGAATATTTTCAAGTTCCAACTTTCTGAAATTATTGTAAGGCTCCAATTTGTTTGCCAATAATTCAATGGACTTGTTTGTTATATTGGTATTTGATAGATCAAGTTCTAATAAATTTTGGGGTTTTTTTAAATATTTTAAAAATCCACTCATTCCACAATCAGTTATTGGCGTGGATTTAATGTATAGCTTTTCTAAATTTGGGATACTCTGTGATAGACCCACCAGAAATGAATCATTTACATCCATTATGTTGCTAAGATCCACATCCTTCAAATTGGCCAATTTATGAATTAAAGAAGAGCAAAGTTTTGTGTTGAGAGTATGTCTGCAATTATTTGAATTTGATAGAGATAGATCTATAGATGTAAAAGGTGTTATATCTATCAATCCTGAGTCTATTGCTCCATTCAGAAGTGATAATAACCTGTTTAATTCCGATTTGGTGAGATGAATCTTATTGTTTTCGTTTTGTTTGATTTTGAAGAATAATCCATCTTCGGAATCATCACAACCAATATTTTTCAAAATTAAATTAATATTGTCCATAGGAAGCTGATTTTCCATTGTAGAATCTTGGTTATTTGTTCGAGCTTGTGGATGGTAATAATTATTGAATTGTGACTGGTTAAACTTACGAAATAGGTGTTGGATGATTATTTGTGCTCTTTTTGCGGTTGAAGAAGCAAAAAGGTCAAGCAAGGCTTCATGAGTTACTTCCATTTTTTGTATTTTAAAATTCTAGTTGCTCTTATCAGAGTGTATTTACATAATCACTGCTCTGTTCACACTCTTTTTCGGATAAGTCTTTAGTATCAGTCTACCAAGCAGAACAACATGCAGAATCTAAGGTTCACACAAGGATTCCCAAAGCCCCACCGTCGTTAAGCAACGTAAACTTCAACCATTAACTAATCGTACTGAGTGTGAGAGAGAATAACCATCATACGGCTCTTCCTACACTAAGGTAGTATACACAAAGGTTGTTCATCATTAATAACAGCAATCAACCTCTTGAGGTTGAGTGATGGTATTTTTTTCTTGTGCAAATAAAAAGATTTATTCTTATGGTTTTTAAATAAATAAAAGAATAATTTATTGGGATATGCTTTCAACTACCCTATTGGCATATCAAAATGATTATTTAGTTTCAAAATTGACCTTCAAGCCCAAATCGTTGGCGTTAACAACAATGGAAGCAATCTTAACAGCTTTTTGAGCAGCATCTTCCAGATTGTCAGCAGGAATAACACGAATTCCACTCTTGGCCAAAATATCCTTAGCTTGTTGGACATTAGTACCTTGCAAACGAACAACAACAGGAGCTCTTAATTCAGTTTCCTTCATAGCATTAATTAAACCTTGAGCAATAAGGTCACATCTCATAATACCACCAAAAATGTTAACAAGAATAGCTTGCACATGATGGTCATCGTTCAAAATTTTAAGAGCTTCAACAATTTGATCTTGGGAAGCACCACCACCGACATCCAAAAAGTTGGCTGGATCACCACCATATAATTTGATAATATCCATGGTTGCCATGGCTAAACCAGCACCATTGACAATACAACCAATATTACCATCAAGACCAATATAATTCAAATCATATTTAGCAGCACGAACATCACGAGGATCTTCTTGAGTGATATCTTTAAGTGCAAAAAGTTCTTTTTGACGGAAGAAAGCATTGTCATCAATGTTAACTTTAGCATCTGCACAAATAACTTTTCCGTCAGCAGTTTCAATGAGAGGATTAATTTCCAAAAGTACAGAGTCTGTCTTCATAAACAAATTGTACAATTTTGTAATTTGGTCAACAGCTTGGTCAAGCAATTCATCACGGAAACCCAATTTACGAGCTAAACCTTCAGCTTGTGATTTGTGCAATCCTTCCTTTACACTAATAGGAATTGTATGAATTTCTTCAGGACTTTCTCTAGCAACATCTTCAATGGCCATACCACCTTGGGTACTACCAATTAATACAGGTCCACCAGATTGACGATCCAAAAGAATAGCCAAGTATAATTCTCTACGAGCATATAATCTTTCTTGAACATAAACCTTGTTACATGGTTTACCTTCAGCACCAGTTTGTTTTGTAACTAGTACTTGTCCTAACATCTTTGATACGTAATCTTCAGCTTCTCCAATTGAAAGAGCCTTTTGAACACCTCCTTTAAGTCCACTCTTAAATTTACCTCTACCTCTACCACCAGCTAACACTTGAGCCTTGACAATATAATCGACATGATTTCCCAATTCAGTGCAGGCCTTCTTGGTTTCTGTTGCACTTGTTAGCACTTTGCCTCTTGGAACGGAAATATCATAACTTCTGAACAAATCTTGTGCTTGGTATTCGTGGAGATTGAGAAGACGTTTTTGTGTTGTGTTGGTTGAGATTTGAGAGAGGTTCTTTTTGCCCAATACTCTAAAGATACGATTGGATGATGATGAGAACATTTTTTGTTGTTGTTTTTTGTTGTTATTCAAGAATCCCGTTAGCGTATGATAAAGAGGAGCTTTCTTCGCCTTTTCTTACAAAGTTTTTAGGGCATTGTCGTCATCATTGAGAAACTTCATTTTTGCTTGTTTCACGAAAGTATGCACCTATCAAAGCACATTAGGTGATAGGATATTGTTTTTTTATCAGTCTTAGAATTAAGAGTTAATTTTGCCTTTTATCTTGTTTTTCAAAACTTAAAACATGGTTATTGTCGTGCAACTTTTAAAATCAATGATATAAACTTCGTCAAATCAATTATAAAAAAATGAAAATCTCCATTGCTGTGGTTGGTAGTGGCTTGAGTGCCTTGTCTCTTGTTAAGAAATTAATTTCTAATCCAAAATCTTCCTCACTTGTTGATGGAATCACACTCTTTGAAAAATCTAGAGGAGTTGGAGGACGAATGGCAACGAGAAGAGCAACATTGGATGGAAAAACGGCTTATTTCGATCATGGAGCACAATATTTCACAGTCAGAAGTGAACAATTCAAGGAGCAAGTAAATCAATGGATCGATCAGAAACAAGTAATTTTATGGGATGATCCTATTGTATCATTAGAGAATGACATGACAATTAGGACAAAATCCGCCCAACTTGGCAGTTTGAGTGATAATAACTCTAACGACTTGATTTCAAGATATATTTCAACAAGTAATGGTATGAATGCTCTTTGTAAATCAATGAAATCAGAGATTTTAGACACAGCCAAAATTTCAAATGTTTATGTCAATTTTGAAATGGAAAAACTTGTGAAAACAATCTCAAAAGACATCAGTGGAAAGTGGAAAGTTGGGCTAGTTGACTCGATTTATGAACAGTTATTCGATTTAATAATACTTAGTTGCCCTCCAGAACAAACAGCACAATTACTTCAAACAACAGAGCATCCAACCAATTTGTTAACTAAAGTTGAGAAAATGGAAATGTATCCATGTTGGTCAATGATGATTTCTTTCCCAACAAAACTTAATCAATCAACCATTAAGGGAGGAGCATTTGTTAATATGGATAATTGTTCTATATCTTGGATATGCAATCAATCAAGCAGAAACAATGAGCAACAAGATAGAGAGATGTGGGTTGTTCATGCTTCCAAATACTGGTCTTCTACCAATTTAGAAAAATCCAGTACTGAAGTTCAACATATTCTATTCAATGATTTTATGAAACTATTAGAACGTTTTGAAAACAAGAATGGGTCTGAAATTATTACACAAGCTGCTGATCATGTCAATGTTCATAGATGGAGATATTCTATTCCATTTTCAACAAATTCAACCTACTCTGTAAGTGAATGGTATAATGATGGAATTGCCTGTATTGGTGATTGGACACAACAGGGAAGAGTCGAAGGGGCTTACTTAAGTGGAGTTGAAATGGCTGATTTCTTAATTTCAAAATTGTAGTTTATTTCAGTTTGTTTTTTAATAATTTAATTCTTCTTCAATAAAGCTTCAACACTTTCACGGAAAACTCTAGTATGGACATCAACATCTTCTTCAGTATGGTTAACACAAATTAAAGCCATGTTGTGGAATGGTGTCATCAAAATACCACGATTAAGGGCATACAAGTGCATATATTGGTCCAATTCAAAGTCACAAACAGCAGCAGCTTCTCCACCATTGACTGGTTCGGTTGGTCTAAACCAATATTCAGTACGACAACCAAGACGTTTAACAATCCAAGGTAAATTGAAATCAGCAATAACCTGCTCAACACCTTCACAGAATTTCTTTGCCAGAGCAATGGTATATTCATAATTTTCTGGTGTAAGAATATTTTCCAATGTTGCACGCATTGCAGAAACTGAAAGAGCATTACCAGCCAAAGTACCACCAATACCACCAACATCAATACCTTCAAGTTGAACAGTTTCAGATAAACGTCTGGCAACTTCGTGACTCAAACCATAAACAGCAGTTGGAACACCACTACCAATAGCCTTACCAATAGTGAACAAATCTGGCTTTAATCCTAATTCCTTAGTCAAACCTCCTGGACCAGCAGAGATGGTATGAGTTTCGTCGATAATCAAAAGAGTACCATATTTAGTAGTGAGTTCACGGAGCTTATCTAAAAATCCTGGTTGTGGGAGAACAATACCAATGTTTGTCATGGCTGGTTCACACAAAACAGCAGCAACATCACCAGGAGCCAAAGCTCTTTCCAAAGCTTCAACATCATTAAATTCAACAACCTTTGTGGTATTTGTTGGATTGGTTTGTGGACCAATATTTGTAGCACGACATTCAGCAGTAACACCATCATCAGCAAGGGTGACAAAAGCTTCATCAACAGTTCCGTGATAGCAATAGTTGAAAACAAGGATCTTTGGACGTTTGGTAATATGTCTAGCAATACGTAAAGTGAATCTGTTGGCATCAGTTGCAGAAACAGCAACTTGCCAGTATGGAAGACCAAAACGCTTCTTTAAATCATCACCAACCCAAATTGCATTTTCGTTTGGTAACATATAAGTAATACCATTATTTAATTGTTTTGAAACAAAATCAACGACAACATCAGGAGAGTGGCCAGTCATGGAACCAGTATCACCAAGGCAAAAATCGATAAATTTAACATCATCCAAGTCGGTAAAGTGACCTCCTTTAGCTTGTTTAACAAACAATGGATGACCACCAGTCCACTTCTTCATCCAGTGCATTGGTACACCATCAAGAAGAGAGTTCTTAGCTCTTTCAAAGGCGTCACGACACTTTGGGTGATTCTTCAAGAACAAAGCTTCTTCTTCAGCATAGAGCTTCTTGAGATGTTCTCTATCGATTTGAACAAGTTGTTGAGACATTCGCGGCGAGAGTGTTTGGAGATTTTTTTTGGTCGATTCGGTGGAACAATTGTTTACAATTTTTCAAAACCGATTCTTCCAATATAAAATGCCTACACATCAGCCAAGCGCAAGTTTCTCCAACCACGAATCTCTGGAGATCTCTAACCCGCAAGTCTTGCCATCCACTCCAATTGCTGTTGATTGCGAAGAAAGCAATTTTTTCCAAGACCACAAGAAAAATCCATCTAAACATTATGTAATTGTTATGGTAGGATTGCCAGCTAGAGGAAAATCCTACATTGCCAGACAGCTAACCAAATATTTGAACTGGTTGAATATTGATTGTTCAATTTTTAATGCTGGAGAGAAAAGAAGAGAAATGCTAGGAGCTGGGCAATCTTCTTTCTTCTGGGATAAGAACAATTCAGAAGGGCAAGAACAAAGAAAGAGGATTGGTCTTGTTACTCTTCAAGAGTTGATTGATTGGTTAATGTTGGATGAAACTGAAAACGAGGAATCCTCAAAGAAAATGAAATATGGTGGTGGGAATTGTGCTGAGGAATATACAAAAAGAGAGATCAAATGTGCAATTTTTGACGCAACAAACACAACCAGAGAACGAAGACAAATGATTATTGATCATTTGACAGACAAAAATCTACCAAGACCTTTGGAGCCAAATCATATTATTTTTGTGGAATCTATCTGTAACAATCCACAAATTATTGAAGCCAATGTAAGGGATATTAAAATCAAGTCTTCAGATTACAAAGGTGTTTCTGCAGAACAAGCAATTAACGATTTTATGCAAAGAATCAAAGCCTATGAACAAGTATATGAAACTATTTCAGACGATGAGGAAAAGAGATTAAGTTATATTCAAATGATAGATATTGGTAAAAAATTCATCCTTAATAGAATTGGTGGATATGTACCTGGAAAAATTAATCAGTGTTTAATGAACATTCATTTAGCTCCAAGAGTAATATGGCTTTCAAGACATGGAGAAAGTATGGATAATACAATGGGATTGTTAGGAGGAGATTCAAACTTGACTGAAAAAGGTCAATGCTATGCTAAAGTATTATATAGATTTGTTAAGAGGATGCAAGAAGAGAGAAGGAATCAAGAAATATCAATCGAAAAACCACAATTGGACAATATGATGGTTTGGACTAGTCTTTTAAAAAGAACACAACAGACATCCTTCCATTTTAAACATGATGAAAACTTCAAAGTTGTTCGTTGGAGATGCTTAAATGAGCTAGATGCTGGCGTTTGTGAAGGAATGACATATGAAAGAGTGAAAGAAGAGCTTCCTCATGAATATGAGGCCAGAGAGGCTGACAAATTCAGATACAGACCACAAAACGGAGAAAGTTATTTAGATATGATTTATAGAATTGAACCAGCCATTGCTGAACTAGAAAGACAGAGATGCCCTCTTTTAATAATTGGTAGGTTTATTTTAGGTTTAATTTTCAATTAATCAATACTCTCAAAAAGGTCATCAAGCTGTAAATCGTATATTGTATTCATATCTCACTGGACTACGTCCAGAAACTTGCACAAGACTTCCAATTCCATTAAACACAGTTATTGAAATAATCCCTAACGCATATGGGGTGGAGGAAAAGAGATACGATTTAAATCAAGAGGTACAAAAAGAATACGAATTAATTATGTCTCAAAAGAAATAATTTAATTTTTGGTCTCTTTTGAAATTTGTAAGGGAATTGGAAGATTTCTTCTCATCATCATTTTGCTTTTTTTACATTCAGTTATTACACAAAGAGTGTGGAACCAATTATTAAATATTCCCTTATTATAGTTTCTCTTATTCTTGTTAACGTATTCATAAGTTGTTTGACCAGAAGAAATTAGAAACGAATGGAACACACTTAATGATCCAACAAAAAATTGTGAAAGGAAAATGTAAATCATAATAATAATTCCTCCAATTGAATATCTTATTGAATTCGAAACCTTATCCAAAACCACATCATTCAAATTAAAATAATATATCCAAACTAGAACTGTGTGAGCCACACAAACCAAAATCACAAACCATGAAGTGATAGTGGTACTAAAAATAAATAATATGAATGATCTGTAGTTTCGTCTGCCAATACAAGTGCCAGTCCAAGGACAGTGATGATCAAACTTTTCTACACAATTATCACATCTCCTGCAATGAGAGGCCCTTGGGGGACGATATATTTCACACGTAGCACAGTATTTAAGCTCAACAACGTCCTTGCTGTTTAAATAAACTTTTTGGAAGGGTGGAGGTTCCATTTTTCTTGAATTGTTTTCGATTGCACCTGCAATGTTTTTGTCAAAGTATTTTCTTCTTGGAATAATGCCTGGATCCGTAAAGCTTGTATAGAATAGGCCAACCATCATCAATATAAATCCAATCAAAGGTAAAACTAACAACACAACCCCAACAGCAGGATGAATGAACAAAATAAAGTGTGGCATTATTACAGGGCCATAGGCTATTGCAGGGAGAAAAATTAAAACAAGTGTAATAATGAACAATTTTCTATCGGGCCCGAGAATCAATCTTCCTTGACAACAAAGTGTATTATTTCCTATCCATCCTTCATATAACTTTAATGTTGTGTTGGCTATGATGTTTGTGGCTTCGGAATGTTCTGCATCTTGCTTTTGTTCTAACGCGACTGTGCTCATTTTTACTCTGCACAAAAAAATGGGGAAACACGCACAACTAGTGATTGGACCTGCTGGCTCCGGAAAATCGACTTATTGCCAAACAATTCAAGAACATGGTAACAATACAAAGAGAGTTATTCATGTTGTAAATTTAGATCCTGCGGCTGAGGAGTTTAAATATCAATGTGCATTTGATATTCGTGACTTGGTAACATTGGAGGATGTCATGGAGGAGTTTCAACTTGGTCCGAACGGAGGTCTAGTTTACTGTATGGAATATTTAATGCAAAATTTAGAAGATTGGTTCTCGGAAGAATTGAGTGATTATGAGAATGACTATTTAATCTTTGATTGTCCAGGTCAAATTGAACTTTACAGTCATGTACCAATCATGCAGTTATTTGTAAAGGAGTTGGAACGAAGAGGATATAGGGTTTGTTGTGTCTATTGTATGGACGTACAATTTATAGAAGATGTTACAAAATATATCAGTGGTATTACCCAGGCCCTTTCTGCAATGATTCAATTCGAGACTCCTCATGTCAATATTTTCACAAAATGTGATACTCTAAAAGGAAATAAGGAAAGATCAAACATTTTAGAAAAGCTAAAAGTTCCTGACAAAACTGAGCTTCTCTACGCTTTAGAGAAAGAAACCAATCCCCATAAGAGAAATTCATCTTTCTCCAAACTCAATCATGCAATTGTTTCATTAATTGACAACTTCAACATGGTTGGATTTCTTGAATTGGATATTACTGATGAAGAATCGATAGAATACATCCTCTCCTATGTTGATATGACTATTCAGTATGGTGAAGATGAAGAGGCAAAGGAACCAAAAGAAGAAACAGAAGAAAGCACTCAAGATGAATAAATTAATTCATCAGGTTAACTTTTTACTACGCTCTTTTTACTACATTGATTCCACCTGATGTGACTGTTCCAGTGAACCAATTTGCATGGTGATTGTATTTTGATATCTGACTGTTCCTGTTTGTGTAAGTTAGATCCTGATATTGGATCTTTACAAATATCACAAAGAACCTTAACGCCACCAGCAAATTGTTGAAGCTCAGTTGCTAGTTCAGGTGTTATATCCGAAATATTTGAATAATTTCTGTGAATATGTAAGAGTTCTTTCTTTAGAGTCTCATTCATTGGTAATTTTGGTAATGGTAGAGTATAAAGGAGAAGAGACATGATAATATCTAGCTTTGGAGTTTTGTAAAAAGGATATTTGGTTGAACTCGCATCTAAATGGTCTTTGATCATCTTGTACATTTCTAATTCTTTCATATTGTTGATAAGATCAAAGAAAATATACTTGTGTTGTACGCATGTGGACAATTCATTCAATAAGGTATCACAGAATGAAAATAATAAATCTCTAACAACTCTGGATTTTGACTCCAAACCAGTAGGATTGTACATTATTGATGGAACACTGTACATACACGACTGTATTTCAGGATCTGTTTCTCTTTCATAATCTTCTAACCTTATAATCTGATCCATGTATTCATTAAGAGTTGTTGCCTTTAGCAATTGTTCTCTTCTTGTTGGTAGATAATCATTCAATAAAAATAGACAAAATCGTCTCCAACTCATAGATGCATTTGATTTGAAGAGACGATAAAACATTGAACTTGCATTTTCAGAAGGTCTCATTGTAAAGTATCCACGCTTATTATTTGTTTGCTTGTCTATCAAAATCATGGCCTCATACAATTTCTCAACTGAAACCCAATAGGATGGATACTTGAATCTTGCAACATCCAATAATAAAACCATATCTTCATCAGGATTATATCCTCCAATAGGACTGAAGTGGCCATCACCTGTTTGATCTAGTGCTTTTCTTGAAAAGTTTACAACAATATGAAACTTTTGATGTTTACATGAATCAATAATATGCTGTCTAAATTGTTCAATAGTACTATTTCTGAATAACTGAACATCAAGTCCAGAACAAACAGAAAGGCACCAAAATTGTTCCATCTGCAAACCTTTGGTTAATACTTGGTCTCCAGAAACACAACAATTCATTAACAGATTTTCATCATAATATCTCCAAACACCTTTCCAAACTTGATTTGGATCACATTGTAAAGCATTTAAAATCATACTTAAACTTCCTAACCCGCAAAAAGCAGGTTCTTGTTGGGTGTGGAACTGTTCAGCTAATGAAAAATAATTTTCCATATATTGTTGTTTTAAACTTGATCTAAATAATTCTCTTCCTTTTTCCGAACTGAATGGTATTAATTTGTCAGATAATTTTCTCTTGTAAAACGAAACAGCACAAGTTGGTGCTGATTTAAAAGACCTCAAAACTTGAGTCGATTTAAATAAATTATTTGTCATTCCGAGTTATTGAACAATTTTTCAATACAGCATATGCGACTGGATGAATGCTATTTTTTTAAAATTTGAAAATGCAAAATGGACTCCATCACGCTTTCAATCAATCGAAAAAAAAAAATGATTCAAAATTTTAAAGTTCATTCCGAAGAAGACTTTTTCGATAATGGAGAGGAAGAGGTTCTAAATTTCTACAAGATGAGGTTTGTTGATCATTATTTTGATGACAATTATAACCTTTAAAGCCGAAAATTAAAACAAGATACTCACAACATTTATGCTAGACTGCAATCAATTAAAGAAGATTCTAATTTTGTTTCCTACGTTTTTAAGTAAGCATTCAATTAATCTTTTTGTTCATAATTTCAAAGAATTTATTCACTAGTACCAAAATTTGCAAATTTGAGATGTGGATTGTGGTATCATCATAGTTTTGATTCAACTTGTTATTTTAAATCTACTGATGGACACAGTTATCATTGGCAATTTTCATTGAATAGATTGAATCTACATGTTTTAAAAACTGCCCTTAAGAAGGAATGTTTAATGATTGTTGACTCAACAAGAAAGGGAAAATTATTTCCTGATAGTTTTTCAAAAACAATTCCAATATGGTGCTGTGTTATGAATAAGGTATTGAGTTATTTAAAATTTGGAGAAAAAAAATCAAATCTTAAACTTCCAACATGGGTTCATGATACAGAGAAAATTCAAATTGAAGAAAGGTTAGAGAGCTGGGTTGATTTTGTTTTAAATAGTGGTCTAGATTTGAAAGAATTTATTGAAATGTATACTAAACCTCTCCAATGTGTTTGGATAAGCAGAAGAACAGAATTGGAAAATACCTCCAAGTTTTCTCTCGAAGGGTTAGATTTTATTCCTATTATTTTAGTGAGTGCAAGTGATCCAGATCATCCAATCAAAACAACTAGTTGGGTTTATATTCAAGGTGAGTTTTATAATATTTAATTATTGATTTTCCCAATTAGGTGCCGGAGATGATCATGGTATGTTTTACACTCTTAACTGTTTTAGTATAACTATTTTACAGAGTCTTGGGCTATGGGGCTAACACCACAATTATTTTGGAATAACCACTCTGTAATACTCTCTCAAAATGTGCACAATGGAGATGAATGTAAACAAGTTATCAACAAAATACTAGAAAATGAAAGGAAAACATCATCAATATCTGATTCTCAACATTTACATGATTCCTGCGCCATATCAAGTCTTCATATCGACACAACAGAAAATTCAAATAATCTACTAGCTGTTAAAATTGGAAATTCTAATCTTTTAATTGGAAATTATTCTAATTGTGAGTACTTACCATTATTTTAATTTAACAATGGCTGCATCTATTAGTTTCCTCATTCCAAAGTCTTAATAGGCATTTTGAAACGAATTTAAACCAATCTGTATTTATTTGCTGTTGTGATACAGATATTGAACTCTCACGTGGAAAATGTGTTTTCCTTATTGATAGTAAGAAGCACAAGAGGGGTTTGGAAGAAGTTTTAGGTGAAATTCTATATTTTATAGAACAAGAATTGGAAAAGGAAATGAATGTGTATGTACTTGGAAGGACTGGAAAGAATGAAGAAATTGTTGTTGGATTGGCAGCGATGTGCTCTCTTTTCGATTCAGACAGTAAGTATTCCATTTTCAAATATTTGATTAGTTTTATTTCTGAAAAGATAATTTCGAAAAAAACAAACAAAATAGAGATTACACAAGGCAACATTTATGTGATAAACAAATGATAAGAAAGAAATTAATGTACATACAATCATTTATTAATGATGCATCTCCTTCCAGGAGCATGATGAAATCCCTCAACAGACATTTACTCTCTTAATAAAAACCATTCAAAAAAAATGAGTGAAAACAAACTTGTGCTGCCATCCATTTCTGGTATGCAAATAGAGTCACGTACTGAAAAATCTTTCCCAACGGATTTTTCATCCAAAGTTAATGTTTGTATTTTCGGATTTTCAAAAGAGCAAAAGGAACCTTCCAAGACATGGCAAAAAATATTTGCTGATTTAAAACGTGATGGGGATTGGAAAGAGAAGGATATTGACTTTAATGTATTTCCTTTGTTAGTACGTTTTGAAATTTTTAGTAATTAATTATTCTTCTTTTAGCCTGAAATGTATTGGTTATTGGCAAGGTAAATTTACATTTTTATTATTTATTTGACTTTAGAATAGAGGAATTTTTGAAGCTGTAAGATATGGGACTGTGGATCAAATTATTAGAGAAAGAACCTATTTGATTCACACAGACCAAGTTAAATTTAGACAAAGTTTACAAGTAGATTCAGATGAAAAAATCCTCATAGCTGCATTCCAAAAAGATGGAACTTTACTTTACAAATCAACTGAAGGTTCTTATGAAGCAAGCAGAGGAGAGGAAGTGATTGGAAAATTTAATGAATTATTATAAATTATATTTTAATATTATTATTACTATCTACACATAAAGCTCTGTACAGGCTTCCAAGAATTGATCAAAAGTAAAAGTAGCTTGTCCGTTTCTGTAAAAGTCTTTTGGTTGGAAAATATTTCTGACAATACCAACATAAACACAAAGTTCAATGTATCCATCAAAATTTAAAGATCCCTTTTTTTGTGTATCAACAGTTTGGAATATCTTTTGCAACACAATTGGTGAAATTCTGTAGCCTGACTGAGCAAGTGCTCGTGAGATTTCATCAAAAGATAAACTTCCAGACTTGTCAGTATCTACAAACTCAAATCCTTGCTTCATTTGAAGTAAATATTGATGTAATTGCATAAATTCCTCAAAATCAATTTCAGCATTATTATTCCTGTCAAACATTTTAATTAATCTTTTTGCACCTGTCAAAATTCTTGTACCTCATTCAATTAATAAAGACTTACATCTTTCACTGAAGACTTTTCCTGTAAATTCAGATCCTGGTTGAGTGAGTGCTTTTTGAAGCTCTATCCAAGTAATTTTTCCAGATCTATCCAAATCAACAGCATCAAAAAACGGTCTAAGTGGGTGAGATTGCATTTGTGGTTGATAAATACCATATTGTGATTGTTGATGGTTTCCGTATTGTTGTGGTTGCTGTTGATAACCTCCTACTTGTGGTTGCTGTGGTGGTTGATTGTAACCTCCTACTTGTGGTTGTTGATAACCACCATATTGTGGTGGAGGTTGTTGGTAACCGCCATATTGTGGAGGTTGTTGATAGCCTCCTGTCTGTTGATAACCTTGAGGTGTGCCTTGTGGAGCTCTAAAGCTTTGATTCATTTTTTTTTATTTTAAATTAGAAGAAATTAGAAGGTTTATTCCTTACGTATTAAAATGCATTTTAATAAATTTACTTGATAGGAATGTTATTAATAAATTATTTACTCCACCATTCACTTGCACTTCCTTTATAACAATAAACATTTTCAATGCCTAATTCAGAAAGGGTTTGAGCAGCCATTTGTGCCCTTCCTCCTAATTTGCAATAGACAATAATCTTCTTAGAGATTGTTTCATCATCTCCAAAGATAGATTTTTTAGCTTTGGATGAAATAAAAGCATGTGAAACACCACCATAACCACTAGATGCAAGAGTAGAATCAGAGTGAACATTAGGTTTTTCAAATCCTTTACATTTTCAGTTGCTAATCAATTATTCACAACTTACCATATGTTTGTTTAAATTGCTTATTATCCAAGGTCAAAAAAGCAGGTCCTAAATCACCTACAGGTATGTTGTAAGCTGATGAATGAATTGGAGGAAGTTCAGATGAATTAAATTCTGATGGTTCTCTCACATCAATTAAAATAAAATCTTCTACCGGAGTCTTTTCCTTGATTAGTTGTTCAACTTGTTGCTTTGTAATAAAACTGAATTGCATATTAATAGAGGATGTATTAAATCTCCTAATGGTTCCAGTATTTATGATCAACGATTTGGAATTTATTTTAAGAATTGGTGTGGTTAAGTGTTTGAACATTTTTTTGTATTAAAAGGTACTTTAACAATAGAGAATCATCAAGCACTTATTTGTGAACGATTCTTTGTCTTCAACAACTCTTGAAAAACTTTACAATAAATAAATATTCACCTTGAACCCATTTCTTTAAAACAATCTTACTTGCGAAACCTCCATTCTCTTCAAGACTAAGCAATTTCATAACCTCTTGAGGTCTATTATCTTCAATAAGAACGAAATAAAAAACACCATCTCTTGACAAAATGTCCTTAATCATTGGAATGAATTTATCAATAACTTCTCTGCCATCAATACCACCTGCATAGGCTGCTCTGACGTCATTATGTCCCATTTCGTATTGTTCGGATGGAACATATGGTGGATTAAATATAAGTAAATCTATTTTGTTCTTCATTCTTTGTTTAAATGCTGAATGAAAATCGGTAAGGACAACATCACAACAAATTGGGACTTGTTGTGGTGTTATCTTATTATTTTCCAATGTTTTTCTTGTCATCAAAGCAGCATTTGGATTAATATCGGAGCAAAGTAATAAAAATGAATAAGATGCATTCATTAATTGATGATTATTGTTTAATAATTTATAAAGAAATGTTGTAACATATCCACTTCCGCTTCCTATTTCAAGACAACATTTTAATCCACATTTCGAATTGAGTAAATGATTTACAATATAATCTTTTTCCAAAGCATCCACTAACAAATAAGTATCATCATTAAATTCATAAACAAGTTTGAAATCGGAAGTTTTCATGTGGCCCATATTGGGGTCGTTGATACTTTTTGGCATTTTTATTAATAATAATTGCAAATATTGTAAATTATCCACAACACCCTTTCTTCCCACTTGTAGGAGAGGTGTTATTTGAAGGATTTTGAAGTTGAGATATTGGTACTAGTCCAACATTACTTGGTTTAATTTCAGAGTTTTTAGCCTTTCTTTTTTCAAATTCTTCTACAATAGTGTCAAAAATAACATCAATATTCACTCCATCCTTTGAACTTGTTACAAAATGTTTGAATACAACTCTATGTGATGACGTGAATTCCTCTACTTGTCTTTCAGATATTACAGATTTTCCAAGATCAGATTTAGTACCAACTAGTATAATGAAACAATCCTCTGCTGGAGCACTCGTTTCCAATTTATGCACCCATTTAGAAACATTTTGAAAGGTTCCTTCCTCAATCACACTATAACAAACAAGTGCTACATTTGTGTGACGGCAGTAGAAAGAGCTATTCCATTTGAATGAATATTTAATGAACGAATACTAACCTCAAAGAATCATATCTTTCCTATTGATGAGTTAAATGATCAAGAATTTTCAATTAGCGTCAAATCTTACCTGACCAGCTTTGATGATTGATTTAGATGAATTTTAAAGCAATTACTAACCAGTATCCCAAAGTCCTAATTCTAAATGTTTTCCGTTTTTTGTTGGAATGGCTTTCTTCAAACATGTTAATAAATTCTTTCTCTCAAATACCTACTTTAAAGAATGAAGCGCCAATAGTGGATCTTGTATTTCCGAATGTATTATTTAAAAATCTAACCAACTTTTGATCATTGTAGATTTTTACTCGTTGATGACTTACCAAACTGATTTTTCTTAGAATATTTAAATTATTTAAAAATCATACCTGGTCTACTACAGTGTTATTGTATTTACTATTAATCCCTACCTTTCCTACACCACTGTCACCTGTTTTATTGGTTACTCAATCAGGATTTGTTTTAAACGTACCAAGCATGACAACTTTGATGTCCACTCCTTCATTCTTTTTGCTCATTTTTTAAAAAATGTCTAACGTTGTCTTTCATTGTTCGATAGTAAAATTGCCAGATGAAACTGTGGTTGAAAACTCCTTTGATATTGATAAACCAATACACGCCCAACTCGGAAATGGGCAATTAAAGTTTTTAGATATGGAAGAAAAACTTAGTGTGATGAATCCAGGAGAAACATGTGAGATTTTAACATTAGGAGAGGATCTTGTTAAATATAAAATTTCCATCAAACTATTACGAAAATATTCGAGTGATGGCAATGCTACGGAATGGGATTATTCAGATGAAGAGAGCTACAATATAGCTCTAAACAAAAAAGAAGATGGCAACTTATTCTTCTCTCAAAATAAGAATATTTCAGCTTCCAGATGTTATCGAAGCGGAATTAAACATGTGAGAAGGATCTCCAAATTGAAATGGGATTTAAATAATAGAAAGGCTAGGGATTTGTTGATCACTCTGTTCAATAATCTACTCACATGTGAGTTAAAACTTAAAAGATACTCGAATGTTGTAAAGTTTAGTACTGAATGTCTTGATAATATCGGAGAAAATGTTAAAAGTTATTACAAAAGAGGTGAGGCAAATATGAATGATGGAAATTATTCTTTGGCTAATGAAGATTTCAGAAAAGCTAAAGAGCTGCTACTCACAGTTGATTCAAATGCTGAAATTTCTGTAATCAGTAAGGTTATTACAGGCTCTCCTAAGACTATTGCAGCAGATATGTACGACAAGATGATCAAACTATTAGATTCGTCAATTCAAAAGTGCACTAAACTGGATCAAGATTACAATCAAAACATGAAAAACATGTTTAAAAAGATGTTTTAATTTAAGGACATTTTTTTGCTAAACATTGAGCAGCACCCATTTCATCAAACTCTGATTTAGAAATCCACATAGATTGAAAAGATCCTAAACTAGCAAGTATTGATCCACCAATGAATGAAGCATACTTTCTTTCTTGTAGTTGAGCCACTGCTGTTTGCATTGTTGATTGGGTTGAGGAGTTACCCATAGATGTGGAAAGTGTGTGAATATTTGCAGATATTTTTGTGTTGAGTGGATGTTTAACTTTAACATTATTTGGCGCCATTCTTATTAATTCGTGTTCATACCTTGTTGGTACACCAGGAATTAATGTATTTCCACCAACTAACAAAATATTTGAATATAATTCCTTCCTAAGATCCACGTCACATTTGTTGATAGAATCACATGTCAATTTTGCAAGTCCATATTCATGGTTGAATAAACGTTCACAAATTGAGAATCTTTCAAGACCAATTTCAATATCGTTTCCATCATTTAACTCAAAGCTCACAAGTGGTGTGTTTCCTGTTTGAACAGCTCCATCCTCTGATGCTCTTAGTAGATTGATCTTCATGTCTCCAACAATTCTGTTGATTGAATAATCATTAAAAGATTGTGTTAATCCGTCAATATGGTGTTCTACAATTTTAGTGGATTTGGAGCTTGGTTGTTGAGAGCTTCTTTGCTTAGTAAATTGATGAGGAGCAAGGATGTCCTTACCTCCCCTCTTTGTTTTAACTAGATTTCTTAGATCTTCGTCCAATACTTTTCCACAAACTTTAGTAGTTTTGATTGTGCTTTGACGAAGAGCCAAACCGTCATGCACAGATGTGACAGTTGTAGCATTATGACCACTGTCAACAACTAGGGCTGTGTATTTTCCATTTGCAAAACAGCTTAAAACTGGTTGTTTGGACAAGAAAAAACTTGGAATATTACATTTCTCAAAAACTAGAGATGCTAACTTTTCTCTTCCTGATGAAGAACAAAGAGGATCTTCTGACATTAAAAGTGGGTGTTCGTTCGGTTTCACACCTAGTCTTTCGTCATAAATATAATTTAAAGCCTTCTCAAAATAATCAATGTTTTGAACTAAACTTCAATAAGTCAAATAATAATAAATTATCAACATACTCTCTCCAGTATCTGAATTAAAGATGTTTTGTACTTCCATGCCAGGCCTTGCGAAGGAAATTTCCTTGTTACCCACATAATAGCTAGAAATTTTTGATTTATCATCACTGTCAAATACAGTACCAATCACCTAGTAATGTTGGTTAGAAATAGAATCTCGGAAAACTTACTGATGGGATGATCGCCTTTGGATTTTCTTCTCCTGCAAATCCAGCTTTAATTGTGTGAGTACCGACATCAATAACAACGGCTCCAACCTCGTCTCCACCAAAAGTGTTCATGATTGTTGTTTGATGATTTAATAATTTACACTATAGTTGATTGTTGCAGAAAATTGAGACGACCCACTAGTGTGTAGTTCTTGGGTGTATTTTTTATTTATTTTTATCTTAAAAAATTTAAATCAAATGAGTATGCAGGATGTTGGTGCAATTTTGTACGTTGTTGTCTCTCGGGGAAGTAAGGGTGAGTAAACAATTAATAAATATTATTAATAATTTTAAATTATAGTTCTTGCAGAGTTTACAAATCCTACTGTAAAATATGGTAACTTTCAAAGAATAACATTAAAGATTTTGGAAAAGATACCTTTGCAAAACTCAAAGATGACCTATACATATGATAGTTATAATTTTAATTATGAGGTTTCAGATGAAATTGTATTTTTATGTATGACTGATGGTACTTTCAGTAAGGCTCAGTCATTTAGATTTATTCAACAAATTAAAGAAGAGTAAGTAAATGAATCAATTTCAAATTAAACCTGTGAAAACAGATGGTTCAAGGAGTATGGAGATTCTGGAAAAACTGTAGCCAATAATTATGCCATGAACAAGTCTTTCAAGTCCACTTTAAAATCAAAAATGAATTATTTCAACAATGATCCTGAGGCTAACAAGATTCGTAAGATCAAAAATCAAATTCAAGAAATTCAAAATATTATGGTGATGAACATCGATAAAGTGATACAAAGAGGAGAGAGAATTGATATATTGGTTGGCAAAACGGATGAGCTTGTAGTTCATGCAGCTGAATTCAAAAAGAAAACTCACCAATTGAAAAATGCAATGATTTCCAATACTGTGAAAATGGCCATTATTTGTTGCATATTTATTGTAATTCTAATATTAATAATCTTCTTTTATTTCTGTAGTGGAATATCGTGTGTTACTGGTGGAGAGAAGGAAAGTAAAAGTGACTCAGAATAAATTATACTAAACAGCTTTATTTGAATTATTATTTTGTCCCTTGTAGAAATCGTCTTGTTACCAAATAGTCACCCCTTTTTGCTCAGTTGGTTATCAAGCTAGAATATTTGAACGGCCGTTTCTTAAATTTTTTTGTAACGTAATTGTCAGTTACATTATTGGTCGAAAATTATTTTTTTAATAAAATCTTACGAGTTTTGGCTAACGACTTTAATAAATTTAAAAAAAATGCAAACACTCTCCATGCCTTCTACGCCCACAAAACCGTTACATTCTGTTGCTCAACAACAAATTGCTGGCATGCCATCTTTCTGTGGTTCAGAACAGAATAATGGGGCCGGAACCCATCCCCACCATAATTTATTCATGATGAACGATTATCGTCAAGAAAACAACCCTCATGGTCCGAATACTCATGGCCCACCAAGACTTCCTGCCAATAGCAACCACATTTGGGATCAATGTTACAGTTTGCCAACTAACCCACAAATGAGTTCCTTCATTCCCAGCAATATCATGGATGATCTTTGTTTGTCTCCAACTAAGGTATCAGCTAGCTCTGGTTATTCCCCATTTGGAGGAGCTTCCAAGTCTATTTTTAATGGAAAAACAGAATCATTTCATCATACAGCAAGAAAGTTAGATTTTGACAATGTTCCATCAACTCATTCATCCTTGTTTTCCTCTCCAACTTCCCAAGTTGCTGCTTCTTCAATTCAACAACAGGTAAGACAGAACGCAAACAGTTATGAACTTTTTACTGATAATGGAAAGGGATCTTTTGTGAAACCAAGTATAGAGTATAATCAAACCCAATTGTTCAACAAGAGTGTTCCCAACTCCTATCATACCAATTATCATCCGCAATCACAACCAACCTGGAATAATTTCCAAATGGCAGCTAGTGCACAGCCAATTCAAATGTACAGTAATACTGGAGTTCAGTACAGACCATACCCAATCCAACCACCATTTTTGGAAAATGGTGGACAAAATCCTCATTTCCCTTCAAAGATTCCATATGCTCAACCAATGCCAATTTGTGGTTATCAAGCAATAGGCACTGATGTTATGTCACTAACCAACTCTTTTCACCAATGTACCTTGTCTGACAACGAATTGATGCCACCACCACCTCCTGTATTTTCAAAGCCTGGAAATCAAAGCAAACTGAGAAGATCTTCTTGCAATAGTAATTCCTCTTGTGGCTTGCTCTTAACTGAAGATGAAAACCTAAACAATCCAACCATCCATCATGCCCGTGCTTCTTCTTCTGGTAGCGTAGAACTAGATGGTTCTAATTGGCATGAGCCATTCGAGAAAGCTATGCAAACCAATAACTTACATCCTAATGGTTACAGCAGTGTTCCTAACTCGCCATCTCGTCATAAAAGAAATGGTTCAAGTGGCAGTAACAATGCAAGCAACGTTGCAACATTATCAATCAACACTAATTTGGTTACAAACAGCTCAAATGATAGCTCCACTCCAACATCCCCATCTAAGAAAGAATCAGTGGATGACAAACAAGCATTTAAAGATGTTCAGTTACTACTAAAATCTAACGAAAAGATTGGTTATGAATCATGTAGAAAAATCTTAATCAATCACCTCTACGATCCTAAATGTAAACTAGGTTCTCATATGCACTGGAGAGTTCATATGGATCTAGCAGACCTTGCTAAAAGAGAAAATCTTTTAAACGATGCAAGAAAAGAGTTCAGTATGGTGAACAGAATGCAACCAACAGCAAGCCAAGGATGGTTGGAACACGCCAAACTCGAAGAAGAGAGTGGAAATTATGAAAAATGTGGCAAATTGTTAATTGAAGGACTTGACAAGTGTAGGAACAATGAGTCACTTCTAGTGAAGGCAATCAAGCATTTCGAACAAGTTGATGATTTAAACACTGCACGTAGTATTCTTGGCAAACTTAAAGGTCAAAAACCTGAAACTTGTTGGAAAATTCTTCTAGAAGGGGCTCTATTAGAATCTCGTGCTAATAACGTTGATGTAGCTAGAAAGGTTTTCAAATATTTAATGAAAAATGTTCCTCGTCATGGCCCAATTTACTATGAAGCATTCAAATTGGAGGAAAAGTGTGAGCAATTTGAACAAGCTCTAAATATTGTAGAGCAAGGTCTAATAGCCAATCCCCGTTATGGTCCTTTGTGGTTTGCAGCTTTAAGACTTTATGAAAGGAAATATGACAAAGCGTATGATATCGAGACAAAAGAGTCTTGTTTAAATGACGTAAGACAATGTATTGCAAGAGCAGCCAAAAACATTAGTAAGGAATTGAAATGGAAAGTCTATTTTGAATTGGCACAATTCGAAGAGAGAGCTACTAATTTACAACTTGCTCGCAAAGCATACAGTAAGAGTGCTGTTAAGGCGTTGGAAAATCTAAGATGGAAAGTATGGTTAGCAGGATCAAGAACAGAGCTCAATGCAGGAAACATTGAAATATCTAGAATGTTATTGAACAGAGCATTGCAAGAGGTTCCTGCTAAAACTAAAGCTGTTGTTTTGATTGAATGTGCCCGTCTCGAAGAATTTTGTAATAATTTAGAAAAGGCAAGAGAATTTTTGAATAGAGCCAAATACGAAGCAAAACATGAATGGAAGGTGTTTTTGGAAAGCATCCTTCTTGAAATGAGAGCAGGAGATACTGACAAAGCAACTAATGAAGCTAAGGAAGCTTTGGAAATTCATAGAGGGACAGGAAGACTTTGGGCTGTTCTTATCCAACTTAAACATATGAAGGGTGATATTGCTGAGTGTTATCAAGTTTTCAAAGAAGCTCTCGAGGAAGTTCCTAAGAGTGGTGAAGTTTGGTGTGAAGGTGCCAGAATTGCTCTTAATCCTTTATCTCCAAAATTCTCTTTGGAAAAGGCCAAAAGATATCTCAATTTTGCTATCAAGTTTACTCCTCAATACGGAGACAGTTTCATTGAGTATCTCAGATTGGAATTACTTACCAGAGGGCCATCTGTTCCAAGTAGTGCTGCTGCACCAACCAGCTCTTCAGTAACTAATAGTACTGTAGCGATTCAGGAATATATTGAGAACATGTGTGTCAACGCTGATCCTAACTATGGGCCTCTATGGTTCCATTGCAAGACTCATCCTTTGGATTCTACTAAACAAGTTCTCAGAAGAGCTAAGGACATGTTAATGGCTGAATTAGTTCAACAAAAAGAAATTTATCAAAGAGCTATTATGAATAGGCACTGTAAGAAATCCAAGAAGCCTTCCTATAACACTTGCAGATCGTCAGATATCAAAAAGTTCATCACTGGTTTGTGTGCTCTCAATCTTATGTATAATAATCATAACTTGAGCTTTGAAATGAGGAAGAAGTATATCTACCTGAATGAAATATCTGTCTAGTTATTAATAAAGAAGCTTCCTTTTTAATGTCCTCTCTAAAAAATGTCATCCTTTTTTCGGCCTAGTCTCCTCTCTAGAAGATCTGTTCCAAGTATTGATTATATTATTAAGCATCATTCAGAAAACAAAGCGGATAACCTTATCAAAGAAAATGAAAAATTAATTAATGAGGAAAAACTAGCAACCCATTCTGAAAATTGTTTCAGTTGTAATAATTTAGAATTGGATGATGAAAATACTACAGAAAATCCTGATCTTATAAGCGGAATTGAAAAAGAATAATATCAATCCTCAACAGTATATCTGTAAAAAGACATAGCTATTCTACCAATTGGTCAAAATACTCCAAACAATCCATCTGGTTTAATAAACAAAAATTCTTTTGGTGTATCAGATTTCAAATCTATTCCAATTTTTTGTTCAATTTTTTAAGACGACTAAATTTTTCTCTCTTCATTACTTTATTTTTACAAAATAAGTTTAACGGTTCTTAAAATCAAATAAGCTGACATTAATAAAAAACCAAACTGTAAAATCTTGATACTTCTTTTAGATGGAAGCCTATTGGTATGTTCTGAAATACTTGTCAGAAAAGCTTCTCTAGTTGACATTGGACTATATCCTAATTCTGTCATAGCCTTTTCAGATGAAAATGAATGATTTTGCTCCATACAATCTACACAGTTAATAAATAATCACAAAGTTTACCTACCGATGGTCTCCGGAGCAAACAAAAATGATGCTCTTCCAAATCCAAAAATTGTAGATCTTGTCCAATTAATAATTGGTGAAACATATTCAATAAAAACCCTAAACCATGGCAGTGGTATAGAAAATAAAGGTCTTGGCCATCCAGTAGCCTCACATGTACAATCAATAGCCTCCTTCATTGTCATTGATTGACTTGGTCCAATTATAAACAAGTTGTTTGATGAAATATTACTCTCTAAAGCCTTATTGATGCATAGATCAATGCCTTTGCAAACATCGTTGACATGTACAAAACTTACTTCACCTTTTGCGCAGTCTCCAGGGTAAACTATTGAATTAAGGCTGATTTTTTCAGAATGATAATAACAGATCACTTACCCGAAAGCACTTGCTTGTATCAATTCAAATGCTGCATAAGTGTCGTTTCTTCCTGTTACTCCTGTTAATCTCAAAATATATAAGTGCTTTGGAGATCCAGATTTCAACATATAATTGTCCATCATTTCTTGTAGTTTTTTCTCTGTTTCCAGTTTTGTCTTTCCGTATTCGAAACTAGGTTCACATACAGAAGTTTCATCCATTGGTTTTCCTCTCAATTTAGAATATCCCATAGCAGCTTCATTGTTAGAAGAAAATTTAACCCAATCTTCTTACCTTGTGTAGATGTATAAATAAACACTTTCTTTTCTTTACTATCAAGAAACTCCTCAAACATTTTGACTGATGAGTCAATGTTAATTCGTCTCATCCTTTCAACTTGCTCTTTATTAAATGGATGAAAGTCCATTATAGCAGCAAGATGAATAACAGTTTGGCTGTTCTCATTATTCTTGTCAAACAGGTTTTTGATAGATAAATGATCATCTAGAGAAAAATTAAAATTCGAAATATTTGAGCATATTTGTGAAGAGTTAGTTCTCCTGTTTGCACTGATCACTAGATAATCCTTCTTTGCTAAATATTCGACTAAATGTCTGCCAATAAATCCAGTAGATCCTTTGATCAAACGTTAGTGGATCACCCAAACAAAAAACCTACCTGTTACAATCACTCCTTGTCTCATCAATAATTTTTTTTAGTTTATTTTTAGGACCATCATTTAAAAAAAAACAATGCGCACAAGATATAAATCTTTCAAAAGCGAAAAAATTAAGGAAAAGAATATTGAGGTTGGTGATGAAGATGAGGATGAGGTGATGCACCCTGGTGTAAATACGAAAGAAATCAATATTGTCTCTTTGGAAGGACAAAAACAACAACACAACAGAAATAATCTTAATACTCCTCAATTTATCAATAACCAACCACTAACAACAAACACAACTCAAAAACTTGATTCTTTTGCAGCTCTGGCCATGAGGAAAAAACAATCTCCATCAAATCTGTATACTAATAATAATTGTCCTAACAAAACATCAACCATCACACAAACCACTACAGCAGCACATGAGGAAACAAGAATACGTTCCACTAGTTCTCTACCAGCTGTTGAGCACCAACCCATGGCAGAATCAAACCCTGTGGATATTGCAACTTCCAACAAAGATGATAAGACAAAAGAAGAATCCACCACCAGAAGAAGAGCCTTTTCCCTTCAATTTTTTAAAAAGAAAAATGTGGAAGAAATTGAGCAAAAGAAGCTTGAAAAGAATGAAAAGAAGTTTGATCTGAAGAAAAAAGAAAACTTTTCCTTTGAAGATTTTTATGTAAGGGAAAAAAGCAATAAACTTCATTAAAGATTACAAACACAGGTGAAGAATTTTTTGTTTATTTAGTCATTTAGAGTTGGAGAGTCTTTGGTTGTTCCCATGGGAATTCGCTTCTACCAAAGTGACCATAAGCAGCAGTTGGTGAGTAGATTGGGTTCATCAAGTTCAAATCCTTAATGATGTGATATGGTCTCAAATCAAAGTTCTTATTGACAATAGCCAAAATATCAGCATCAGTCTTACCGTTCAAAGCAGTACCATAGGTATCAACGTGAACAGACAATGGGTGAGCAATACCAATAGCATAGGCAACTTGAACCAAACATCTCTTAGCCAAACCAGCAGCAACGACGGACTTAGCAACCCATCTTGCAGCATAAGAAGCAGATCTATCGACCTTAGATGGATCCTTACCAGAGAAAGCACCACCACCGTGAGCACCCCAACCACCATAAGTATCAACAATAATCTTTCTACCAGTAAGACCAGCATCACCTTGTGGACCTCCGATAACGAATCTTCCAGATGGGTTAAGATGGTAAATAGTAGCATCATCCAACAAATTGGCTGGAATAACTGGAACAATGACGTGTTCCTTCAATGACTTTTGGATTTCTTCGTTGGAAACAACTTCGTCGTGTTGAGTAGAAATCAAGAGGGTAGAAACTCTCTTTGGAGTGAGGTTACCACCTTCCTTAACATATTCAACGGTGACTTGAGTCTTACCGTCAGGTCTCAACCATGGGAGAGTACCATTCTTTCTGACTTCAGTAAGTCTAGCAGCCAACTTGGAGGCCAACAAGTGAGACAATGGCATCAATTCTGGAGTTTCATCAGAAGCATAACCGAACATGAGACCTTGATCACCAGCACCTAATTCTTCTTCAGTACGACCAACGTGGACACCACCAGCAATATCAGGTGATTGTTGTTCAATAGCAACCAAAACGTTACAAGTCTTATAATCGAAACCCTTGCTTGAGTCATCGAAACCAATCTTCTTGACAGCTTCTCTGACAATCTTTTGGAAGTCCAAAATAGCCTTGGTGGTAATTTCACCGAAAACCAAGATCATACCAGTCTTACAACAGGTTTCACAAGCAACCTTGGAGTATGGATCAAGAGCCAAACAAGCATCGAGGACAGCATCAGAGATTTGGTCGCAAATCTTATCTGGGTGACCTTCAGTAACAGATTCTGAGGAGAAGTGGAAAGTTTCAGGCATTTTATATGTGGTGTTTTTTTTTCAACGAACAAAAACAAATTTTCGGGTTTGCTGCGAGTTTTTCAACTCAACAACATTACTGAACAAGTGACCGCTTTGAAGAACAACGCAGCATCGTTCTAAAGAGCATCACTGCGAAAATTTCACTCATGTCATCTTGTTATCTTTGAAAATTGTAATAATATATTGAAAGAAGAATGAATATGTGGAAATTCACAAGGGTGTGTGAAAAATTCAACTTTATCATTGAAGGCACAAATGTACTATGGAAATATCAATGTACAGGTGGTGACCGCAACAAGATCTCTCAAAAAAAAGCTCCCGGCCACGTCAGAAATGCAAGTTTACTATTGTAAAAACGGTGGTTGGCCGTTAAAAACTTTTTGATTGGATCTTCTCGGACTTGTAAAATTTCCATGGAAATTTTTCGTGGTTGGGAAATTTGACAATTTTACAGTAATTTAGAAGCCTCAATAGGAATAATTGAAGCTGGTGGAAATACTTCTTAATACTCATCATGCTCAATTATGATTAATTCACAGTGAACTAATTTAATACAATAATATAATATTTATTAATAGAATCAATTTTGAAAAAAAAATGGGATTTGAATTTAGAAGATTTAAACCACTCACTTCCGAAGAGTTTCATCACAACTTTACTGAATATCAAAAAATGGAAGAGAAAAATGATGTGTATTTAATTGTTGTGGATAAGGAGGGAAATAGTGTTATTCCCGAAACTATTGGAATTAAACTTGCTTACATGTCACAATTTGAAATTAAAATTCGTAAAAAGAGAAAGAAATCTGGCATTGAAAAATGGAAGAAAATTCACTGTTTTTCAGAGAAGGTTGATTTATCTGATCAGGATAATCTACTCAAGAGTATAGAGAACCAATTAAAGATGAATCAAGTTTCGGATCTGGCACTCAGTTCAAATCATCACAGGGTTGTCTCAGCTAAAACTTGTAAAATTAGAAGAAATTATAGAAATTATGAGATTGCTTTCTTTTCATTGAAATTTGAGGATATGAACGAAACTCTTTATTTTAAATCAGTAAATATTGAGGGAGAGAAAAAGTTTAAAAAAATTGATAAGCAACTAGTTGAAAAGGATCTACCACTCTCATCTCAGGATGCTCAGGTTTTAACTTGTGGTTATCCAGAATTGCTTTTAAGGAAATATTTGAGTGTAAAATCAAATATTCTAAATTAAATAGTCCAAGCTTCCAATAATTCCTCAAGTCTAACTCTAGGATTCTTTCCATCACTATCAAATTTAATCTTACTTGCAATAGAACCAGAATTTTCATGTTTGAACAACATGACTTTGGATCTCATATCTTGATCTTCTTCAAGATCATTCAAGAATGCATCATAATCATTTCCTTCAGGGTCCATACAGAAATGGTGTAACTTCCAAATTCTTTGAGTTTCCCATTCATACTTCTTTTTAACAATAATAACATCTGGTAAAACAAGTTTCTTGTAACTTGCAAGGTCATCACTATTGAGATTAGCATTCTTCAAATCATATCCATAAACAGTATCTCCAACTTCTAGCAATTGAGTAATGTGACAGAATGTTTGAACATCTGGAGCAACACCTAATTCTGATGTCTTGACAAGAGACACTTCACTGAGTTGGAATCTGCCAGCTTGAGCAGAAATTGGCCTTCCTTTTTGATTCTTTTTCACCTCAATATCATTGATAGTATATTCAGCAAGTTGGGTAACTGACAATAGAGCTCTAAATGGTGATTGGAAATAGTTTTGAGCAGTAATTTCAAAATCTATAATTTTTCGTATTAATTGATATTTGAATAATTTAAAACATACTCTTGAGTGTGTATGGATCAATGAAGAATAAGCTATTTGTCACCTTATAACAAATAACAAGAGGACTATTTTCAAATTTCAGAAATCAATTAAAATTGATTAAATACATACCCAATTTGTCCACTACTGTTAAATAATCTTTGTGGTAAACAAACCAAATCTCCTACACAAATTGGAGCTATTTCAATGAAATATTGCTCATTGTGTTCAGTTGTAGGTCCTTCCAATGATGATGCCCCTCCAACAGCACCAATTCCTCCTCCTAATTTACCTTTTTGGAATGCACCTGTCATTACTGACTTATTTTCCAAATCTCTTATTGGCATTAAATTATTGATTAATTTGATAAACTTGATGACATTTGAACCTTCTTCTTGTGATTGATTTTCTCCACCTCCTTCTTTTTGCATTTCCTCGTTCAATTCAGAATAGGCATTTGGTTTATAATAAATATCAAAACCATGAGCAACTTTTTCAAAATGTAAATGTGGGAATTTTCTTGTAATTTGATGTTTTAACATTAATTGTTCAAAGAAGAATAAATTTCTTTCGTGAGATATCTTTTGACGAATTTGTACTACCGGCTTATCGGAAGAGTCAACAGTAACCTTCTTCTTTTTCTGATTAACACGATTGGCCTTCTTTCTCTTTTTTGAAGTGAAAGCTTGTTCTTGATAATTATTACCTTCATGTACTTCAGTATCTTCAAATTCTGAAATATTCATCATGTCCACATTCTTTCTCTTTTGAGTGTTTGCCTTTTCCGATGGCTGTTTCTTGGTTGGTGGTTTTTTGTGGCCTTTACCAGTTGCTTTTTGTCTCATGTTTTTTTTTGAAGTTGGTTTTTTGAATTTTTATTATTTTCTATCGATTTTAAAGAGAATTGATTCACAAACCACAATAAAAGAGTGTTGCATGGGAGAATAAGATTTTGGAGAGTTTGATATTTTAGAGAATACTTGATTTTCTAATGATGATAGACAAAGTTAAATTCATGCGTGTCAACAGATGTACCTTGATAGATAATACTCATTCCATTCCTGATATTTTTCACTTTTTGCGATAACTATTCCATGGAAGAAATGCAATAGTATTCAAGTTGTGCCAAGAATAAATTCAAGAGAATGAAAGAATATATTAAATAATTATATTATTGTTACAATGGGGTTTGATTATTGTGAACTAGATCCATTTTGACCATTCTCTTCTGTTGGACGATTTCGAAATTCGTTCAAATATACAATAAACTTAAATATTTGTTTCAAATAACGTTCTACAGACATTATTTCCAATATGTTGTTGTGACCGGCATAGTCAATAAATAGAGGTGTATATTTGTATTTCACTTTTTGTTGAAGTGATTCTCCATGATCGAAAGGAACTACTTCATCTACCTTTCCGTGGATTATAAATACTGGACATTTAACCTTGTCTATCCTATCTATATTTCGGAACATATCAAAGAAAATCTTCTTGCTTGTGTTCACTTTTATACGCACTACTGATGTGAATGGACTTTGCAGAATAACTCCTCTAAAGTTTGAATTTTCTTTTGAGGCAATATACGTGCTTGGTCCCGTTCCAAGAGATGTTCCAAACCTATTGTTTTTTCATATTGTTGTTATCATCATTATCATCAAGAAAATGTTATTGTTGTTGTTATTATTATTATTATAATGAAAAGATATTGGATCATCACAAGAAAGAGGATATGTCAACACTCATAGATTAAATACTTACACTATGATTCTATCCTCTGAGAAACCTCTTTCTTTCTTTAAATATTTAACAGCTGCTTCTATACTTGCGTAAACTCTAGGCTCAGAGCAAGTCACTTTTGGTTCTGAAATACCATAACCTTGGTATTCATATCCACAAACGTTGATCTTAAGTGAACTTCTAAGTAATTCCAGATAGGGCATTGTTTGACCCAAATCTGTGGCATTACCATGACTATACAATAAACAAAGATCAGATCTGTTTATCATCCAAAATTCATGATGGAATGACCATCCGAAAGTAATGACGTTGTATTTTAATTATCATCACATAATAATTAAAATATTTTAAACCAGGTCATTCAATTAGCCATCATATTACAAATAATAATAATATCATTATTAAAATATTGTTGTTGTTGTTCGTACGAGAGGTAATCAAAAATTTGATCTTACCCTTTACATTCCAAAAAAACAAGTGGTACCTTGACATTAACTTTCTGTCCTCTTTCATCTACTACTTTCTTATCTTCACATTCCAGAAAGATGTACTTGTCGCTCTTCGTATAACTTGCAGGTTCTGGAGGTTGAAATAATAGACGAGAAATGAGACCGCCCATTTTTTTAATTATTTTAAATTAAAAAATCAATTTTCCAACAGACAAACAACTTCTTTCGAACATCGAAAGTCATTGACCTTCTCTCTCAAGACCAAACACAGGAAAATCAATCTAAACAAGTGCATGTACTAAAGTATTTCCCCTCATTGCTATGATCAGTTAAGATCTCAAGTATTAGTTGAATTTTTTGAATCAAACTTAAGGCACAAAGTATTATATCCTTGAACGATCGGACGAACATTTTATTGATCGAATTGGAGAGTTTTGTCTCCGTTACTCAATCTTCTCCAAAGTTCCTTGTCAACATGGTCTTTACAATTATTGATGGGCAAAATTATGCCAAGCAGGTTTGAAGACATCTCGATGAATTGTTTTCTGAAAATGCATTCTTAATAGATTTGCTCATGTATTGTCCAAAGAAAGGCAAGTTTATCTTTTAATCGAACCGAATTGGCAACCTTTCCTAGTTAAAACGATTCATCTACAATTTTCTCATTCTTTTCAATTCTTCCAATAATCTTTGAATAACAAAAAATTCATTGAATTTTAGTAACTAAAGATTGCATTCGATCTTCTTGAATAAGAGAAACAAAAACTCTTCACAATTTTTCATCATGATTTCTAAACAAATCAAAATCACTTCAACAAAATTGAATAAAAAATGACTCATCACCCTACAGGAAATTCTCAACATGACAACTCTAATAATTCGGAACAAGGAGGAGCACCTCTTTCATCGGATGTTAATAGTAGTAGTAATGGACAAGCAGTTGTTAAAAATCAAGAACCTTTTTATAAAAGTGTAGATTTTAAAAGATTTTTGAGATTTGGAATTATTGATACTTCTATTTTGATGCTTTCTCTTGTTGCTGGTGTGTCAATTGAAGGATATATTGCCAAGAGAATTGGAGTGAGTGGATTTGGTACTATTGTTGGAGGTTAGTGTTTTTTAAAGTGTGTTGTCATTGATTCAAATTGAAATTTTTAGCTGCTATTGGTAATTCAGCAAGGTTAGTATTTGTTTTGGAACTATGAGAGTGTTAACACAACATTTTGAAAAAGTGATACAATTGCTGCCATGCCAGAAGGTTGGAAGGCATCTATGGTAAGTGATACTCAAAATAGAGTTTATTAATGATGATTTTAATAGGGTAAGTTTATTTTAAATATATTAAGTAATAATATCGAAACTCTATTTCAATCAATTGCCATCGTACTACAGGAGCTTTCACTGGAAGTATTTCTCCAACAATCCCAATTTTTGCATGTTTATTCATGAAGCGACCACTCAATAATAGAACCAAATTCATTATTGGAGCATCAAGTGTTGGACTCTTAATTCCAACCTTTTTCATCAATGTCCCTTCTGGAAGTTCTCATCATTAGAATTTGAGATTATTTGATAAAATTCTAAGGATTTAATACAATAGTATGAGTTACTTGAAAAAGAGAGAATGTAGGATGATTGAGATAGTCAACCAACATGTTGATGCAAATACTAGGAATTCAAAAATAAATTATTTTATGTACATAAGTGAAATATTTTACAATGCTAATAAAACCATGAATCTTAATTATGATTAGTCCATTAAGCAATAATACAACCTCCTCCACTGCTACTTTGCGAACTGGATGACGCTGGTTTATACTCATTCAATCCAACAAGAATTGCTGTTTGGAGAACATTTTGTAAATTATCAGCAGTATAGGCAGAGCATTCCAAATAGGCAGCAGCTTTAAGTTCCTTTGCCAGCTTTTCTCCATCTTCCTTTGTTGTTGGCACTTGTCCTTCCTTTTTGAGTTTACTCAAAGTTTCTTCATCATTTCTCAAATCTGTTTTTAATCCACAAATAACAATTGGTGTTTTTGGAACATGTTTCTTAATTTCAGGATACCAAACAGTTTTGACGTTGTCGTAGGAATCTGGAGACACAACTGAAAAACAAATTAAAATCACATCTGAATTAGGATAAGATAGAGGTCTCAAATTCTCATAACCCTCTAAAATAATTTTCAATCATCTCAATAAATATTTAAAAAAGTAAATTTTTAAAATTACCTTGACCAGCAGTATCCCAAAGAGAAAGAGTCACATATTGTCTTGGTTTATACTCAACACTCGAATCACTATAAATTATTAAAAACTCTGTCCAGAGAGAGGAAAGGGAGCAAAACTTACTAATTTTCAAAAATTGTAGGAACATATTTGGCTGGAAATTCGCCTTTGGCATATCTAATTAATAAACCTATTTAAAATATTCCAATAAATAGTTTCGAATACAATTGTTCATTGTTATTATCATCAATCCAATCAATATAATTACATCATCATTAAATTATCCAACCTCTTTGAAAACTTACAAGTCTTTCCAACAGCACCATCACCAACAGCAACACATTCTATTCGAAATATTAAACTTTGCCATCACTTTCTAATAAAACTTACTGCATCGTTTTTCAGTATCTAGCCACACAAACCAAGGCCGAACAAGCACACATTGTCAACCACACAATGAAAAGAACAATCATCACTTACCCATTTTTTTCTTATCGTGTTGTTGTTTAATAGCTTTTGCTTTTATTTAGAAGTATTCGGTTGTTTATTTTCCTAAACGTTTGACAAGCAGGATCCCGTAAGCACATAAAAGAGTTCTCTCTCAATGATATTTGGCTGATCTACCAAAGCAATCTTTCACTTTGAATTGTCAGTTGTTTAATAGTAATTACTTGCTTGTATGAAGAACATGCTTTTGATGATGAAGATAATTGTTGTGTTATTTTGGTACCCACCTGGAAATGTTTTGACTTTGAAAAAAATTGTGTGATCATTAAATTGATATTATTATTATTATTTTTGCTTATTGTTGCATTCCAGGAGTTGGTTGTTTTTCATAGTGCGGAATTGATTATTGGAAGAAGAAATAATAACATATATAATTAAATTAATAGTAGTAGTAATGAAAAATATAATAGGATCTGAAGCTGAGGAAACGAACGATCCTAAGGATTGTACTCGGAGAAAAAAGTTTAGAAAAAGAACAGCATTTGCACCTAACAAGTTAGCCTATTTGGCATATACAGCAGGACAGCATGCCAAAAGTAGGAGGTTAGAAATAGGTATGAATTTTAAATAGTATTAATAGTAGTAATAATTAATTTAATAATAGCAAACCAGTTAAGAAACGAGGAAAATGTAAATAGTGATGAGTATTTATTTGAAAATGTAAATAGTAATGCAGATTTTTTGGATAATATTTCACAAAATTCGAGTGGAAGCGAATTATCACCACGTTCACCAATTAATTGTGGAAATTCAATATCAAGCACACCAACTTCATCTTTCTTACAGGATGATGATGAATTTATAGAAAATTTAGACGTGACAAATCAATCAGGAGAAGAAGGAGAAGAGGAGACACCTGTTTTTATATTCGATATTAAAGGAATTAATTCATTGAATCTTGGAATTAATATACCGAATGGAGCAGAAGATTTGATAAGCAATAAGGCCATTTTAAAAAAGGATTATCATTTGGTTCATTTCCTTCAAAATCTGAAAAAGAGAAGACACAAAGAATGGTTTAGAGCATTTAGAGATTTTACCAATTCGAAACGATCACAAAATCAAGGTGAAACCTCACTCGTTCTTGCTTCAGATTCAGTAATGGAAGAAAGAATTGATAATCTGATCAAAATGTTCTCAAGACAATTCTCAATTAAAAAAAAATGAAAATTCTTGTCACACTCATTCAACTAATTCTATCCAATCAAAAATTATCTGTTGTAAATAAATATTTTATTGAGATACCACCCCTAGTGATTGTCTCAAAACTGTAGCATACGAAGCATTTCCTTGAACCATTTCTGGACCTACTTGTTGAAAGAGTTCATCCCTCTTTTCGTCCATACTACTATTAGAAGCACTGTCACTCGAGGAAGATCTTGATGAATTTGTTGGTGAGCGAGAATTTTTAGCTCCTCTTTGGTTTGATTTTATGATTTTTGAGATTGGTATCTCAGAAATTGAATTTGTTGGTGAAGTACTAGTATTTGGAGATTTGACCTGATCATCCTTTTCGTGATTTACTCTGTTTTGAATGGTTGGATGGAAGAATTTGCAATGATAGCCATATTTACATCCCTGCTTATATGAATAGTGACAGGTACAAAATGTTAAACTATAAGGAATTTCAAATAAAATGTACAAACCTTTCCACTCAAATAAAATGTACAAACTTTAGGTTGGTAAAATGACACCTCTTCGTCACCATCTTCAAACACTTCACTGTACATACTGATATTTGGTGGAACATATTTTTGTTGATGGTGATGATGATGAGTATTGGTATTGTGATGATAAGAGTTAGGGGAAGTGAGTTGTTGTTGATTTACAAAATAGGCAGGAGGTTGTGGCATGACTTGACAATAAGGAATCATTGGAGGATTTGAAATTAATTGTTCTCTTAACAAGATATTATAGTATATCATGAATTCGTTTGGTTGAGGGTGATAGTAAGAGCATTCGATTCCATTCTTACAATATCCATTCATAAAATATTTACAAGCAACATTATATTGCTTTGGGTCGATATCATTCATTGGGTTCATAATGATTGACACACTTGTCTGATTGTGTTGTTTTTGAGATGAAGAACCACGAAGATAATATTGATTGGTTTTTTTCAATGTGTGTGAGGAAATTCCCCATATGAATGAATCGCTATCGGCAATACAGTCAATTTGTCGCCGCAACAATTTTCTTTCATCTCAACCTCACTAATTGACCATTTTGATTGACTCTTCTTCATTTGAATGCAAAGTCAATCTATTAGGTTCTTTTTGACTTGTTGTATAAACAGGATATTGAGATAAACATTGTTGAAAGGTTCATTCATATCACGAACCGAACGATTCATATTGTTGGGAAAATGTAAACACACTCCCAGAACAAGGATTCTCTTCTTATTTTTCAACTTATTAAGAACACAGTCTGGAAATGGTAATTTTTGAAAGTGTGAAAACGGGACTCGAAAAAAATTGGCGCTAAATCTCTGATGGAGTGTGTTTACATTTTCTCAGTACATTTATGTATTGTTTGCAATTCTTGAGATGCCTTAGACAAATCGGCTTTTCATCTGATGAGGAATTTTTGAAGGAACGAATTAAGGAGGAAATTTATCATTTTTTAAAAATAAGGGAATTGATTACATGTAGATAGCATTCGATGGTGTTGCTTCATTATTTGATGGAACTGGACCCGATTTTCCACTAGGTGTTGAAGAAGGCACGTTAAATGTTGTTGAGACAGAATTAGATGGACTGGTTAAATTGGTCGTTGGTACAGGAGTTGGAGATGTGACAAAGGGTCTATTAGATGGAGGTGATGTTGGAGAGGAATTATTCATGTTATTGTTATTGTAATTTGGAAAATAATTGTTATGATGAGAATTTGGAATATTTTGTGTTCATTTAAATAGTATTAAGGTTCATTGGAAAGGAATGCTGGTAGCAAAGAACAGTTTGGTTGAATGAGTGTTGTTTGGAATAATTGATTTTAATATTTTTATTGATTACGAAAATGATAATCAAAATTTAATAATATCATCTTGAAAAAAAATGACAGGAACAACTGACAGCATGCCACGGTCAGCTACATCGGGAAGATTTTTAGTGATGATACTTCTTGTTGTTGTTGTTTGTTTGATGACAACACAATCGGCTAACTGTAAAAAAATTGATGTTTTTGATGTTCTGGTAAAATATTTGAGGAAACCAGCAAGAAAAGCCAAAACAATGAATGCTGCAAAGGCCACAGACTCTTGTACTCTTCAATGCTCATCCGGTTCTACTGGACAACATGAATATCAAAAATGTGTAGACTTGTGTAAAGTTCAAATTCCTACAAAGAAAAGAAGCTCTGGAAATACAGAACTTTATGATACTTTGGCAAGCAAGATTTTGAAATTTAGCCAATTCAAGAAATTGATCGAAGGACCAGAAAATAAGACAAAAGAAGTGTCTGAAAATTGCCAAAAGTGTTTGGATGTTTGCATCAAAGATAAGAGAGGACCAGCTTGTTATGGACAATGTGGATTGAAATCTTATTGTACATTTGAGGATATCAGTATTGCACCAAATCTCTTAAATTTTGTCAATTAAGTTGATATGTTATTATGACAATTTTGGACAATTCTTTTAAAAGAAAGTTTTTGAGAAGGAATTTCATAATTTCTTTCGATTTAATCTTTCACATTTTCATCGTTTTCAAAAACAACACAACATTAAATTCTTTAATCTCGATTCATAATCAATTACATTCTCAACAAATTTTGTGCACTCCATAAATCGAAAATCAAATAATAGAACTTCTTGATTACAAAAGGAGTTTTAACATTGAACGAATGGTGGATTCTCTCTTAGCGTGCGAACAATTTAAAAAGCAAAATCAAAAAAATGTCTAATCAACCTCAACAGGTATCGGATGAGGAGAGTATTGGTGGAGCAGGTGATCAGGAGTTTACACGAACACAATCATCAACACACGCTGAGAGAGAAAATATTTCGGAAGAGGAAGAAGCTGATTTATCATCAATTCATGAAATTGTTCAACCCCAACAAAAAAGTTTATTCAGGAGATTATTTATATTTGCTGATTATCCTATTGCTACATGGTTTATTATAATTAATGAATTATGTGAGAGATTTGCTTTTTATGGATTTAAAACAATCTTGTCATTATATTTAAAGAAGTATTTGCTTTTTTCTGAGGATAACGCAACTGTAATTGTACACTCATTTGTATTTTTAGCTTATTGTAAGTGTTATTATGAAATGTTAAATATATTGAAATTATCTTAGTCACTCCATTGATTGGAGGTTTTTTGGCAGATGCTGTTTTAGGAAAATATTGGACTATTGTAATTTTGAGCTGTATGTTAAATGATTATTTAAATATTCAAATAATTAATTAATCGAATAGCCATTTATTGTCTTGGACAAATGGTTATCAGTGTAACTGCTATTGATGGGTTGACTGGAACACCACCTCATTGGTGGGGATGTGTGGTCGGTTTGATTTTGGTTGCAATTGGAACAGGAGGAATTAAATCTTCTGTTAGTACAATGTATGTTTATTGTTCACAAATGTAAAATATTGATTCAAATATTTGGAATTTTTCATTTATACTCAATCTTTGGTAATATTAGGGGTGGTGATCAATTTAAGGAGAATCAAACCGAATTAATTGCTTCATTCTTTGCTGTATTCTATTTTAGTATTAATCTTGGATCAACTGTTTCATCATTTGTTTCTCCAATTATTAGAACTAGTTTTGGTTATGCAGTAGCCTTTGCTGTTCCAGGTAAGTACATACACCCTTTCCTTTCACATCAATACTTCTTTCTTCAACTTCAAAAGCTGTATTATTGGTTATTGCTACCGCCATCTTTGCCCTTGGTAAGAGATGGTATGTCATAGTTCCTCCAACTGGATTCAAAAACAATCCACTTTTCAAATTTTGCAAAGTATTGGCCACAGCATTCTCATTATTATTCAAGAGAGGAAACCAACAACCAATTCAAGACGAATCATCTGAAACTGTACCACTAGATGATGAACCAAAGAATTGGATTGATAGGGCTGTAGTTAAGCACTCAAAGAAGGATGTCTATGATGCCAAATGTGTTTGGAGTGTATGTGTAATGTTATTGCCAATTATTGTGTTTTGGAGTTTGTTCGATCAACATTCGAGTAGATTCGTATTCCAAGCTGAATTGATGGACAGAAAAGTTGGTACATATGAATTTGGAGCTGATCAAATTACCACTTTAAATCCTGTTCTTATTATCTTTTTGGTCATTATATTCGATAGAGTAATTTACAAATTCCTCAACAAGTTTGTAAGTATTAAGGAATATTAATTTATATGAAATAACACAAACCCTTTGAATCCTTCTAGTTCAATTTGACTCCATTGAAGAAGATTTCAATTGGTATGGTAATTGCTACTCTGTCATTTGTTTGTGCTGCTATTGTTGAGACCTTTGTTAGAATGCGTCCTCATCAAGTTCACGTTGCTTGGCAAATTCCTCAATATGTTTTATTGTCTGTTGGTGAAATTTTGGTTTCTGTTACTGGTAAGTAGTAGAATTCAAGTTAACATTCTCATCCATTCATTCATGTACATCAGGTATCGAATTTGCCTATTCACAAGCTCCAAAAGAAATGAAATCTCTCATGCAAGCCTATTACTTGCTCACTGTTAGTATGGGTAATGTAGTTGTGGTTATCGTTGCATCAATTCCACTTCCTGAAGCTCAATTCAAACAAGTTTATGAATTCTCTTTCTTTGCCTTCTTGATGATTGTTGCCCTTGTTATTCATTTGATAATGTCTAGAAAATATCACTACAGAAAAATCAAAACTTTCACAGAGAATGGAGATGAAGTTAAGCCAACCATAGCCTCACCACCATCCAACATATCACTCGATCAACAAGTTGAATTGGATGATAAGGATCTCTAAAAGAATCTCTTTTACAAATACTCAACATCATTTCCTCAATATAAATTTGTGCTTAATATATTCTATCACTCAATCTCACACAAATAATAATTGTTGCGTTTGTGGGCATTCATTGATTTTCAATCTCGGTTATGATCAAGTGCAAGATTGTTCTATGCTAGGAGTTTATCGCTTTGGTTTTGTCCATCATCAAAAAAATCCACAAAAGTCCGTTCCCTCGGCCACACCAAAATTCTTCTTCTTGAAAAACCCTCAAATTCTAACAAGTGGTAGTGTTGTTGGTCCTATTCTTCTTCGCCACACAATACTTCACAATTGATTTTTTATTTCAAATCCTTCGGAGGAGGTAATATTTAGATTAGCGATAAATATTGTGTTGATCATCACGTTCTTCTCCACCCACAAACGTTCAAAATACAATTATATTTACAATAGCAGCACAACAACAACAAGAAAATATATTAAATAAGAGGATGGGAAACAGTGCAACAAAACCAGGTTTAATATCTAAAATTGCCACATCAACAAGTACCGACTATAATGCTGCTCGGTTGATGATGGCCGAAGAAGATTATGATGATGAAACTGTAGAACCAGGCTTGATGATTGATTGCAAAGATCAACTATTGAAATGTGGGCAAATGGTGGATGGACAATATAAAATTGAAAAGCTCATTGGAAAGGGAACATATGCTCAAGTTTATAAGGCAGAAAAGAAGAGTGGTAATTATGGAGAAAAATCAAATGTAGCAATCAAGTGTTGCTATTCGAGAAATGATCAGGATTGGAAATTAATTACCTCAGAAATTTTAGCAATGAAGAGCCTTAACCACACCAATGTTCTTGAGTTTTACGAGTATTTTGAAATCAAAAAAGATCAAACAATAGATACACCAACCACTACAGAGGATTGCACCCAAAGGAATGAACCACTTGTTGGTATTGTTATGGAATATTGCAATAATGGATCGATTGGAGATTTTCTTAAAAGAAACAAGCATGTGAATGCCGATTTTTTAACAATGATCGATTGGTTTATACAGTCAGTCAAGGGATTAAGCTATTGTCACAAAATGAATTTGTGTCACAGAGATATCAAACCACAGTAAGTTATTCTTCGCTTCCAATCAAAAATCTCAATACCAAATACAGTAACATTCTCATACACTTGCCTCCAGACTCAACCAGTCAGGTAATTAAGTTGTGTGATTTTGGGCTTAGCTCACTTCTTCAAGATAAGAAAGAAAAACTCAATACTTTCTGTGGATCTCCGATCTATGCTGCTCCTGAAATTAATAGACTTTGCTATACTCTTTCTGTTGACATTTATAGTTTGGGAATTTCGTTTCTAGAACTCTTCTCTAAAATTGAAAATAAGGAATTTCATAGTAGAATGTACAATAAGAGTAGAGACGTATCAGTTCTAACAAAAGTAATTTCAAACATACCTTTAAAATGTTTGCAAAAGATAATTACAGCCATGACCCTATTTGAACCCAAGGAAAGAATAACTGGAGAGGAACTACTTGCTCATCCAATAATAAGAGCTCTCGAATCTACAATATTAATGTCCAAAGGTCTATATTCTGCAGATAACTTGGAGAATGCCAATGAAGAATATATTGAAACAATATGCGAATTATTAGGGTTTTACCATAATGATACTTCAAGATTTGAGGTTCTATTCCAGCAACTTACCCAATTATTTGAGTACAAACCTCGATTATTTGTGGATGTTGTTACCAAACAAATTAATCAAATTGGAGACGAATTTCTTTTCACCCAAGGAGTTTCTTTAGAAGCTCAATCATGTATATTATTCATTCTAATTTCAGTTGCTATTACTCTTTGCTCACAAGAGACGCCAGTTCCAAAACGTCATTCCAGTTTAATGGACAAAAAATCCTCACTGTATAATGTTTTTGTAGATAGTTTAACGGTAATTAGTGAACATTCACCTCATATTGGCGAAGATGTTGAGCTATTGAAAACTAACATTCATCTAATTGCGAATATTAAGCAATTTATACTCGAGTTTGCAAATATTGCAGGTGAAACTATTCAGACCACTATTCTAAGCTTCCTAATTCAAACACTAATGATGGATACAGCAAATAGATCTCCAAACAATTCATCCAATAACTCACCAAAAAATAGCTCTCCTACCTCATTATTTACAATTGATGATAAGTCATTTGTTTTCAATTTGATTAGAGAAATGGTCATTCGATTTGAAGCATGTAAAGAAATTGTAATTTTAAAAAACAAACAAATGCCAACTCCTTCTACCACAACAATGACAAGCGATCACTACGCTGCTAACAGAATTTCACATTCATTTGGATCATCAACGACTGAATACCTAGTAGCTCATGAAGAAACAACGACCACAACCACTACAGCATCAATAGTGGATCCGGATGAAACAGCAAATGAGATACTATCCTCAGAGGCATCTATTGAACTGAGAGTTGCTTTCCTTCGTGCTATTCACCAACGATTACTATCCAGTCAAACGTGGTGAGGGAAATAGGAACTATGTGGAACTTAATAAACACAAGAGATCAATCAGATTTTGTAAAGAAAAAAAATGTCACATCAAACCAACAAGATTAAATTTCCAAATCAACTCGATAATTTACAGGTACTTTGCGAATTGGTTGGATCATCAAAACCAAAGAAAGTTCAATGTCCGGAAACAAATAATACATTTGTGATGAAAATTGGATTTAATGCAGAACATATGCTGAATGAATTTAGAGTAAACTTGTGTTATTCGAGTTTCGGATGCAATATTCCTCAAACAGCCATTTATTTAAATGATAAATTGTCAGATCTGACACAGGTTGAGAAGGCACTGAAATCTGACTCCTCCTCACAAGTGACAGTCCTCTCTCAATTTATTGAAAACGCTAAAACATGGAACGAATTCCAAAAAACAAAATCAAAAGAGGAGTGTAATATCGTCAGAAGAGAAATTAGTCGACATTTTGTTCTTGATTGTTTATTTGCAAATAGAGATGTTATTGGAATGGATGATAGCAATATTCTCATTTCTGAAACTGTAGGGCATACTCCCCAATTCATTGCCTATCGAATTGATAATGGTGGAGCACTAAGTTTTAGAGCTCAGGGAAAGAAGAAAGATGTTGGAGAGTGGCAAGAGTTTGTCTCTGAAATTAATCTCTTCTGTGATGAATCATTTAACAAAAACACAGGGAATATGTTCTCTGGATTTGTAAATCAAGATTCCATTCTCCAACAAACTCTCGAAATTATGAGTAATGCAGAGAGATTGATATTTCCATTCCTGGAACCAACTGATGTTCAAATAGTCCAGCAACGATTGGATTATCTTCAGAATATTCTTGGAATGTTTGCTGTTTCTTCATCAGCTCTCAGTTCCAATACTTTGGGAATTGTGGATGATCAATTTGATGAGGCAACAGAAGTCAATCAACAACTCGTTGCCTCTCTCATGGAAATGGGATTCTCCAGAGAGCAAAGTGAGATGGCACTCATAGCCTCAAACAATAATATTGAAACAGCTCTTTCATTCCTCTTTAATTAAACAAACTCTTGATGGTTCAATAAAATCTGACAACACACACAATTTCTTGTTTGCGCCATTTTTGTTTTTTAAATTCAAAAAAAAATGAATCTTCTTCTGAGTCGCTTGAAGTTATTGTTGTTCGCTAAGGCAACTTTTGTATTCAACTTGTTGGGAATTGTTTTTCTCGTCCTTACCTATAAACCTTACTGCTCTGATAATGGTAAGTTATTCGGATCAGATTTAATTTATTTAAAACAATTAAAGCACAAGGATCATCACTCTTTAAAAAAGTTTGTGTGCCTTGCCCTGAAAATTCTCTCTGCAGTTTCCGTAAAGTGATTGCATGTTCATATGGATACAGCTTTAGACCTGAAAATCAAATTTGCATCAAGGATAGCAAGCAATCTCTTGAAGCCCATCAACTCTCTCTTCGTGCTCAAAGATTTATTGAAGAATCAGCCTTCCGATATGAATGTATTGGTGATAAGAATGCTTCTTCTATGATTAGTGAAGATGAATTGTTTGAATATTCAATCTCTGAAACAACAGGATCAGAAACCTATTTGAACAAATTATTTGATGAAACATTGTCATTGATGATGAAACATTCAAAGGTTTATCAAATTGCAACTGATGGATCCCAAAATTATTATTCATTCAAGTTCCAAAGTCTTGGTGCTTGTTTGTTGGATACTTATGAATTCACTAGAGAAGCAGATCCTTCCTATAAGAAGAAGGCAACAATTGTTTCAAGAACTAAGGCTGCAATCCCTTCAACATCCTCTAATGATGTTGTTCCTTCTGAAAAACTCCAAAGTTTGGAACAAGAAAAGAAGGAATTGAACAATCAACTCAAACAAACCAAATCTGATATGAACAAATTGGAAAGAGAAAAGATCTTGTTGGACAATCAACTCAAACAAGATAAGTCGGACAAGGAAAAGTTAGCAAAAGAAAAGGCTTCTTTGGAAGCTCAATTGAATAAGGTTGTTAAGAGTTCAGGAGAAGAATCATCCAAAAAGGCTGAGGAATTAAGATCTGAATTGGAAAAGAAGAAACAAGAATATGATGCTTTAATTGAAGAAGAAAGAGCTAAAGCCATCAAGAAACAACAAGCTCTAGAAAATGAAATTAAACAACTCAAAGAGCTCAAGACCAAGTTAGAAGCTGAAGTTAAAGCAATTAACACTAAGAAAGAATCTGATGATTACTTTTAAAAATTCCTAGGCTGTAATAAATAATTATTATTTACATAATTTCAGGTTTAATTAAATCAATCCTGAACAAAATTATTGTACAAATACAATTTAAACTCTAGGGGTATTTAGCTATGTACATGATGATGTGTGATAATAGAATTATTCGTCCTTCTTTTCTTCTTTCTTTGTTGATTTCTTACCACCACCTCTCTTCTTCTTAGGAGCGTCAGCTGCTTTTTGTCTCTTTTCGTGAGAGTTATTACTTGTTCTAGATGACTTGGTTGCTTCTCCCTTCTTGTAGTCAATATTGGCTCTTCTTCTTGTACCAGTGACAATATTTGAAGCATCAATTGAACAGGAAATCTTCTTTTCTGGATCGCTTGGCTTTTTGACCTTCTTTTGTTTCTTCACACCCTTTGTAGTTTTTTCAGTACTTGGTGTTTCTTCTTCAGAAGCACTAGCAGCTTCCTTTTCTTCTTTCTTATTCTTCTTGGCAGCAGGCATTTTGTTGGTGGTGATCAATCCGATAAACAAACACAATGAGTGTAGTGATTGAGGTTTTTTTTTTGAGTATTAAGAGCTACTTCGCGATTGACGAGTTTAACGGTTTTTACAATTTACCAAGCCTTTGACCGTTACAAAAAAAAGGTGTCTCCAAATGTTCAACACAAACTGCCCTTAGGAAGAACCAAGCGTAAAATACAGTTTCCAAAAATTTGAAGCTCTTCACTGTTGTGAATGAATCAGAGCAAGATGAACCATCAGACATCATCTAGATGAGATCTAACTGTGTAATTATGATACAGATAGTTATCTTTGATCGGAGGGATTATATTAATTGATAATAATAATTATATTTAATAGTGATTAAATGTTGTTAATAATTAACTAACATGGCAATTTTGATGAACAATCTCTTCTCATTAATCAATATATTAAATTAGAAATGGATATTAGACAGTTCTATCACATATTTCATCAGCCGGCACTTTGATAAAGGGAGATTGAATGTGCCACTTCTCCTATCAATAGTTGTCTAATGATTCATCTCTTCGCGTTAGTTGGATTAATCTATTTGAGTGCGATTGACTATGAAAGCACAGATACCAACACAACTTCTATCATCAATTGTTGTTTGTATGGGTAGAGATTGTATTTATCTCAAGAAAAAGACTTAACAAGAAACATCTATTATCATTGCAATAATAATAATATTATCAAATTGATAAAGAGGAAGTTAGAATTAAATCTTCATCATCAAATCCTTTATTCTCTCTTGGAAGGAGTAATAATAGTATTAATATTAATAACAATAATAGGAAAAACACAAAGGAGAGGAAATAATGTCCTCCTCATCTCTAGTACTGAATTCCATAGAGGAATCTGGAAGAAATATTACACTGGATGAATTTAGAACATCGATTTCTTCACCACATGTTGGCACGCCTGGAGAAGGAATGGATATTTCCATTCACTTCTCAATGGAACCAGTAGTTAAAACAACACCCGCTCATGTCTATGCCCTTAGTGACGGTGAAGGATCCATTACAGAGAGACATTTTCCTTCGTCTCCTCTTTCTACATCAAGTAGTCATGTAAAACGAGTTTCTAAAACTCTCGTTGCTCTTTCTAAATGTATACTAGTGAATGGTAATAACAACAATGTTTCTTCCCCTAGCTCACCAACTAAAAAGGAGCAATTGAATGGAAGTTTCTATGCTGATAATGATTGTGTTATTGTAGTTCCTCCAGGATCTGTTGCTGAGTCTTTCAATTCATTGAGTCCTCGTGCTCCAGAACTATCACCAATATTGTCGAGTAGTGGTAACATTGATGCTAAACTGGTGATTGATAGACTTACTGAAATGATTAAAAATAATGAAATGCCCTCAACGAGAAAAGTGACACCTCAAACATATTCCTGCCCAAGCTCTCCAAAGTCTCCTTGCTCTGACTCTTGTAGTACATTCAGTCAGGACGATGATTGTGATGGTACTCTCATTGGACCGAGTGTTATACAATGTATTACTAATGAAATGTTATGGCCTCAACACTCTTTTTGTTCCTTATGCCATTTAGCGGCCAAGTATAATAGTGTAGAAGTTTTGGGATGGTTAAAGGATTGTTGTTGTGATGAGGAATGTACTGGTAGCCATTCAACTACTACTGAAATGCTTGTAGAACATACGGTTCCAACTCCTGTCGATGCGTCAGCTGTTCAATCTGTCTCCCCTTACTCTATCAACGATTGTCAGTCACCACTCTCAGGCAAGCCAACTCCAACAAATGATACTTTTTCTACTAACTCTGTAATTTCCAACACTACCTCTTATATGTCTGGTCATTTTCATAATAATGATCATCAACATAATTCCTCTTCATCGCCTTCTCATCAAGCTCACCACTCTAATAGCTGTTTGAATAGACAGAGAGAGTTATGGAGTATTGTAGATAATCAGTCCTCATCACCATTAATGTATGCCGTTCATTCAGGATCTCATGATGCTTCCGTTTTTCTTTGTTCTCAGCCAACTGTACAGAATCAACTCAATTTTACACGAGATAAGTTTGGAAATCTTCCCATTGTTCTAGCATTGAAAAAGAGAGATTTTGAGTTGTGTGACATTCTTCAATTATTTGGAGCCAAGATAGATACTATAGGTGGAGTTCAATTGGGAGAAAGTTTACTTCATTCTGCTTTGAGAGAAAGAGATGTGACTACAGCCGAATATTTAATAAGAAAGAATCCAAAAATTATACTGAAGAAAAATCAAAGAGATGAAATCCCATTATTTAGATGTCTTACAGATAATAGACCTACCAGTGTGAATAAGCTAATTACCATTAGTCTTCCTGGAGATTCTCAAAAATCTCCCAGTCTTAGATCGAATAGGGTTTCAATTAGAGAGACTCATAAGGTTGGAGAGCACTCTCTTGCACTTTCTCAATTTTTGCAGAAATCAACCGAGTGGATTGATATCGAGCTCATTGAAAAGTCAATCAGCTCTAAAAATTCGTTTGGAAGAAACTTACTTTTGGAGGCTGTTGCAATCAATGATGTTGACTCGACTAAGGTGATTTGTGAGTTTATCAGCCAAAACTATTCTTCATTTGAAACACAAAGCAATTCAAAAAGAGTCAAATCTTACGAGGACATTATTTTAGATACAGATAAGATTTACTTTATGAATATAATTCAAACAGCAGTTTCTTCAAGCTTACAAGTTATACAGAACAGAAGAGAGGAATTTTTATATGTATTTGCTGGATTGAAATGGTTGATAGACTGGTTAGATAGCATGTTTAATCAACCATTCAGCACAATATCTTTGCATGGTATGTTGGCCTTCAAAGATTCGAGAGGGTTAACTGCTTTTGATATGGCGAGTAAGGATAAGGAATCTTGTGCGTTCAGTACAATAATGTCTCAATTTCTTGTTGAGACAGAATCAAGGTGGAAACCAACCAAAGCACAACACCAATCAATGGTTCTTACAAAACGACGTTCATCTATTAGTTTATCTGCCAAAAGTACTTCCTCAACTCCCAACAGTCCTTCTTCTCCATCAAGTGGTGGACTATTCTCAAAGCTCAAATCTAAATTTCACAAGCACACATCTTCAAGGCAGTTAAAATAAACAATATTAGATTTTGCTCAAGTCAACTTCTGCTAGAATTCCCAAATGGTCCGAGACAAGAATTTCCGAACCATTCTCCAATTTGGTTTTCCACTCAATAAGTTTGTAGGATAACTTGTCATCATTTGTTTGTTTTGGTACTGTAACTAGCACTCTATCCAAACATTCATCTTTGTGAGTTTCTGGATGTGTAGATCTATCACCCAAAACATCTCTAAATTCATATTTTTCATGGTATTGACTACACACTCTTTCATTCAATTTTCCCATAATTTCCTCATAGAAAGGATCTGATCTCGAACAAATATTGAAATCACCAGCAATTACAATAGACTGCTTTTCATGTTTGTTTTTTAAAAAGCTTGGCATGGTACATTCTCTAACAAATGTTGTGAGCTCATCAAGTTGACCTCTTCTAACTTCTGTATCGTGTGCATCCATATGAAGAGTGAAAAGAAAGATAATTCCTTCTTGTGGATGTCTCACTTTTGTGAACAAAATTCCTTTAGCAGTGACATAATCATTCCACGAAGCATTTTGAAAAACATAATTCTTACATGTCATGATTGGAAATTTACTCAAAATAACCAATCCAGAATCTTGACACATTGGTGATGGATCATCACTAATGGCCACATGATAATTCAATTTCAATGCCTTCTTCACCAATGTTGAGTGATAGGAATTACTAAACATTTCCATCCAAACATTTCCAAATCTAAAAACTTCTTGCAAACAAACAAAATCAAATTCTGGACAAATAAATTGTTTAGGAACAGGTCGTGTAGGAGTCTTTCGTATTGCTTTTCCATTATTATTCTTCGGAAGAGTTTTTTCCGATTGACTTTCATCATCTGTTATTTTCACAGTACATCCCTCCTCTTTCAACTTTTGCATAAATCCTTCGGTTCTTTCCTGTTTGTGTGGAGGTGGTGCTTTACGGATCGCCAAGGAATTGATGAGCCATAAATTCTGTGTGAGTACTTTCATTTTTTTTAATTTGGTTTTTAGAATCACATTGTAAACAAGTTCATTATTTCAATAATTTAAATAATTATTGAGTTTAGTGTATTATAATTATGTGAAAGAGCTAATAAATTTAGGGATAGATAATGTATCTGGTCCATGATGAATCATCAGTATTCTTTTCATAGACAATTCTGTCAGCCATTCTGTGAAGACCTTCCTGATAGAATTCGAAACGTGTTGGTTTGACAATGTATCCACACCAATAATCTGGACATTCTGATAAATCCTTATGGGAATTTTCTTCAAACTTCTCCCACATGCCTTCTCTTCCCATTTCACATCGATCTGATTGAGGACATGTGTTAATATTAACTCGATATTCTGGAACTTCATTCTTATAATTTTCAATGACCTTTTCTCTGGAAACTTGATGGGCAATTCCTTCAACTCTGACTTGTCTAATAATTGGCAATGTAAACATAAAATTGAGAGCTACCTTATTATTTGTCTGAATATCAATTCCCTTTCTTGATTGACCATTCGTAAAGAATGTAAATCCTTCATCATTAATTTCCTTACAAATAATCTTTCTACTCGAAGGTTGCAAACTTTGTGCATTACAAGTAACAAAATCAGCCGAAATATTAGCAATCATCAATTTTGTAAGCATGGATTGCTTTTCAATAATTCCATTCGATTCGGAAATGTTCATATTTTGTTTAATAAAATCATTACTCAAACCCAACCAATACTTGTACTTTCCAATCGGATCCTGACTATAAACATCTTGATCTTCATTATTCAATGGAATTTGATTTTTCCATTCATCGGCACTCGATAAAAATCCAAGCGTTAAGCCACGTGGAAGATTGGTCTGATTCATTTTTTTTTTGATTTTACAATGAAGCATAGTTGTGGTTACTTTGTGCTGTGTGGTTACTGTTAAGTTTGTTAATGAGGAACGAATGAAGAGAAGGTTCGGATGTTACCTTATTAGTAGATAATTTACAGTTCTTAATAAGATATGAATCCGATGCAACTCTATGTGTTGTGGAATTTTGAAATTTGTCTGTATTCATTAATATTCCTGATAAGAAATGCTCTTTTTAAATTGATTGATTCATATTACATTCATACTACATGGTGTATGTAACATTTTCTCCAGATTCCATTTCAAAAAAAATGTTTAGACAAGGAAAAGTGGGTCCATTCGCTCTCAAGTTAAAATCATCATCCAGTAGAAGATTCTATTCTAATCAATTTGATAAGAATGATGAAATTACTTATTCACTCTATGAACAAGGAATTAAAATCAAACATTGGACTTGCCTTCCAGCTAATCGGAGTATTCCATTTGCTGAGATAAAGGAAATTGTCATTCCAAATTATAGTGCACGAAGTAATAATTCATATTTGTGTGCGATAGCAAAGTATGATAGGGAGATTTATGAGGTGAGAACTCGATTGAATGAAATTTATTCACTTTCACCAAGAACATGTTTGGAATTACCTCAATTTAGCAAGTGGTATAAGATTTTTACAGAACGCCAAATTCCAATTTATGATCAAGGATCTGATTGCATTTGGAAAGATATTAACAAACCATTTCTTTTTGATAAAAAGGTCACAATAAGTGAAAATATTGAATTATTACATGAGCATTACAAAATTCCAAAACAAGAATTGAAAGAATTATATGAAAAAATTGAAAATCCAATGAATGAGTATGTGAAATTGAATATTGAGAAGTTCTGCACTCCCCTCTATTCAGATCTTTACATAAAAAAGGAATGGATTGAGTTGGGATTTTCAGATACATTGGCAGCCATGCAAAGTTCAGAATTTAATCAATTTGCTATTGAGTTTACTCTTAAATATGAGGATAGATCAAATTGGAAGATTGTAAATGGTGTTAATGTTTTATAAACCATGTTAATGAGATTATTCTTAAATATTTTTACATCATGTAAGGTCGCAATTCAACAACTTTCGGATATTGATAAAAGGGAGGATAATTCGGACTGTTTGATATCCTTACAATCAATTTATTCGAAATAGAATTGAGAAAATAGAAGAAACAATACTTGGTTAATAAATTATTTAATTGGTGCCTTTGTACAAAATTTAAATCTCTTTACTCATCAGTATATTTGGAAGGTGAAAAGAATGAAAATATTTCCTCATTCATTAAATAAAAGTTTCTATTATCATAAACTTCCATCATTATTTTAGAAAATGCTTCTGATCTTTGTTTGATAATTTCATCAGTTTTCCAATTGATTAATGAATCCCATTTTTCCTTTTCTGGAAAAGTTAATGTTTCATTATTATATACAATTTGTCCTTGTTTCAATCCAACCATTCTATCAAACAATTCCTTGAAATGAGTATATCTTCTCCTCAGTGTATAGGAAACAATTTCCTTCTCCAACAAGTAACTCACTTTCACCAAATAATAAACCGAATGTTGATTGGAAAAGAATGAAAATCCATCTCCTTCACTGCCACCCATCTTTTCAGTTCCTGCAACTTGAAACGATTGGAAATTTTGAATCTTTCTCTGTAAATCATTACCTCCAACTACTGATGGAGTAGATAGGGACCCTCCGATGGAAATACTTGTCGTGTTGTTGTTGGCAGTAGTACTACCTTGAGAAGCCAATGTTGTTGTTGATGAGGATGTCTCATCCTGTAAAGGAATATTAACAATAACTGATGAAGAATCTTCTTGGGGCATCATTTTTTGATTTTTTTTGAGTTTTAGTTTTTCAAAGTTTTCTGAGGGAAGAGAAATCGAACGCTCGGGGTTGATGTTTTAGTCCGATTATGGCGATTGATTATTAATCCTGTAGTGCGGTTCATTGAGTGAGTGGATTCGTGTTTTTGCATGTGCTGTTGTGAGGATTGTAATGATGGAGGGGATTTACGGTTAATTTCTTCAAAAATTGGATATTGAGCTCAGTACTGAGGTTTGTTGTTTACAATGTTTGTAAAAACATGTTAATTTATTTCCTACCATGAATCACTCACTTCAAAATAAAGCATAAAAACTTTAGGAATTCCAATATATCTGTGTTCTTCTCTAAATCCACCTCCATAAGAATTGTAACTAAAATAAAACTTGAAACTTTGTAAAGTAGTTGGATTGATATTGCAATCATTTCTCAAAATTTCCTTCAATCTTGCAAACCATTCAAACTTTTCAAACTCTTCCAAAGTATTCACTTCCACCAGATCGGATTTATCACCAAAATCTCTGTTCATAATCTTACCCAAACTTTCTGCATTAAATTTTGTAAAATTGGTAACTTCTCCTTCTCTCAAATCAAAGAATTTAGTGATTTTATCGTTTGTGTTCATCACTGTTGGATTTTCTTCTTGAATTTGTGAGAGGTGATGATAAAGTGATTGCGACATTTTTTTTAAAGTTTTTTTGCAATTAGATGAACTTGGGAACAGGAATCAAAATGATGTTCAAGTGATAAATTTATTGAAATCAAATTGATTGATTGGAGAATGAGAGAATTTTTTGTACACAATGAAAAGAAGACGAGTTTATTGTCGATTTTGAAGTGTTGTTTTAGTTTACATTTCAAAGGTTTCTCTGTGAATGTGAAAATGAACACCACTTTCTTTGGCAACTTTTCTGGAGGCATTGTAGACATCGATATTCATTTGATTTGGACCACAAACAATGATTGCAGCGCTGTTATCAAAGCATCCAACTGTTTCTGATATTAAAGTGAGATATTCTACAAAGTTAGGTCTTGAATTATAGTGAACTCGATTATTGTAAGCATCTGATGAGTTGATTTTCAAAGAATTTGATGCAGAAGAGGTTACGTAAAAGGATTGTTTCACATTCGAATACCTTTCGAGTAGTGATGGGAACATAGTCATGAGGTTTTCATCTTTCATTGTCCAAATAACAAAGATATTCTTTTGTAATGCGTGTTTTGAGTTATTGGTCAACTCTTCAAATATTGCATTAATTGGAGTCACTCCAATTCCACCAGCAATCAATACAACATTCGAATAAGAATTGACATCAAGAGATAACTTTCCATAAGGACCTTCAACTCGTGCAAATATTGATGAAGCACAACATTTTCTCTTGACTGCAAAATCTGCAACATCTTTCGACCATCCCTTTCCATTATTTTTCACATGGCAAGTAAATTCAACGCTCTGAGGTAGCTTTTCATAGCTGCTGATTGTTAATGGATGTGATTGGAAGAGTGAAACTCCTGGAATGCAAACATGGACAAACTTGGCCATTCCCAAGCTTTCAGTTGACCACATGCCAAGGTTTGATTTCTCAAAAACAATCTTTGTCACTTGGCACTTTTCATCATATTCCATTTTGACAACCTTTGTTGGAAGAACATAACCAAAAACGAAACGAAGTAAATAGTCAACTAGTAGCAAACCGATCGCAACACCAAGAACTGGCAATGTTCTTTCCCAACCTCTTGCATGAATTGAAGAGAAAACCAAAACAACAGGAGCCAAGATGACATGAACAACCTTGAATAGTTCCCAACACTTTCGTCTGATTATTTCAATTGAGAATAAACTCATAATGACCATGGCAATCCATGCTATTGTTCCAAACAAGATATATCCATTAGCTCTCACACTGACAAGTCTTTCCAGATTTCCTTTCATTCCCATTGGTATGGCCATGAATATTCCATGGAGTGTGGTTACAAGGAGAGTCAACAAGGAACACCACTTGTGATATTTGATTGCTCTTTCGAAAGAGATACCAAATATAAAGACAAATGCTGAGTATCTTGTGATTGGTAGGATGGTTGTTGTAAGAGTAATGACACTTGCGTAACCAAACGCTTTCCCAATTTTGGATAAAATTGGTGAAGAGTTGTTGAAATAGCCGAAACAAAACCAGACAGAAGTAAGCATGAGATGAATGATAATGAGTGTAATTTCACCAATGGTCAACTCTAAAATGGGATTCAACCACGAACCAATAAATTCGTTTCTAATCAAATTTGAAAATTTTGTGTGAAAAACTAAACTGATGAAGAAGTTCTTTTCCTTCCTTGAAATGAACACATAGGACATTCCAGCTAGGGTCATTAAAAGTGCCACAGAACCTGTTGCAATCAGATGGAACTGTATCAATGGTTGTTTAATCAAGTTTAGGATACCAACATGAGTCATTAAATTAATGTTGAATTGACCATATGAAGAATGAACTTTTGTGACATCAATTGAGTTGGAATTGATTGCCCAACTTATTCCCACAGTTGCATTTCTTATTGGTTTGTCTGCCAGAACATCACCTGTATCAACCTTTCGAATAAATTTCAATGTAGTTACCCCATTCACAAATGAACCTGTGACTTGCAAAATATCATTGGTACCTCCAAATATCGAATCATTCTTTGGAATTGATTTACCAGGCATCCAATCATCATAAAGAATTGGCAAATTATTCTCCTGGTCAAAGAATCCAATAAAACAATCGGCTTGATTCATTCCAGTCTTGTTAAAATCTAAACCAATCGAAAGCCATCCACGAGTTTTAGCCACTATGGCCATCTCGATAATGTCATCACCTTGTATAATTCCTGTTTGCTGAGTGTGAAATTTCCAATAGAAACTTAGCATATCTGTTTGGACACTTGATGGATATTCATTGGTAGACACAGTGATAGTGTTCATGTCTGAGAGGATGTTTGCAATGAGCATGCATAGTGATATGAGAAGGAGGACTAATTGTTGAACATTCCATGAAAGATTTCTTCTGCAACTTGTAGATGACATTGTGTTGTTTCGTATGGTTTTGTTTGGGTTTTTTCAAAGTGGAGTAATGATATTAAAGGGTCAAAAAACCAAATTCTTTTTTAATAAGAATGCAATAAACTAAAGCTTTCGTCTGGAGAATTTAAACAATTTTCACAGATTTTGAGAATTGTAAGGAGGCCGCTTTTGTAATTCCTCCAGATTTTTAGATGGATTTTTGTTGAGTGGAAATATTGAGTTGTTACTAGAGGCATGAAAGTTCTACAAATGGAGTTCCATGATTATTAAATAAGTTGTAGAAACTGTATTCGAAATTCTAAGTTTGGACAAAAAGTGTTTCGTGCAAGTTACATGGTCATAAATTAAACCTAACTGGGATTCATACGGATTCCATGGTATTGAAATTTCCTTAATGGGAAGTCTACAGTTTGTTTGTCAACTATGAGTACGGACTGCATGACAAGGTCAACTTACAATTGGTTCCTCAACACTTTTAAACAAATTCCATTTTATTAATCACAAAGCTTACAATCTAACATGTTTCAGTGCACAAAATAATCTCTGTCAGAAAAATAAGCTTACTGGTACAGTTATATCTGCATACCAAATCAATTAATTTGGACGGTTGATATAGAACACAATTATGAGAGAACCAATAGAAAGTATGAATATTTGCAAGACCAGATACACAAATCCATTTAGAATTTTAAAAAGATATTTTCTGTTTATCCGACTACACACCAATAAATACGAAAATAATGAGCTTTATTCTACACGCGCAATATATGATGTAAACAACTTTGACATCATACCCATTCCACTTGAACTGTTTCAAAGAAATTTCATGAAATGCATACAGTCTTTTAAGAATTCAAGTTTGACGCCTCCTGTCCCTTTACCAATTTTAACCTGTAATTTGCACAAACCTAAATGGTACTTTTTGAGATAATTAAAAATGTGTCCTTGGATACGGTTAGAAAATAGGAAACCCATGCCATTTCATTTTCATGAATACTATAAAGGTTTTTTATAATGGAGTTTTAAAAGTAATTCAAGTTTGGACAAAAAGTGTTTCGTGTAAGTTACATGATCATAAATTAAACCTAACTGGGATTCACACGGATTCCATGGTATTGAAATTTCCTTACTGGGAAGTCTACTGTTTGTTTGTCAACTGAGTACGGACTGCATGACAAGGTCAACTTACAATTGGTTCCTCAACAATTTTAAACAAATTCCATTTTATTAATCACATAGCTTACAATCTAACATGTTTCAGTGCACAAAATAATCTCTGTCAGAAAAAAAAGCTTACTGGTACAGTTATATCTGCATACCAAATCAATTAATTTGGACGGTTGATATAGAACACAATTATGAGAGAACCAATAGAAAGTATGAATATTTGCAAGACCAGATACACAAATCCATTTAGAATTTTAAAAAGATATTTTCTGTTTATCCGACTACACACCAATAAATACGAAAATAATGAGCTTTATTCTACACGTGCCATATATGATGTAAACAACTTTGACATCATACCCATTCCACTTGAACTGTTTCAAAGAAATTTCATGAAATGCATACAGTCTTTTAAGAATTCAAGTTTGACGCCTCCTGTCCCTTTACCAATTTTAACCTGTAATTTGCACAAACCTAAATGGTACTTTTTGAGATAATTAAAAATGTGTCCTTGGATACGGTTAGAAAATAGGAAACCCATGCCATTTCATTTTCATGAATACTATAAAGGTTTTTTATAATGGAGTTTTAAAAGTAATTCAAGTTTACAACCGGATGACATCCAGGTTACAATAAAATTAAAAAAAAATGAAACAAGCAATCAAGCAACTCATTCGCACTTCCAAATCTTGTAAATTTTCTCCTCTTGCATCTACAAGTACATGCTTGTCAAGTACAGTGTCGATGACATCATCATCATTGAATAATATTTCTCGCAATTTTCATTCCGATCTTATTCATGAAGCCTTGCAAGAAAATTCCGAACAAGCACAAAAAACAACACACTATGCTACAACATCACTCGGAAAAACAACCAAAACACCAACAATATTCTATCAACGATCACCTGAGGAATGGGTTAAATTATTTAAATTGAGACAAGAATATGGAATTATTGGTCATATGGGATTTAGAATTGTAGATATTCCAAAAGGTGAGTTTGAATTAAAATTATATTGATGGAAGTTTGTTAAATATTGGTGGAAAAAGAGGGTGAATTGATTGCTGAAATGACAGCTTCTCAATTCCACATGGCTCCAAATCAATACATGCATGCTGCTTCGATTGTGTTTTTGGCTGATACTGCTGCTGGATTTGGATGCTATTGTAATTTACCAAGTACACATCACAAATTTACAACAATTGAATTGAAATCCAATTTTATTTCATCATCAAAGGTTGGAAAACGTGTGGTTTGTAGAGCTCAATTAGTTCATGCTGGTAAATCAACTCAAGTGTGGGATGCTCTTGTTTTTGAAGATGAATTGGATAGTGGAAAATTGATGGCTACCTTTAGATGCACCCAAATTGTAATGGATTCTAGAGATAAACAATAACAGAGCAGCTCAGTTTGAAAATAAATCAATAGAAACCAGATTATTGAAACAGGTAATCTAATTCAATAGTAAGATTTTAAGGAAGTGCATGGCTACGGCCATATCACGATGAAAGCACCTCATCCCGTCCGATTTGAGAAGTTAAGCATCGTCGAGCCACATCAGTACTGAGGTTGGAGACAACTTGGGAACCTGTGGTGCTGTAGTCTTTTTACTTCATAGTCAATAGTCAACCAATAAATGATGTGCAAGGTTTTTTACAAAATAAAAAAAATGTCTTTACAACCTCTCAAAGAAACCATCACAATAGGACTTATAGGGGATTATTCTTATTTTGCTGAACGATTTTTCAAGCAATTTAAACTAATTTCAAAATCCAGAACCATCAATTTCGATCACATTGTTTCCGATACGAGTAAATTAATTCAATTTGTGAGCATTGCACCTTTTCAATGCTCCATCACAAATATGAACAAGGCTTTGGTAGTCTCGGATTATGCTATTATAATTGTAGGAACTAATGTTGATGAGGATATCATGAAAAAACGATTAGTAGATTGTATTCGAATGGTGAATTATTCGTTAATGGATAGAATTTTATTGGTGGTGGATGATTATAGGAATGGTAAATATGATGATGATAGAGGTTACGATTGGATTAGAGAAGTGATTAGAAAGGAATCAATGGTTGAATTTACCTATGATATATTATATTGGAATTCATTTGACAAATTAAATGATTGGATCAAGTCGTTGCCTGTTAAAAAGGATATTGAACGATTGGCTTCTCAACCTGTAAGAGTGCGAATGTTGCAAACTGTTTATGCTTATGGTAGAAAGTATAGGCAGTTTAGTTATTGTCTTTTTAAAGTATTAAGTGGAATAGTTCATCAAGGTCAGGACATTTGTTTTAATACCAACAATGGAGAAAAAAAATTTAAAGTGAATGGCCACTATAATTACTCAGCTCTATCTAATAATATTGAAAGGCCAAAAGTATTTCTACCAGGTCAAATATTCTGTGTTGCCAATTGTTTAATGGAATTGATTCCTGAAGATAGTTGTACGGAGTATAAACACTTTATTAGTGGAAATTACTACTCTGAAATGACCAAGAAAATTAAGGTAGACTCTTTTTGGATTGAATATACTCATTTCGGCTCAAACAATATCAGTAAGGAAATATTTGTAAATAGAATATGTTTGATTTTTTGCAACTCGAAACTATGTGGACGAATAGAACGAATAAAAAATTCTGAAGGAAAGGGAATGAGAATTGAGATTAAGGTGTTTGACAGGGTTCAATCAGGGCACGACAGGTTATTTTCTCAACATGGCTTCCTAACAACATTCGAAAAGAGTTTCCAATTTGGAAGGGTTTTACTAGGTAATAGAAAGGAAATGATTGGCTTTGGAAAAGTAATATCAGTAATTTATCAAGACATGGACACGAATACCTTGCTTATTGAACATCCCATAAGCTTATTTTCAAAAATTCCAAAGCACTTAAAAGATATTCATATTGTGTAATGTTATTATCTAAGAGTTAATTAAGCCAAAAGGATTTGCCAGCGGTGGGGTTCGAACCCACGAACCCATTCGGGATAAGATCTTAAGTCTTACGCATTTGACCACTCTGCTACGCGGGCTGGTGATAACGAATAATTTTTCTATTTCAAACACACACGATCTAGGATAAAGGTTTTGATTTTCATAATTATCCCTTTAATAATTTACAAAAGTTGCTTTTCTCTTTGTCTTTGGTGGAGGTTTAACACTAAATGACGAAACTGCATTCTTTCCATATTGATAAGTCGCATATTCCTCTAGCTCATTACTATCCCACAATTCATCGTTATCGTCATCATGCTCCTCTTTTTGACAACCTACAATCTGCCCCACTTTTAAGAATAATTGTCTATAGATAGTATCCAATAATTCAAAATGATGAAACGACTCATCGATTCCATCATATCCAACTGGCTCATAACCAATATCAAATACACTCTGCATGTTACTCACAATATACTTTGAATTGTTCTTGTAGAAATTACTCCCAATTGCATGATCATTTCTATTCATATGGTATTTTAAATTGTTGATTAGCACATAACCTTTATCCGTTAGTGAAAATTTAAGAACTACAGGAAATCCACAATAGGAAAAGATAATGCATTCAGTTTCTTTCAGATCTTGTGAGAGTAAATAAACCCAACAGTGGGCATTAATTATTTTGAATTCAATGTCACATATATCCATAAATTTGACACTTTCAAAATCTTGCAATAAATATTTCATTTCATTTGCCTCATTGACTTTCCTTACCATCTCCTTCAAGTATTTCACATTATTCTTCTTTCTACTATTAAAAGAAGCGAATATGTCCCCAATTTTAGAATATTTTCCTCGTTCACCAGGTGTTTTATAAACCTTGATGAGTAAGTTCAATAATTCAACATGACTTTTCAAATTATTCACAAGAGAAGGTCCTCTAATGTTGCTCCTGTCAGTGCTAGTATTAAACTCAAAGCCTAAACTCAACAAAATTCTCAGCCTTTCCTTCGCATCATTGTTTAATTGGAAGAAATGATGTAAATAGTCCCTTGCAAAATTTTCATCACGACAAATGGTAAACCAGTGTTTGTTTACGAGTTGGATGCTGGCTAGTTGATATGGGCAGAGGTAGAGAAACAGCATTTGTAGCAAATCGTCATAGAGTGGATGGCGGAGTAATGACATTTTTTTTTAAAATGTTTATTTTTTGGAAGAGTTTACAATATCCATCACGAACTGGATAATTAGCATCGAGAAAAAAGACTTTATTAATTATTCTAAATTAATATTAAAATATTTCATAGCAAGTTAAATAATAAACGAGGAAAATTATTCTGTTAAGAAGATTTTTGCGGTCTCATAGTTTACAGGGCAACCATATATGGAATTGACTCATTTGGAAGGATAATGGAAGAAATAATAGAAAGTACAGTTTATAGATATTACTTTACAATCTCAACGTTTTTCAAGCTGTTTACTATCAACTGGTTAATAGATGGCCAGCTTTTTGGAATCTTATTCGAAACTCACATCAACACTAAAATAAGGTGGCATTGCCCTTCAAATATTGTTTTCACTTGGGTTGTCAAGTTAAGTTCTAATTACAACAGAAATATATGTTTCAGGCATGGGGGAAATGTGGAGTTTTGTCTGAGAATGCTCTGGAAGAATCTAGAAAAAAATGTCAGACAATACAAATCTTGTAGCAGACGACATGTTAACAAGTTATGGTACCTCTACATGTAAAGGTATGGATGGACATACCCAGAAGAGAAGGAGAATACTGCAGTCTAATTCATTTCTGGATTCACTACTTTGTCAGTTTTTTGGTATTTCACATGCAATATTTATTGTGAAAACATGTGCCACAAAGAAGAGATTCACACAATTCATCAAGTACTTGATAAGACTCTTTCTATTTCTCATCTTTTTTGGAGTTTCTTCAATGATTGGTAAGATAGTCACCATGGTATTCGTTGTGCCAAGAGTTGATGTGCATGCACCACCTGCTTCTGATATTTTACTGGATACTTTTTCACATGCAAATCCTCAAGCATTCAAAGCAACAGAAATCATGACAGCTTGTTTGGTTTTTCTACTGGTTATCATTAGTGTTGTGCATGGAAGGGAGAGGAGTTTTATTCTGTATAGATTCTTGTTTATTAGTGGAACCCTAATCAATTTGAGAACTCTATGTATTAGTATAACAACATTTAGTATTCCGTCGAGGGAGCTCTCTCATCAGTGCTCCAAACTCCAAGAGCTGACTCAAGACAAGTTGTTGTGGAAATCTGTTAACTTTTTCGAGTTTAGTGAAACATGTGGTGATTATGTCTTCTCTGGACATGCCACAGCACTCATCATTGTAGCATGGTTTGTTTGGTATTATGGAAGGAGTATTTCAATAGTGTCATCGAAATTCCCACCAGTGTTCAACAAGTTGATGAATTTCCTCTTGGTGAGTTTGGTGATTGTTGGATGCATGTGTATTCTGTTTGCTAAGGAACATTATTCGGTCGATGTGGTTTTAGGAGGAGTGATATCGATCATGTGGTGTATACTGTATCATTTGTTGTTGGAAGGATATAGAAGACAATGTGAGGAGAAACATGTCGGAGAGGAAATTGAGAAGTGCGGAAAATGTTCTGTACAGTTGTGTATCCATTTATGGTTTAGAATGGTAGAAGGCAATTGGAAGAAGCACGAGGATTCAGAAAGTGTTTATAATATCCTTTGATTCCTAACTATTCAAAATATCTTCAATCTAAGCCCAAAACTGCTTACTAGCATCTCTCCCAGAACCAATGAATACAAATATCAGTACACATCTCTCAAACAGTTCATAAAGCAAAAGATTTAATATAATAATTTGAAACACATGATATTTAGACAAAAACTGAAATACTTGGCACGTTTTTGGAAAATTCAATCACTCTCTCGGATACTCCAAATAATTGTATTACATCTATTGTAAAAAACTTCCATTATTATTGTACATCTTTATAATAATTTGAGAGAGATTGAAAACATTTCAAATATCCTTCGGTTTAAAGCAAGCATTACTTTCCCGCCAAAACTTCTTCAGTTCTCGAAATTCTAAAAATCCTCAAAAAAAAACAAGTCAATTAAGAGAGAGATTGTTCTTCGTTGGAGATTGAATAGGCATTATCAAGTAAAACTGAGGATTTTCTAATAGGAAGAGGATCCATTCCGACTTTGTTCATTTAGTGTATATAGAATTGTTTCAAAAAACTCGAGTTTCTAATTCTTGTTCCATCGATTGGAAACATCATGTCCTTAATGGTTAGGAATGTTCAGAAGAGAAGGTCGTTTCAAATGGCTTTCTTACTTGTAATAGTAGTAATTTTGAATTCAATCATCAATCAGCATTCAACATGTTTCGGAATGAAGTTGAACATTAATTTACAAGGAGGTGTGCAAGTGGCCGATTCTTTAGAGTTTCCCTTTATGGCCTCTCTTCAATATTCATCAGATCCTGCAGTGAATGCTCCAAATCATCGTTGTGGAGGAACCATCATTGCAAAGAAGTGGATTCTCACTGCTGGACATTGTGTTGTGATGGATAGGAAAACTCTGGCAGCTGAAAAACTAACAGTGATGGTTGGGTCGAACAAATTGTCGACGTGTAGCTTGATTGGATTCTTTGATAAGAGTCAGTCAATTCTCAGATTTTGGAATTGTGTGAGAGCTAGAGTGAAGAATGTGATTGTGCATCCAACTTATTTGAGCTCTTTTAGTATTGCTGATGTGGCCTTATTGGAATTGTATGATGAGCTTCCGTTTAGTGCAACTATTCAACCTATTGCATTGACCCTGAAGAGGCCATCCTTTGATGTTCCTCATGTGGTCTCTGGTTGGGGTTATCATGATGAAACCAATAAGGTTGCTGATGTTTTGAGGAAGGGTTACCTCCCAATTGTTCCCGATGACAAGTGTAATGCCTTGAGATTGGGAATGTCAACAGCAAGAGGACAAACTTGTGCTGGAGCTGGAGAAGGAGTGGATACATGTGCTGGTGATTCAGGTGGACCATTATTCTTCTTTCAAAACAGTAAATGGACTCAAACTGGATTGACCAGTTATGGACCAGCAGGTTGTGGAACAACAGCAAGTTATAGCAATCGAGGAGTTTACACCTCAGTCGATTTCTTTAGTAGTTGGATTATGCAACAGACCAACATTACTGCTCAGGGAAATGTTACAAGAATATTGTACAGTTCGAGCCCTAGAGCACCTTTACACATTTTTGCCTTACTACTTTCAATCGTTTTAGCATTTTTGATATAGGTTTTGTAAATAACAAATGAGAATGTAAATAATAACAACAAATAAAATCTTATTAATTTGATCTTTAAAGACCTTTGAACATTCCTCCTGAAAAGGTCTCTCTTCCTTCTGTGCAGTTCTTGATAATCTTGAATGGCTCTGAGATGTGGAATCTGCTATAGGTATCAAGTAAATTGTAAATTAATTCAATTTCCAAATTATCCATTATTGAACTTAATTCGTTCTTGTCAATAGAATCAAAATCCAAAACTTCAATTTGAGTACACCAGTGCTCGAAGGAAACACGAGTTCTGGCAGAAATATTTACAGTCATTGGACTTCCGTTTTGAATGTACAAGTATTTCCACTCCAATACTTCTTTTTTAAAGTCTGGCCAAGTTTTGATGGACTCCTCAGAATTGTTAACCCACATTTCTTGATATTTTTTAGCTTGGAATGTTCTAAGCCAAAGGGATAGATTCTCCAATGAAAACTCAGACTTGCAAAATGCTTTGAAAATCTTCATTAAATGTTGCGACTCAATCAAAGAGTAAATTTCTGCAAATTCTGTCTTTGAATTTCTAATCCTTGTTTCCATTACCTTAATTTTGCTAGTAGCATATTTTGAATACAAAGAGGCAACGACTGCCACACCTCCATAAACTCCAATAAAGCAACAAGTCATTAATATTTCAAATGTATAGCTCAAGGAATCAAGAGTCAATAATTGATACACCTGCACCTCTGTCAACCCAGTATTGTACCTAAAATCAAGACTTCTAAATCCTACAATATATGAGGCGATGAAAAATAGCATTCCAATAGTATAGATAACTGCGTCTACTCTAAACAATAATCGGTCGTTTGTAATCCAGTAGTGGTATATCTTTGATGGAGTTGTATTTTTACCAAATAAATTTTTCAATTTGTGAACTTGGTTCTTTGTTGAAGATTCAGTGGCAGTACCACCAGTAGTTTCATTCTCCATAGATGTAATTTCATCACTGATATCACACATTTCATCTGATATTTGTTTAGATCTAAAATCCAAGCGCAAATCTACAACAAAAACTGTAATCACACAGGCCATGAGTGAAATCATTATCAGGAAATGAGATATGGACCCTGCTAATGAGTACTGTCTGGCATCAAATACCTCTGTGGCTCTAAGAATGACTAACAATACAAAGTAAAGAGCAATAATAACACCAATAATAGCCAATAATCCAAATAGAAAGGCATTACTCTTGAGCGTATGGATCCATTTCCTTCCAATACTTCCCTTGTTCTTGGAATCAACAAATGTCATCCACTCATAATAGTATCTGTAAAACATGTATCTGAGACACACGAACAGATAGCAGCAAACAGAAATAGATACTAAACTGGATGTGACAACCACTTGGATATTGTTAACTATTGAAGTAGGGCTACTGCTTGAGGGACCTTGTGGTGGACTAGATCCCAATTTGGCGCCATTCGATGCAATTGTAAAGGCCAACCAAATGAATAAACTTGCAAGGCCAATGTAAGGGAAGAATTGTCTACTCTTTACGGGTTGCTTGTTTCTGAAAATTATTAATCCAACCACTACAGCACAAATACTAATCAAAAATAAGGATGATATTACAATTTTGACAATCATTAATCCACTATCAATTGCTGAAATCTTTTTCAAATTAGTATCAGGGCTAACTAGTTGTGAAATAGGAATATACTCCAGGAAGGCAGAGAAGCTAGTAGTATGGTCACAACGACATTGTACTTGATAATTTCCCAATACAACTGCACTGCATCCGTAATTGTCCCAAACCTTTGTGACAGTGTTCCAATATCTACAACTAACGTTCTTTGAGTATAGACTTTCATTGAAGCCTGCTAAGCTTATAGTATCCACATTTTGTGTGTTGAAAACAAACTCGAGAGCATTTGGCAATCCGCTCAGAGGCACATAGTTTCCACCAATGAATGTTTTAAAACTCATCACGTTACTTATGGAAGTAATGTTTGGATTGGTATTATTTTCAGTTGAAAACCATACACCAATATTATAATTAATAACACCAAATGAAACATCATTTCCAATATTTTTTACAGAGTCTGGTATGGATATAGAAACTCCAGAGGTGAAGCTTGTTTGATTGGTAACTATTACTTCAAATAATTCAAGAGCAACCCTAACCAATTTTCTATCAGACCTTATCAGGGAGAGAGTGGATACAGCTTCCATAAGTGTGGTTTGAATATTTGATTCATGTCTGTTGGAATCTGATATGACTGGAACTGACAACAAGTTCGAGGAAATATTAAAGCAATCATTCAATACACCTTCTACAAAGAAGGATTCATTGAAAATATTGGCTTTCACTTCATCTAGTAATGTAGCAGTCAGATTTGAAACACCGGCTCCTACAAGGAGAGATAGTTCTTCATCAGTTGAATTCCTATTTTCATAAGAACTAATCAAATAAATTGTAGAAACATCCTTTGCCTCGAATATAGATTTGATTGATCTATTTGATGCTTCTTTAACAATATTCTTAATTTCAGTCTTGTTCTTCTTTCCCATATTTTCTGTAATATCTTTCAAATTACGAGTTGACAAATGTTTCAAATCAGAAACACTCAAACTATTCAAATCAAGTACCATAAAATCAAATTTTGCATTGAATAATTTCGTATAATTATACTTTGTTTCAAATACTGTGGCATTCACAAAGTAATCACCAAGTTCAAAAGTGGCAGCTCCAACACTCCAAGTAGAAATATTCGATTCCAATCTCTCTGCAATCAATCCGCTACTATTATACAATCCAAAACGAAATATTAAATCAGAAAACTTGTCCTGAGCCAATTTGCTCACATCCACCCATGCATCCAAGTTTGTTTGTTTCAACAATAAGACAGAACTATCCACTTGCAAATTAAACCATGATCTATTAATTGTTGTCGAAGGATTAACATCACAATTTAATCCAACATACGGACTCTGACAATCACACACATCTTGCGAACTACATACACCATTCCCTGAGCAAACAGTTGGCACGTTATATCCCTTTCCAAAGCAAGTATACGAAGGTTTAGCTGGTGTTTCCTCCCTTTCCAAATTTTCAAACGGAACCAGCTTTCTATTATTCTTGTTATTATTACTATCATTATTTATCAATATTAAATTATTCTTCTCTTCATCGATCAATCCAATATTTAACGATGATCGTTGCCTTTCGCTACATGTTGTCCTCCGATGCAACAATGATGATGAAGAAAATTACAGTGCTCGTTTTTGTGGTTAATTTTTTGGAGGGAAATTAAATTTGGTGCGTTGAAGATTATTTGTTGTTGATTCTGCTGCTGATAGGATGTTGTTAGCAAAGTATCAAAGACGAGGAGCAAGAGAAGGATTGTGTTCAACAAGATTGTTGTGATGCTCATGGTTGCGAGGTTGATGATGTTTTTAAAGATGTTCCAATGTACTGAACTTTTTTTTTATTGTTCCTGTTTGATACAGCGTGACTAAAGAGTTTGCATTTGAGAAACAGGAATCAAAATAAGAGTAGACAGGTGACAGAGCCTTAATCGACTTTATTGGAGATGAAGAAGGCAGAAAATATGTTTCATCCCACAGGGTTTATTTATGTTATCTATGCATCAGATTGAGTGTTTCTTCTACAATTAGATTTGGACTGGTAAGAGCCATATCAAAATCTGCATCAATTATCTTCCATGCCATTTTGGTGGAATTGTAGTAGGTAGCTAAATCTTGGTGCATTGATAAAAAGGCGTTTGCACGTTCTTGTTGATAAATAAGAAAATCATTGCATAGAGCTGTTCCAAAAGAAAGGTAATTGTCCTCGCAAGATCCATAAAGTAATTTCTTTGATGTGAGTATACTGACTGGAATAATTGTTGAATTTGAAGAATGGAATTGCTGTCTCTTTGCTCTAATATTTATAATATTGCCTGTCGTATTTTTCATGTCATCAAGCTCACCCCAAACAGCATTATTGAACTTGTTGATATTTGTTGTATGTTGGTTGTATTTCAGTAAAAGTTGAACAGCTGTTGAATTTGGGAAAGATGAAAAATACGTCTTCCAGCCATTCAAGTAATATCGTTCATGGATTGTTCCTAAGGTGGAAGGGAGTTTTTGATAGAAATAATTTGAGAAATATCTAGTAAATCCAATAGGTGTTACGAATCTAATGGTATTGGCCATATAGGCTTTCTCTTCTAACATATTGCTTATTTGAGTATCAGTTAAATTATACACACTACCAAGATGATATGTGTCTTGCTTTTCATGAGATGGATGCAACAAGATAACACCCCTCAAGAGTTTTCTGTGATATTCCATGACTGTTCTGGCTGTGAATGAGGCACTTGAATGTGAAATCAAAATGAATGGTGTTTTGAAAGATGCCTCTTTCACAAGTGCAATCATTTCATTCATTGTTGTATTGCTCAAATCTCTTGGAAATGGTCCCGAATCGCTGAATCCATATCCTGCTCTCTCAATCACACAAGCTCTCATTCCCTTCTTTGCCAACAGAGTGATTAAACTCTTCATATAAGCATATGGTGATGCAACTCCAATATCTGAATCGAGAAGCACTGCATCTTCACTTTCAGAATCTCCTTCACAATACATGTGCATATTCAGTGTTTGAGCACTCGAGGGTTTAATGCTGTACATGGTTCCAGGGACTTTATATTCATCCTGTGTTATCGAAACTGATTGGACTGTAAACATGATGAATAAGGCACAAACTAAAGCCATAAATGTATAGACTAGAAGCTTGATGACTGTTGTAACTCGACAACAAATTCTGGTTCTGAAAAAGCTTTCTTCTCCATACCATTTTTCTTCCTTCAAATCGAATATTATTGTATTTGATTTTCTAAATTTCTTGAATTGATGATATGCAATTACAAGATATGAAATTGGAGAGATGACAAAAAACAGGCAAAGCCAACCAGAAAGTCTCTCTCTATTCTCACTATAAAGTCCATAACAAACCCAATTAATCAAACTAGAGATGAAAATAAGTACTCCCCAAAATATTCTCGCAAAGAGAGCCATGCTATATCCGTCAATATTAATTTGACGAGTTAAATTATCCTTAATAAGTCCTTTCTTTTCAATAAAAGATACAATCCTCTTATACCATCTCAATAAAAATAAAGGTCCGAATAGATCAAAAATGAATGTTAATGAAAAAACCATTTGAAATGCACTTGTCCACACAACAGTAGTAGGAGAACCTGCAGTAAAATATCCTATTTGATCAGAATTACTATTATCCATTGAAATTCCAAACACTACTATGGAGGATAATGCACAAAATAATATTGTTAGAATTGCAACTTTGTAAATTGCTCCAATTATTCCCTTCTTGGTCTTTTTAGTCTTCTTCTTTGTTGGCTTTTCCAAATCAAAGAAAGTATATCTATTAATATGAAAATGTTATAAAATCATGCAAAATAAAACCTACACAACTGGTTCTTCATCTGCTTGTTCCGTAGTATTTTGAAAAACAGAGAAGAGGGTTTTCTTTTTTGGTTTTTTTACAATGGTACGAGTTGAACATCCATCCAAGTCAATGCTGTTAGTACTGTGAAAGCCATGATCAAAGGGGAATTTATGATGTTTTTGCATTTCATTTCTTCCTTCTCCATGTTCGACAATATCCGATAGTGGTGAATGTGTTTCACCTCCTATTTTAACTCTCAACAACTCTTTTGCTGTAATTATTGCATTATCCTCTAAAGGATGAGAATTATTTGGCACACGTACGACAGTGTCGCTCAATCCAAGAGAAATTGGTGAAAGGCCTTCAGGTAAGGATGTATTGGATGTATTCTTTTGATTATTATTTAAATTGCATGTAATGTGCGTATCATGACACCCCTTCTCAGATGTTGGAGTAAAAGAAACACCATCACTCCTATTGCAAGACTCACTATCACCACTTGGTGTAGAATTACTACTATTGCTATTACTATTACTACTGTGTGTATTGATAATAATTTGTGGAGGAAGTGTGGTTTCCATCATGATCATAGAGTCATGATGTTGAGTGATATTGGTTATTCCTTCATCATGATGATGATGCTGAGGTAACGGAGAGGAGGAATGCCTTCTAGTCTGTTGTTGTCCTTCTGATGATGAAGATGAAGAAGAGGAAGGTGTTGAAATTGAATTGAACATTTTCAAAGATGTAGTAGTAGACTTGTTGAATACAACAACACACTAATAATTCAGCTATAATTTTATGCTTTAATGATGGAAATGCTATTCTTGATGATGCTTGCCAAACAATAATGGCTCATATCATCTATGATATTGGTGAATGGCTGGTTTTTTTGAGTGGATTTATTTGGTGGTGAGAGGAAAACGAACTGTGATCAGCCACAAACTGATGCGGTTAAGGCATTGAAGAATTGTGAACGAAAAATTTCATTTCAAAGCCTTCTTGCAAGCTGTGTTGTGCTGAGAACGAAAAATCAACAACAAAAAATATAAGAAGAGGAAACGCCCCTTCAATATCTATGACTGCCCTTTGAGTTTTTCAAAAATCTTGAAGAAAAGGAAGTATTAGTTCGGGATGATGTAAAGCAATATCATAATCCGAGGGGATGTGTTTCCAGGAGACGGAGTAGAGCTTGGGTTGATTTTTGTAAAAATTGAAGAGATCTTGATGGAGGAGTTGGATGATGAAAGATCTTTGGAATTGTTTTTGGAGGAAATCTTGGCAAATTGATGAACCTTCTGGAAAGAAATTTTGGCTACAATTTCCATTGAGAAGATAGCTTGATGTGAGGATGATTAGAGGGAGTGGTTTTGTTGAATTGGACATTGTTTGTGGATTTTCTCTATTATGGATGATCTGCTTATTATTGAATGGGATGGATTTCAACTCACTCCAAACAGTGTTCGTAAATTTGTTGCTATTGAGAACACTATCGTAAATTTTCAATAATGTTGAATTAGTGAAAGATGGATAGAAGTACTTTTTCACACCATTCATATAATATCTATCATACCAATTATCCTTTTCATTTTCCTCCAATAATCCAAAAACTCGAAATATTCCAATAGGAACCAGCATTCTAATGGTATTCACATGGCTTACTTCAGTATTGTAGTGTTCCTCTACTGTTTCATTCTTGACAAATGTTCTCAGTAATGATTCTTCTTGCTTTTCATGAGATGGATGCAACAAGATAACACCCCTCAAGAGTTTTCTGTGATATTCCATGACTGTTCTGGCTGTGAATGAGGCACTTGAATGTGAAATCAAAATGAATGGTGTTTTGAAAGATGCCTCTTTCACAAGTGCAATCATTTCATTCATTGTTGTATTGCTCAAATCTCTTGGAAATGGTCCCGAATCGCTGAATCCATATCCTGCTCTCTCAATCACACAAGCTCTCATTCCCTTCTTTGCCAACAGAGTGATTAAACTCTTCATATAAGCATATGGTGATGCAACTCCAATATCTGAATCGAGAAGCACTGCATCTTCACTTTCAGAATCTCCCTCACAATATAGATGAAGGTTAATTGTCTGTGTGTCTTTGGAATATAAGGGCACCTGAACTGTTTGACCTGGCATGCTTTGAATTCCTGCCAAGATAGATACAGCCTGAATAACACAACCTATTAGTACCACAATTAGTAGAGTTGTAAATATTAACACTGAAATATGGGCTGCTTTCATGAAGTATTTCATTATGGTTGATCTTTTAGAATACAAAAACAGATAGATTTCATGGCAATTTTGTGTCTTTTTGTGCTTATGCTTTCCAAATTTTTCCTCATAGTATTCCTTGACATACCTTCCTTTAACAAACTGGTAATATTTTGTTAACAAATCAAAGATTACATTACTTACTTGATATACAATCACTAGAATATATGCAATCATTGGAATTAATCCAGAGAATGCAAACCAACCAGTCAATCTATCTCTACTCTCCTTTACAGTATATGAAATCCAAATAATGGAAAGCAATAGCATTGTTACAATGGTAATTAATAATTTGATAATTAACATCAGAATAGAAGTATCCCATGATAGATACATGTAATTTGTATAATTAGTAACAAAAATCTTTTTCCTTTTAATACTAAATCCCATCATACAGCCCATAATTGGTATGAAATATGAATCAATAATTAATAATCCAATGTAAAATAGCATTACAATAGAAATCCAAAATATTGTAACTGGTGATCCACTTGTATAAAATCCACTATTCGACACTACATTAGCAGCACTAACAGACATTGTAACTATATATGAAATCAAAAAGAATATCAGTGTTATAGTGCTAATTTTGTACAGTGAATGAAAAATCTTCTCCACATGTTTGAGTTCACTCGGCTTGGAAACAATTTTTGGACTTGTACTAATTGGAGAACCTTGCATTTCCATTTAGTTATTATTCTCAAAGAACATACTATTTTCAAATTGATCAGTTTCCTTGACTACCTTTGGATTTTTAAGTCTAGGAATATTCCACAGACTTTTCCACCTCCTCAATCCTTTATTATTTGGTTTTACTGCATTTTCCTCTTTATTCGGAGTGATTTCTGTCTGCACACTTGGTGTTCCGAGAGTTGCATCCGATGAACACTCTTCTTGATTCTTTAAAGTATCAACACTTCCAATCATTCTATTTTTTGTCGATTTGGCTTATAAGTTTAATCGACAAATTTGGAAATTCTCTTTTTGGAAATGCAAGAGAACATTGTTAGTAATTCTAAAAGGAACTTAACTTTAATGTAACTAATTCTATTTGAACAACAGTATCCAACCATATTTAAGGATAGCAATTTTTAGATTCTCTGGATAACAACAAAACAAAATGAAATTAATTCTCATAGCTTTATTTGCAGTACTTGCATGTTTAGTTGCATTGACAAGTTGTGAACATACTATCAAAACCAAGCAATTATCCAAAGATTCTCTTGTTTTGGAATCAACCAACAGCAATGAAGATACAATTGAATTCATGTTCAATAATGCCGAGCATTTTCCATTGATTGGAGTTAAGCTTGTTCGTCAAGCTCCAACCAGCACCAATCAATCATCCAGTCAACAAGCTAGTCAGAGCGGATCTCAAAGTCAACAATCTGGCAGTCAATCTTCTTCACAAACAACACAACCTCAACCTCAATCATCCACCAGTCAAATGCAGCAAGAACAAGCAAATGGTACTGTTTCAGCCTCCCAACAGCAACAGCAACAATCCAATGCTTCTTCACAAGCAGCAAGTCAACAATCTTCTCAATCATCTAATCAAACTCAAACTGTCGAGAAGCAAGACAATCCTCAAGCACAAAGCACTTCACAAGCAGGAAGTCAAGGTACAGGCAGTTCATCCCAAGCTACTACTCCTCAATCTGGTAATCAAAATAGTACCGCAAGTTCCACTTCCACTTCACAAAGCTCTCAACAAGGATCCAGTAGTTCTTCCCAATCCACTGCTCAAACTAATCCTGTCTCTCAAGATAACTCTTCAATTTCTGGCGATACTCACATGGACTTGACACCAAACGTTACTCAATCTGTCGGTCAAGGCAATGTTTCATCTACACCATCTGTAACTAACGTCAATACTACCTTGATTAATGAAACTCTCCAAAATATTGGTATCAGTAATTCTACTGCATCAAAGGATATTAATATTACAGATATAATCGGAAGAATAATTAGTGGAGAGAACATTACTGAGATTATCAATAGTACCTTAAGAAATTTAACTCAATGGCTTAACTCTACACTGAGCAATGATACGGATGACAGCTCTCAAACATCTCAACAATCCAAGAGAGGGTCACTTCGTAGAAGACTTCTTTCCCTCCTTGAAGAAAATGAAGAAAATGAAAACTATGCTCAATATCTCAAATTTAACAAGCTCAAGCTTATGTCAAGTGAAGGTGAAACTGTCAAGGAAATTCCACTTTCAGATGCAAATATTCACTGGAATTATGGCCACTCCGTTGTAGTCAATAATGAGCAAGCATTTAAGGTTCCTCACGTTGATGTTGAAATTCCTCTCTCATCTTCCAGTAATAGACCATCACTCAAGATTAGAACCATGATGACTGAGGCACCATCTCATATTGAAAGAAATGGTAGGGATATTCAGTTGAATCCAAGATCTATGGATATTCAAATTACTTTGAACAACCTCCATGATTTATTATCTGAAAAAGAGAAGAAGCTATCAGGTGCTAAATGGACCATAGAAACTGAATTGACATCCACAACAAATTCATTGCACTTGATGCAAACCAAGAACCTGAACGGTGTTCAAAGAGTTGTTGTAATGGGTAACAATTTCACTCCAAAAGGCCAATTTACTTTTAATTCTTCCCCTAATATGAAAGTTATCCAAGATTCTGACAATGACGACCTTATCTCTATTCAAATTCAAGACTCATCCAACTCAATTCAACTCAACCCAATCAAATTTGGTGTGCAATAATCAAAAGTGTTATCCCTTCACCTTTTGAGAATTTTGAGAGCAAACAACTACACTTGTGAGCAATATTCTAATAAAACTACTTGCCATTACTTACACATTTATTTTTTGAATTCACATCAACCTCAATAATTTCATAATAACATGTGTCCTGGTTCACTCAACCTTTCCACTTTGTGAACAGTCTCTTGTAAATGGCCTCGAGTGAACAGTTTGGAAACCTCACAAAGCAGCTGTATCCTGACAAAAAAATCCTCTTCGGTAAACTGCTCCCAAACATATCAACTCGCATACTTCATCCTGTCACCTAACCGTCTCCTGTCAACGCCCATCAATAATTTCGTTAAAACATTTTTAAAAAAAATTCACCTCACGTGAACCAAACACACACAGAGTGAAAACCTAACTTTCTCTAGATAAAAAACCTATCGAAGATTCTATTTGTTCCTGTTGATTAGCTTCTTCACACTATAAAGAAAACAAAACTTTGGAACCTCCTTTTATTTACCGCCAAAATTTACAATTTCTCCTTTCCTTTCTATTTGCTCCAATAACAACAAGAAAAAATGGCCAACCGTATGAATGACTTTGTCCTGCAGCAATTATTAGCTGAAAATCAGAGACTTCAACAAGATTTGGATTCCTGTCGAAAGGCTATACCCATTTCTGAGGCTTGTAAAACCCTGATTGAATATACTAATGAACACAAAGTTAAGGATATGTTGGTTACCTCTGATCCAACCAATCCATATCTGAATCCTCCAAAGGATGGAGGTTGTTGTATGATCATGTAATTTTATTATAATAATAATAGTTGAAGAAGAAGGAGAGCACGTTGTTAATGTGTACTCACATTATTGCAAGATTACCTATGTTACTTCTTTAATATTACTATTACTATTATTATTTATTTTACATGTTATCATTCCATATATTCTACTACTTTTGTAAAACTGACAATTAGTTTTACTTTTTCCACCTTGCTAATAGTTTTTCACATCTCTCAGTTGTACACATAATAATATTAAAAAACTCACATTATAATTTCTTCTCTTGATGGATATTACGAGAATAACATTCGATGAGAGTTTAGCGATGCCGAACCTATTCGAAACTTTATTTCACTTAAAGTTTTTTCTTGGTCTACCAACTCCTCTCTTCCCAACCAAACGACATTTGTCCCTCATCATATCGACTGTATCATTACAGAAAGTTGTGGTAGTCATGGTGAAGAGCATTGAGTTCATCTGGTTGGCGTTTTGCTTTCTTGTCTTGAATTGTTTAGAGATTTTCGAGTTGTTGACACTTCCACAGCAACTGCTGTCATCAGAGGATGATATCATGGCAGGAGAAGTTCCAACCGATTGCTTATTAATTTCTGGTGTTAATGTACAAGTTAACCCAATTGGGTAATCAGGAATTTCGTTATTATTTTCGTTAGTTTCTGTTGAGTCGGTTAAGAAATAATTAGTCTGCTGTTGTCGTTCAGTAGTTTCAAAATAGTGATGATCTGGTAATGACCAAGGAGTAGATAATTGCTCTTGTGCATTCAACATTTGGAAACCATCATTGAAAGCAGTTGAACTGTTTGGAAAGTATTTCATCAAAACAAACTGCTGTAGTATTTCAATTGTATGGGGAGGAAGATTTTCTATGAGCTGTTGGAGAGTTGAGCTGTCCAACGAAGTGAATGTGGAATCTGTTGAGCTTGATTGCATTTGATTTAATGACAATTTATTTGCTTGTTGAATGGTCATACTTGAACTGAGAATGTTTTCATCATAACATCTTTGCTCATTATTGTAAAAGTAACTTTCGAAAGTTGATAATTCGATGAAAATGGAAATACTGATGTTGGTTGTTAATGCACGTGGGAAGACACAAAGTGAGAGATCTTCCTTTGTATTTTGATGGATGTATTGAGAAAATAAACGTGGTTGAGGAGAGATATCATGAAGTTCTCAGATAATGATGGAGCAAATAGAAATTGGTCATGCTGAGCAGAAAATGATAATCGGATTTCTGTTTAAAAGATAGTAATGCTGTTTATCAATTAAACACGAAACTCATAAAATCTACTTAACAAGAAAGATTCCAAACGAATGACAGAAAAATAGCCATAACAAGATTTTAGATGTTATTCTCTCGATGGAACTCGAATTAGGGTTATTTCTTGCATGTTGGAATACATAAGAAGAGAAGTTTCAACTGGTTCAACTCTTCGACATGTATATAACCTGAAAGCTTTTCATTTTGTTGTATTGAAAGCCTTCCAATTTCTCTTTCAATGATGTAAAAGATTGGCTAGAGATTTCTTCCTTGGTTTATGAATTGAATGATTGCCAATGATATTGGTGATGAGATAATTTCGTCAAGTTTGTACATACTTTAATATAACCAAATATAGAACTTGTGTAGATTCACTCAAAACAGTTATTGTTTATTAAAATGTACATGATGAAAAGCGCTTTTCATGTAAAATGAATTTGTCGATGATTGATTTTGAGATTGTAAAGTTTCGTCTGGTTGTTTTCTTGGTCTTCCTCTTCCTCGTTTCTCCGTGTTAGTTAGTTTCTTCTTGAGGGTGTCCACAGTATAGTTACAAAACTGATTCAGTAGCAATTCCTTATTGTTGTTATTGTTAGTTTTTAAAGGAGTTATTAAACTATTAGAATGTATATCTGAATGGTTTTCTGAGAGAGTTTGTTTTGATATCTTTCGTTTCTGATGGATTTCTTCGTGATTACTCTGTTGTATTGTAGCGGATTGTTCTGTTGTGGTCGGCGCTTCGTCAATTCTCTTTCTCTTCTTGGTGCTCTCATTATTAGAGTCTGAAATCTTATTCGAAAGCAACGAAGAATGGGAGGAATCAGAGTGATGTCCCTCCTTAACAGCCATATGAACTGTGTTACAAAATTCTTCCTTAACAGGAATATTCGATTCATGATTTTCAGGTTTAGTCTCATGTTTCAAATTCGAATTTAAAGAATTCAAATAGATAATCTGATCAATCAAATCAACCAGTTGAGCAATCATTAACTGATTATTCAATGCATCTTCTGAATTGGAAATATATTTCAAGGTACTTTTTAAACGATTCGATTCGATGCAGTTCAAAATTTGTTCAAAATTGGAATTACTGAATATTGGAGTGGAGAAATTGTTTGTTGTAGGTGGAGAAATTAATGTAGTGGAATGACTCGAATAAGGTTTCGAATAGTTTTGATCAGTGTTTGTAGAGATGTTGGAAGATGAGCTCGTGCATGTTTGGTGGGATAACATGGAAGATGTTTGAATACAATAGTTATTGGAAATGTTATTGGAAGGTTGTGGAAAGGATAATTGATTCGGCAATAAGAATTGTTGTGGAGGAGGTTGGATAACAGGAAGACTTGTTATTGGGCCACATATTTCGTCCATTGAATTTTGTTGAAGTAATTGTTTCATCATTTCCATGACTAGTTTCGTACTAAAATCGTTCATATTGTAAAGGAGCTGTTTCTTGATCAAGAAAAAGTGATACAGTTAGTGTGTATTGTCGAGTAAATGCTCTTTGTGTGGTTTTTTTGTTGATGTATTTTACTACTACACTGTTTGAGCTCCTGTTCTTGAGATTTGGAAATAATATTAATTAAGATGCAAACTTTAAAAATTCCAAAAAAGAAACATGAAGATCAAAAATGAATCAATGCAACTTTTTTGGATGAAAAAGCAAATTTTTTTTAAATATTGATAAGGAAGGCATTATGGTAAATGGCTATCAGGATTTCCAAGATTGTATTTTTGACGAAACCACACTAAACCTCAGAAAATAATGAGCTGAAGTGCAATCTTAATTGATGTTTCACTTTTCTGAATGACATAATCGATTGTTTAGGAAATTGCCTTCTCCAGTTTTAAATTTGTTATTTGGTAAGGTTAATATTCTGATTACAATTAATTTAATAGTTACAATAACAAATAATTGAATGTAATAAAATTAAAAAAAAAATGTTAAAATCACTCCAAGAATCAACCTGTTGTGCCTCAGCAGAGGACATTTCCCGTCTGATTGAGGCCCTCGAATCCGACGATCATCAAACCCTTAAACAAATTCACGACTCTTATCCAACCCTTGAATTTTACAAGAGAATTCCCTCACATCACAACGATACAATTCTTCATCTCGTCTATCGATATACAGGCAGGGTTATGTATGAATCATTCGAGGTGTTGTCCATCTTTTCCACTCCAAGTGATGAACTTCAACTCTCCGATCATGAATTTAAGGAAGCCCTCTTTCAACCGAATTTATATGGATTTACTCCTATTCACTATTGTATGATGTATGCTACCTTTGAGGATTCAGCTAATTTAATTTGTCAATTCCTTAATGATGACGATGATGATGATCAAGATGATGATAAGGATGAAAAGATGAAGAATTCATCCTGTGGTTATTTAGAAAGAATTTTAGCCTTGGAAAAGATTGGTACTCTCATACAACAATGTAATGATCGAGTGGAAGACTCGGAAAAGTTGAGTCAAGAAGAACAACTGGTGTTGGTGAAGGAAATTTCCGAAGGTTTGAATCAAAAGTTTAGGGAATGTTGTGTTTATGATCAATATTTGAACTTGTTGAGGGTTTTACACATGTTGGGAAGTGATAATTCATCAGGTCATGCCAATAATATGATTAATGTGGAATCTGTGGATTTAACTGGTTCAACTCCCTTGTTGATTGCCATGCAAAGAGAATGTGAAGAGATTATTCAATATTTGGTTGATCATGGAGCTAATATTAATGCTGTGGATATTAGATTGAAATCAACCCTATCGTATTGTATCAGATTTGAGGAGACGATTGCTTGGTTGCAATACTTTTTGGAGAAGGGAGCTCAAGTGAATGTTGGAGATTGTATTCATGTTGCTTGTGAGGAAGGTTATGCAGAGGCTGTTGAAATGCTTCTAAACTGGAGAAGTGATTTGGATGTTTGTTCATTCGATAGTGAAGGAAACTCTGTGTTTATTTGTTTGGTGAAACATAAACATGAGAAAATGTTTGAGATTTTGAATATGATACTTCCACAAGCTCTGAAGAATTTAGATAATGATAAGGAAAAGCTGAGATGTTTGCTTCTTCTCCCTTGCCAGCCACCAAAGAGTTTGAATGGAGAAGATTTGGATGTGGAATATGAAGCATTTACACTTCATGGAAAGTTAACAGAATATGGTTGCAAGGATGCTTTACAATTAATTGATGCATATTCAAGCTAAATGAATTAAATAATATAACAGTATTCTAAAGCCAGATACTATTTAAATAATTTGCTCTTGTCTTGAAGAAGTTATTTTTGAAATACTTGAAACAACCAAAGAACTTATTTCCTTTTTCAAAATCTTTAAATAGCAAAAAAATCTGGAGCCAATCAATGAATTCAACAAAGAAAATAACACAACATGAATAATAATAACTTTAATAAAAGCATGATGAATAACAATAGAAGAGTAGGAGAGCAAGATTTGAATCCATTGCCTGGGTTTCAACCTTTACAAGGAAATGCTCCTTCCTCAATGAGTATTGGATTTGGTGGCAATCTCGTTGGACCAAATAATCCAATTTTCAATGGCTCGAATATTCCTTCTGCTTCTTCAATGGGAGGAGGTATGAAACCTCAGATGTTACCTGGTTCTAGATTTGATCCAGTTTATCCTATCATTGGGCCATTTGGAGGTTCTGTAAGTGGAAATAGAGGTGAAAGTTCTTCATCGTCTTCATTTGGAAATATTAATCCAGATCATCACAAACCTCCACAATTTGGAGATGAAGATTTGTAATTTCGATAACGAGTGAAACAAGAGTTTCAATAAATATAGCCCGAGTTTAATGTGAATAAAATTTGCTTTCAAAGATTTTCAATATTCTTTATATTTATTGTGTTAAGGTAATGAATGGCTACGGCCATATCACGATGAATGCACCTCATCCCGTCCGATTTGAGAAGTTAAGCATCGTCGAGCCACATCAGTACTGAGGTTGGAGACAACTTGGGAACCTGTGGTGCTGTAGTCTTTTTATCACACATTAATTTCGATAAATAGATGATTCACAGCACCAAAAAAAAGGAAATTCAACTTTTTCAACACTCATTGGAATTGCTGATTTACAGAGCTCAACAGCCAATTTAGAAACACTTTCTATGAACAAAACCTGGACCAGCCTCCTCATATTCCTCTTTCGATATCCACATCTGCTGAAAGGTTGCAAGACTCGCGAGGATACTACCTCCAATCCAAACTGAATACTTTCTTTCAGGTGGGGCGACAACCTTTATCTTCATTGAGGCTGGTGCCAAAGCAGTCAATTCCTTGGTCATTCTTTCAGCAATACCTTCGAACATGGTATTACCACCTGACAAGACAACATTTCCATACAATTCCTTTCTAATGTCAATGTCACATTTACCAATTGAGTTGAATGCCATTTCATGAACACCAGCAGCCTCCATTTTTTCAACCAAATTAGGTTGGAATAAAACTTCTGGACATCTGAATCGTTCGTTACCAATTGTTATCACATTACCATCTGGTAATTCGTATAACTTTTCCACGGAGGATGATTCAGCAGCAACTTTCATTTCAGCTTCGAAATCTAAAGCAATATAACAGAGCTTTTCCTTAATACCTCTGACAACTTCTCTTTCAGCAGTAGTATTGAATGAGTAACCTCTTTCCATCAAAATATTCATCAAACAATCAGTCAAGTCACGACCAGCCAAATCCAATCTCAAAATGGCATGTGGCAAGGCATAACCTTCATAAATTGGAACAGTGTGTGAAACACCATCACCAGAATCCAAAACTATACCAGTACTTCTACCAGAAGCATACAATGACAAGACAGCTTGAATGGAAACATACATGGCCGGAACTGAGAAGGTTTCAAACATGATTTGACTCATCTTTTCTCTATTTGGCTTTGGATTAAAAGGAGCTTCAGTCAACAAGACTGGATGTTCCTCAGGAGCAACACATAATTCATTGTAGAAGGTGTGATGCCAGATCTTTTCCATATCATCCCAATTAGTAACAATACCGTGCTCAATTGGATACCTTAAAGTCAAGACACCACACTTGTATTGAGCTTCATCACCAACATAGGCATCCTTACCAAACATTCCAATCATGATTGACTTTTGCTTTGGTCTAGCAACAATTGAGGGAAAGACAGCTCTTGGAGCATCATCACCAGCAAAACCAGCTTTACACATACCAGAACCGTTGTCAACAACGAGAGTTTGAACGTCTTCATAGAAAGACATTTGATTTGTTTTTTTTAAAGTTTGTTCATCTGGACAACATTTGACAATTTGAAGTTGACTCAAGTCTTCATATCAGAGCTATCAGTCATATCCGTCAAGTAAATGAAAAAAGAACTTTTGAATTTTTGCTGGTTCCTAAATTTAGAAAATATTGAAATGATATGGAGTTGGATTGTTCTTTGTTCGATAGTAATTCAAAATAATTCAAAGATTGTTGTGAACATCCCTTGTTGAAGATCAATAGGTAAGAATGCTTACCATTCCCCAAATGATTTCATCTATATTTCAGTTTTTATTCAAATATTCTAATGGAAAAGGCCTGTTGATCAGCAATGAACAATAATCCACTTTTCTCATCAAAATCCATTCCAAATGGGCTTAGTGTAGATGTAGAATCTTGTATGTGTGAATGTATTAAATTTCCATCCAAATCAAACACTAAAATTCTCTTATTATCATAATCTGAAAGGAAGAATTTCTTGCCAGTTCTATCAATTGCAAATCCTAATGGTTGACTACAGGGAATATTATCCACTTGGTTAATTGTTCGAATTAATTTCCATTCATTTGGATTAATCTCATCATAAATAAAGCAGGCATTAACAGCAAGATCTGAAACAATCATCCTATTTGGTCTAAGAAATTTAACATCCACTATTCTACTGAGATTTTCAAGTTTGAGCTGGGCAATAATTTTGCCATCTGTGGTATCTATGACATCCATCTCTTTGCTCATATTGTTAAATCTGAATAATTGTTTCCGATTTCCAATTTCTCTGATGGCCATTCCATATTGATGATTAGTCTCAATACTCCAAATACATTCAGCTTCATTTCCCAATTTCAATAAATCCTTAACTCTATATTTCCCTAAACCATTTGAGCATCTAAAGTAAATGGCGTCATTATTAAAATTTTCTTCAATCACTAAACTCATACATCTGCCAACAATTGGAAATGCTGTCAAATATTCTAAACTAGTCAAATCAAAAAATTTAATTTCCTTATTCGCATCATCAGCCACACAAACAAAGTTATGGGTGTGAGAAATCTTTACATCGGATGGAAAGCGAAGACCATGATTCTTGTTTGAATCAATTTTTTTAATTTCATTAAACTTCATTGCAAACGGAATTGTTTTCTGATAATTTCTCATCTTGTTTTTTAATTGATCAAATAAAACATGATCGGATTTTAATTGATCAAAATCGAGCAGGGAAACATTTAGAGAGCGTGTGTCCTCTTCCTGCAATAATTGGTGAAGAAGATTCGGAGAAGGTTGTTGCGACATTTTTTTTTAATTTATTTTTACAACAGTTTCAATCTTTGTAACCAAACTGTGCAAGAAACACTGGAATTTGAGAGTTTTTAGTATTCTTTACAATATAGGTCCAGCCTTGTTTAATATATAACATGAATAAATTTTGCTTTCGGAGATTTTCAATATTCTTTATATTCATTGTATTAAGGTAATGAATGGCTACGGCCATATCACGATGAAAGCACCTCATCCCGTCCGATTTGAGAAGTTAAGCATCGTCGAGCCACATCAGTACTGAGGTTGGAGACAACTTGGGAACCTGTGGTGCTGTAGTCTTTTTAATTAAGTTTTAAGACACATGAATCTTTAAAGTTGTTCATGTAGTCTTTTTGAGGAGAATTTTACTCCCTGTTCAAAGTATTAACATTTGATATTTGGGCATTTAATTAAAGTAGTACCACAACATCTTTCTCGGCCAATTGGCTTTGATCGAGTGAAGTTTCTGTTCTTTTCAGTTTAATAGCTGAAAGCAGCCCAAGGGTTGCCTCCTCTCAATCTCAATACTAAATGCACAGTTGAGTCCTTTTGAAGATTGTAATCATTAATGGTTCTGCCATCTTCCAATTGTTTTCCTGCATAAATCAATCGTTGTTGATCTGAAGGAATACCTTCTTTATCAAATATCTTTTGTTTCATATTCTCAACAGTATCACTCGATTCCATTTCAATTGTAATTGTCTTTCCAGTTAAGGTTTTTACTTGTTTTCCAGCAAAGATGAGTCTTTGTTGATCTGGTGAAATTCCTTCCTTTTCTTGAACTTTTCTTTTCACATTTTCAATTGAATCATTAGATTCAACTTCCAAAGTGATTGTTCTACCAATGAGTGTCTTGACGAATAATTGCATTATGTTTGTTGTTTTTTTTTCTTATTGTTTTTCTTTGAATTCAAAGCATTTCTTTGCATTTTATTCTTGTAAACCTCCATTCCAATAAGATTTGGTTGAAATAATATCTCAGTAGTTTTGAATCTTTCATTCCCAAGTGAAATTACATTTCCATCTGGCAATTCTAGACCGTGGGAGGTGAGAAGGATTGACAAATATTTTAAAAAAAAATTAAGAAGTCACTCAAAAAACAATTTGTTAAAGTCGAGCCGAAGGTTTATTGGACCAAGAGTGAGACAGTGTGTTCAAAGTATCAATTACCACTTGTTCTTCTAGAAACAAGTACTTCTGGGTTCTTGTACATGAACCTTCGCTTTAATGTACCAACAATTTCAAGTAAATGGGCAGGCACTTATCTAGATGATGTTTTGGTGAGGTGAATGTAGTAATGGCTGGTGAGGAAGGAAGCAAAGGGAGAACTCTCCTCATGGTGGCTTCTCAAGGTAGCATGCTGAAGGTGGGAATACCAACCAATATACCTATTTAGCAGGGTGATGATGAAATCATGATGAGTAATTGTTGTTTGTTGTTTTTTTTTGTTGAATATTTAACGGTCAGAACAGACAACTTTCAGCGGTTATTGGTTGGCGCGAAATTACCGTGATGTAACATTTTTTAGCTCACCTCCCTCGGTCTAGGCAATTCATATAAACTTTCTTTCGCTGTTTCTGCCAAAAAATTACTGGCAACATAACCAGTTTTTTCCTTCATATCCCTGACTAGTTCAGTTTCACCCATCGTGCTGAAATTATATCCTCGTTCCATTAACATTTTCTTCAAATAATCTGTCAGGTCTTTGCCTCCTAATTCCAATCTTTTGGTGGCATGTGACAGGGCATATCCTTCATAAACAGGTACTGAATTAGTGACGCCATCACCTGATTCCAATACTACACCTGTCATTCTACCATTTGCAAATATTGACATGGCACATTGATTTGCCAAACACAAACCTCTCACCTTAAAACTTTCAAACATGATTTGTGTCATTTTCACTTTCACATCCTTTGAATTTAGTGGCATTTCCATCAGTAATACTTCATGCTCCTCAGGAGCAACTCTTAACTCATTGTAAAATGTATGATGCCATATCTTTTCCATATGATACCAATCTGAAATTAATCCACGATCAATTGGATATTTGTAAACATTAATACCCCTCCTACACAATGCATAATCTCCAACGTAAGTTTCGATAGAGCCCATTGAAAGGAGGAAGGGTGCTACTTTTCGATGTGAAGTTACTGTGGGAAAGACTGCTCGTGGAGCATAATCACCAGAAAAACCAGCTTTCATTTGAGAGGAACCATTATCAATGATGAGTGGTGGATTTTCATCAGTCATTTTTTTTTGTAAGTTTTAAATTGGGAACTTGGAACAATATTTCACTTGCATTAAAAGTTCAAAATTTTTGTGATTATCTCAATAATATAAAATCTTAACTCGAACGCCGGGAATTGAACCCGGGTCGCCAGAGTGACAGTCTGGAATGCTACCACTATACCACGCCCGATTACATACCTTACGAAATCTCACCTTAATTCACCTTAATAACAAATCTCACTCAATTCTGGCTAATTTGTATTTATTCAAAGGTATTTATGTTTTTAAAAGCTCCATGAACTTGGCTGGAAATTCAATTAAATGTGGAAACTTCTCTATTTGTTTCAGATGTGCATTTTCGAAAATGCATCTTTTTTTTCAAATATGAATCACAAATGGACAAAGTTGATGGAAACACAACCAAAAAAATGGATCCACAACTAACGTTCAAGGCATACAGCAAGATTGAAAATCATCATCAGGAGAGTTTCGTTTCAAAGTTATTGGAAAAGGAAACTGAAGATTCGGATAAGAAATTGGAATGGGTTTGCTTGGAGAAAGTGCATGGTAGCAATTTCAGCTTTATTGTTGTTCCTAAAGAAGGATCACAAGATAAAGTTGAAGTATTGAAAGCAAATCGTACCAATGTTCTTACCATATTAAGTAATTTCTTTGTGGAAGCTCAAAAAGAAGTTTACGAAAGATATTACAAGAGTTGTGTTAAATTATTCGAAATTATTTCTCAAAATGCAGAAAAATTCAAACGAAAGACTATGGAAACTGAAAGTGAAATTACAAAAATTCACATATTTGGTGAATTATTTGGTGGATACTTTCCAAAATTGAAAAATGATCAAGATTCGAATGGTATTCGTAAAGCACACATTCAAAAAGGTGTTTACTATTGTCCACATTATGATTTTTACGTATTTGATGTGGCAGTGACATTTGGCGACCAAGATACTTGGTTACTTTTCGATGAGGCAGATCCAATTCTTGAAGAAGCAGGATTTAGAGTTAGAGCTAAACCACTTTTTAGAGGTTCATTGAAGGAATGTTTGGATTTTGATGTGGAAATTAACACGATAATTCCACAAACTTTTTATTCTGACATTTTGACAGAAAATGATATTTTATTTAAGGAAAAGGAAAATATTTGTGAAGGAGTGGTGATTAAACCTGCTAATGGTACTGTATTTGTCGGATCGAGGGCAATTATTAAGAAGAAGAATTCAAAATTTACTGAAGTCAATCCTGCCAAAGATAAATCTAAACGAATGAAGAAACAGGAAAAATCTGTGGATCAAGACGAACAAGAAATGATTTCTAATGTGTGGAATGAAATTGAGCGATATTTGAATAATAATCGTCTTGATAATGTCGTTTCCAAAGTTGGAAATATTACTAGAGAAAATCTTTCACTTGTTTTGAAGAATTTTGTGAACGATGCCATTGAGGATTATGATAAAGATCAACAAGAATTGGGAGAAGAAGGAGCTACCCTATCATCCCTTCCAGTCAACATTCAAAAATCAATCAAGAAGAAATTGGGATCCACCTGTCAAGCAATTCTTCTAAAATACATGAACGAAAACAAACAATAAACCCAGATTCTAACACTCTTACCTTAATAAATTCCCATCTTTAAATCAGTTAATGTACTTCACTTGCATGAAGATGATCTTTTTGAGAGAGAGATTTAAAAAGTTCATCAAAACTCAATCTCTGAAATTTTATTTCATCGTAATGAACCAGAAAAAAATATTATTTTTTTAATCATCAAAAAAAAACCTTAATAACAAACTCTGTCGGGAACAGATAGCAATTATCATTATTATTGTTATCAATCAATATGAAGGAAATAATAACAATTCATGTCGGAGGGGCCGGATGTCAAATAGGCGATCAGTTGTGGGAGTTATATTGTAAGGAACACGGTATACAACGTGCTGCAGATCATCATACCAATAATACAACCTCCATGATGGAATCATCAGCTGCCTTTTCATCAGCAGAGAGTTTGTTCTATGAAACGAGTCATACAGAAAAGCAACAATATGTTCCATTGGCTATCTTTTTCGATAACGACTCATCAAGAGTGCACGAATCGAGGAAGAGATTTGGTAACTTAATGTCCTCAGACAATATGATTGGAGGTAAGGAAGATGCTGCCAATAATTTTGTGAGAGGATGCTACACGATTGGAAAGGAGAATATGGATACAGTCTTGGAGAGGATTAGAATATTGAGTGAGAAGTGTGATAGTTTGCAGGGAATTAATGTTGTGAACTCGTTGGGAGGAGGAACAGGCTCTGGATCAGGAACATTATTGCTTGATAGAATGAGTATAGACTTTGCAAAGGTTCCAATTCATTTGAATACTGTTGCACCATCTCCAAAATTGTATGATACAGTTGTGGAACCATATAATTTTTGTTGGGCTATGGAACCAATGTGTGAAAAGGGATGCACAGCAACTTTTTATGATAATGAGGCCTTGTACAATGTTTGTGGAAATCATTTGGGAATTAATGATCCGAAATTAGCTGATATTAATCAAATTATTGCACACCACATTTCCACAAGCTTTTCCAGTTGTAGAATTGGATCTAATTGTGCAATGCCTGTTTCATTTGGAGATGTAAATCAGACACTTGTTCCAATTCCAAACTTTGAATTACTTACCCCTTCATTTGTACCATTTGGTTCTGCTCAGAACGAGTTGAGTATGGCAGAGAGGGGCAAACTTGCATTTAGTCCTTCCAACACTTTGATTTCTTACAACATCTTGGAAGGAAAAATGCTGAGCTCACTGTTAAGTTATAGAGGAAATGTAACTATGGGAGATAACTTTGAATGTTTGAGTGCTGTCAAAAAGATGGAGGGTATTTCTATGGGCCCTTCTTGGATTCCAAATACTTTCAGTTGCCACATCTCCAAAGCTCCAACAACTCTTTTGGATGATTCAGTTCTTGGGGTTGTGCCAAGTGAAAAGATGCTTGCAGTAACAACCAACACAACTGCCATCACCAAAAAATTGAATCAAATTATGGTAAACTTTGATAAAATGTATGAAAAGAGAGCATTTGTTCATTGGTATGTTGGAGAGGGCATAGAAGATGAATATTTTAGATATGGAAGATCTATACTCGAAGAAAAGGTTGCCACCTATGGAGAGTTGATTTCACAATAAATTTCTCTTACTGTACAATTATTTCAATATCTGATAAGCAGTTCTCATTAGCACTCATAAAGTATAATCTGTTAAAGAAATCAAATGATCCACATTTTGGTCTCATCCATATCTTTCCAAAATCCAAAAAGTCAATTGTGGCAATGTTCAAACTTCCATTAATCATAAAATCACAAATCAATTTTCTACTGTTACTGTTAAAGGTGATCTTGCCATAAAATAATCCATTTTGATTTTCCTTATTATGAGAAGGTGTTACAACATATTCAGACATTCCATTGTTGGTCATGTTATCAAAATTAAGGATTGGAATCTTTCTCTCATTTGTGATAAAATAGTTCAGTAGCAAGTGTTTCAATTGGTGGGTGGTCTCTGTGGAACAGATTTGATTTCTGTGAAACTTAAAATCTCCAAATCCAAACATTAATGGGAATTTTCTTTCTCCACTTTCATTCTTTGATGGCTTGAATATTGACTTGTATGCTCCTTCTTTGTTTCTCTTGAAAGTAAATAATCCAGGTGGACACCAACCAAAGCACTTTCCCACACCCTTATAGCTTAATTTGGCAGAGCTTCCCTTGGTATAGATTAGATATCCTCTCAAGTTATTGGCCAAGCAATTGTATCCAGATATGAATTCTGATAGAGAAAGGCTTGTTGCACTATTCTTTTCATCACTATATATTATCTGACAAGCATCAATGTAAGAAATATTATCAATTTCTACTGTTACGAATGGTTTCTTCTTCTTTACAGTAAAATAATTGTATTGAATATGTTGCAACTGAATGGTAGAGTGATTTAGTTGGATGGAAAATCCACCAGGTCTGAAATCCAATTGAGCAGTCCCATGATACAGACAATTATCCTCCATTTGTAGATAATTATTAAATTTTAGAGAGTAATCTTGTTTTTCCTTTCTTCCAAAATACTTTTCAATTTTGGATAAATCCAAGCTTGAATTTCTAAATTTTCCATAATAATTCGACATGAAATCATTAAAGTCTTTCAAGGGATTATCACTCGAAAGGTTGTAAACTCTTGTCTGATTTACAAAGATTACAAATTTCTTGCAAGTCCAAATTGCTTTTGCACTCACTCCACATTCATTATCAGCTCCGTAATAAATTTTCCCTTTCATCTCCACTTGAAAATCAACAATATCTGACTGTTTGCAATAATCAATTTTAAATACAATGCTAGAAAACTCAAAATTCACATCGTGTAATTGAATGTCATATAATTTACAATTCATACAGAGGAGATATTTAGTGTTCGCTGTGATTTCAATGCATGAATCGTACTTTTCCGACCAAATATCTGTTTTACATTCGATACTTTCAAATTCCACACTATTCCTATCAAAATCGAATATTTCTCCATCTAGAAAATTGGCAAATTGTTTAATGTAAGGAGAAACCTGAGAATGTTCAGCCATAATTTCTATCAGTTTGTCCAAGCTTGAGTTGATATCCGAATTGTGAATTTCTTGTGAAAATAAAGAACACAATTTCTTCTTAATCCGAGCTCTTTTACTCTTGTTTCCAATATTTTTACTTGTTACAAATTCAACAATTTGTTTTTGGTAAGTAACAAAGTCCAATTCCAGTAGTGGTGTTGATAATGCGGTGTTGTCCTGATCTGCATCTGCCAGCAAAATATTATTCGAATCTGTTCGGCGAAGCCATGTAGGCCTCAGCACGTTTGGACACATTTTTTTCGAATGGTGTTAACTTGCCGAGGATTCAAAAAGGTTGATTAAAAAGGAAACATGGTACATTCTTGTTTTTCTAAAGTCAAATGTCGTTGTAAACTAAAATTTTTAAACTGTAGTATTTATGTTACAATTTTCCAATGTCAATACAGTATAATGCAATAAAACATCAAGGTCCCAAAATAGAGTTATATTGTATGCTGAAAACTTCAAAAGATTTCAAAACTCAAACTTCATTCTAAATGAAATCTTTCAATAAACATCCAAATTCAAATACAAAAAAATGAATGGTGTTGCTATTACGTAAGTTTTCTCTTTGATCTACTGATATGAAATCTACTATTATCAAAACAATAGAGGATCTGTCGCCTCAATGAGCACAATGATGCTCTATACTGGAGGAATGGCAACTTGGGGATGTAAGTATTTGCTCTCCTCCAATTAAATTAAATCCATTCTAATAGTTTTGGTTTGGTCCGAGTTCAGTACTACCAAGGTCGATAAAGATTCCCTCCTCTGTCAGGGAAGTACAATCCTCAATCTACTTCTCTCCTTCAATATCATTCTAGTTGTTCAGTGTGTTCTAGTCATCCTAGCTCTCCTCTCATCAGCTCTCTTCTCCTATAAGAAAGATTCCAAAGCTTTGGTCATTATGAGCTATTTCTTCTCGAGACTTTCCACTTGTTTCGTCGTCCTGTGCTATAAGGCCATGTTAGGTCTTAACATTGCCATCACAGTTCTTCTCTACTCTAAGAGTTGCAACATGAGTGCTCCTAAAATGTTGGCCAAATTGGAGCCTTTCATCATTACTCAATTCGTTCTTCTACCATTCAGTTTGTGTTGTATTGGATGTTGTGTTGCTTGCAATGGACTTGTTGGTGCTCTGAAGGAGAATGAATATTACAAGTCGAGCAAGAATAAGGATGAAGAAATGATTCAAACCAAACTTCTTGAATATTCCGATGGTCAATAAGGATTAAAAATCGAATCCATGGATCATTATTGAGTGTGTTTTCCTTTTGAGTGATATTAAATAGTAAATACTTTAAAAAACCTTATTTAATTTCATACTTCAACATTATCATCTTATCGCCTTTTTAAATTCTCCCCTAATCATTTTTTTATTCTTTACAATTTTCCAATGGAAGAAAAGAGTGAATTATTAATAGCCTTTGGTGTTTCTTAGCAATACTCCTTAAGAATCAAGTCTTTGAGGGTGTATTTGAGGAGGCGAAATAACCCATCCATTTATGCGTCCTGTTTACGTTCTCTCGTTTTTTTCTAGTTGAAATCCTATTAAAAGAGCGGATTTCCTTACCTTGAAATTCTCAAAAAAAAAGAATCACAACAATAATCATACAAACATGTCCTTGAAGAATACCATTCAACAACTTGTCTCATCCAACAAGGTTACAATCTTCTCCAAGACTTATTGTCCATACTGTACAAATGGTAAGTTTTTTGAAAGATCGGAATGATTAATATTAACTTGGATTAATTGGATTAATATAATAATAATATTATTATTAATATTGTTGGATTGGAATATTCAAATAGCCAAGAAGCTCTTTGCTGAATTAGGAGTTGATTATAAAGCAATTGAATTGGACACAATGAAGGAAGGAACTGAATATCAAAATACTCTCAAGGAAATGACTAATCAATCAACTGTTCCATCTGTGTGGGTTAATGGTGAATTCATTGGAGGATTCAGTGATACATCAAAGCTCCACCAACAAGGAAAGCTCGTTTCCAAGCTCGGATTGTAAATAAAAGTTTAATTTATTTAAATAAAAATCATAGAACTATTTTGAATTGTTACAAAATTAATTTACAAAATTGTTTTTTGGTTACCAATAGGATTCATGAACAGCAGCTGCTTCTTCTTCCATAATTGGACCAATTAGTGGAATGTTCAAACCTTCGGAACGTTCCTCGAATATTTCTCTACAGGCAATAGTCAAACTACCACTATTCTTCAAATTATTTCCATCTTGCTTTCTTCTGACAATTTCACGAAGTCTACTTGCAGGACAAGCATAAACAACCTTTCCAATTCCAACCCAGAAAATGGCACCTGCACACATAATGCAAGGTTCAGTTGAGGTGTACATTGTGCAATTAGTGAGATAGTCACGAGGGTATTTCTTTGATGCCATACTAGACAAGTTCAATTCAGCATGTCTTGTACGATCATTTTCAGTGTGGACTGTATTGTGAGCTTCAAGAATAATTTCATTAGTATCATTATCAATCAAGAGAGCACCAAAAGGATGATTACCGTGATCATTACAAGATTCCTTTGACAAATCAATTGCTCTCTTCATCAATTTTTCATGCAAATGCTTTTGTTCATCAGATTGTTGTGAAGAACAACCTGAACAACAACGAATAGTGGTGACCAATTCTTGTGGAGTTGTTTCTGTTGTTGTTGATGTAGTTATGGTTTGTGTTGTAGACATTTTTTTGGATACTCCTCACTAATTCATGAACTGGAAAGGTGTACTCCCGATAATCGTCAAGATAACAAGAAGATTCTCTATTCATAACAACCAATTTGGCTATGAAGATAGAAAGTGGTTTCTCCTTGGTTTGGTATCAAAATAAAGTCTCATGCTGATAATACCAATATTAAGTCTACCAAAATCTTTAAATTTTAAATAGAATATTTTTGGTTCCTTTGGTTGTTGAAATTCTGATTGAAAATGTTTTCTTGTCTTTTCTTCTTGTTAGATTGTTGTTAGAAAGCAAGTCACCATCCAATCAGCGAGGAAAACATTTGATGTAAAATTTCCAAGTTGGTATTTTGATAATTTTTTTAAAAATAAATTTGATGATTTTTTAAATTTAAAAAAAATAGCAAACACCTAGATTGAGTGCGGACGAGTTTTTATTCTTCAAAGATACGGAATCGTCCACTACTGATTGTCATCATCTTTGGATACTTAGTATACTAGTCAAACTCGAGTAGTAAATAGTTTTTCCTAAACAAGTGAGGAGGATTTGGATATTCTAATATTTAAATCCGTTTAATGTGTTGTTTTGGTTGTGTATTTTCCAATTTTTTCAGAGAAGTAATGGGAGTAAGAGAATTTACGATCCGTCTGTTTAAGAGCGAAGATCGTTCGAAAACATACAAACCACTGATTGATATCCTTCCGTGGTGGGCTGTTTTAGTCCTTTTTATTATTGCAACAGTATTATTTGGTATTGCTATCATTGTGGGTGTCTTTGCAGGCCCAGTCGTATTGGATTCACACTATGTGGAAATGGATACAAGAAAGAACACAACAACAAGTTCACGTGGATCTATTGATTTTGTGCCAAGAACATCATCACATTTGAGATATGCTCAATATACTTTGGATGGAGATCATGATGATCTCAAGCCACTTTTCTATGGTCAAGAACAAGTCTTGGCTACAGCACCAACAACATTTAGTGCCATTAATCAAGAGATTAATTTTCTCTGTTATTTGAAATCTAATACTTCAACATTTTCTGTGGAATCTGAAAAGGCCTTTGGTTTCCAAAAGTCTAACCTCCAGTTCTTCTTGCAACTTTTTGGTAAGGATGAAGCTGATGGTGATTGGGAGCTTATTGTGAATGGTACCTATTCCAGACCATTGGTTTGTACTTCCACTAGTGAACTCTGTGATCCAATTACACTATTCTATGAATCACATATTAGACATCCATACTATCGTATTGGTGTGAGCTTCCTCAACTCTCGTGAATTATATGATAATACTCTTATTGATCCACATTTCGTCAAGATGGAATTTGAAAGCTACAATGCTGCTTATTCAAATTGGGAATTGGGCTGGAGATATAGTATAATCTTTATCACTGCTCCACTCTGTATTGCTTTCATTATTGCCAATATTATTAGAAGTCACTTTGTAAATTGGGCTACTGAACAAAAGTGGATTGGATTGTTGCTCATTTTCCTTGTACTTTACAATAATCCTATTTTTGCATTGATTTTCACAGCAGGTAACTGGGCTTTCTCCTTTATTAATATTGTATTTATTATTAGTTTCGTTTGCTTTTTAATGTTTGTGGTGCTGGTTTTCACTGATTCTCTTGTCATTCCACAAAAAGATAGATCATTCCTGTGGTTCTACATCCCAAAGATTGTATTGGTTGGCATTCTCTTTGTATTTGTCATTACTACCTTTACCTACGTCAGACTTCAAGAACAAGAAGATCCAGGTTACAATTTGGGAATTGTTCAAGGACTTTCCTCATATCAAACATTGGGCATTATTGTTGTATTGATTATGCTTGTCTACATCTTTGTTCTTATTTATTATTTGATGAGAGTTATTGAAAAGCACAGAATGAACTTGTTACCAAAGAGAAATGCTTGGCGTAGTAAGGTTATTTGGTTCTTGACCATTACAATGGTTATTGGTACTATTGTGGAAATCTTCCTCTACGTTTTCAGTAAGGATTGGAATAGCTCTGCTCAATTCTTGTCCTACTTTATGTTCTACAGTTTGTACGTTTGGCTCATTACCATTCTCTATTGGCCAAGCTTTACTGCCGTTCAACAAGAAGAATTCGACGAAGAAAATAACACCCAAGCCAAAGAAGATGATTACTTTGATGAAATGGATGAATAAATTCATCATCATGATTTTTCACACAACAAGAATGATTCAAATTTTCACACTCAATCTTTCCATTAGTTATAAAGTTACTGAAATATCGAGGAGAATAAAGAAAACTATTGATTGTAAACAGCATTCCTGATCCATCACCATTCCAAGCCATTCTATAACAACATGTTTGGAAAATTCACCAAACAAGAGCTCTGTTTTCGCTTTTCATATTTCCCGCCAAATTAATAACGGAGAATTTTAAAAAGAAAAAAACAAACAAATTCTTCGCTCATTTTGGCTTTCGAGTAATAAGAAAAAACTCAACAACAATAATTCACCACAACTCCAGAAGAATATATTATAGCATTGCATTTGCAAATCATTGTAACAACATTAGAGCCTTTTTTCTCTTTTCCGTTTCAGCAACTTTACAATTTTAATTAATTAATTATAATAATTTTTATATTAGAGGCCAAAACTTCATCATTAATGAGTGAAAATATCAACGTATCATCATTAATTAACGAGTATAATTATACACAACAAGATTTGAATTATTATAGACATCAATAGAAAAAGTTTTTCATCATCATCATGGAATCGACAACAACAGGACAACAAACAACAGAATTCAACATTAATAATACAACAAGTGTTAGTGAGGATGTTGATAATGTTAAGAAGGCTTCGTTTATGGAAATTATGAAACAATTTTCAAAGGAATGCTTTGCTGGAAGTATTGCTGGTTCTTCGGGACTTATTGTTGGCCATCCATTGGGTATGTTGCAATTAATAATTAATTGAGAGAAATTAATTTAATTTGTTTACTTTTTCACAAATTAATGGAATTGTGTTCAAATTATGTGATTTTGAAAATAATATAGACACTATTAGAGTGAGAGCTCAAACTAGTACTAGCAGTAGAGGAGCAATGTATTTATTCAGAGAAGCTCTTGCAAAGGAAGGACCTCGTTCACTTTTTAAAGGATTACTCTCACCACTCATTGGAGAATCAATTAATAATTGCATTCTCTTTGGTGTCTACAATGGCTTGCTTCCATTCCTCTTTAGAACTGCTCTTGGAAACCAAACAGTTGAAGAAGAGACTGAAATGAGAAGAAATTCAATTCCACTCCAATTCGTCAGTGGGTCCCTTGCAGGTGCATGCATTGCTTTTGTTGTGTGCCCAACCGAGCTCATTAAAATTAGACTTCAAACCTCAACAGATCCAATCAAGACAAGAGCTACTGACGGAGTTGCTGGAAGAAGAGGATTTAAGGATTGTGCCAAATATATTTGGAAGAATGAAGGAGGATTGAGAGGAATCTACCATGGTTTATCTGCAACCATGATGAGAGAATTAACATTTAATGGAATTTACTTTGCCACCTACGAACAAGGTAAAACTAGATTATCTAAATATTTTGCTTCAAGACAACTTGGAGAAAATGCTTCTGAAAAGGAAGTGAATCAATTGACTGAGGAACTTCGTTCTAACTGGAAAGTTGTCATGACCAGTGGTGGTATGGCTGGTTTAGCAGCTTGGGGATTTACCTATCAAACAGATGTCATTAAGAGTGTAGTTCAAGCAAGATCTCCTGTTCTTGCTAGAAATGGAACTTACAATGTCAAGATTGCAGATGTTTTTGCAGAATGCAGACAATCCAAATCTCTCTTCAAAGGTATTGGACCAACACTGGTGAGAGCTGTTCCTGTAAATGCCACAACCTTCATGGTTTATGAATTAATAAGTGGATTCCTGAACAGAGAATAATTTAATTGCATTAAAAACAACTCGAGAGAAACACAATTTTCAAATAATACCGAATTTATTTGCTAATAAAATCCAAGAATTGAGAAATAATTAGGTGCTGCACTTAGTGAGGAAACCTCCTCAATTGAAAGATGGAAAACTGGAATGGATTATCAACAATAATAACACAGTCGCAGTGTTACTAGTAATTTGATAATAGAAAGTGGTGGTAGTAGAAGATGGGAAAGGAACTATGTACAAAGGGAAAAAGTGATTGTTATAGATCTCTCTTGTCAGTGAATTGACCAAATCATGTATTGAAGAACATTGGTCAATTCTCTTTTAAAGATGAAAAATGCAACCAATCAACTAATTACAACAAAACTAATCACCAGTAACAGTAATTTTCAAACCTTCAACTACCGTATTTGAAAATGCCTTGTTAAACACCTGTTCACTTTCTTGCTTTTCCTTATCTGAGCATGCATATCCATCATAGTCCAAATTTTTCAAAACTAGAGAAATTTTCGTAATGTGATTGCAATTGACCGACTCGAACTGTATAGAAATTTCCCACTCAAATTTATACTTGCAAATGAGTGATGACTTGTCTTCTGAAATACTATACACTTGTTCAATACGTCTCTGAGTAATCACAGGTGTTTTGTTATCCTTTCCAGTGTGAAAATCCAAGAACTATTATTCAGTTGGCCTCTAATTTTGAAATAAATAAAAAAAACATACCCACATTCCTCTACAATCTTTAAATTCAATTCCATGAGCTTTCAAACACTCTCTCACATGAAACAAGACAGCAATAACAGGACTCTGATTACAACACTTTAACAATTTGATAATTGGATGATTTTCACCATAATATTTCAATAAATACTTGTCAAATGTCGTTGGAATATTTGTATTCACTTCAGAGTCGAATATATCTTGAGTGGCAGATACTTGTTCTAAACCCATCTCACCTAACAATGCACCCATCAATTCAAACAAGACAATATTAATTTTATCTTTGGCCTTGTCAGCTGTAAAGTTTCTTTCTGTCATTTGTTGTGAATTAAAACGAAATAATGTAAATTTACGTGCTAGACGTGGAATATCCTTCGAAACTGGTAGAGTTTCAAGTTTATGTTGCGCGACTTTTGTCAGCTCGTCCACAACATTTGACATGTTAATATTGGCCATAGTTTTTGATATGAAAATAATTTCTAGAAAGAGGATGATGAAAAGGGTTGTTATTCTTGCTGCCACAGAACAATTTCCAAGTTGATGAGTTTGACCGTTGACAGCAATTTTTTTTTTAAAATTTTATTTTAATTTTTTTAATAGAACGACAGAAAACTGACAACTGCAACAAAGAAGAGTGATGGTTTTCCAAAATGGAGTTGATAAGGGAAGTCGTTGCCAAATTGTATTCTTCAGTTACCACCTTTCGAATACAAAAGAATACCATTGGAAGAAACTTGTTTTATTAGAAACCTGCCGGCAGTGATAAAGACGTTGGGTGATAATGAATTTAATTTTATTGAATTTTATTGAATCAACAATTTCTATATTTCTAATGTTTTGGACATTCTATTTTCGATTTAACACTGAGGTTGATATTGTACTGATTGGTTCTTCATTTGGTCAAAGGATAAGAAGGGAGATAGTTCAGTGGTAGAACATGGGATTGTGGTTCCTAAGATCAGGGTTCGATTCCCTGTCTTCCTACACCTTTTATTTTATTTTTTACCCAATAAGAATATCTGGTATTTTATAATTCTTGTTCGATTTTTTTAATAAGAACATCGTAAAGCAAATTGGCGCAGCGGAAGCGCGATGGGCTCATAACCCATAGGTCCTAGGATCGAAACCTAGATTTGCTATGTCTTTTTTATTCCCCTTTCCATTAATTTTGGCAATTATACATTTATCCAAAATATTTCTTTTTTGATCAAAATCCAAGAAACGCGTACTGGATTCGGCTCATTCTACTTCAAGTTGACCACCTTGACATTCATACAAAAAATTAGCCACAAATCACCACAAATTTTCCAATCTCATTCACAACATCATGGGTTCAAGTGTTTCGGATTCTAGAAATGACAAGAGTGCACTTCAAAAAGCGTATCAAGAAGAAGCAAATGATGAAGAGGACGATGGTTCTGATCAATACCCTATTGATGAATTATCTAAAACTGCAGTTGATCAACAACAACTGGAAGGTGGCCGAAACCTGTCGAATTATTTTTCTGAATTTGAAATTGTTTCTTCACAAAAATTCAAAAACAAAAAGCAGTACACTTTTCGATATAGGATTATTCAGAAAAGTGATCAGATTGGGTGTCTAGGAAGTGCATTCAAGTGTACAGAAAGCATTGTTGGATTTTCACCAAATCGAGAACGAGTTGTGATTGTGAAAAAATTAAAATATTTACCAGATTTACATCATTCGATGGATTTGATTGGAAACATGTTGGAAGAAAGTTTGGAAATGCATTATTGGCATATGGGGAGAGTTTTAAATTGTTTCAAAATTGAGAATAATAATGCGCAGGATTGGTTTTTAGTGTCAGAATATTATCCTTTGGGAAATTTGACAGATTTGAGAAAGTCAATGAGTGAAGTTTCGATTTCTTTAATGTTACAACTTGTTTATCAAGCAGTAATGGCTATTAGATATTTAAATTCCAGAAATTTGGTTCATAGAAATATCAAAATGGAAAATATTCATGTCAGATATTTTACAAATGACAGATTGACAATTATTTTGGGAGATTTAGGAACGTTATGTCAATTGAATGGAGATTCTATGGAAATTCCGCTCACCAGTGTTTCAACCTTTGAAGATTCTGACAAACTCATAGACAATTCCATAATAGGAACTTTAGGATATCGAGATCCTTTATCCATTAACAAACGAAGAATTCACATCAAATCTGACATTTGGAGTTTGGGAATAACCTTACTGAAATTCCTATTCTTTACAGATCTCCCAGCAACTGTCAATTTGGAAGAAGATTCTCAAGAAAATATTGAAGAATTATTGGATTATTTATTTTCTCCATTGGAAATCAAAGATCATGCTTGGGCTTCTGTAAAACAGTTGATTTCTGGCATGTTGAGGATTAATATTTATGAAAGATATGGAACGAATAGAATTTTGACTGATATTTTTGATATTGAACAAGTTTCGAATGTCGAAAATTTGGATTCGAATTACTTTTTACTGAAACAAGTATTCAAGAATCATGAATCAGTAATTTCGACTCTTTTATCTCAAAATGGAATGATGCTACCACACATGCCAGATTCTATTCGAAGGAATAAGAAATTTGTAATGATTGCAATTCAGAACAATCCATTTTCATACGAATTCATATCTGAAACCTTAAAGAATGATTCTGAAATAATGATCAGCACTTATTTGAAAGATAGCAGAACAAAATACTTATTTACAAGGAAATTTACTGAACAGGAGGAGAAACAATTAAAGATTCGAGCAATTCCACTTGAAAGAAACTTATCTGAAAGTGAACGAAACGATTTTACTTTCATTTCGAATCTAGTTACCAAGGATGGAAGATATTTGGCACTGGCATCACCAAAACTGAGAAGCAACTTTGAAATTGTCAAGAAAAGTCTACTTTCGAATGGTTTAGCCCTCGAATTTGTTTCCCCAGAATTGAGAAAGGTCAAGGAATTTATGGAAATTGCAATTGACCAAAATCCACTTTCTCTTGCCTTTGTTGATTATTCATACAAGAATAGCTTTGAGATTGTCAAGAAGGCAGTTCAGCAAAATGGACTAGCTCTGGAATTTGCATCAAATCAACTCAAGCTTAATAAGGAAATTGTCAAAATTGCTGTCAGTCAAAATTGTAAGAGTTTGGCATTTGTTCCAAGTGCTCTGATTAGCAATGATCCAGAATTATTATGTTCTCTCCTTTCTTATGATTCAGATTCTATAGAAGAATATGAAAAACATTGGATTGCGACATTTGACATTTTCAATTGGATTATTTCACAATTCAGAAACAATACCAAATCGACATTCTTCAAAAATTCAAACCTCCTAACAATGTATTGCATCTTGGAAGAGAACGACCTCATCCAAGTTGATCCTAAAATTCTATTCGAAATGTATGTCGAATCTTCCAACAAGAAACAAATTTATTCACTTTACAAAATGGGAATTTTATATTTCCATGGAGAAGATTTAATGGGAATTGAGAGGAATTTGGAAATGGCAGTTCAATATTTTGAACAAGCAGCTCAACTGGGATTAATTGATGCCTACATGTCACTTTATTCAATATATTCGAGTGATGACCAAGATGTCAAAAAGGCAGTTCAGTATTTGACAAGTGCTGCAACGAAGGGAAATGCTCAAGCTCAATGGAATCTTTGCGAATTGTATGCAAAGGGAGAGGGCGTTCCAAAAAGTAGTGAACTGTCAATGAAATGGATGAAAAAATCAGCTCAGAATGGAAATGTTGAAGCACAGCTGTCACTTGCCAATTATTATGAACAGGATGCCACTAAGGATGTTATACTAAGCTTTGAGTGGTGTCTGTTAGCTGCTGATCAAGGATTTCCCGAAGCACAATTTCAGTTAGGTGAAAAACTAATGAATGGAATTGGATGTCAACAAAATGTGTCACTTGCCATTCAACATTTTGAAAAAGCAGTTAAAGAAGGACATGTCCTCTCAATGCTCAATCTCGGTCTCATTTATTTCCAATCATCAACTTTACAAAATCATGAAAAATCTTTAAAATTCCTTTTACTAGCTGCCGAAAATGGAAATATCGATGCTCAACACAATATTGGATACTTTTTCGCATCTAAGAATGAATTTGAGAAGGCCTTTACATGGTACATGAAATCTCATCTTGCCAATCATCCAAATTCATTCTCTGAAATTTCACAAATGATTTTACGAAATGAATTGAAATTCAAAAAAGTTTCTGGATTTATTGCCAAGGAAGCAATGAATGGAAATGAACAAGCAATTAAATTATTGCAAGAATTGAAAGAAAGAGGTGAGGAATGAATCTGCCACAAGTCATTTCCAATTTAGCAAGTTGGAAAATGAAAGATTTTTAATATCATTAGCAATATTGCTATTTTAATGCAAAATTAAACGTTGCTATTCATTTTCTCAATAAATTTATACGAAATCGAATACATTTGTCTCAACTTTAATTGTAAAACATCAATTTTCAAAGTTTCATTAAGAAAACTTCGTTAAAACTAAAAAACGACCTTGCTCTCTGCTGAAGTAAATTTTCTGTTGAGTTCGGGTGATTAAATTTTCTGAATTGCATGCTGCCCATCCTAATTAATATCGAGCATGTGTCAAAAGTCAAGAATTCAGCGAAAGGTTAATGAAAAGTTTGATGGAAATACGAGAAAGGTAGGATACTCAAGATTCAATTTACGATATCATATTAAAAAAAATGACTCGATTATTACTCACGACAGTTGTCATTTGTATTTCAATTTTGTTAGCCCTGACAGGATATATCAGTGCCGCGGTTACATGCAATGGTGTAGATCAGACAGATCCTTCAACCTGCAGTGGTCATGGTCTATGTAAAAGCAACAATAATTGCGCATGTCTTGACATGTCACCTGCCAATACATTAATTTCACAAACTGGAGGATACAATGGCATTCCAACAACATTAAATACCTCACGAACGCTAACTTCATCAAATGGTCAATATCAAGCATCATTAGATCCATCAACAGGTCGTTTACAAGTCCAAGATGTCACCAACTCGACCATCGTTTATCAAAGTGCAACTTTATTATCAGCAGCTTTATTTGCACCTTTTGAATTAAGATTATTTGTACCTTCATCTACTACCTGTCAAATATCAATTTATGGAAATAATGTATTAGGTTTGACATTGACAGGTACAGTAAGTGCAATTTTGCCATGCAGATTGGTCATGAGAAATAATGGAGAATTAGTAATGTACAGTTCCGCTGGGTTTGTTTGGTGGACAACAAATCCATCACTGTCAACTGGCACTGAAGATTTAATTTATCAAGGTGTCAATTGCGCTTCACCAACTTGTTATGGAATTTTGGCAGAATCTCCAAATGTTTGTTCTGGAAATGGAACTTGCACCTTTACTAATTCATGTTCTTGTAAAAGTGGACATTTCGGAGATTTATGTGATGCTTTTAAATGTTTTGGAAATTTGGCAAATGACACGTTGAATGTTTGTTCAGGAAATGGAAATTGCATTTCTCCAAATGTTTGTTCGTGTAATTCTGGATTTTATGGACCTAATTGTGATTTAATCAAGTGTTTTGATGTGCTCAGTAATGAAACATCGAGTGTTTGTTCTGGACATGGAATTTGTTCGAGTACTGACAATTGCACTTGTGCAAACGGTTATTTGGGGAGTAAATGTAATCAGTTCGAGTGCTTTGGAATTTCAAATTCAGTAACTTCAGGACTCCAATTGCCATGCTCTGGAAATGGAACATGTACTGGAATAGATCAGTGTGTATGTCAATCTGGATTTATTGGAAATGAATGTGAAACATTTAAATGTTCTAATTTTCTCAAGAATGACACTTTGAATGTTTGCTCTGGTAATGGATCATGTATTGCTCCTAATCAGTGTTCATGTCAATCTGGATTTTTCGGTTCGACATGTGAAGCTTTCAAATGTGGAAATGCATTATTCAATTCGAGTTCAGTATGTTCTGGAAATGGATTTTGTAATGCTCCAGATCAGTGCATTTGTAAGAATGGTTATTCTGGATCATTGTGTGATAAATTCACTTGCTTTGGAATTGCCAATGATTTAACAAGTGGTGGTCCATTAGCAGTTTGTTCTGGAAATGGAACATGTTCTGCGTTGGACAAGTGCATTTGTAATTCTGGATTTTTGGGTGACAGCTGTGACACTTTCAAATGTTTTAACAAGTTGAAGAATGATAGTTTGGTTTGTTCTGGTAAGGGAAGTTGCATTCTTCCAGAAACTTGTTCATGTTCGTTGGGATATGAAGGATTGAATTGTGACGGTTTCAAATGTTTTAACAAATTGAAAAATGATAGTTCAGTATGTTCAGGAAATGGATTATGTACTGATATTAATCAATGCTCGTGTAAGAATAATTGGTTAGGTCTTGATTGTTCTGTCACTTCTTGCTTTAATTTACTGTCAAATGACACAACTGTTTGTTCTTCGAAAGGAAGTTGCGTTGGATTTAATCAATGCTCATGTCAATCTGGATATTTTGGTAGTCTATGTGATGTTAAGAAATGCTTCTCCTACCTGTCAAATGAAACTTCACTTGTCTGTAATGGACAAGGAACATGTACTGATCTTGACACTTGTTCCTGTAACTCTGGATTCCTTTCGAATGACTGTAGTGTCAATACGAATCCATTTTCCATTTCTTTGAACGTTTCTTCACTTTCCATTTATCAAGCTACTTCTTGGAATAGTGTGAAAATTTCCCTGTCAGAAGTTTTAAATGTCAATTTAATTAATTTCAATTGGTATTGCTTGGATTGTGTCACCAGGACAAGTTCTAATCTCCAGAAGGGACTTGTGAGTTCTTCACAAATTTTACAATTTAGAACTTCAGATTTAGTGGCAGGAACTTTTACATTTATTGCAAATGCAACATTTTCGAATATTTCACCATATCCAAAACGGGTTTCGAATAGTGTTTCATTTAAATTGACTGTATTGGATATTAATGTTCCTACTTTGGATGTTTTTGGACTTCCTTCAGTAATTATTTCAAAAATTGATCAACCAATTTCTAGTATAGTTTCTAGCATGACTTTAAATCAAACTTTGATTCAAAGTTTTATTGGAAAGTGTTCGAATGTTAGCTGTTCAACGCAGGTCACTTATTCTTGGACTATTTCATCTGCCGATAATACATTCAAGGCATCTTCTGATGGAATTACTAATATTCTCAACTTGGTTGATTCTACTATTACAATTTCACCTCCAATTCAATTGACCACAAATTTATTGTCACTACTCAATAGTACTTTGACATTTTCTTTGAGTATTGTCAATCCATTACTGAAATCATTAACTTCATTGATCCAAATCCCAATTGTCTCTCCAGCTTTACCACCAACAGTTAATATTCCTGGATGGACAAGTGACGTTTACGGAGCTAACACGACCATTTCAAATGTCATGAGAGTTAGCCCAAGTCAAGGTATTTCACTCACTAATTTATTCACTATAACTATTGAATCATGGAGTGCTGATTCTAGACTCCTTCCTCTCAAGTATGCTGTTGGATTTTATGATAAAAAGACGAGTAAGCCAATTAGAGTAACTGAATATTCGAATCAAACCGAAATTTCAATTTATTTACCTTATATGAAGTCATCTAGTTCAAAGAGATCTATTACTGCTGATTTGGAGAGTGTTGAATTGGTTGTGTTTATTATGGATGTGATTGGAAATATCGATTTCAGAAAGTCAGCAACTGTCTACCTGTCACCTTTTAGTGGAACAGCTACTCAATTGACAGAAAAGATTAATTCATTGACAGGATATGCAATTACTGTTGCCTCCTATGATCAATCCTTGTCATTATTGAGTAGTACAGTTAGTGATTTAACTCTCAGTCTGATTAAGAACATTACAATTGATCCAAAATTCCCAACAGCTGCTCTTAATAGTTTACAATCTTTGACAGCTGATGTCAATTCATTGACAAGAGAAATTGTTATTGAGGTGAATAGCAAATTGAATGGATTTATTACATCTGTGAATGGCAGCTATGCTGATGATAAGAAGAATTACGGATTTGTCAAGAGCAAACTAGCAAATTCTGATGTGACTTTGACAGTTTCTGTCAGTTCTAATTTATTGCAAAGTGTATTCGAAAGTGAAGGTACCAAGAATGTTGTCAATCAATTGGTTTCTACTATTTTATTTGGAGAAATCGCTAACATGATTCAATCAAGTCAAAAAACACTTAGTTCAGTTTCGTATAGTTCCAATCTAATTGACTTTGCAGTTTCCAGCTTTATATTGTCCAATCAAGTGAAATCGAATCAAACTCAATCTATCCTTATGGGTAACTACACCAGTGTCTCTATGAATATTTCAAATATCATGAGTCAATATAATGCATTCTCAAAAGATTGTGGAATTTCTCTAATTGTCTATTCCAAGAATACTAACTTTGACAATTCTACTAACAAATTGAAACTTGTTTCAAGTGTTAACGATTTCAAGTTCAGCGTTGATTCATCTGTTGTGCCTCTCTCAGATTTGACTCAACCAATTATTCTTCAATTTGAGCTTGTGGACGAATTGACTACAATTTTAGAATCTTTGAAAAATGAAACTCTGAATGTAACTCAAAATGATCCAACTCAATCCCTCTCAACCAATGAACAAAAGTATTTGTGTAAATATTGGGACGAATCAAGTCAATTGTGGAGTTCTAAAGGATGTTCCTTCAAGAGTGTGAATTTACAATCCAAAACAATTGAATGTTCATGTGTTCACACAACCATGTTTACAACATTCATTGAACAGAACAGTACATTTATCAGTAATCTTAAAGATCAAGTATCAGCTCTCTATTCAGTCCAAATAGCTTTTGGCATCATCTATGCAAGTGTTGCTACTGTAATTTTAATTGGATTAATTGCATTCAGAAAGGAACAACCAGTTTCCTCCAGATTAATGACTCCATATTTTGGAATGGTTGCCTTGATCGCAGAAAGTGTTTTGATTTACATTATTCAGAGAAGTATTTTGGCTGATCAATTGTTGAATTCTTCACCATCTGTATGGGAAACTGGTGATACAGCTGCTAATATTATTGCCAATGTAGTTGCTATCGTTGTCAATACTTTGAATTTGACAGCTATTTTGAGCTATGTCATTCAAGTGACAAGATTCCAATTAATGAAATACTTGTATCAAATCTTGTCTTCCAGTAGAGGAAATGAACAAAAGAGTGAACATACAATTAATGTTATCAGATTTTTGACAGCTCCAAGTTTGTCAAATTCAATTCTTTCAGCATTTGCTGGTGTGAATGTAATTTATTGGTTATTGTGGGTAATTTTGAGAAGAACCAATGCAATTGAACCAGCCACCTATACTTACATTGTTTCCATTTCGTATACAGTGTGCATTCTTGTATTCAGTGTCTTGATTACTATTGTGGCTGTTTTAGATTTTATTGGCTCTACAAAGAAACATTTGGACATGAATACAAAGAGAAGAACAGCTATGGATCACTTAGTTGAGAATCCAAGCTCTAGTTTCAAGAAGGATAAGAAGAAATTCGTTGGAAATCCAGCCAAAATTTTCAGAGATTGGCTTATTACATTGGACGGTCCTCTCTACTTTAGAATGGAAATGATCTTGTACATTATTTGCTTTATTTTCTTAGTTTTGAATCAAGGTATTGGATTGAGTAGTTTACCATACAGATATGAAAGTGTTGATTCATTTAGAAAAGCTCTCCTTTCTGATGGAATTTCGTTTATCTTTGAAGTTTTATATGTAGTGAGCTATATTTTCGTATTTGGTGGATATGCACTGATTATCACACTCAAATACAAGTATCAAAAGTGGAAATATCAACAAGCACTCAAGGCAGCAGCTACAGAACCTCAAAATGAGGAAATTTGGATTGATGAGGCAGTTGATGAAATTCTCTCATCCCAAGAAGGAACAAGTCTATTCGAAACTTTTTGTGTCAAGGAATTCTCATGTGAAAATCTCTATCTCTATCAAGATTTACATGCCAATAAGGAAATTATTGATGGAAACAATTTCAAGGACCTTCCAAGATTCATGTCCTTTGTTTTCCACAACTATGTCAAAGTGGGAGCTCCATCAGAAGTCAACCTACCTTCCAGTAGTAGAAACTCATTCCTATTCCTCTTCAGATCAGCACTCTCTCAAAAAGAAACCTTCTCCTCCAGCCAACAAATTAAATTGGATTCGAATCTGTTGCGAGATTTCGAAGCAGTAGAAAAGGAAATTCACACCGAAAATATTCCAATTGTCGAGTTGAATGCAACAAATATTAAGGATTGCTTTGAAAATTTGGATAGAAATGTTTTGATTAATATTGGAGATACCTTCTCTCGATTTGTTTACACTCCGGAATATAAGATTTTTAAAAAGGCAAAGGAATTGCAAAATGCAATGATTCAAAAGGCAAATATTGTGTATGGATTGTAAATAAACTAAATGAAACTAATCTCTTTAGAATGTGTTGAAATATGAGATGAAAATTATTCGAAATAAAAGATTGAAATACGTGTTTCTTACAAAATACGTCTATGATTTTTAAAATCAGAAAAATATTCAGTTTCGAATGGAAGGAAACTTTTCGAATCTTCCTTCCGAAGTTTTATTCTTCAAAATTCTTCCACATTTCGAATACAAGTGGATTTTGAATGTGGGAAGATTAGTTTGCAAGGAATGGAATGAAAATTACAAATCAATTCCAACTTTTTACTTTCCGATAAAATATTGTGGAAACGAGACGAAACTAAAAAATTTGATAAAGCATTCTGATGAATTAGCAAAAGTAACATCTCTTTATTTAGAAAGAAAAGAAAATCACCTAATTTCGAATAATGAATTAGAAAGTGAATTTGTGTTAAAATTGAAAAATTTGAAAGAATTGAATATTACACGTTATAATTGTTCATTCTTGTTGGAAGATTTTGCAAAATTGAAAAAATTGGAAGAAATTAATTTAACTTTGATAACATTCGAACAAGTTACTGAGATTGTGAAATATCTGTCACATGCCAAATCATTTTCTTTTTGTCATATTTCACGATTGAATGAATTATTTGTTATTCATGATTCAATACCTTTGAAAAAACTAACTGTTAGTCCATCGTCATCCAATGAGCTAATTTCAATATTAGAAACTAAACCTGTCAAAAGTCTAACTGAACTTTATTGTTTCAATTGTGGTCAATTATCATTGAAAAATATTGGATCACTTGGTAATTTACAGAAATTAGACATTTCTGGGACCAGTTTCAAAGATGAAGAATCCTTGAAATATTTATTGAATTTGACAGAATTGGATGCAAGTAGTACTAACATAAATGGAAATGGACTTTCCAATTTAGGAAAATTACAAAATTTGAAAGTTTTAAAACTTGCAAGTAATCATATTGAAAATGAAGGAGCTAATTACTTGAATTTACTTTCAAATTTATCAAAATTAGATCTTTCCAATAATTGTATTAGCGATGAAGGTTTACAAAATTTTCCCAAACTTTACAAATTAGAATATTTAAATTTATCCAACAACAAAATTAAAATTATGGGAGCAAATTATCTTTCCCAAATGGAAAATTTAATTTTTCTTCACTTGCCCAAAAATTGTATTGAAGAGGAAGGTTTGAGAAATTTTGGAAATTTGAAATTTTTAAAGGAATTATTTTTGGGTTCTAATTTCATTGGAAGTGGAATTCGTCATCTTGCCAAATGTCATTCTTTAGAGAGATTATATGTCAATTCTAATTTAATCAACGATCAGCAAGCAGTTGATGAATTTTGTGGAAATTTGAATCTAAGAGAATTGGAAATTTTCAAGAATGATTTAACTGAAACCTGCTGTGAAAGTATTTCAAAATTAAGCAATTTGAAAAAGTTGAATATTTCAGAAAATCCAATTGGTAATGGAATTTCCAATTTGGGAAAATTACAAATTTCAAAATTGGAAGCAAAAAATTGTAAAATTACAGATGAAGGAATTATTGAATTTTTCAAATCCTTCCAAAGAAGTGAAAAAAGTGAAAAATTGGATCTTTTTCTGGAAGATAATGAATTTACAAATATTTCAATAATTCAATTTTTGGAAATAGCTGACAAACTCAATAGTCTTTCGATTTCTTATTCACAGAATTTTAATTTAGAAGAAACTCAAAGATTACATTACAAATTGAAAAATTTGAATATCCAAGGTGAACCCATCCAAATCTCGAAAAGGAAGGAGATGCCTTTTGAATTCAATTGGTTTTTTAAATTTTTTAATGATTAAAAAAATATTCTTTTTTTTACAATTTGTGAATTTTATTTAAATTTTGAATGAAAACCAATTTTGGTTTACAACACGAATGAAAGACAAATGAAAAGCAAAGCAAAGACAAATGGCAAGCTAGTGGTAATGAAAGTTGCTTCACTTGCATAGAAAACCAAAGAAACTGAAACAGCAACTTTAGGTGATGGTGAAGTCAAATTTCTACCAACAACTGGAAGTGTCAAGTTTGTAGGAATTTGAGGTTGACCAGTGACATCTAGACCAGAAAGAGTTGTCAATGCAGAAACGTCAGCCATTCCAGCATCAGTCCAAGCTTTCTTATAACACTTAATCATATTAGCATATTGCTTTGAACACAACTTGGTAATGACAGTTGAATTGGCATCAACAGGTTGATATGAAATAGTTGATGTCATGCCACTTGTCAATTCATCAACTCCATTATTATAGGCACAAGCATAAAAATCTTCTCTAAAACCATTACATGGTTGAACACAAGTTCCATTGAATGGACTAGCACTAGACAAACCACCACATCCACATTTCAAATCAGATGAGCTAGGACATGCTTTGGCAGTTGAACATGTGACAACTGTCGATGAACATTTAAGATTTTCACAATAATTATTGAAACAGTCATCATTCTTATCACATGCTTCACCATCAAGAAGATGCCATCTTCTAATACACTTATTCTTAGCACATCTCATTTGAAGAATTGGCAATTTGTAACAATCTGAAGGAGTTTCACAAAATTCACCATAGACAGATGGCTTTTGACAGGTCTTGGCAGCACTATCAATATTTTCCTTTCTACAATACAATCCATCTGCACAAACAGTTGAAACTGGAAGTCCAGAACAATTTTGACCTAATTGTAAAATTGTTGGTTTGTAACAAACGTTACTGATACAAGTCAACCCAGAATTTTCTTTACAAAAAACACGAACGCCACCTGAAATTGTTTCACAAGGACCTCCTTCATCGCTATTATATGCCATCTTGAGACAGGCGCCTTGATAACAGTAGAAACCTGTTGCACAATCGTTTACAATATTTGTTGTTTCGTTCAATGATTTTTCCAAGCAGGCACCACCTTCAACATTGACAACTGGCAGGACTTTGAAACTGACACATTGATTATTAACACAATTAGTGTAAGCAGAAGCACTTCCAAAACTACCAACGCAATTTTCTCTATGAGTGCAATAATCACCTAAAATTCTAGTTCTACGATATTCACAAGTTTGAGTTCTGGCAGCACAACCCAACCAATTGGCTTGACAAGCAGAAGAACTGCCTGCACAGGACATACCAACGTAATTTGGAAGGATAGTATTAGGAATTGAAATACAGGTACGATTTCCTGTAAAACTGAAACCATTAATTGAACCAGTTGGGCAAACGAGTGAGGAAGCTTTTGATGAGGCAGCATCAGCAGCTGTAATACCCGAGACATAGTTGGAGGTACATTGCTGGCCAACTACTGTGGATAGCATCAGATAGAGAGATGCTAATGTGAAGAGGAGAAGGTATGGTTTCATGTGTTGATTGTTTTTTTTGAGTGTGGATGACTTTCGAATAATGTTGTGATATCTTGTTTAAGAGCTTTCTAGCTCCTTGGTGTGCGATGAGGTTATTTGGCATCTTGGTTCAATGTTTGGAAGTTTGTTGACAGAATGGGTTGTGGTAACTTGTTTCTCTATTGAGAATATCGCGGCCATCAATGTTTGTCAAACTGTTACTAAACTTGCTCAAGAAACAAGATTGGAAGAATTTTTCAAAATTGTTGTAGAACACTTGTCTGTCATCGTTTTTGATTTGGTATTGTATTTAACGAGATTCTATTGGTGATTATCCAAACGACATGTATGGAAGATATTTTTGTGGGTTTACAATTATTGATTTACAATTGAAATTTACAGTTTTTATTTTCTCTTTTTCTTTTGTTTAATTTCTTGTTTGAATTTCATAAATGGTTCTGCCATTGATTCGCAAACACTCTTTTGCAATTCATCAAACAAGTCGTCTTCTAAAATGCTAGAAGATGAGAATTCATCCAATCTTGTTTTAACTCGTTCTTGAAGAGCAGTGCTTGTTTTGAATGGTGTTTCTCCATTTACATCAATGAATTCAGTAAATATCTTGAAAGCAACTTCGTATTTGTTTCTTTCCAATTCCTCAACTTTCTCAATTTCCTCAATATCGCTAATTTTCGTATTCTTGCTCTTTTGTTCAGCAACACCTCTCAAGTAGTGGGCTTCCTCACAGAGTTCCTTGTAAGAGTGGCAATTGTCCAACAAGGTAAATGAATCCAAACAATTTTCTCTATCACAGAAAGCTCTGAATAAAGCATTATACTTATCACTTCCAACAGTTTCCATTATCATAATATGAGCAGCTTTTCGGAGTTTTCTTGTGCTTGTAACTTCAGTAGTCAATGCCATGGCAAAGATTAAAATAACTATTGGAACACTAACAATTACACCAAACAAAACTAAACCCATGTTCACAGCGCTTGCCATCCTTAAATACTCTTTCTTCTCATTTGCAAGTTTGACAATTTCTTTTTGTACTTTGATTAAGAAAAGTTGGGTTATAGTATCTGCTGAATAGTATTGGAATGATTTTCTTTTTTCCCTTGCAGATATCATGTCTCCAATAGCCACATAATCCATAACTAGATCATTCAAAGTAGTTATTTGCGTATTCAAATATTCGGATGGTTTCACAGTTCCATTAGGCAAAGTTAGTGCAAGCTCTACTAGGGTGGTATTGGCAAGGGCTCGCTTTATATAATATTCCCCAACCAGACTCTGGTTTCCAGTGGCTGCAGCTACTCTTACAGTACAGTCAATATCGTGATAGAGTTGCAAGTAGTCTGTTCTCTTGAGGAGCATATAGGTTTCCTTCTGGGCATCCAATTTGAAAGCATTTCCAACAATTACAGCCACAGCTATAAAAGCAGCAATATTGATAAGCATACCAAACAGTGAGAGAATTCTGACAAGATTCAGTTCTATTATACCACAACATGTAGGAATACGAAATGTCACCGAAGAGACGGTAGACTTGCCCGACTTGGCTGTTGTCTTACTGAATATTGATTCAACTGTAGGTTTTTGTGGTTGAGCAAACGAGACTCTTTTATCACCTGGTGTTTGTGGAGTATTGTTTTGGGCTCTACTCATTCTATATTGTTGTTGTTGTGGTTTAATTGAAGATAAGGTTAATGGTTTAGTGACAAATCTTCTAGCAAAGTGTACCACAATACTATCGGCATCACTACAGGCATCGTCATCTTCGTCGTCTTCATCCTCAATTTTAGTTTGTTCCTCATTGTGAGTATTGACAGTGATACAAACTTTCTCTTGAGCTTGTTCTTCGTCAATCTTTTTCAAATCCTTTAGTTCAATAGATGTTGAAGTAGAAGGATTGTCTTGATGATTCTGAATGGTTTCAATTGTTTGTGATGGGGGTGTTGAAGATGGATGATCACCTTCAGGCGACGAAGTAGAAGATAACGAAGAAGACATTTTTTGTGTGTTGGTATTCATCTATCTCCCACCTCCAAATGTCCCCTCTCTCTACGTAGTTAGATCCAAACATCACTCGGCATTGGGATTTGGTTTCCTTATATTGAATTTGCCTTTTTTAAACGTTTTGAGCTTAATTTTGTGAACCATCCGTTCAACTAGCAAATCTCATATTTAGGAACTAGATGCTAATAACACAACAGGAAAGTGTTGCTCAAATAATATCACAAGATACGGTATACAGTAGATTCTACTCGGAAAGACATTTGCTTTTCTTCTGCAGACTAACCGACATTTGTATTCAACCCACACTGTAGATAGAAATTATAATGAAAGTTAACCTAGTCTTCATCATGTATTAATTGTTAGGTTGTATAATAAGATGTGAAGATCATCAATTAAATTTTAATTCATGCAAAGATACGTGCCCAAATTGAGGCTTTGCAATTAACGGTTTTTTTAAGCAGCAAGAATTCACCCTCATTCATCTTGGCGCCTTTTTTTTAAAATTGTAATAAAACAAATTTTATTTATTTAAAAGAAGAAGAAAATGATCATCATTGCAATCACCAAGTATGAGGCAGTGAAGTTGTGAATGGATGAGGTATGACTAAGGACAGGTTCTGGAGGAATTTCAACAGAGGAAACTTGCAAATTATATCCACTAATTAAGAGAGCAAAGTTTTGAGAACCAACATTCTTCTCCGATGATCTGATATTAATAATAATCGATGAGGATGAATTGGAGGTGTTTGGAGGAATGTTAATGGTGAGTGATTCGACATTGTTTCTATCATCAATTAGGGAGGAATCTTGAATGTTTCCATAGTTACATTGTTGATTACCGTAGCAGAGAGTATGAATTGGTGAGGAGGAGGAATCATCCTTGATGGAAACTGAGAGATCTAAATTGTTGATTAGCACTTTGGCTGAGTTGGTGGATGAGCTAACAGGTGTACCTTTCAAATCAAACCAGGTGAGTGTAACTTTCAATGGATTGGAGCTTGCCAAATTATTGGTCAACTTCATTGTGATGGTAATGTTTGAGGCAACATTGATTTTCTGTCTATTGATTGTGAATAGATCTGGATTGGAATCCTTATCTGAAAACTTCATTGTATTGGCAATATTCACTCTACCGTAACCTGTGTACTTGTTTGGAGTTTTCTCTTTGGATAGATCACGATAATTGTTTTCGTTTGTGAAAACACCATCCAACTTGACTGTACCCATCAACTTCTCTCCAGAGTGAATAACAAAACCCTTTACAAGCATGCCACTCAATGTTTGATTTGGATTCTTATTAATCAAATCAAGGTTGACCAATCTTTGCTTGCTATTTTGAAGGAAGTATTCTCTAACCAGAGCAGAAACACCTGAGATAGCTGGACAGGCCATACTAGTTCCTGTCTTCTGAGTTAGCCCAGTTGAATCACAGAATGGAATATAACTTCTAGCACTCCAAATTTTCACTCCAGGAGCTACAATGTCAGGCTTAAATCTATTATCAAATGTTGGACCTCTTGCTGAAAAATAGCCCAAATTGTCATGATTGTAAAGTGTTGTATTGATATTTGGTTCATATCTGGTGTATTCATCAGATGTGGCATAGGCAGCACCAACTGAGATACAATTCTTGGCAGTAGATGGAGCTAGTTCAAAAATTGTTACAATTTACCAAGTGAACAATATACTTACAAATAACAGACTTTTCCTGTCCATAGTAACCACTATTACCAGCAGCAAAGACAACTAACATTTCATCATTGGCATTGGTGAATTCATCAATTTGTGCAGAGAGTGTTTCATAAGTGTTACCAAGTTCACAACATCTTAAACCATATTGTTGAAGACAATACTCATCCTTCACTGGTTTGGAAAGATTGGATTTGGCTTCATAGCAATCACAATCAAATTGGCAATCTAAATTATTGGTATTTCCCCAACTGTTGCTGGAAATTCTTGCACCACTGGCATAAGCCCTAATCAAGTAAGATGTCATGTTGGAAACTGAGAAGAAAAGTGTAATACCAGAATCAATCATGTGAATTTTAGCATCTTTGGCAATACCCATATCATTATCAATTCCTGAAGTTGAACTTGGTTGACCAGCAACTATTATTAAGGTAAAATAACAAAGAATGAAAACAACAACTTACTAATTCCAGAACAGTGAGTACCATGACCATTGGCATCGTAAAAATCTCCTGTTGTACCTCTCTCGTAAAGTACAACCTTTCTATTTTTGGTATTCAAAGTAGAATAATCTTCATTTGGAGAAGAGAAGAAACAATGACTGTAATCAAGACCTGAATCAACAATATTCACAATCTCACCCTTTCCAGTTACACCATTATCCCAAGCAAATCTCGAAACATTAACCTTACGATTGTATTGAACAACATTATTGGAGCCGTACAATAATAATGATTGAGAAAATTCTCTTTCAACATAGTCTACATCTTCATTATCTAAAATGTTGCTCATTAAGAAATCTGACATGTGACTCATCAAGGCACTCCTTTTACCATTGTTATTCCACAAGCTTGCATCTCCATCAACCAAGGAAATTGAAAACATTCTTCCTCTTTCTTCAATCAAAATTGAAGAACTTGCAAGAATTTCATTAATACTCTCAGAACTTCTTCTCACAGAACTTTCAATCAATTGAGTAGCAAACTCATGATTGAATTTGGTATTCATCTTGGAAAGGAAGAGTGGCAATTTTTCTTCAAATTCACTATTCATTACAACTCTGAGTTTGGAAAATCTCAAACTGTCCATAGAAAATTGAGGAAACAAAATTCTCTTCTCATTGCTAACTCTTTCAATTCTGTAAATGTATTGTCTGTAGGAGGATTCGCTTTTAATTTCATCAATTCTTTGTAATGAGAGTCTAGTTCTAAACACTCTGTTATCTGTTCCACTGACAGTTTCTAATCTTTCGGTACGAATGTTGCTGCTACTTGGACCGAAAACAATTCTATTTAATTGGTCTAAATGAAAATCGGAAAGGATGACATTATCATGAATTTTAATGTCTACAAGAAGTTTTGCATTATTCGAAAGTGTTCTTGCAGCTGATGATGATGGTTTATCCAACAAATTTAAACCATCCAATGTATGAGGAAATCTGCTATGAGCAACAACTGAGAATGCCAAACCGAGGAGGAATAGGCATACCACCAATATTGTTCGCTGCATTATTTTTTTGTAAAGTATCGAATAATTGCATAGTAGACATGTCATTCAATAAGATTTATCACCAAGTTTAAATACCGAATCTATTGATGTTGGTCAAATTTCGAAAAGGAGATTAGATAACGTTCAAGGAGTAAGAAACTTAACAAAGAATGCAGATACCAATATAAAAATTATTCTAAACCTGAACCCGACATTCCATACATGGAAGTTGACAAAAGAATGAAAGTGGCGATAAGATGATATGGAATTGCCGTCATGGAATCGGTATACCTTCAACATCTCAAGACCAATCCTTTAATCGTTCCCATTGTCATTCGTCTACTTTCGATATCTTTCAAAAAATGTCTCAAGACCATCACCACCATGCTTCTGAGCTACAAATAATCGTATCTCCAGAGACCACTACCAACACTCTAACAAGTGATTCCCACAATCCAATGATAACGAGTCACCAAACTTCCAATACAGAATCATCAACTCAACCTCCACTTAAAAAGAAGACAACTTTCGCATCACGTGATGAACACATAGCTACAACCATAGCCATTCAAGAAGATAAAACAGAAAGTACAAGTATTTTCAGTAAGACTACTAGTGCTCAATCACTTTCATCTCAAACTAAACTCAGAATTAAAACATGTTGTGGAATAATCAAGTTGAATACTATGAGATTATTGTCAGTGGTGGCCATGTTTGTCAATTCCATTGCTTTTATTGCTATTGCTGCTGTTGTAATTAATTCGTATACGTTACAGACTTCGGTTGATACTGATCTGTTATTGAATAGAGGTGATTTAGTTTCGTTTACTGAAAAAACCGAATGTGCTGTTAAACTGACAGCTTATGAAAATAGAACAGCCTATACAGAATCATATTATGTTAATTATCAGAATGTTACTAATCTACTTTCCACATTGAAACAAGTTTTACCTTCAAAGATTTATACTCTGAATGGAGTTGACGTTCCAACTAAGAAAATGGATGATGAAATTCTGACACTTGTTGGCAATGGTTATGGAGGTCAAGCTCTGAATATTCTCAAGTCATCTGAATATATCAGTCAACAAGTTGCTTACGATACTTTCTTACAATCCATGTTGGATTATTCGAATGATATGGCCGAATCTAAGAATTCTTATATTTTCATTTCTAGTATTGTAAACTTGGTTTTGGTTGTAATTGCCTTGGTAGTTGTCGTGCCAACTGTCTTTGTTGTCTTTGCAATGGCCATCAAGAAGGAAGGAAACACATCAAAAAAGTTAAAGAAGGCAACTGCATTCATGTTGTTAGACACAATGGAAGATGAAGTAATGAAATCAAAATTCAAAGAGTTTTGTAAGATGGAAGGTCACGGAATTGACCTTTTCCATTTTATTGAGAAAACTGTTAGCTATACTCATTTGTGTGAAAAACAAAATGAAATGATGGATAAACTTGCCAAGAATAAGGGAGATCCAAAGGCAGTAAGAGATTTTGAAAAGGAAAAGTACATTCTTGCCTTTGAAATATTTGCCGAATATTTGGATGAAGATATTGGTGAGTATCCAATTCTTGTCAGTGGTGCATTGCATGAATGTTTGAAAAATAGAATTGACGACTTTTCAATTAATGAAGCAGAGACCTATCTCAAGGAAAATCTCTTTGAAGATATTCAAAAGGAAGTTGCAATGACTTCGCTCAATGATTTGCACTTCAAATTTAAACAATTCTTGATGGCTAGTAAGAAGCTTCAAGTCAAAACACAACAATAAAAATGTTTGTAACATATTTAATTCAAATAATTAAAGAACTCTTCTCGTAATTTAATTTCAGCAATAGAAAAGTTTGGAGAATTAAGAGAAAATACCTTTTTAATTTCTTAAAAGGATGTTGGAGCTAGTTTTTATTGGTAAGGCAATAGTTGCAAGTGAAGAGATAAGCATCAAGATATGTAATTGCATTAGGCTATTAATGTTAAAACTGTTAAGACAGTTTGTGACCACAGTTGACAGTATCTCTCAGTCTCTATTCAATCATCAGGTTGCTCTATCTAAATGACAAAACACAATTTCAGTGTTTGTCTCTTTAATAATAATAAATAAAAACTAACAACCTCAATTCGTGTCATACAGTCAATCAGTACACATTCCAGTCACAACCAATACTTGACAACTATTCACACATTTTTCTTTAACGGTTTATCTTGTGAAACACATTCCACAAACTAAAAAAACTAATCAAGATGGGTAATAGACAATCGAATAGAACTCACAATGAAAGCTCGCCAAGACATGGTGCTAGCTCCAGTAGAATGAATAGCAGTAAGAATAGAGTAAAGCATTTGAGGGACCAAGAAGTAAAAGATGCTAACATTCATGAACGTAGTTTCTCCTCATCAATGTCAGACTCGTTAGATTTCACTCACATGTTTTCTATGGGTCAAAATGATAAAGGTCAATTAGGTAGAGGAATAATAAGTAAGGATGATATTGATAGCTATCCTATGGGCCCAGTAACGGAAGTCGAACAGAAGAACACTGCTGATTTAGATGAAGATGAACAAGCAGAAATTGCATCTCGTGTGCTGAAGGATATCAAATTTGTTGCAACAGGCAGGTCTCACATAATCATGGTAACACACTCCAACAAGTTATATGGAATGGGTTTTAACAATTATTCACAACTTGGTTTCCCAGAAACTGAAGAAAATATTCCAAGATTAAGAGAAATTCAACTTCCAGAAGATGTCAAGACCATTGATGGACTTGCTGCTGGTTGGTTCCACTCTGTTGTTGTTTGTGATGGTAATAAGGTATTCTGTGCAGGACATTCATTCTTTGAACAAACATTTGATGTTGCAATGGACAAGGGCTTTAAAAGATCTGTCAAGATGGAATTCCTACAAAGAGATAATTCCAAGATTACTGTTGTGAGTGCATCCACATTCTCCAGTTCACTTGTTGTTGATAATTGGAAGATTTTTGCTTGTGGTGAAATGAATGCCAATTCCAATCCAGCCAATTACCTCGTTCCAGGATGTGAAATTTTCAAACGTGATGAAGTTATCAAAAAGTTTAAACATGCTGATAAGGGACTTGTTGTGTTAGCAGAAAGTGGTAATGTCTATTTTGCAACAAAGGAAAGACCATTCCACATCCTCATGGACTCTGTTCATTCCATCACACCTTCCCACATGTATGAAACAACCTACGCAATGAAAGACAAATCAACAATTTTGAGTGAGTGTGATTTGTCTCCTCTGACTGTTCGTGCACAAGTCAATGTGCAAGCCTTTGTTGAAAAGTATGGAATGGAGAATATTCAACTCTATTGTGGCTACTCCTTCTACTATTTGGTTGTTAATAAGAGAAGAGTTTATACCATCAATGGTTCCGAATTGAATGAAATTTTGAATTTGGATGGAGTGACCACTACTGTAAATATCAAGGAAGTTGTAGCTACATCCGATTGTTCATACTTTATCTTTGAAAAGTGTTTGTTTACAGCCTCCGAATTGTTGATGAAGTCGAGATTACTTTCCTGCGAAATGTATAAGGACGTTTCTATTATTGCCTCTGATGAGGATTATTATTATTCACGTGGAAGTATCATTTCCAATGAAGAATCAGCTTGTATATAGTATTAATAAATTATTGATTTAAATTACGTGATCATGGTGCTTGATGATGAAAATATTTTCAAGGAACATTTTTTGTTTTTTTTTCTAGAGTTTACAAAAACTGGCATTTTTGAGAGGGAAAACCAACAAAAAAAATTAAATGGCTTGAGACATCATTTTCGAGCTTGATGGCGAAGGGGTAAAAGAATTGAAAAGGAGAAAATATTATCATCATGATGAAGGAGGAATTACTCAACAAACTTGTTGTGAGAAGTTGCGATTTGAGAGTGGAATCTAAATCTGCTCTTCAAATTTTCTCTCTTGTTGAAAAAGCCTTTGAAAAGGAACCACATAGTGATCATAGAGAACAATTCCTTGTTGAAAAGTTGTATCAGGCACCTCCAGAGGAATCTTCCTTTATTCCAGAGTTGTCCTTGGTAGCAGAGTTGGAGGATGAAATTGTTGGATTTGCCTTGTTGACTAAATGTCTGCTTGTACCTCATCATCAGCAACAATCATCATCGGAATGTTCTACTAATAACAATCTAACATCATTAACAACAAGTACAGAGGAAAAACAACAACAGGAATCTATTATTTCACTGTGTTTGGCTCCCCTGGCCATCAAACCACAATATCACAAGATGGGAATTGGAAGTTTATTGATGAGGGAGGCTCACAAACGTGCCAAAGAACTTGGTTTTACTTCTGTGGTCCTGGTTGGTCACGAACACTATTATCCAAGATTTGGATATCGTCTGATGAGGGAGTTTGGAATTAGTGTTCCCTATCAAGATATCCCTGCCCAATATTGTATGGTGATCGAGTTGGTAGAAGGTTGTTTATCATCGGATTCTCGTGTGAATGGATCTATGGTTCAATTTGCTAAGGAATTTTCAAATTATTAAACAATAATTTGAAATTAATATTTATTTTTATTATCATCACATCAAAACCTTTGGTCATTCTGAATCCATTCTTAAACTCAAAGACAACTGGTTGGGCACACATTCCAAGATTGGTCTCGGTACTGGAATCAATCTTTACCAAAGAATTACAATAAATTATTTCTAAATTATTTAAAATTACTTGATCAATAATTTCATCAACTTCCAAGACAATCTCAAAACTCTCAAACCATCACATGATTCATCCATTCCATTGACTCACTGTATGTTCAACCATTGAACTTCTGCAGAAGGATCATATTTTCAGGAGAGAAAAATTGGAATAATTTGGAAGTTCTCTTATTGGTCGTCGACACTAATTCATCCTTCTTGGCTACAACAAAACTAATTACATTGGTATCGCCATTGATAAAGAAAGTTTTGGGCAGTTTTCTGATTGCTCTTCCAAATATTGCTTAGTCTTGATGGAGTGGAGAATAATGGAACCTAATCCCTTGAAATCGAATCCAATCACCTTAGAAGTGAGCCAAGTTACCAAAGCTCCACCAGCTGCTCTTTCTCTCCAGCCTTTCATATCCCTTCTGTGATCAAAACCTTCCTGCAAGACCATCTTGATGCAAATGATGGTCTTGAAGGTTGTTGTTTCCTCCTCCTCCACCAGCAAACATGTTGCTGAACGACGATGATGATGTAGTAGCTGTGGTCATGTTGTGTGAGTTATTATTGAGGTATTTGTTTAAATTTGGTGATGTTGTTGAATGTTGAGGCGATTTATTTGCTTGTGAGTGCGTTCTGGTTGTAACATCAAGTTCAATCAAATTTGGATCCAATTAACCTCCCTTCCTTAATTGACCTCTCATTTGAGAAAAAAGCTACAAATTAAGGCAAATGTACTTCTCAACCATTTGGGACACGACCTAAAATTTTCAATATTCACTTTCTAATGTTTGAATGTTTGTGTGAAAATTGTTATCAACACCTGTGTGAGGCACAATAATTTGATGAATGTTTGATTCAAGCTTCGAACAACGGATACATCACAAGGAATAATCTGTATTTCCTGTTGAGTATGAAACTAACAAAATGCTGGAAATTCTTGAACCCTTTTGGAAGGAAATATTGAATGTTGTGAAAAATTGTTGATTTGAAAATTCACAATAAAAATTTCACACATCTCTAATCTATTAAATTGTATTAAATAATTTATTATAATTATATCATTACAATACATTTATTTACAAAACAATAAATTTACAAAATTCTCATTCTCCATATAATGGAAGGAAAAATCTTTCGGACAACAATAAACTCCTCAACTCCACCAATTAATAGTTCTAAAAAAATGGAAGAAAATTCTCTGCTGTTATCCACAAGAATGAACTCTTCCGAAGAGGTCTCTTTAAATCATGATCATTATGAAAATTACAATGGAATTGCATCAAATAATCATCACGATGAAGGAAACTTTTCATCATCGGAAGCAAATATTAACGGTGATGAAAAGTTTATAAGTGTTGATGATGCCATTGAATGGATGGGGTTTGTATTCTTCTGATGTATGAATGTGAATGAATGAAAATTAATTGTGTGCACAGAGTTGGAAAATTTCAAATTATCTTGTTGTTTGTGTGTGGAATTGCTTGGATGGCTGATGCATGTGAAATTATGTTATTGAGCTTTATAATGCCTGCTGTGAGGGATATTTGGAATTTGGGATCGGCTGAAGAGGCAACGATTGGTGGCATTGTGTTTGCTGGCATGTTGATTGGTTCATCATTTTGGGGATTTATTTGTGACAGATTTGGAAGAAAGATTGGTATTGTGGCAATTTTTACAATTTGTTCGATATTTGGATTAGGAAGTGCATTCTGTCCTAATTTCTGGTCATTGGTAGTGGTTAGATTCTTTGTTGGATTTGGAGTAAGTTTTGTTGAATTGTGTGAATTATTTGAATTTGTTTTATATGAATTTTCTGAATTTTCTTGACTTTTTGACAGGTTGGTGGAAGTCATGCCCCATTTTCATTATTTGTAAGTTTTCTTCATTGATATTTAGATTAGATGATTTAATTTTGTAAAATATTTGTAAATGTGAACCAAATTTGTTATTGAAAAATTAAGACTGAATTCTTGCCAAACAAATCGAGAGGTTTCTTCTTATTATTGATTGAAGTTTTCTGGACTGTGGGAACTGTGTTGACCTCAGTGATGGCTTTGGGTGAGTTTTGAAATTTACCACATTTTTAACATGTTGTGAAAATTAGTATTCTTGGGATTTCCTGAAATATTTGGAGATTATGGTTGGAGATATCTTGTTGGAGTCAGTTGTTTACCAAACGTAATCATGTTATTTTTCGTTCCATTTCTTCCAGAATCACCTCGAGTTTTGGTATTGAAAGGAAATGTTGAAAAGGCAGAACGAGTTTTCAAACGTCTTGCTTGGTGGAATAATCGACCAATGTTTGAAGGAAAATTGAAAGTTGATGAAAATGCAACCAAGAAGAAGGGAGGATCTATCTTACTCTTTTTCACAAAACCATTGTGGTTCAGTAGTCTTCTCATTTTAATCTTGTGGTTTATTGGTGTGAGTTTTGATTGATTTTATTGAGATTTTAATGAGTTTACAATTATGATGATGATAATTTGTGGAAAATTAAATCACTTGATGAATTGGAAATGTGAATTGTGGAAATAATCAACAAATTATTGGAAACTTTGAAAATTTAAGGCATTGGCTTATTATGGAGTTGTGGTCATTACTCCAAATTATTTTGGAAACAATACTAGCAAGCTCTCTGTCTACATTAATACCATTATTGTTTCTGGAGCTGAGTTACCAGGATTATTATTTGCCTATTCTGTAATTAACACATTTGGAAGAAAGAAGACAATTAGTTTACTTTTCCTTTCGACTGGTTTATTCCTAGGATGTTTAGCCATTCCAACAGAAACCTGGTTATTAACCATCTATGCAGTTGGTGCAAGAGCTTCAATTATGGGTGCAACTGTAAGTATTTTACAATTCACATTTGTGAAATTCAAACAAAATTACAATTTTTGTAAAGTGTGCTCTTTGGGTCTATACTCCTGAGGCTTTCCCGACCAATATTCGATCTCTTGGAACAGGAATGGCAAGTGCAAGTTCAAGAATTGCAGCTATTGCCACTCCATACATTGCAACCATGCTGTCAAAAATCAATCCAGTCATTCCAGTAGCTATTTATGGTGGCTCATGTCTGATTGCTTTCGTCATGGGACATATTTTGCCATACGAAACAAATGGCAAATCATTGGCTAATGATGTAAGTGAGCTGGTGAATTACTCAACCAAGAGAAGAAAAAAGACTGAAAAAAGCATAACTGATAATTAAATAAAGTTATTATTATTTAACTTATTATTGGAAGAAAGAACAAAGACAACTCCAAAATCTTTGAAGATATGAGTTTGTAAACTCTTCACTGTCACACTTTAGGTCTATTCAATTTATTGATAAAGTTGAAAAATCAATTGAATGGAAAACCAAAATGCTAAGGATAAAGAGGCAACCAATCATTTGGATGGAAAATCCTGAGATTACAATTTTCATTAGGATAAATTAAAAAAAAATGTCACAACTCAAAACACTTCTCTTGACACTTTTGATTGCTTCGATCGTTGTTCTTGCCTCCAGCTATGAGCCAACATTGGATCTCCTTGATCAATACTGTATGCGCATGTTCACCTATTCAAAATCATCAAAATACGAAACTAACATTTACGTCGACCATTCGAAAGGTCAATATTCACACAAACTCACAACACCACAAGGATTACGTCAAGAGTACTTTTACTTCCAATCCAACGACACTCTCTACACCTTCTCTGAACAATCCAAATTAGGACAATGGACATGTGTCAAAAAATTAAAAGCAAATTTAAAGAATTCTGAAATGGACCCTTGGAGATCTCAAATTTTCACAGGAATGAAATATTCTGGCATTGAAAAGAATTGCCTCAATGTCCTTACTCGGAATATTGCTCTCTGTAATCGATATGATAACAAAATTGTGACTAATATGGTAATTGATTATTATGTGGAAACTAATCACACGAGTGAAATTCAAATTCCATTGCAAATGTATAAAATTGTTGGAGAGAGAGTGAAGGCAGAGTTAATTTATGTGTATGAATATAGAAGAAGTCCAATGGCTAGTGATTTTATGTTTCCATTTTCGGAAAATATTTGCACATTTGGAAATTGAAATTTTATATTTAATAAATTCTGAATATTTATTTTACAATAAATTGAAGGATTTACAATCCAATCAAATTAAACTTTCTTTAAAATTCTTGAAATAATTTTGATTGATATGAAATTTTGCCGCCAAAATTTTAACAAGCTTCAAAGCAAAAACCAAGTTAAAAAAAATTCCGCAATATGAAATATGCACAAATCCTCCTTCTCATCATTATTATCATAATTTGTTTTCTTTCTTCTCTTTCTTCCGCTCAAAATTCGATTCTTTTTGTTGAACCAAAAATTGGACGAAACCAAACTAATTGTTCCAATCCGAATCTTCCCTGTGATTCAATATCCAATGCACTGTTATCAGTTCTGCAGAATAATAACACAACAATAGTGAGGATAATTTTACTTTCCGATATTACAAAATGTACTTTGAAAAATATTCCAACTTTCGTCAAGGAATTGGAAATTATCGGAAACAATGAAACTCTAAAATTTACATGTAATATTGATACACACTCATCCTATTTGAAATTAACAGTTTCTAATTTGACATTAATTGGAGATTTCTCTGTTGATGGATCACAGGAAAGTGTCATTTTGGAAAATGTAGTTTCTTCCAATTTCATGATTATTATTTCGAAACAAATCGTATTTAACAATGTGAGGACCACTGGTTATTCTACAGTGTTCGTAATAGCATCATCTTCTTTAGAAATTGATAATTGTCAAATTAATGGAAGATTTTCTGTTCAGACTGATGGTTTGAAATATCCGAAAACATTTATTAGAAACTCAATATTTAGAAATAGTTTATTGACTATTGGACTTGAAACTGTCTTTGGAGTATCAATTAATTACAGACAATTGTTTGTAATTTCATCATCTTTTTATGATTCAATCTTGTTGGTGAAGGATAATTCAATAATAAGTATAAGAAACTCTATTTTTGATGGATATTTCTCTTCAGTGAGTAAGGATCAGGGAAGTATTCTGTACGTTTCGTCATATTCCCCTTCAGCTCTTACTGTGTATGATTCAGTTTTTAGAAATAACATTGTGGATGGAGCTGTACGATTGATTGGAGCAGGAATCAATTCATACTTTAAAAATTGTTCATTTTCTGATAATGCCAATCATTCTGGAGGTCCAGCTCTCTACTTGGCCAATATTTATGCAGCTGTCATTGAGAATTCAGTTTTTATTAATAATGAATTTGTAAGGTTGAATGTCTCTAATGTACAAAATAGAGAGGAGTTGGGTGGAGGAGCAATTTTTCAGAGACAATCCATTCTGACCACTGCTAATTGTTCCTTCATTAATAATAGAGCTAATCAAGGTCTTGGTGGAGCAATTTTGACAAGTCATTCGACGATTTATAATAGTAATGATGATGTAAGTATTCTTGAGCTAATTGAAAGTTGACCATTCATGTAATTAGGTATTTTTTAATAATACAGCCAAGATTGGTGGAGCAATAGCCACATTAGACACAAGTTCATTCCTTGCAGCTTCTATTGAGAGTTCTAAATTCCTAAATAATTCAGCAACCATGTTGGGAGGAGCTATCTTTTCCTTTAAAAGTAAATACGTTAGCATTCCAGTTCTAACAGATTTTATTGGAAACAGAGCTCATTACGGAGGAGCCATTTATTCAGTTTCTACTTATTTTAGAGTATACGATGTTGAACTTGTTGATTTTCAAGATAATTATGAAACTGGACCTAATGGTGAGAAATTATTAAGTAATTACAAATCATTTCCTGACAATTTTAAGTTGAATATTACAAATTCCAATAATATTAAGGAAAAGACATTCAATGTAAATTTTGGAGAACGTGTAGAGATTCAATTCTCTCTTTCAGAAACGTACAGGTATTTGCACAGCGATTTCATAGACAATAGTCCAATAAGTATTGATATTAAGGTAGATGGAGCTGTCATTGATTTTGAAGGATCTTCATATAGAAAAAATATCATGGCAACATTTTACAGTAATTCCAAAGAGAGAAAGAAATTTACATTTACTATTACCTTGAGTTTTGATGTGTTAAAATCATTCACCTATTCAGTTTCAGAAACTTTCACAGTCGAACCAATGGAATGCAAACCTAGCTATTGGTATGACATGGTAGTTAAAAATCAAATCAACAACCAATCAGTGTATGGATGTGGTTTCAGTTGGTATAGCATTCTACCATTTATTTTCTTTGGATTTTTAATAATTTCAGTAATTGTTATTGTAATTTCCTTGTTTGCCTTTTTCAAGATTAGGAAAATGAAGAGCAAACTCAAAATATTAGACAAGAAGGAGCAAGCAGAAGTGGAATTGAATCAAAGATTGATTGAATTGGAACAATTATACACCTCTGAATTACAAAACAAGTTTTACATGAAGGATTGGATGATAAAGGTAGAGGATATCAAAATCATTTCAAAAATAGGAGAAGGAGGAATGGGAGTTGTTTATCGTGGAATGTTTTCAATGCACGAAGTTGCTCTTAAAACTGTCAAGATTGACAGCGACGATCTTGAATCCAATGAATTTGAAAAAGAAGCAAGCATCCTTTCATCCATGAGACATCCCAACATTGTTGGATTCTATGGGGTTTGTGTTACTGACACAACCAGATTCATGGTCACTGAGTACATGTCTGGTGGAAGTTTGGATTCTTTCATTTACAATTGTAAAATCAAAACTCGACACATTACAATCCCAATGAAAATCTCAATCTTGATAGGAATAGCCAATGGAATGAACTATCTACATACTGGAAAGGGTGACATTGTCATTCATCACAGAGATTTAAAACCAGCTAACATTCTCCTTACAAATGATTTAATTCCCAAAGTTTGCGATTTTGGATTATCGAAATTATCCAAAGATTCTGGAAAGAGCTCCAAAACAACCAACATAGGAACTCTGTATTTCATTGCTCCTGAAATGTTACTTGGAAAGGATTACAATCAAACAATTGATGTTTTCAGTTTTTCAATTATTATGTGGCAATTAATATTTGACGAAACTCTTCTCTACGATTCTTCCTATTCCACTAATCCAAAGTTTACCAGATTTATGAAAAGTGAGGAAATCAAACAATTTGCCACATTGGTTGACTCTTCTTATATTCTAGTTCCAAAATTGGTTACAGAAGGATTACGTTTGCCCATTCCAAAGATTTCTTTGGATTCGACTGAATTACGTGAATGGATATTTGAATATTTCATTAATGATGATGCAAAAATTGATATGCAATACAGAGAAGACTCATTTGAAAGATATTCGAATGGTTTGAGTGCTCTATTCGAATTGATGGAAAAATGTTGGCGAGAATCAATTGTTGAAAGACCTTCCTTCAGTGTAATTTCGAAAGAATTATTAACCATTAGGAATATGTTCAAGTAGAGATTATCTATTACTACTTTCTAATAAAGCCAATGAATTATGTTGAATTCATTTTTTGTTTGGTAAAAGTACTGCATCTTCAGCTCTTTCAGCTCTGTGAGTGTCCGAGGAAAGTTGATTTGGGTAGCATCTATCAAAAGCAAAGTAAAGTCATGGCACTCCTATGATGCATCATACAGTGCTAAATTAGTTTTTTAAGTTTAAAGGTATTTTTGGAGCCTACCGATGCCATAATGGTTGATTCTGCCACAATTTCAAGAACCTTCAATTTCCGCCAATCAGAGTAGCTTGAAACATTGTGCAACAGTGAACTTAGACCTAAACCTATAGATATGGAGTTCTCAGTGGAAGATTATATGGGTGAATTGTATGATTTTTATCCAGACTATTGGGATGAAGGTCAACACGGTTACTGGGGTATTGTTAATGGTTTTCAATCAGGAACAATCTTTTTTAATGACAATACCACCAAATTGGATACGTTGAATCCGTCGTCCAACTTTATGTGTGCGGTTAGGTATATTGTATCAAACAAACCCTCAAATGAAATTGCTGCAAAGGATTGCCTCTATTCATCAAAACAATTAGATATATTCTCAGCGACTGCTTCATCATTCGGGATTTATGTAACTGTTAGAAATTTAGGTCGAGATTATGACTCAGTCAGGTAAGACAACATTTGCACCAGGAACATTCGTAACAAGATTAGGCTTGAATCCGGAAAGACTAGGCAGTGGTGTTCATGTTGTACATTCCATTGTAGACAATTTCATTGCATGGAGAGGTTTAACAAATTTAGTAGATGATACATTTATTGTAGTTGGTAATGCTCAATGTTCTCACTCGCAGCAGAATACTGACAGATTAACATTTGCAGATGAGTCCTTGTTGATTCTTCCACCTCAATGCGACATGGTTCCTTTTGCTGCTCTTTTCACTAGCCCAAATTCAATGACTTTGAGAAAAAGGCAAGTTCTACAACAAGGAGGAACTGGAGGGTCATTCATAAATAAGGTTGTCAAGTCATCTGCTTCTTCCTTTTGGGTATGTGGTAGTTTTGTTGGACAAATTACATTTGGTGGTGATCAAATATCAGCCGGCCGACAAACTCCCTTCTTTAGTTATTATGAAATTGACTCAACCAAGGACCAACCTTTCAAAGTTATACACACCACTCCAATTTCATATTATCAAGCCGTGGCTGAGGCATACGATATGAAAATAATTCCAACAGCAGGACAAATAATTGAAATTTACATAGTTGGTTCTGTCAATAATAAACAATTTCAAAATCTTAAATCAATAAGAGATTGGAGTAAGAGGTATCCGAGGTTCGTATTTCCAAACCATTATTTGAAGAGATTAAACATGCTTCAATTCAATTGTAGAACTGCTTTCTTACATTTGCATGTATGAGTGTGGATCTCTTGTATTGTTCTTATCTTTACCGACTTTCTTTACTACAAACCAAATAATTACTGCAATTAGTAGGGCAGTTAGTGGAATGAGGACTAGTAACATTAATAACCACATTAATGGATTGCTAGTTGCAGGTTTTTTGACAATTACTTTTGAATTAGATGAAGAGGAAGCTGATGGAGTTGGTTCAATTGATTTGTATTCAAGAATTGCAAGATTATATCCTAATGTTGAGCATTCACAAGTTGCTATTTGATTATTCTTGATAGAAATCGAACAATCAGTTTCCAATGATGCTGATCCAATGTTTGCACAAACATAAGCTGCCTGACTGTCGTATTGTTTCATCTCAATATCGAATAAATATTTCGAATATGATTGAGGTGAAGGATCAAGTTGTAAATTATTTACAACTGAATTGATAGATATCATCTTTCCAGGTTGATTTGCAATTGCAACGGTATCTGTATTTTTTTGAATAATCCATCTATACTTGATTGGTGACTTGATTGAATTAGTTTTCAAGAAAGATGAAATGTTAAATGGTAATGTGATATTCACCATCTCACTTTCGAATTTCATTCCATTCATTTCATTCTTGAAATGTTTGTTTAAAACTGTCAAATAACTGTTAGTTTCAAATTTAAAGGGTGTGGATATTAATTTGCGCTCTTAAAACATCATTATTTATAAGACTTCATATACATCAATATATATCATTAGATAGGAAATGTTCACGGCTACATGCTGATATATAATTTTAATATTGGTTGCTATCAAATAATGGAGATAATCAACTCGTTTTACCTCAATATTTCTGTGTTTTTTGTTCTCTTGGGGGGGCTTGCTAGATACGCAACCATTTGGCAAAAGGTGAAAAATCGCATAGGTTCAACTTAATTCTCTACAAAATGACGTTGGGATATTTGCATTTAATTCAGTAATTGTTGAGTATTTTGTATTTGAATTGGTGTTAAACTTGTTAATTTTCTGTTGCTTAATAGCTGTGTTGAACAAGTGTGAAACTATCTTTAATTACGGTGCGCACTTATTCCGATATCATTAAGATCATTAAGGAACAAGTAAATAATATTTATTAATATTATTTAGAAGGTGGAAGTGGTAATGTTTCTCACTCCACAAGTTATTTGCTTGTTGGCAGTGCTAATAGCCATGGATTTAAAGCCATTATTTTGATAATCGCATTAATTAACTCCATTTTTAACCCTTTAAAATATTACGATTATCAAAATACAACGCCAAATTACTCTGCTTCCAACACTTTTCCGATGTATGAATCTATTTATCAAGATCATCAGGATAATCTTCAATGATACTGAATTTAAGTAGATGGTGGAGGTACCATCTCTTGTTCATCAAGTTGAATCTTCCCCTCATCATTTGGTGAGGGAGCAACTTCTCCCTTCCATATTGTTTAATAAATTATTGTTATTATCATATAATGATACAATTCTTGTTGTTATTTGTTGTTAATTGTTGTTCTTAATAGAAGCCGACAATTCCAGGTCATACAACCACTTGGTTCTTCATATGAAGCATTTCTAGAAATTAAAGCTATAGCACTGTTGGTTCAGTGGTTGTATGCCGGATCGTCAATTAAGGGACGAGTGATCGATTCAAGGTGATTTTACTAACTTATTCATTATTACCACCTTATTTTTTTGGGTTTGGATCCCATGTCAACCCCTATTTATTAAGCTTTTCTCCTTAAATACATTAACAATATATATCACAAATGATGTCAAAAGATGGTGATTGTAATGGGGCACAATATACGGCTGATGTGGGTTTGGTTAGGATTCAGAGTTGATTTATTTGGGTTATTTAAGAGATTACTTATTGAAGATTCATATCATTGATTATATTTCTTATCATCTATAAATGATGTAAATTTGATGTTTTCATTTCTTGTATTGATAGATATATAAACAGGTCAGTACTAACTTTTGAAATATGGACTTTTAGAAGTCAAATGTTTGGGACGTGAATCTACTCATTGGATTGTGTTGGTATTGCTAATAAAGGAACATTTCATTGATTTATTGATTATAACGGTCAAATTGAGTTGAATGGAAGTGAATCAAATGTTGATTGATCGTGGATGGGTAGTTTCGCCACGAAGTGGTGCAACTACCAACCTTTGTAGATTGAATCAGGTTGATTTGCATGCAATATGAATAAGTAACATTATCAAGAGTGATTATTCACCAATTCAATAATCAATATTCAATAATCGGTTTGATTTCAATCAATAGCTTGCTCATCAAGCTTTGAATCAAGATTCCAGTAATTAACGGCAGTCTATTTTTAAATTTAATCAAAGACCATATATAGTAGCTTGACTTTTATGATCTGGAAACTATCTAGATGTGTTCTATATTGAATAATCTATTTGAAAATGAGATGAATTAACTCTTCTATTGAGTTTTATTGGTATTGCATGCTAATTACGATTATAATAATCTACACAGAAATCACTCTTGAAATATAAACTGTAGTAGAACGTATGAGAAACATAATGGTGGTGGAATTAATCAATAACTCGTCGAAATGACTGAGATTAAATGTAAACTATGGTCCAAATGTCATGTATTTGTAACTAAACAGTGTCAACTCCGCCAAAGTGCTTTAAAAAAGATTTATATCATCAAAAACACTTCTAGACATCACATATGCCATAAAGAATGAGTTTCAATATTTAATATTGTGAACAGACCCTGTTGGATACCATCCCTATAAATATAACAATATGAAAAGTGCCAATACTCAATTTCACATACATGTTACTATGGAGAGTCCTCATATTACCATCTAAACAGGTAGTATTTCAAGTTTCAGTGGAATTGACAGTCTAGATATTGAGAAGGGTATACTAAGGTGGAAGAAGTGTCACCTTCACTGATTATTGACATGAATATAACAATTGAATATATGATTCTTGTATAAGTATTTCATTATTCAATAATTGTAGAATTATAGTAAAACTTAATTTTGAAAATAAGATACTTCCCTATTTACTACCTTAGATGTTCCTTAGTTGACTTGAAGATATTGAGCCATGAATAGGAAACTTTCACAGATTGTTCTCCTCATCAAGGGTAGTGTATTCATATTTGATACTTGTATTATATTTTGTAAAATGAATGAGATGGAGCATATTCTACAAGTTGTTTCAAAACGTGTATAGATGTATATAAATGGCATAATCTTTGATTTTATGTCAAAGTTCTATAGTATAGTGATAGAGTTGACAACTCTTTATCTACTGAGCCAATATTCATGAAATTGATACCATATGTTAATTAGAGTGTCTACATATCATGATATCAATTTCATTGAAATTGGAGTTGTTTCTGGACCCTTCAGATTCCATCAATCCACTCTGACAAATCAGCATGTACTATCTACTGGATGCATTTCTTGAAATGAAAACATATAATTTGATGATAGTCCACTTTATTTGAGATGTGGAACTCGATATTATCATTTATTTTGAGATTGGTAACTTTTCCTATAGTTTCATCCTTAATTGTCTTAATTGATCAAAAGAGGTCAAGGAGCGATTTCAAATCATAAAATAAATGATATTTTCGAGATGTACTATCGATTTCCAATCGATTGATATGTATTTTGTTGATTGACGATGTGGTTCTCTATATTTTCCTCCTGATCTTCCAAGACAACCTTGAAGTTTCACCCTTTGCCTTATTGAAAGATAGAATGTTCACCAAACTGTCTGAAAATTGAACCATATACATTAGTAGAGATGTATAACATGATGGTAAAGTTTCATAAAGTGGTCATTTTCCAGAAATTCATCCATGTACACAGTTGACTAGTTGGTATGTTAGAGTTGAAATCATGAATATGAAAGTGAAAATAAACTTGATATTCTATCTCTACACATCGAATGGAGCATTTTCATGTATAATTTGTTGATTGAAGTGATATATTTGATAGACTTGGTCTGACTTGTCTTTCCTTTCAGTCAACTTTGGAAAATCAACATTTACATTCCCATGGTACCATTTCTAATTCTTATGATATGAAATTGAATTCTATATCACTATAGATCATATAAATCATTTTGGTAAAGTTTCAATAGGTGGTCCTTTTTCAAGATTTCCTCCTGTTGACCATGTGTGATTGAGGGAAGAAATCTTTAAATATGAAAGTTAAAATAAATTTGATATTCGATGTATACTCACCAAATGGAACATTTTCATGTCAGGATTCAATATGTTTTGATGAGAAACTCAAAAGTTATAGTTAACCTCTTTTACCTCACAACTTCCCTTTTCACTTGATACTTTTATACCTACAGACATGAAGTTTAGAAATTTCATATGAAAGTGATTATAAGGTTTTGGATCCCATGTCAACCCCTATTTATTAAGCTTTTCTCCTTAAATACATTAACAATATATATCACAAATGATGTCAAAAGATGGTGATGGTAATGGGGCACAATATTCGGCTGATGTGAAATTGTTAAATATTTATATATATCAAGTTATGATGGTGGCTAGTGGCAATAAAATCACTTGATCAAAAGTATTTTTGCCGGTTGATCAAACCGAAAAACGCGCGGAAAAGTTAAAAATAGATTCAAGTTGATGTGAAAATGGCTCAGAATCGCAAGGATTAACAAAGCTTACTACTATATTGGAAGTGAATGTGCCATTTGGCACTCACTTCCATCAACTTTATCATAGAAATCACTCTTGAAATATGAATTGTACTATAATGTGCGAGTAACATACTGGTGTTGGAATTATTCAATAACTCTACGAAATGACTGAGATGGAACGTAAACTTTCTTCTAAGGTAAGTTAGGGGAATTTAAGATACTGAGCCATCAATGTGAAACTTTCTCAGATTGTTCTCCTCATCTAGAGGAGTGTATTCATATTTGAC